TGAGGAGAATGATGAATGGTTGAAAGCAATGCTACAAGAAAAAGAGTTATTGGACAAAAAATATGACTTCAGATCTAGTTGAACTTCAAAAAGGGGTAGAAAATAGTGTGATGCAAATGAATTCTCAAAGAATGAAAGGACAAAAAGGTAACTCTCTTAGGGGATGAGACAGGTTAAAAACTTATCATGGGCTTTATTTTAATGGGAAACATTAAGTACAAAAATCCTTGGGATTAATGATTCTTTCTCCTTTCTTTCTCTACTTCTCAGTCCATACATCTCCCCTGCTCTCTTTCTCACTAATATATTATATTGCTTAATCTTTTTATGACTGGTTGTCTTTGTGAAGTAGGATTACAACTCAAAGATTGTATTAGAGGTTACTTATAATGGAGACATAGGAGAGAAAGAGAGATTGAGGTGTATCTTCTTAGATGCTAGAGACTAACAAAATAAAGGTATTTTTGAGGTGAATATACAACATATGGAAGATTGTCTATAAGGTATAATTGTTGCATCTCAAATACTTAGAGTGTGCTCTTGATTTCTACCTTAAATATTTGATATATCTTCATTTACTTTTCAGTCACAATCTATTTAAGAATATTATTTTATGTTCCTTAGTGATCTTGGCTATTTTTTATAACATTTTTCACCAATAAGGGGTTTGGGCCCTAAGATTTTGAGGCATGAGATACTTCTTCTTGAGGTACTTCCACCAACTTGTGAACTCTTTTGTTAATACTTTACTTTCATCACTTCTTGTCAAAGATTGTTGTCATCTCACATAGATAGGCCATGTTATTCTCAGTCTACTCGTGAGTATATACAATGACTTTGTAATTCATTATTTGTAAGTATTAATGTCTTTTCTTTTGACAACTAGAGTTAAGTATTCATCTATTGTATTTAGTTCTCAAAGGGACTCAATAGTCACAAAAAAATCTACATTCATCTACATCACATGAATAATTCATTGCCAATAGGAGGTGCTCTCACCCATCATATTATCCTCACTACCTACTTCTTAAGAAAATAAAGAATATGTGAGATAGTGACATGACTTGGAAGATTAGTTAAAGTTCTGACACCAATTGACACAATTATCCATCATATTGTTCTAAACTTGGGCCATTTGAAACGTACCCATTTGTCACGTTGGGCCTGCTGATGCACAAATTTCCCTTGTCTTCTTGTTAGTTGTGGCTCCCCATCCTAACTCAAGATGACAATATTCTCTCCCACAATCTTCCCCATCAATCCAGCCTTGTGAGGCCCATCCTCTTGTAGTGGGTTGGAGATCATTAGATGCATCACCCCCATCATGGCACCAAACACTACCTCCAACTGCTTGAGAAACATTGGTGCGGGCAACTCACTGCAACATTGCATGTGTCCTTCATGCCGCATGCATTTTTTGTGTGTTCACCATTTCACACATCCTCCATATTGTGTACATTATTTGTCAGCTATGAGGTTTCATCAATGGAATATTGCCTTACCTAACTAATCATGTGACATTACCCTTGTGGGAGGGTATTCATGTGGATGATTAGAGTAGATAAGTAGCCTTGAGGACGAGATGTCACATGAAGTGGAAGGTATCTAAAGTGGTGGCCTAAAGGATATCAAAAGAGATGATATGACATGTTAGAGAAAATTTCTCAATAATTGCTCTCTAGTTTACCATGATTATTTTTAAAATTTCCATCTTCCATTTTTCTTCACAAAAAATAGGTGATACTCAAAACCAAATGCCCAAATATAAAACTAATTTTAAAAACATTATGTAACATCACATTACACAAATATTGATTGACATAATGAAAGACACCTCAAGTGTCAAGTTAACAACTATGACAATATTATTGTTTGGAGCAGATCACTGTTATATACTAATGTCATTGATAACTTATCATTTTTATCATGAAGATACTGAAGATATATTTGGTTGTTAAAAAAAATATATTACCTTGAGGAAAAACATGGGAAGATAAATCAATACACATTTCTACCAAAATAGACTCACTAAACATCTACTAAAGGGTGGTACAAGAAAATATACATAATAAATCTTTTTTTTAGCATTGTTTCATTCAATTTTTATATTTTTTAATACAGTTGAAAGAAAGTCAACACTTCAATGCCAAAATTTCAAGAAAAACAAAGCAAGCTAGAAGAGGAGACTTAAATGAAATGCACAACATGCCACTCTCAACTAACACAGGATATAATTGAGGCAAAGAGTAAATAATTGGAGTAATCAAGGTAATGAGTAAGAAATTCATTAACCATAACCTGAGAAAACCTAAAAATCATAAGAGAATAATGGGAACAAAATTTATGCCAAATAATACCATGTAGAGTATTGTGTAGAAAGCTCATTTACCAATGGAAAGGAGAAATATGAAAACATGGATTTTTTGAAAGAAGTTATGCAAAAGATTTGCTCGTCCAATATTCTTGATCTACAATGTATTTGCATTAAATCTAAATTCGTGGAGACCCCTAGAGAATTTGAGATATTATGGGTGAGAGGTGTAAAAATTCGATTTATGTGAAGATGAAAGATACATATCATCACACTATTGTGATTGAGCTGAAAGATTCCTAAATATAAGTATGGACAAAAGCATTTCTAGATTTTCTCTCTCTTCAGCCAAAAAAGCCCCCACATTTTCCAGCCTTCCATACTATTATGTGCTTGCCATTCCCTTTGACTTTCCATGACGAGATATATCATTCTTAGATGAAAACGTTTTCTCTCAAAGGAAAACGGAAGATGAGGCAAATTTGTGAAGCGCAAAGAAGATGCATCATGCTTTTTAGAAGTCAAGGAAGACCCGTGATTCTATTATAAGTTCCTTCAGTGACAATTTACAAGGATCTATACGTAGTTTGCAACGATTTACTCAAAATAACAAGGCTTTCTTGAATTTATTCTTTCCATAAACAACACGCTGGTAACCTCACTTAATCAAAGGATCGTAAAGCACGCACATAAAACGCGGAGAAGCGCAGATTATACGTGAAGATGCGAGACGGAGCGGAGGTTTGGGTTATTCTAGCTTGGCTCCTGCTAATCAACTGATGACAATCCTTCTTACTTTTATTAATCGTCAGTAGCCTATGCACACCAGACGCCGTGGGAGAAACGCTCACTGACGCCATGGGAGGTTCTTCCGCAGACGGAGCGGAGCACCGGACGCTCCCTTTAACTTTCTTTAATTCCGGCGAAAGCGGAGGGGAATCCCCTACGCCGCCTGACGTCCGTCATCCACTGCGTGAATAAGCATATGCCCCGTGGCGCAGCGAAACGCAAAAATCCACCTGGTTGACCTATTCGGCGACGGTCCTGGGGTCGGGGACCGTCGACGTGGCCACTCTTATCCGTCTGATGAAATATCACGTGAGTTAGATAACTGCACGTGATGTTCTCTGAACGTCCAACGATTGGGCGGACCGGGCATTACCCCGCCCCCAGCAGGGGATCCGAATATGGTAGTGCGACCGCCCGTGGAGGTCCATTTGAATAATAGAATCTTGGCCGTTGATTCATCTGAGGACATCGGTGCCGTCGAAAGGGTTCCCCTTATATTCTTCTGGGGCGTAGTTGAGCCGGAGCGGGTCAGCACAGCGAGGAAAAGCTAGGGTTTCGGTAGTGGATCGGAGGCTTTTGGTAGCTCCTTCTCCTATTACTCTATTGTGTCCCGCTGAGCTAGGGTTTTAGTCTTTCTCTTCTATTTATTATACATCTTCTTTGGATACTGCGACCTTCTCTTTTCATTTTTGCTCGAGTCTATGTTCACTGAACGCCGTAGTTCCACATTCACTGGATGCGATATTCTCTAAATCTTTCGCCGTCAATTTTCTTGATTTTCATCTCCCGCGGAGTGATCTCCAGACATACGAACAAAGATTATCGGGGTAATTTTTTTGGGTGATAACGGGATCTGAAATCATCTGAGAATCTTGATCGTCTGGATGTTTTCCCTTTTGAGTTTGATGAATTTGTGAACGCAGGATTTTTTTTTTTAATTCATGTCATCGTGTTCAACGCATCTTTTAGTCTATTTGTTTGCCTGTCTCATGGCAACCCAAGAATACCAGCATTTTGAATGCAATTGGTTTTGAACGACCCGTATGTTATTTTCAGTCTTCATTTCTTTAGTTGTAGCAAACTTTTTCGGCTAGCCGCTCTTCCTACGACTAGCTTTCGTGGGGAAAAAAACACTGTTGCTTAATCTGTAGTTACTCAAATTTCGAACCCGCCTGGTAGATTTAGTTAATAGCTAATGTACGACTTTTTATCCTATCTTACTAGGAAATCTTCTCCTATTTACCGCTACTCTTTATTTTCTGATCCTTTAATTTAGTTCATTTAGCCAAAATGTTCTAGATTTATTGCATGTCCTGTCTAGCATCTCTCCCATTAGATTTTGATTAGTTTCTCTCAGGCTTTACGGTTTAACTTATTACTCTTCTGGCTAATTGAGGTCTGCTTCACTAGTCATCTTGAAATTTTTTTGAGATGCTGCATACAACCCTTTTTGAATATTACTTCTGTCCCTATCATCTGCACTACTTTATTTTTATGAATTTCTCTCTTTGACGATAAGTTCCTGGTTGCCTAATGTTTTTCAAAAGTTCACAAATTTCTGATTGCATGTGCTTTGGTTGCCCAACCCAGATCGAATTTATTTTCTAATTGTTAATTTATTGTCACAACCATCGGTACTTTCCTATTAGAAAATTGGCTTCGCTTTGGGTTTCGGCCCACAGACAATGTAACCCCAATTCTTTTATATCTTGGTTCATGAGTAAGATATCTGTCTAGTTGCTATTAAATTCTGTGATTATTCGTGTTCTTGCTCGTGTTCACATAACTTGCCGCGTTTCGGTTTCTTTTATGTCAGTCAGTTGGGACGTCAAATTTCTATCCTATATTTGTCTCTGATTATGGTTTAACTGTGTTTTTATGGTACTATGACAGTGAAGCAATGCCTCGCTATGAAGATCGATATGGCGGCACACGTCTCTACGTTGGTCGCTTGTCTTCCCGTACACGTTCACGTGATCTGGAGGATATCTTCAGTAGATACGGAAGGTAAAACGTCTACTCACACCGATAAATTTTTTTATTCATTAAAATGCAGTCACTCTTACACACACACACACGTACACATTTACAAGGCTGTTTATATAATTTTTCACTTACACTCGCATAAAAGCATTATTTGGCCTGTCGAAATGTAATTTTCTTAGGGAATGATATTATTTCATCTGAAATAGGTCCTTTGGTGTCAAACTGAAAGGTATTCCACGAGTCGTCTCTATTTTTCTATTTAAAATATTATCTTCGTCAGAAGGTTGAACCCTAGGGACCACTATTTAACTTGAATGATGTTGTTGAAGGTTTATGGGGTTTACCGACCTGGAGGGCTGTGGTGTGAGGGTGGCTTGGTGGAATTGGTGGCTATTCATCCAAAGTGTTCATGAGAGACTTTGGCGATTCTTATCGTAATATTATGTTTTTATGGAAATGGCGAGAGTCGCGAAGTGGTGTCTAGTTCATCTTCTGAGGAGCGAAGTATCACTCCCTTCAGTACTTTACGTTTTGTTGGCCTTACTGTTTCTGGCAACCATTTCCGCAGAATACGAGATGTGGATTTGAAGCACAACTTCGCATTCATTGTATGTACCTTCTGATTCCCTTTGGCTGGCCATATCCCGTTTTATGTATCTAGTCCCTTTTATTTATTTGGTTTGGCTGGTCGATTGTTGTCCATATATGAGCCCGTTCTCTTTTGGTTTCCTCGATGATTTTTTGCAGGAGTTCAGTGACCCAAGGGATGCTGATGATGCAAGGTATGCACTAGATGGACGGGATATCGATGGGAGTCGTATCATAGTCGAATTTGCAAAAGGAGTGAGTCACAAGAGCTTTCTGGACGGTGATTATGTAAATTATTAGTTCATATGTGCGTTAACTAATAAATTATATATTCATTGCACAGGGACCACGTGGTTCTGGTGCTTCTCGTGAATATTTGGGAAGAGGCCCTCCACCTGGGTCAGGCCGGTGCTTTAACTGCGGATTAGATGGCCATTGGGCCCGAGACTGCAAGGCTGGAGACTGGAAGAACAGATGCTACCGTTGTGGAGACAGAGGGCATATAGAAAGAAACTGTCAGAACAGCCCCAAGAGCTTGAAGTATTTGCCTCGTACATCTAATTTGTTCCCTCATTTGCTTGAGTTTTATTTGCTTTTATTTGGGTTATCGAGTTTGATTTCTCTCTGAAGGGGCCGGAGTTACTCGCGGTCTCCCTCTCCTCGTCGTGGGCGGAGCCGCAGTCGCAGTAGAAGCTTGAGCCGGAGCCGCAGTTACAGGTCCGACCTCCGTGTCAATTTTTAAAAATCTTTTTTATTTCTGTCTTTGTTTCACTCAAACTTTTTATCATCCTTTTTCCGAAATTCATTGACGATCTCTCCACCATCGTCAGTCGGTCCCGGTCTCCTGCTCCGAGGAGAGACTACAGTGTTGAGCGCGATCGGAGATCCAGGAGCCCCCGTGATAGCCGGAGCCCGCCGCCATCCAAAGTGCGGCGGCGCAGCCTGTCTCCCGTCGGCAGCCGGAGCCCTCTGGAAAGGCCAAGTCCCCAACGGGGCGACCGCATGAAGGCCGAGAGAAACGGGTCGGACTACAGCAGGAGCCCCAGCAGGGAGATGACCAGGAGCCCCAGCAGGGAGCTAAGCAGGAGCCCGCCCAGAAGGGAGATGAGCAGGAGCCCCAGCAGGGAGATGAGCAGGAGCCCCGCCAGAAGGGAGATGAGCAGGAGCCCTAGCAGGGAGCTAAGCAGGAGCCCACCCAGGAGGGAGATGAGCAGGAGCCCTAGCAGGGAGCTAAGCAGGAGCCCACCCAGGAGGGAGATGAGCAGGAGCCCCCCCAGAAGAGAGATGAGTAGAAGTCCACCCATCAGGGAGCTAAGCAGGAGCCCGCCCAGAAGGGAGGACAGTGGGAGCCCGAGGAAGGAGACCAGCAGGAGCCCGTTGAGCAACGAGGGGGGGGACTCCCCATCCGAGCGCCAACTGGGAAGCCCTCATGCCAACGGCCAGAGCCCGTCCCCCAGCGGCGGCCGCGCCGCCTCTCAGCCCCGTGGCGACGGGGAGGACTCCCCCCGGGACTGAACGGATGATTTTGTGAGACATTTCTCCTGCCACCGTCGTCCCCCCTCCCCCCTCGGGAAACACGGCTTTTGGGACCTGTCGTCTGTCTTTTTTCTATGGCTCAGTGAATGCCAACTCTGCTCTCTCCTCTCATTGTCTAGGACGTGCCCATCGTATCCGACGCTGCTCTCACAAGATTAGATGAAACATCGCATGCCAGGCATCGATCCTCCCACGCTTCCCCCCCGCCAACCTCCGGCGGCGTTCCTGTTTATTGGCGTCTCCTCCCCGGCCATCCGGACGGAGACTGGCGCGGAGAGGGGGTGTCAATCCACCTGTGACGTATAAGATTTTGAGCCATGCTGAATGAATTAATCCACTGGCTATTTTAGACCGTAAATCCTAGCACAAACTCTGGTTAGGGGAGAATTTAGACTCTCATACACCATTAGGAAGTTTCTTTTACTAGAGAAACTGCCATTGATTTATGGAAAGATAGTGAACCAGAAGGAGACCACTATGGGGTATCAAATTGCTGCATATTATTTTCCTTTGGTACTCGCATCATGTCTCATCAATGGATTACAATTTAATGACTCATGAAAATTTCATCCTTTCACCTAGTCGTTTAGGGACATGTTGGCATTCTTTTTGGTGTTTTGTTTTATGATCATCAGCATGTGGTTCATTATCTTCTTTATGCACATCACTTTATCGCTCATAATTTCACAATGAGTTATATCTTTCCTTCCTTTCATCAGAGAGTTAGCTCAGTGACTGTATGCATTTGATATCCTCAAATTCCTTATAGCCCATCATTAATAATTATGAGAAGAAAGATAATGAACCCAGAAGAAAGATATAGCTTTCTTCTGGGTTGAGACGTGAATAGTATGAAAGGCCTGTGCTGTCCAACCTCACTGCTCCAGGAAATTTCCATGCATTTTGCCACAACAAGATCCATGTGGGTACAATTTTGTGATAAATCCCTACATATGGTATCGGGTGATGAACCGTATTTGCAATCTTAATAGGTTATCTAAACGATTGAGAGTTTTCCATTAAGAACTTCAATAAATCCTGATTATTATTTTTTTATCAAATATTTTTTACAATCAAATTTTGTCTTCCTCGTGATGCAGCCTGTTCAAGTGAATCAGATGATGCAGTCTAGTTTCAGCCAATGATGTATGAAGGATACAAGTCGGCTCAAATTCAGCTCAAGATGGCCTAATAAGAGTTTATGACACATCTTAAGTGTGTCTAATTTTTTTTTTTTCTCATTTTTTTTATTTCAAATTTATGTGAAATTCAAATAACTAATTTAAATGTACCCTTGTAGCTGAAGAGGCATTCAATCTATTCTATGAATTTAAGTGAATTCAAGAATCTTTTGTGATCCTATAGACTCATGATCTAATCCCTATGGGCTCAAGAGCCTAAGCCTCTTCAATTTTGTATGAGATATTTCTTATTTTACTTAAATTGATGGAAAATGAAAATAACTGCGCATGCTGTAGTACTTTTAGCCTTTTTGAAGTGTCTAAAAATACTGTCTACTAGATATTGGAGGGCAGAAATCTATCTTTCTTTTGGAGGCTGATTTCTGAAAGAAAAAAGGAATGAATTTTTCTTTGCCATTAACCAAGCACATGAATCTAAACAAAATTGCATGCAAATTTTTATATTGGGATTGGATACATAAACATAGACCTAAAATTTTAATTCATGCTATTTGAATATTTTACTAGATCTTATCCATAACATCTATAATTTAAAATAAGATACTTACTAATGTTGAAGAAACCATGATATGACCAAATAACCATAACAATGAAAACACACCTTGATGATGTGTCAAAGTAGTACATAAATATAGTTGGTATAAAAGGGAGCTGCCCAATAAAATGATTCCTTAGCAAATAAATATTTTGAGATCTATCTAAAGATCTTATGAAGTGGTATAATCAATTTGTTATTGATTTTATAGGTGGGAAAGTCATAGAATAAGATACGTCATATGAGACTATTGAAATGAAACTATTGGGTCCACAACATGGCTTATATGTTCAAAAGATAAGAAAACGAGCCTAGAGCCTACCTCTATTAGGAGACAAATCTACTCCTACATTGGAGGGATAATCCAGGTGCAAGGAAGGGAGAAAAGCATCAATATCTAAGTCATGAGTAAATATTAGGGTTTTTCCCTAAGAGGAGAAGGGGGGAGAGAGAATTTAAAGAGGAGTCTAAGGAGGGTGGGGCCTCTCAAACATCCCCATCTATTCTAGGGTTTTTGTGGAGCCCAATATTTTGTGGTTATCCATTCTATCTTTGTTCATGTTCACATATTTATTCTTGTTTGGTTTACATGAAATAGGGGGGCCCTACTAGAAACTTTAGAAAAGACAAGCATCATATGATCTATCCTTCAGATTTCAAGCTCTTTTCCTTTATATGAATAGATTTTGATGGCCTCCTAATTGAAAAAAATAACACTAATATATAATATTTAATCAACAGTTCAACATAACTCTAAGAGATATGTCAAGTTAACTCATATGTTTCTAAGAGGAACACCAATTGATTCATTATTGAGTTACATCAACAACGTTTTAATGTTTGTTCATTTGCCCAAGTTGATAGTGAGAAAACAAAAATGGGTTTATGAATATGACAATAAAGAAAAAATTGAATAATGAGCAGAAAAACTCTTTAAATGAAAAATACTTGACAACTATTTCATAGTGTAGGATTTGGAATATGAAAAACACATCTCATAAAACCTTCATGTGCAAAAGCAACATTCTTGCACCAACATGGTTTCAATATAAACATCCATTCCTAAATTGACTTAAAAATAAATAGTTTGTGTTGAGAATCACTCTATGTTTTGTGTTGGCCTCATTTGGATGTCAGACCTTATTTGGGCTCACTTGCCTTTTTTGGGTCCATTATACTTGTAAGGTTGTGTCCATGCACAAGACATTATTACTCTTAGAACGAAGAAGCAAGCAAGATAAAAAAGGAAATGGATTCTCTCCATAGATTGACCCAAGGTGTTAGTGCCTCCATCCCTTCTCCACACCTCTCTACCTCAATACTGAAGGATCTCTTGGTCTTCCACCCTTCTCACCTTGGACTGAACATGCTTCGGTGACTAACATAATCTTAGCCAATTGAGAGATTGAAGAACAAGCTAAGCTTGTTTTATTATCTCTTTGAATAAGAGCCAAGCTTGTTCCTAGCAGTAGAATGACTAATACCAATTGAGTAAGTGATATTCATTATTCAAGGTATGCCCATAAAAATAGGAAGAAGCCTAGCCATAAGAAAAATTATGTTAGTTGTCATAGTAGTGGGCATGTATAAGAGCCAGAATGGGAGTAGCTCACTCTGTGGTATTGAGTGACCATACATGAACATGGAATTGGGTAGATTTAGCGATTGTACCATGAATAATAGAAAGGCACACGGAGTAGGAAATAAAGATTTGCCCTCATTATTCGACTTATTCAATGTTTTTTTACTAAAGCCCAAAGCTTCATATTATCCAATAAATAGTTATCTGTCCTAAGGTTTTCCTAATGTTCTATAAACTTAGCCCTTTGTAAACTTTCCCAAAGGACCCTTCCCCGACCAACCTAATTACGTGATAATCTTCAAGACCCATCCCCTCTATTTACTGCCACCAGTTCAGGGGACGAGCTCTGAAGGATGTTGTAATCAATCCATTGTCACTTCTGGCTGGATCATCTAGTATGAAGTAATACATCAAATATGATAATTTTCATTATTTATTGTATAAAAATGACGTGTTATCAATGAACTACTTGAGAAGAACTTTCATGTGACTAGTACTTAGAAAACAAAATATTGATTTTTTCACAAAAAGATGCCAGAAAGAGAGAGAGAGAGAGAGAGAGAGAGAGAGAGAGAGAGAGAGAGAGAGAGAGATGTATAAATAGTATGCAAACAGGGAACTTTAGAGATTGTGTATAAAGTTTTCATTCATCTTTCAGAAAGGCGGGGAATCCATAAATGGTAAACCCCCATCCTCATGGAAGAACAGGCAACCTTCCGCCAGGTAGAACAAGGAGAGAATACAGCCATGGAAGAAGCAGGAACGCAGTGATCAGACATGGGAAGCGACAGGTAGAGTAGAGTCTGGTTAAGAGCCCTGATAAGTAATACCGAAGTGGCACGAAGGAGGCATTTCCACAAAGAAGATATGGGCGCGCCAGCCGACTTCTGAACCATCATCAGTCGTCGGGGAAGCGGCTCTGTTTACATACCAAAACGGGGAGGAAAGGAGGGGAGGGGAGGGGAGGATGAGATTCTCATCCGTGTGGATTTGCAGAAGCTATACCTTGCGTGGAAATCGATCAGGAGCTCTGAGAAACCTTAATGCGAAGATCTGCCTGATTCTCACTGAGGATTGTATTCCGAGTCGAGCAGAAGAAACCAGCAGCAGCACCTGAGTTTGCTGGTGAGATGATTCTCCGTTGAAATTGCCTCCTTGAAGGGAGGAAGGATCGCGAGACGTCTGAGCGCAAAAGAAACTGCAAGTACCCATGGTTGGTCCTCCGCGATGGATCAAATCCACCAACAGGATGAACTCAGTAGTTCCAGGAGCTCGGGCTCATGTTCCCTGACCACCTGCCACATTAAAGTTTCCTTTTCTGAGAAGAGTCACCAAACAGATAGGGAGGCCATCAAAGGCCACGAGATGAAATAGATTCAGATGAAGAACAGAGAGAGAGAGAGAGAGAGAGAGAGAGGGAGGGAGAGGAGATGATCATTCCTAACAATATGGGGACATGATTGACAACCAGGGGCGTTAATTCCCCTTGATATATCTTACAACCCACATGCTCATGGGATAATAATACGAGGAGACCCCATTACTATGGAGTTAAAAGCTTCAGAAAGAACATCCGGTTCAGATATAATCGCTTTACTCTGACTCTCGTCAAAGAGAAATCCAACATGACAGCCAAGGATCTTGGGCTGGATGAGCCCTTCAACATAAAAGTTCTTAAAATAATTATGTCTTAAAATGCATATAATCAACAGGTTATCGACTTCAAAATAGATTTAAAAAGGTTAGAAATCTGATAAGAACTCTTTCCTTTGGAAGTTCTCACATGTTGGAACTCTGCAGATGGCTGCTTTTTAATGTAGGATATGATCCCAAAGATCTTACCCTGATATATATACCTTGGTGTAATCTAGGACATTTAAATAAAAATTAAATATTCTTCACGAGTAACATGTGTCATTATCAACAGAAGCAAAAAAGAAAAATTGTTGAAGGCGGATGCCAAAACCAAAAGAAAGAAAAATATTCACTACGATATTAGTAAGTTGTAGATTTCTAGCTAGAACTGGGTGACTGACTATATCTCAACTATTTTCCAGAAGGAAACTTGATAGACACTCGACTGGATAAAACTTTCTTCTCCAACTGTAATCGGCCTGAAATTATCCCGATTACAATGATCAAAGGCTGGGCTGCGACTAAGCTGAAACTCTCTAAAGTTGGCGCTGCAGAGGTAAGAGATGGAGCTACCATCTCTGGCCTCTAAGGGACAAGATCCAATATTTATATGGAATTTGCAGGCAGGCCCAACATGGTTTCACGAGGCAAAATGCCTGCAAGATAATCCGCAAATAATGCTTTGCAGATGGTGTGATTAATCAAGAAAGGATTCAGCATCTTATCCATTCATAATCATTCAGACAGAAACATCGGCGCAGCAAACAGGGTAAGTGATACTGTCGATGGATTAAGTGAACATTATGATAGATATAAATAGTAACTAGTAGTTTTTAGTAGCAAACAGGAATATGACAACTGTCGATGGATGAACATGAGAACTGATCAATCGATTAGTAGGAATATTATGATAGATATAAATAGTAATTAGTACCTTGGTGGGAGTGTGCAGTGGCAGACCCATAGAAAGAAGAAACTCAGCAGCCACCGAGTTCCACTCGATGTCTTCTGCTTCATCTACCTTCTTGGTGATGTCTACACGAGCGCTCCCATTGTCATGTTCAGAACGGCTCCCGACCCACAAATATAGAGCCCGGCCACTTGGCGCGTCTGAATCTCTATCTGGAGCCAAGAACAGAAAAGTTGACTTTGAATCAAGGTCGCTGCGGCTAAATCTCGGAATCTCTGCGAATCCAGGCCAGCTGTACACTGAAAATCGCAGAGTTGAATCATCCGCTGCCGACCCAGCTGAGGAAAGTGAAGGACGATCTTGATCTTCCACAGACTCGGAGGTATATTTCCCTTCTGAAGCTTTTCTCTTGCTGTCTGAGATGGAGGAGGAGGTCCCACTGATAGAGCTACAGCCGTCATCATCCTCTGGTGGGCACTGTGGACTCTGCGCAGTTCTTGCTGACGGAGACGGCTCCTCGCTGAGCGTCGGCAGGCAAAGAAGTGGGGAGAACCTCCCCCTCCGCTCAGCGAGGGAGGAATCAAAAGCCTTGGAGACCAAGTGGACGTCTCTGGTACACCTGCCGACCGGCTCTGGATCACGAGAAGGCTTAGACGGTGCAGGTGAGGGAGTGCAAGGGGAGAGGGAAGGGGACTCTGAGCTGCACTTCGAGCTGCTGCTGCTGCTGCTGCTCGTCTCAGAGGACATGGAGCTCGGGGAGAGGTAGGGAGGGGAGCTCGAAGAATCGCCGCTCAAATGCTGAACCTTGTTCCCCTGTGCGTCCGTCTCCCTCGTCAAGAACGAATCAGAGTAGACCCTGCACATGGCTGACCTCGAAGCGGAGGCCCACTCCTTCACCGCTCCGGAGATGAACTTCCGCCGCAGAATGCTCCAGTTGCTCTCTCTGGCCGGAACCTGCGTCTCATGGCCGCCGCCGGGGGACGAGAACGGTGGCACAACGCCTCCTCTGACCGCCCCTGAGAACAGATCGTAGTCAGCGTCGTACGCCTTCACCCTTCTCTCCCCGGCCGTCACCGCCGGCAGCGCAGCCGTGGACTCGCCGGCGTCTGCGTCGGTCTCCGAGTCAGCCGGCGCCTTGGAGGAGGAGAAGGCTTCCCAGAACTCCGCCGGTTCCTCCCCCTCCTGGACAGTGACGATCGGCCCGTGAACGTTCTCATAGCGGACGACCTGGCAAGCCGCCGCCTTGGCGTCCTTCTCCATGACGGGCTCGCAGTTCTTGCCGATCCAGACGAAGATGGAGGAAGGGACGTGAACCAGGAAAGCTCCCCGGGAGTCCAGCGCCAGAGGGGAAGGCTCTCTCACCGCCTTGGGCACCAGATGCAGCGGATCGTATGCTGAGTGTGGCCTCATCCTGTACATCCTCACCACAGAGTTGGGGCTAAGGGGGATCTCGTTGACCCTCTTCTGGCACTCCAGGAGCTGGCAGGCGAAGCCGACGTTAGGGTTCGCAATCCCTCTCGCCGCCTTCACCAGCCTGAAAGCGTCGTCGAAGCTCTGCCCTTTCCTCCACATGACGTACGCGATGACCAGGGAGATGGAGCGGGAGACCCCCTGGAAGCAGTGGACGAAGACCCTCCCCCCCTGCTCCCGCACCTCCTCGAAGTAGTCGAAGACGTCGTAGAGGATGCTGGTGATGTCCTCCGAGGGGCTGTCCGTCAACCAGAGGGTTTTGTACACGAGATCGGGCTTGAAGTATTCGGAGCAGGAGCTGCCCACGCAGTTGAGGATGTGGGTGATGCCGTTCTGCCGGAGGATCTCCCGGTCGCGGGCGACGGCGTCGCCGCCGACGTAGATGTGGTCGGCTACCTTGGAGCACTCCTTGTCGAAGCGGGCGATGCGGTGGCGGCCGCCATGGGAGGGGAGGGAAGGGAGGTCAACTTTCAGATCGCCGGCGAGCTTGGTCGCCGCCGCCGTCGGCCTCCCGCCGGGAGTGGAGGGGTGGAGCCACTCTCCGAGGTCGTCGGAGCCGGGCTTGGGCCACTGGTCGAAGCTCGGGCGGCTGACTTGCAGAGGAGGGAGGGAGGGGGAGGACCTCGCCTTGGAGGAGCTATGGTGGGATCTCGGGGTGAGCGGCGCCGGGAACCGCTGGAAGCGGCCATTAGCGGCGGCGCTACCTTCGCCGGCGTCGCCGCCGCCGCCGCTCCGCGCAGGGGACCAGGAGACGGACCTGCAGAAGGTCTTGTGCGGTCCAGAGACGGCGTTACGGGCCTTGGTGTCGACGGCGGCGGCATCCTGATTGCCCCCCATACTCGGAATTCCCCCCGGTCAGAAGCCCGGACGTTCGCCCTCCCCCCGCATGAATCGACAGGAAACTCGGCCCTGGTTCAGAAGATCTCCGAAGCTCCGCTCTGTTCGAACAGCATCAGTAGCAGCACAAGAAGAAGCAGAAGAAGGGAGAAGAAAAAAAGTCAGAAATGGCAGACCGGGAAGTGGAGACAGCGAACGCAAGAATTGATCCCGATTCAAAGGCGGAGGATCTTCAGCCTCCTCTCCGACGACCTAGCAGTGGGTAAAAGAGGAAACGGAATGCCCAGGAAGCGGAGCAGACTCACGGAACTGATACAGCGCAGCGCGGCGGGTTCCCGTCCAGAATCTACAAAGAGGGCGGAGGAGAGAACCGAGAAGGGGCAGAGGAAGCTGCACAAGTAAACCCTAGAAGATGGCAAACACCGGATGCGAGGTGGAACAGGAACGGAGGAAGAGAGGAAGGAGGAGAGAAGAAGACCAGAGGGAGAGAGAAAGAGAGAGTAAAGAGGACAGACGAGGGATATGAGGCCCATCCATCGGCCTGGTCCTGCAACCCTCTCTTCCTGATGCTGGGGGGAGGAGGCATCCGGCCGTGCGTGGTCCTCGTGAAGAGCTCGAGGTGCCGATCAGACGGCGGCGACTGGTCCGACCAGCCAAGTTGGAAGATTTCCGAGATGGATGACTCTTGGCCGATCAGACTAGCGCCCCACACCCCCCAACCCCCCCCCCCCCGGCGAACGGATCCGTCAGAGATCACGTCCCAACGACGACGACGGCCACCCACCCGCTAGTCAAACTATCTCTCCCTCTCCCTCTTCTTTCTCTCTCTAGGTTCACTTCAGTGAGAACGCCGTCCGTTTTATCGTTATCCGGGGGGGAGCCCGTTAACATTAACCATGCATCTAGTGGCACGTACCCCAAGATACGTGTTACCTATTGCCCGTCCGGGCCCACCAGACAATAATTTGGAAGATACGGACAAACGGGACGGAGATTGAGGCAGTGACGTCAGCCCTTGACTGTAGAATGGCCGCCTCATTAACGGTCCGGTCAATCCCCGACTGCATCTCATCGGCGTGGGAGGACAGTTCAACCGAGGGAAACGTGGAGAGAGAAAACGGTGGGGGCATTAATTATTCCCGAGAATTACGGGTTTGCCATTCTAGGTGCTGATCAGCTTAAAAGAGGGAAGGGCGGACGTGGCTAGGACAACGATAGCATCCGTTGGATCCATTCGTCGTGGTTTATTGAATAAATAATGGAGGGCAAGGGGGGGGGGGGTGTTAATTAAGACCGAAGAGATCTCACCACATTTTTCTCCCTTTAATTGGTGTAACTCGTGCGTAGCCTTCAAGTAGGCGTCCCTGATATTATAACTGTCGCTCTTGATCGCGACCATAATTTATTGATTTATAACATAATATATTCAAATTATTATTATTATTATTATACCAAATAGTGCCACGTATATGCATATTGGGGGGGTTTAAAACCCAATATAAGAAATTTGTGAATTTTTTTGGTGATTTTCAGGTCAATTATTGTGCATAAGTAACACGTGTGCCAATAATGATTGGAAATTTCCAGAATATTATCATTGGTATTACATGTATTTCGATGCTCCTCTTATTCTAGATAATTTTCAACCCACTTTTTATCAGTGCTTAATTCTTCTTATGAATTTTATGTATGGTGCATATTTTTGAAAGGTGAAATGAAATGTTTTATTGAACAAAGTTATGGACGTTTACGTGGCTAAACATCTAATTCTTACTCACAAACAGCTCATGGTGTGGTGATTGGAAAGTTTCAAAAGTATTTTTTATTGATAAGAATTTACTTGTGCTAATATTAGTCAAATAATCCTGTTTTTTTTAGTTGTGAGTGTATTACAACATTTAATCATGATTTCAAGTCTAGCATGTTCTTGATCATGAGATAATTTGCACTTTCAAATAATCCATAAGCTACTTGATGGAATATATTAAGAAATAATTAGGAAGAAATGTTGGTACATTTAACCACTTTTAATCATTTTCTAATTTATTTATTTTTAAAGTTAGTTCTATTAGATACTTTTCTCTAAACATGCCAACCTTATAAATTTTTTGAATGTGAAAGAATTTATTTTAACATTTTAATACGAAATTATAAAAGTTGTGAATATCAACATAATTTAGTACTGTGCCTTCACTTTGAGTACTCTCAGGGGCAAGCTATGTGAAACACTTGCAGAGGTACTTTTGATATTATTATTATTATTATTATTATTCAGCCACATTGTACTTTTGTTGAATATCAATATTCATATATAATGTAAAAATATAAGAATGATAAGATATAATTTTGGATTAAAATATCAATTAGAGGAATCGAAGAACAGTGAATAATTTTCGTACAAGAAATAATCCAAGTACATTAGTTGATTGGAGGTCCCAATATCTAGACACTATAATTGGGAAGAGTTATTGCTGGTACTCAAAGGCTACGATGGCTTGTTACGACCCCCTTATATATGAATCTTGATACTTGTTTTGATTTTTCTCAAATCTATCATCAAGAGATAAATGATTAAACCCTATTTAAGAGATAAAATTTCCTATTGAAATATTAACCAAAAGACCCTTTTAGCTATTCAAGCTTTTAGCATGACGAATGACACTTTTACCACTAAAATCTACATGTTGAATGAAATAAGCATTCTATCATTCTTAGCGTTAGTGATATGATATCTATTCATTGTTAAAAAGAGGCAAGGATTTACTTTTCATGAGTGTAAGAAAAGTGAGCCAAAACAATCAAGTTAATTGATTTCTTTTCTTGTCAACTGATGGAAGAACTGACAAGAAAAGAAAGGGCTTTAAAACTTCAAGCTTGATGTGAAATGATTGGATTGGAATAATGATAATATTTGAGATATTATGGTAGAAAGAACTAGACTACATAATAAAAATATTTCTATAACAAAGAAATATTTTGTATTATAGAATCTTGATCATCATATATGATTATTTTGTACACAGATGGAGGCTCTATAACATAGATCAATCTCCAATACTTATGTACACAGTTTAATCCATTAAAGAAAGATGTGAATAATGAACAAAGTATATAAAATGTCATTTAGAGTTATTTTTTCATTTTTGTATGTTCTTTGTTGGTATTTGTATGAATGTTGGCCAATCCAAAATAAAATAAAATTTTAATTGAAGGTCGATTAGTAACGCTTTTCTAGGGAATGATTTGTCGATTTAGGTAGATTTCGAGTTTTTTTGTTGCACCCAGATTTATACTGGGGATGAAGGATTTGGACGATTTTCTCTATCCAAATCAAATTGGCTTTTTTTTTTTTTTAATCCATTTGGTTTGTGGATAGAAAGGTGAGATACATTTCTGCACTCACCAAAGGGAATGATTTATCGGTACTGCACCTAAAGAGGATTTCCCCGGTTCATTTATAGGTGCTACTATAAGCCCCTAAATTCAGTATCATGCATCATAATGTAACATAACTTATGTGCATGATGAATGAAAATTTTCACTACGACAGTTCATATTTCAGGGTTTCAAGACCCAATTTGGGAAATCTGTGAGAATCAAAATGGTTTAAACTCTAGCCTATAGATAGAAAAATCCTCGCACATGAATCACTCATGGACCAGTAGTCAAGCATTGACTGATCATTATTGGAGATAAATTGCTAGTATGATCAGTAGACTATGCACTGACAGTAGTAAGTGCCAGGAGTTGAGCAGTGACAGATCATTATTGGCTATAGATATCCAGTACTAATAGTAGAATAAAGTGAGATGCCCCTTACAACCCTAAATGCACGAGCAGTAGTATGTGCATGGGGAGAAAGAAATCGGGAGACTTACTACTGCGCGTAGCATGATCCAGGGCCGTATGGAGGCCTGCGGGCGTAGAAGTTGGTCACCGGAGCAGCCGCCACCCCCCGCCGGTTGAGCAGGCACCTGAAGTACTCCAGCCTGGGCAGCGCGGTGGAGTTCGGATCTTCGCCGGAGGTAGTCTCCCTTGGGCTCCACAAGCGCTCTGGATCGAAGGCTCTCAGTAAATAAATTACATCATAATTTTAAAGCATCATTCAGCGAGTGATATCTTCGTCTACTACAAAACTGTGCAATGATTGAAGTGAGAGATATTTTCAGAGTCAAATCCAGCAGCAATGGATGGTAATTATCGCAGGGGAAGAGGATGGGTGACCCGAGAGAATGAGTGTAGGACGGCGGCCAGAGGAGGGAGACGACGATCATCTCTTTGAGGGTTCTCCTTCAACCAAACCCTAAAAATGGCAACTGCAGGGTTCAAGATCGTAAGGGGGTTCCGGAGAATTTTAAGAAGGAAAACCGTAAGAATCGGCTGAAGAACGCGAGCAGAAGGAGAGAGAATGATTCCATCTAATGTTTGACCCATCGGGTATAGAAAGCCTCAGTCTTTTAGTCCTCTCCCGACTGTTGTGGATGGTGGATACTGGTTCAGCATGGAGAGTAGAGTCATAGACTATACTCTCCGGATATCCATGGAGAATCAATGAAGAACACTAGGGGAAACGGGGAGAATTCATGACATTAACCCATCTTCCGAATAAATGTATGGGAAAATAGTAAGTTGACTACAGAAGGGCTATGGAGAAGTGTACCCAAAGCGGAATTCTCAGTCAGAGTAGTCACTATGTTCTGGGCAAAATAGCCCGTGAGAAGTTGAAAATAAGAGAAACAAATCCAATTCGCCACATCATCTACAGAGAGGATAAAATCGACGGAATGGGTCATTAATGCAGATATGGGAAAAATCCAGCAGATCAATGAAGGTATTGTATTTTTTTTTTTTAGTTGTATTCTCTGGGCATCTTCAGCCTGTGGCCTGTGGCCTAGGCTTGCATTCCTGGTGACATATCCATGTATATCTCTTAAAAGAAAGATAAAAAAAATTGACGATGAGATATTGAAGGTAATGAGATATCGTAGCCATCATTTACCTGCAGCAGCTGCAGCTCGAGGCCATATTGTTTGCTGGATGTCTGATGTATCAGCTGTCTCGCCCCACATGCAAACTTCTCCGCCAATTACAAGTTTCTGTTGGGAAGCGTCATCTATTCCCTCCAGTGGCTCGCTCCTGTAGAGATCCTCCCAAGGCACGTCCAGATGATCAAGATACCACTCACCTTGGTTGCTCATGATGCATCTCAGGCCTTTTGCGACGACTTTGGGGCAAACTCCAGGACCCCACCTGAAGAATGGAAAGAAAATAAGAGAGACCAATCCACTCCCTACGTGGTTGCAGTGTAGAAGTCAAAGGACAGCATGCAGGCCATAGAGAGAGGACTTCTTGATGAGAGAGGAAGAGGTGGTTTGGATTGTAATTTTGTGGATGTTAGACGAAGCCACAACCATCTAGCCCTAAACATGAGTTGGTCTTAAACGGTGAACTAGATATCCATGATGGATGGGATATTTTGGCCTAAACATTTGGGAAAATCAAGCAAGCCCTGTGGATAAGTTGTTTAGATAGCAGGTTTCTGAAAAGAACAACATGGAAAACAAATTTAAAATGACTGAAATCAAGAAATATGCTGGAATACCAGAAAAATGCCACCCTTTTCTTGAGTGCCCTAATCAAAAAAGTTGACACAAAAGGGATTTACACCCTGTACACCTCATGGTTTCAGAATCGTAATATCCTCCATCACTAAAATCAAATTAAATCTCAGTGCCAATAATCTTTGTCTAACGTGAATAAGTAACTAACCAATTGTGCACGACCGTCTGAGGATGAAGCTTGGCAGCGAATGTATTGAAGGTCTCCTCCCTGTGAAATTTAGGAAACAAAATGTTGCAGTATTGCAATTATTGCACCCTACTGACTATTACGCATGCGAGCAACAATAAGGTGAGTACCAGTTAACAGGAGTACGATTCTGCGCAGCCGCAATCTCCTGAGCTCTCAATACAAAATACTGATACGCATCCTTAGTAGTCATGTTGCGCTGTTCAAGCCTGTGTAGGAAAATACTTAGATCACAAGAAAACTATGGGTAACAGACAATTTAAACTCAAAAACCTGCAGGAACAAGACAAATAGAGCACCTGAAATTTCGTAAACATGAAAAACACCGGTCACAATCCAACAAAAAAGGGGCTTGTTCGATGGCCACGGTTGACAGTGAAAATACTGGTCCAACGTGTTAAAAACTCCAGACGTGGACCATAATCACGCTAATGACCTAAAATAATCGCCATGTTTGAGAGTAAGGCATAACTCACACCCGGTTGTGACAGCATCTATCAGGACGTCGCATTCAGATGGAGATCGCACATCTCAATTTCGGGCATGTACACCATGTGGACACAGAAATGGCCACGAAACTCAGAAAGGACATAAAAAATTCCACAGTAACATACTAGTATGAGCAGACATCAGCAAAGGTCTTCAATAAAAATATTTCGGATACCCTTGCTATCTATTTCTCAGAAATCAGTTGCAGACAAGCAACTTGGTGGGCCATTCTGCTCGGTTGTCTCCAAAGCTTGTCTAACGGGTAGGAATTGAAGAAAATCAGGATAAAACAAAACATTTCCATGTATTTTTCTCAAGATCATTAAGTGATGGGGCATCTCTCACATGAGCTGGTCCAAACTTTGCATATGGTCAGGATTAGCCAGGCCAGATCTGATCCAAGCCATATGAAATCATCTCTGACCAGACATATCGGGACAGCCAGACCAGACTGGACCTTCAAGGAATCAGAAATGGCTTGGATCACTGATTCCAAGGTTGATCCAGGTGTAGTTAAGCCGATGCCAGAACCTAGGCCACGCTAGAAAAAGGAGTGCCAGGCCCAGTTAGGATCAATCCAATAAAACCTGATCCTCCCTTGAAATTCAAAAAATAAATAAAACAATTAAGAATTGAATAGGATGATTTTGGACTAGTCAGGGCAAAAGGAAGAGTCAGCTGACAATGGAAAAAGCATAGGAAGCACATGACAGGATTGCTCCAATTTTTTTTCTAATGTTATCTTTCGACATTAGATTGGCCTTCTGCACAGGTGGTTGTAACTCAATTCCTTCATCTTTGGTACCATGTCAGATTATTCTTCTTTTCAATATTAATTACATTTTATCACTCAAAACATGATGATAACGACAATTTATAATCAAAACTTTCATGCTATTTTGTTGCTTCTTCGGAAATTAAATATTTATTATTGAAAGGCATATTTGGATCTTCTTAGTCCAAATATAGAATTAAAGTCATAAGAAATACGAAATTGTCAAACTCTTGGACAATTAAGACTCCCCTTAGGCTTAATGTGCACTACACCTTTATTGCTAATGCTCTTTTGACATGGCCTACTTTAGAACATGCCATTGCTTGTAGCCAAGTATATCCTTCATTATGGCCCATTTTATGGCATGGCCAACTGTATATCACACAGCTACTCACTTAGATATTACATATGTTATGCGCACTATCAATCAAGTTTTCATTATTCTAATTTCTGTTCATTAGAGCACATATTTTCTTCAAAGGCATACTACCATATGAAGGTCTATTATTTTCTTACACTGCCAGCATAGAGCTCTGAGTTTATGATAATGTCGATTTGACCAGTAATCCCATAGATTGAAAGTTTACCAAGAGATTTTACGTTTTTCAAGATCTTTTATTTCAGAGAAAAAAAGAAATAATTTATTTTAGTTAGATCAACCATTGAAGCTGAATATCAAGATAAAAGTAATATCACAACAATGGTTGTTTGACTATGCTGGGAACTTACTAATCTAGGTGTTCATGGGGCTTGCTAACCTAGGTATTCATATCTCTACACCTGTTCTTATACATCAAAGATGTTAATATGGATCGGCACTTTACAAGACATCATCTCCAATGCAACACTCATGTCATTACCTTTTGTCTCTTTTATTTTGCAGTTGATTAATTTCTTAACCAAATCTCGTATTATTGCATATATCATCACTTTTGACATGGCAAATTCTTAATGCTCTTCACAGAATTCATAAGCTTGAGAGAGGGGTATGAGAATATCATAATTTGCCTTTCTTGTAAGGGTGATATGGTTTTTTTATATTTCTTCCTTTCAAGGAACCCTACAAGGTTTTACCTTTTATAAACAACAGGTATGTGTTTTGGGCATGCGTCATCGTTCTCCTTCTCCCTTACTTTGTATCTACTAAGTTTTGTCCTTGAATCTTACACGTTCATGAGAAAACCTTGAACTTTCCTGATATGAAAACAATGGGCACTCGCAACTCGAAACAGAGCGACCCTTGATTGAAGCCCACCATATGACCAAATAAAAACGCAGCAAACAATGAAGGCTGGCCTGTCTGATCAGTTTATCGCGACTTTCTTGCAAACAAGTGTACTCTATCAGAAATTGAATTACTTCAATGCAGTGTCTAATTAGAATCCAGAAAATTACTATACGTAGATTTCAAAGAAATCATTTTTTTCGTCAATAGCATCTCAAGGTCAATCGATTAACTCATGTTAAGTTTACAATATCAGTGGTAATTCAGTGTTGATTCAAGCCACAAAGGATAAAAAGGCTAACAGTCTTATGAAAATCATATGACAATGAAAATCAGTAACATACCATTGTTTCACATGTGGTGTTGAATTCCAACAATCTGCAAACCATTGAACAATCAATTACTTCCTCTGGTTTATCAGAAAGTAAGCATCAAGGAAATTAAAAATATTTCCTCCAAATGTTCCTTATCGAACTAAAACCGAAATAGCCCCTCTCTATTCAATTTTCTAATCATATTATGAGCTGCTTAATGAACAAAGCTGATAAGAGAGACATAAGCCAAAAAGACAATACCCACGAATGAACTCTGTTGCATTATTTACATTATGCATCCAAAGGTATAATTGATGCTGGGTGATAAGAAGTGTGATACTACATTTTCAATCACAGGAGATATCAATAGCAACCATGCACCCAAGTGAAGATTTGACTGACTATTCCCTTGACAATGATGATAAAGAGAGGAACAACAACTCTTGAAGTTCAGAACACTTAGTTCAACAGGGTAGTACAAATTTTGATTTCCCTTCTTTTGTATTTAAAAACTTTACATTTATGTATGAGAAGGATGCTTCTGGTTTCTGGAGTTCAGTAAGCCATGTGGAATAAGTGCATAACACTCTTTAATGGGAACTTTTGTTGTTCAGGGGTGGGATGACCAAGGGTTTCCAGAAAGGAATCGCAAACATTAAGCAGAAATAGGAAGATAAGCTCAAGTACCTGAGATATTAACTGCACCGTTTAGTTAAATCATTTCTATGTTTCTGATAAAATATATGCTAATGCAGTAATGAAAGCTCTTCTCTTTGCAATTTGCACCGTTTTTTCCACGAGGCAGGTGAGGGTGTCATGGTTCAGGACATTGGCAACAAAGGATGTAGGGGAACCTAGAAATTCTTGTGCTGATGGAGAAAGAAGTGGTAACCAGAGAACAAAACCTCCCCGGTCTAAGGTCACAATGAACTTTCCCGAACCATTTCTTAAAATCATTCCACCTCCAAATAATACAGTATTAATATACCACGGTAACTTCTTGCATACCCAACATACAAGCATTGAGAACATCAAGTTCGGGCAGCTGAAACTGTCAGCTTTACTCGATCCTTAATTCCAAGAGATAGTATACGATTCAAATGACCGATCAAAACTAAAAAGACCTATTTATATTGATAAATTATAGAATTGTACGTGTATCTATGTAAGTGGGCGAGTGTCCATTGTGAAATTGACATGTAAGAGTAAAATGCTAACCACTCGTTCGTTTGTATAATAAAACGTAAATTATTTTCGTTAAAATTTCAGAAAACTAAGGAAAACATATTTTCTTCAAAATTAGTTGACTGTCATCATAATGAAAATGTTTATTAAACTAACCTGCATTGACTTCGTCCCCTCCCAAGTGAAAGAGCTCGAAAGGAAAAATTTTGTGCATATCTGTAAAAGGAAACACAAACTAGAATTTAATAAAATCCTTCCCCATTTGACAAAGAACAATAATTGCATCAACTAGTTATGACATTCACCAGAATGTCAACATAACAGAGTGATTTCGCCTGAAAAAGAAAAATATCTCAAATTTCTTCTGTGAGGATCGCACTTCACCAGACAGAAACCGAAAAGTTTGTCTTTAGTAATGGTTAAAATCCATTTATTTTCACTCCCAGATTGCAAATCCGTTCATTAATTTACGCAAGGAAATGAGAAAGTCTTAAACTATATCATCTTTCTAGCAATCTCGATGCATATTAATTTTATCATGCCACCTATCGATTAATTCAAATATTTTGCAAAATCATCAAAGACCAAAAACAGGATCATTGAACTTGACAGCGTGAAGTCTCCAACCAAACCATAGTTTCGGCATGAAATTTTGAAGCAGGTCGTGCTCTGGAATGAAAACCGAAAACAAACAGCTATAATAAAGCAGATGAAAGTTACTGAAAACTTCCTGACTGAACAGTCATTTGATACAAAAAAAATTAATAAAGCTTGAGTTGAATGAATAAGCTTCCACCCTGATTTTGACAGTAAAAATCTAAGCAACCCAAATCTCCAAGGACCTATCGAGCCAAAATGAACAAAGAACTGGAAGGCAGAAGAAGTGAATTCCCTCTGATTTTCAACTGCACAGTTGGATGCAGATGATCATTTAGCAAAAGTAAGTTGATTGGTCAATTATAGTTGTCAAACATTCCCAAACAACTTCCACTGTACAAATGGGAGGATACAAAAACATCGGGAAAAAGTCTCACAAGAGGCAAAAAAAAATTTCTAATAGTGTGCAAGTGGAAACACAAATGAGAATGCAGAAATATATTGGACAATAAACCAAATCCATAAAAAATATTTTTTATGGTCAATATCCATAGAAAGAAATATGATTAACCAAATCTACCCTAATTTAAGTAATATTCTTTTCAGCAAAAGTAAAACAAAAAGGGAAACGAAAAATTGGATGATGAAACCTCAATATTAATATAACATATCGCACTGGTGTAATGCATACTGGAAAACCAAATCAAATAATATCAGTCTAGCACAGGAAGCATAGCAGATACATTGATCTAAGAGATAAAAGATCGTTTCTCAGAGATCTTAAGAATGTTAGCCAAAAGGAGAAGGAAAACAAGATGTCAGGCAAAAAAGAAGAAACTTCAGCTCAATAAAAAATAACATCCAAAGGAAAGGAAATGAGACAGTTCTAATCCGCCCCGAAGACATGGTTTTTTCCTGCAAAAATAAATAGCAGACAAAATTGAAGCGTGGAGGTCAACCACATAACGCTCACTATCCTCATGTTAAACCTCCAAACATGGGGGAAACATGTAGAACGTTTGCAATACATAGTGGAAACATAATACAGATTAAAAACCTCCGTCCTATCAATGAAGAATGGACGAATCTACCTCTGCATGAGGTAAGCACTAAAGCGAGGCCTATTTTCACACACTAACTAAGCATTTTCACAGGAAGATCACCAATTTCATTTGTGGCAATGAAGAGATCCTGAACCACTATAGTACAGCCAAGATGAAAGAAAAATAGGTCTGTTTGATAAAAATCATGGATGACTCATAAGTATATATCTTACGGGATAAGGAAAAAAAACTCGAATAAGTGCTAAACAGGAATGATAGTAACTTGCAAAAATGAAGTTTTACCTTTCAAAATTCCGGAAAGCACTGAAAAGGTGAAATCTTTGCTTACATCAAGGGGCTCTCTACAGGTGGGGGAGGGCCATAGATCAGGATAGGCGACACCCCTACACAGCAGATCAGATATCGTCATGCATTCTCCCTTATGATGTACTCGAGTAAAATACAAAGGTATAAATGCATTTCCTCATAAGAGAAAGAGTATTTGCGTTTTCCAAAATCTCAGAAAAGTTCACATACGATGAATTAAAAATATTCTGGAACATAGAAATCAACGTTTCATAAATCAACACGTCAAAGCATACGGATTATGCACTGCATATTATTAAACAGAAAATGTAATAGTCGCGAAGCATACATCCCAAGCATATAAGTAACTATCTAGTCACATAAATGCAACTCAATTGCCACTCAACAAGAAGCACTTACTAATTAACTAAAAGAAACCTTCTGTAAGTGCCCACTAGAAACCAATGACTAAAAAATGCACTTTGTCAGAGTGGAAAAATAAAAATCAGATGTGTTTATCTTGGCCTGATATTTAAACTATATTTTTTTTTCAAAATATCATGTCTTTAGACTTAAGAATTCTCTCGTATTTACTTGGTAATCATATTCACATGAACTAGGTTCACATCACCATTTGTTTCTACTGAGTTGAATCTACTTCGGATGTCATGACTAACGGATAACCATATCTTATTCCAGATGTATTGCAAGAGGACATGATCCAGTTAGAACCCGTTTTGAGATCCCTACTTCAGTCATGAAACAAACGATCTCAATTTTCCAAGGAAAACATTATGGCCAGTTGAGACATGGCATGTAAGTTATTCTGACTACTTATATTATGATAAAAACGGAAGGATGAATATCATTGCCTAGATAATTTTTTCGGAAGACATTGATATGAAAGAGCTGGATGAAAAGTAATATTATTGTTGGCCTCAGGCGTTCTACAAGATCAACGAAGACGGGGTGGATTAGCTTATTTTCGCATGAGTTACACGAGTTTGGTTTAATACTAGATAAACATAGTAAATTAATTCTTTCCAAGGAAAGTACACCAAATTTGTTAGTGGTTCAAAATATTTACCAGCTCCACCCACTCTTCTTTAGGTACTACCAATTTCTATGGTAAACAAATTATCAGCTCACCTATTTACTAAATTCATAACTGCAGAAAGTGAACTTCTAGAAATTTAATACCAATCCTTCATTTTTTAAGTTCATATCTCTAGAAAAAGCTCGTGTGCCTGACACTCGGTTCTATAGTACTCATTTACCACTATGAACCTTCACAAAAAATATCTTATAATTAGAAGATCAAAGTTTTCAGGGTGTAACATCAATGATTGAAAGAGTATGGTGTAACATCATTTTGTTTCACGAATCTTCTTAAAAGTCATGGTATCTAAGTGGGCTATGGAATAGATATTCATTTTTTTCTTTTATACATGCTTCGATTCAGAGATTAAAATGGTTGAAAAAGAAGCTACAATTGCAAATGGCCAACAACTAACGTGTACTAACTAATATGTTTGATCATTTTCCTGTTTATAAAACTAATCTCTTCTAATTTTATTTTTTCCTACGTTTCTTCATCCAAGGTGAGCTGGTTGACTCTCTTTTTTTCAAATATGCGAATGGCTAAAACTTTTGAAACTTTATGAGACTTTTTCAATTGCTTGCGCAAAGTGATATCATCATTATATATATTCCAAGTTTCATTTTATAATGACGTGAGATAAAAAAAATTACCTTTGTATCAGCTTTATCAACATCAAGATATATACTTTAAAGTAAACATGTATGACAACATTATAAACATCAGTACAAGGACAAAATTAATTTACATCAGATTCAGAGGGGCAAAAAAATCACATTTTAAAAAAAAAGTAGACATACCATGACTCTGCATGGCCAGGAACATCAATCTCTGGCATTATATTGATGCCTACAATAAAAATAAACAATAAAGTAAATATTTAAATGTCAATTCGCTACATTGGATGAAATATGAGAAAATGTTATTGACCTTTTACAATAGCAAATTTGATAGTGCTAGGAAATAATCTAACCATTCCACCAAATGTCTAAATTCATGTGTCCCCTCAAAGTTTTGCAAGAACAATCTAATATTACAAAGTGGAATTCAAACCACACAAAAGGTTATTTACATAAAATAAAATAAGAGCCTCTTATTGCACAGTGTGGACTGACCTCTTTTTTTTGCGTAACTGTAGGAGATGATTGGTAAACATTAAAAAAGAAAGAAACAAAAAAAACAAGTTAGTTGATACAAAAAAGTAGCGAACAACATAGTCATTTGATACACAGTAGATACAAAATAGATAAAAGGTTTTAAAAAAGAAACTCACAAAATAAGGTTTACATTAATTTCCGTGACTACTATGATTAACAAGAAATAAAATGCACAACAAAAAAAATAAATCAAACGCAACATAGTCTTCAAATGTAATGACATCTAAATGAAAAAGTTGATTTCTTCTGGTGTTGTTGTCCATGACAATCTTGAAGGGATAGATTGAGTTTCGTGTTCAAAGTATGGCAAGTCTTTTATTTTCCCCAGTGTATTAGTGTTTCAATTTGACGATGTGTTGCCCAAGAAACATAATTTATTTATTTGAGTGGACAGACTGTTGTGTACTTTCCTCGCCTAAACACTAGTGTGCTACTTTGGATGCTAATATGTCTTTCAGAAAGAATAACCTCAATCACAATCTTTGGAATACCTGAGAAAAGAGAGGTTCTATAAAAAAACTTCTAGTGTTATCTTTCACAGAAACCTGAAGCTAAGGAACCAAGGTATAATTGCCAACATTTCTAGGACAACATTTTTAGCACAATTAATTCTATAAATATGCATGATATACACCCTTATACTTTAGCAATCTTTGCAATTATTAGCATAAGATCAACACTTTCTGAGTTTGAAAAATTTATAAAGAGCATAAAGATGTTCCGAAATTAAAATTATTACTTCGGGATGATTTTAGCGGTATTCTTTCTTTAGAACTTTACTAGTTGCAAATCAAGCATGAGTGTGAAGAGCATCTCTTAACAAATAGACTCAATCAGGTAAGTACTGTAAAATATAAGGTTCACAGGAAAATATCTTACTCAACAAGTTCATAAGCATCCTCAACTGTGAATCTCTCCCACTTTGTATAGGAGCCATTCCATAGATCTGGATATGAAGGGACCTCTAGAGGAAATGATTGTTCATCGACAATATGCCAATGAAGAACATTCTACTGAATGTGATTCCCAATGATATATGCAGAACACGTGAATAATAGAAAGAAATCAGAGAAGAATTTTTTGATGAAAACTTTAAAAAGATAAAGGATGCATTCTCACAAGCTTGGCGTATGACATGGAATCAATAACTTGCTTAATCACATTTACTGGTAGGTAGTGTCGTGATGTATCTGCAAAACATACATCATAAGGTTGGATATTGATGTATCAACATTGAAGGTTTACATGAGGCAAATGATGTGGTTCAACACTCCAACACAAATATTTACATACCAATAAGCAGCCCACGAAATGGAAACCTTGGCCGATCACTAATATACCACGGTGCATTGTGCACTTCAACTTCTTTGGTTTTGTAGTTAAAAGTGCATAGTTGGCTGAAGGTCTGACAAAGACATTAACAAAGATTAAAAAACCATGCACCAATAGTAATAGTCTTTTGCAGAGTTCCAAGGTAATACACTTAGTAATTATAACTATTATTAAGAAATAAACTGTCTAGAACAGAAAGCAAGACATTCTGTCTTTTAGGATTGTGTGATTTAACCAAAAATTTCCCGACCATAAAATATCATGGCCATAAGTCCAAATCCATCAAAGGAAGAAAGTGAGTAAAGAATTGCATTGAGCAGTTTACAAATAAAGTAAATCTGAGCTGAAATGACCCAATAGATGAGCAATAAAGCTTAGGTTCTTGAACCAAGTATCCTCTTTTTATTTTAACTTTATTTTGTATAATTGATGACCATATTGTGAACATCTTTTTTAAAGTTCGAACATGATCAAATAAACAGTTTAATGAGAACTCGATATAAATACCTCAAGCCCACGGATTATCCCATAAATAGTATCCGCCTGACAAGGAAAAAAAACTATCAATAACATAGAAAAGGGTTCTAAAGGATTACGCGATGAGATTAAAAAACGTTCAGATGATGAGAGAAAGAAATGAAACTTTTTACATGGTATAGCAAGTGATATAAACATAAGCCTAGTGGAGCGTTGGAGAGGACTGTTGGAAGTAATGACTCTTCACATTTTAAGAGTCCCCTGACAACTTGAGAGAATACTGATGATGCCAAAATGAAAATAGCAATCCAACTTCTTAAGACACAACATAATAAAGTGTAAGGAATAAAAAGAGTTCAATTTTTTGATATGGCTATGCATGAACTCTAAGCAGCATTTCATTGAGAGCTCGCTTAATTTAATGATATAAGAAATAACAGAACAATAAATCATACACTATGGTAGACCTTTAAGTCTGAAAAAGTGCTCATTTATCATTATTAATGATCATCGTTGCAGATAAAGATCGCTTCATTTATTTGCCAATAGTCGAACCTCGTAAACTAAACACATGGGGAAATAGCATGACTTACTTGTTCAGAGTTTTTTAAGTCAATTGTTTTATTTCACAAACCAAGCAGAAAGCCACGAAGAGGGATGTGGCTGTACCGTAGATTTTTTAATAACAAGATTCGTTATATTCAAATACCCGACTAGCTTGAGTATTTGTCTTCCTTTTCTAGTGCTAGGGTTTATGTCACATTCACTCCTCTTTTCGTTCAATTCAAAGGAAGAGCCTTCCAACATTCTTGATCGTAATATGATTTCAATTTAGTTTTTTTAATTGAAAAGGCACCAGATTAGAATTAAGTATTAAATGAGATGAATGTAAAACCATGTGGTAATTAAACACAGAGAAAACATTCTACATGAAATTTTGCGATCTGCCCCCCAGATGGTATTGACTTCATTTGAATTCCAGCCCCCTAGAGATCAAGAAACATAGCAACTGCTCGTTCTTGAAAGCCTAAAGCCCATTTCCTCATCCTAAAGCATATAAAAGTGAATGCTCACTCCACTGAACAGCCCTGGTGGCTAAAGATTTAGGCAAATGAAGCATTTTTCAGGTGAAATACCTTGCCGTTCACTTAATGCAAAGAGAGAAGTTTTCTTCACTATCACCAATTAGTTCTCCATGTTTCCATAGTGTCTATAGTGCTGGCATAAGTATGAAGGGGACAATTTAGTCGTTCTTCCTTTCTGTGAGATGGCACTTTTATCTTATTTAACCCAGTCTTGGAATGTCCTGACATGTTCGAGCTCAAACTTATCTAAATTTATTTGTTGACCGCACAAATATGTCCATACTAATATTCACAATTTTCTTTGACTAGAAGAGAATAAATTTTTTGAGCATGACTGACAGCTGACTAAGTTCCAACGTATTCCTATCTATCCTATCGCAAAATATTCATCGTGTCGCCATCTTGATAATTCAGCTGCCGAGATACTAGTTCGTCGTGCCTAGGGAGAGTCGATTCACCGCATATGAGCCAGTATATGGAGTTTATTCTCGACATTCTAAAGGGGGGGGGGAAGAACCTGAAAAGGCAGTGTTGCACGTTACAGTGCATTACAGGTCCTCAACACTACAAATGGCAAGAGGTTCTCTTTTCCAAATTACCTCTCCATCCATGGAAGCTCCATTCACGTTGTAGCATAGAGGCATTATTTTATTACACGATTTTATTGAACTCTGCATACCAATCACTAAGAATCGGAACAGGGTTAAAGAATTGCTACGTACCCCAATGATCGCTTCTGTTACGATGGAGTGATCGTTACGTGGAGCAACGAACAGATCGTAACTCTCGTCCACGCCAAGTTGAAGCTGTCAATTAAGTCGCCAATATCCGACAGTAAGGGAATGGTTTGGTGACCAGAAGCAAGACCAAAAATGGAAAGACGGGCAAGAATTGGTAGTTCACCGTCTCGTCGTCGGAAGCGACAATGATCGTCAACTTGCCGAGATCAAAAGATGACCTCCCTGATAACCTCGTCCGATGTCTGAATATAATATTCCGATACCTCTCAAGAGCCTCTCCCAATATGGAGGAATTCTCGCCGGCTCCCTGGAGGTGGAACATCAAGTTCGGGTCCACGGTCAAGGTCCTGTTGCCGTACCGATACTCCGTGGGCAGCGGCCACAGATAAACGAGAGACTCATCGAGCCGAAGGGAGGGGTCAGTCTCCGGGGCTCGCCTGCCATCAACCAGACCTGGGGAGAATCCCGGAAGGAGGGCCAGCAGGACGAACAGACGCCGAAGGTAGTGGCCGGATTCGGACGGCATCGCGCAGGACGCGATTGACCTCCTGACTTCTCGATTCCTCGGGAAATTATCCCCGCTAAATCCGCAGCCGATGAAGGATCGATCCAACAAAAAAATATTTGCAGAAAAATCTCGGCGAACGCTGATGCATCGCCACGGTCGCAGATTGTGATGACGCCTCTCCTGCTTCGTTGTCAGTATCTGAGGCAGCTGTCGAAAACTATTTGACGTCGGCCCCCTTTTCGATGGGCGACGTAAACAAGACCGTTGATAGGATAAAATGGTAAAAAACTCCGAGGAATAAACGGGCCGTGAAATACTTTTTGGGCTTTACTTTCCGAATACTCTCTCTCTCTCTCTCGTTCTGACTTTGCCTTTGGCTTTGATCCCTCAACGCTTGGATACGGTCCACGTCGAGATTTGTCCGTTTTCCAGCTGTAAGTTGCCTACGAGATGTCCGATCATTTTAGAATATCTTATCGTCAGCAAAACGCTAGAGAGAGAGAGATTTGGGCTAATAAGAAAGGAAGCCCAAATGGTATTAAACGGCTCAATAAATCCGAGGAGGAAATGGCCGGGCCGGGGCTACTAGGCCCATTAACAAGTGTCGCCTTCTCGCTAAAAGTTCGACCCCAAGTCTGCTGTTGATGGATTCCGAGAAATCGACAGTTGTCTGTTTTTCAGCCGTCCGATCAAATTCGCGATCGTGTTAAGCGAGATCTAAGGTCTCGCCTCCAACCTAGGGTTAGAAACGCACCCAGACGCTTTCCCACCGGCCCTGAATCGGCAATCGGCCGACCGATCGAAATGGAATTTGATCAGCTATGCGTCGGAGACGGGGGATGGTAGTGAGCGACATCGGGTAGTGGATCCTGTTCTACCTGAGTCGTCGATCACGGAGTATCCTTTAGTTTACGAATATAGATCTTTGGGCTCCAGTTCCGTTGGTCAAGAAGTCAGGGGGACGGAACGAAGGTGATTCTATGGAATCTCAGTGGATGGCGGAGTATCCGCACACCAGCGTGGTGGATAAGCGTCCCAGGAAGAGGGCGAGGGCTGCATGGGACATTCCCCCTCTAATGCCCCCGTCCAAGGTTTGATCCGTTCCTCTTTTGTTTGTCATTTTCCCAGGAAATATTTTTTGGATCTGTCCTCTTTATTTCCTGGGTTTTGGTTTTTTTCTTATGGGGCTTTTTGCATAATTCTTCATCGATCCTTTTTTTCTGAGTTAGATCTACCCAGTGGTCATCGGTAATTCATCATGGCACTGAAATTTTCCGTGAATTATGTGTTTTTTTATGATCTAGAAATCGCAGGCAGCCTCTGATCTAGGTCACTCTAGAAGTTTTGTTTGATACGTGATATCTATCACTTTATATACAGCTCTCTGCTTTTTTTGTTTAACGACATGCTATGGAATGTTCTCACTTGACCATCTTTCGTTAAAGTCTTGTCGCTGTGGATATATGCAAAACTAGAACTCCATAATTGTGAAATCATAAGTTACGATCATTGTTTTCTGCTATTTTGAGGTCTTGATCTTTTGAAGATCTGTAGAAAAATGTTCCTTTACTAAATATTGATGTTGTTCGTGTCCTCCAGGTGTTATATTGTGGTCAAGAAGTTGTGAACAGCACCAGTTCGAATCACGTTATTGCTTCATCGTACGATTATGGAGCACCCCGTAATGTGTCCCCTCCATGGAGAGACGATGATAAGAATGGGCACTACATTTATGCTATTGGGGAGAATCTAACTTCCCGGTGTAAGTGATCCTGTCTCCTCATCTTTTTTCCTTGATGTCTATGGATGCTTTACTCATTTATTTTTTCATTTTTCATATATTTATCTGATTCTTGTGCGCTTTTTTTCATTTCTCAGATAGGATCCTAAGCAAAATGGGTGAAGGTTAGTTCCTTTTTTCTTCCCCTCTGTCCCTCGCTTGCTTCTGTTTCTCTGCTTTCTTTCGTGCACAACTATCACAACTATTCGGCCTATGAAAACTTCTTTGTGTTCGTCACTCGTTTTAACTCGTTACCTGGCTTTGGTCTTCATTTTTTTCATTCAATCGGCTTTCTACAGGAACATTTGGGCAAGTCTTGGAATGTTGGGACCATGAAAATAAAGAACTTGTTGCAATCAAGATTGTGCGTTCAATTCACAAGTACCGTGAAGCTGCTATGATTGAAATCGATGTTCTTCAAAAGCTAGCAAAGCACGATGTTTGTGGCACTCGGTAGGTTATTATTCTCCATGTTTTCTCACTTTATTTTTCTATAACTATTAGATGAATTTCCATAAGCTGTTTCATTCCTTGCAGTTGTGTGCAAATACGCAATTGGTTTGACTATCGTAATCATATTTGTATTGTAAGTATTTTGTTGATGCTGTGATTTGATTAGTTTATGATGGCAATGATTTATCTCATTGCTCAGTCATTGAGCCAGAAAAACTTGCCGATGGATTTAAATGGTTATCAGGTCTTTGAGAAGCTGGGACCAAGTTTATACGATTTTCTGCGCAAAAACAGCTTCCGTTCATTTCCCATTGACATGGTCCGCGAATTTGGCAGACAACTTTTGGAGTCTGTAGCATGTGTGTGAACAATACTTGCTCACTCCTTTATTTGTTTTACTCAATCGAGCATTAAATTTTTTTGTCAAAATTTTTCTGTTAGGAACAGCTACTTTCATTTTTTATCCTCTCTTTCAATTTATTCTTAGCTATGTGGATATTATTTTATTTTTGTTACTTTTTTCTTTGTGGAAACTGATTTGTATCATTTTTCCATTTCTTTACAATATCTTCCTGCAGTCATGCACGACTTGAGGCTCATTCATACTGATCTGAAGCCGGAGAATATTCTTCTTGTTTCCTCAGAGTATGTTAAGGTGCCTGATTTTAAGGTATTTCTCTTTCAATATTTATTTTTTTTGCATTTATGCTGATAGATTGTATTGGTAAATATTTCAAATATTTTGATTACTCCTGGGTGATGCATTGGCTATAAACGGCATTGCTAATGAGACATTTGATCTGTTTTACACTCTTGCTATGGAAATTTTTGTAAAGCTTTGGATGAGGACAACCAAGGACTGTGCTTTCTTCAAGAATTTACCAAAATCAAATGCTATCAAGCTCATTGACTTTGGCAGCACAACATTTGGACACCAAGATCATAGCTATGTGGTGTCGACCCGCCATTACCGCGCTCCAGAGGTTATTCTTGGTAATTAGCTTTCAACTCTTATCAAGTAAGAACTAATGCACTTTGTTAGTGTCCCAAAAATCATCTACCTTTGGGTCGATTAATTCGATGCTAATTTTTTTGTCGAGTACTAAAACTTTTAAAATCGAAAATTGCTTATTCTTTCTTTGTAGGACTTGGATGGAATTATCCTTGTGATTTGTGGAGTGTGGGATGCATACTAATTGAGCTTTGCTTGGTAAGTTTTACATTCTATTATATCTCCGTATTCAATTACTTAATAAACTTTGTATTTCTACCGAGAAGAATGCTAATCACTTTCATGGCTTTTGTAAGAAGTTTCTCTTTAAGTTTTTGGTGAACATTTGTCCTTTCAATATCTGATGGCCATGGGTATCTGACTCAAGTTTCTGTTTTAAAGAACCCCTCTGTGGATGCTTTTTCGTAGTAATTTATTGAGAAATAATTTTCAGATTGAAGTTGATTTCTGTGTGGATTCAGATTATGATTTCCTGATTCTGAAAAATGCAAGGTGCTTTCTGTTCATCCTGCCTGTAAAATGTAGAATGTCTGTAATAAAGAATGATCCAAATGAAGGTGACACCCGTGAAACAAAAAAAGGAAAAATAAAAATCTTGAGTTGATTTCAAGTTGCAGGTGCAAGATATTGTGCTGATTGTGTGACATTTAATGCATTGCGTTACCTTTTAAAGTCCTCTCTGGTCCAAATAAGGATGATATGGTGGTGGAGCTTTTCTTAATTTACTTCTTCCCCCCTTGGCTCTGTTCCTTCAGGGTGAAGCACTGTTCCAAACCCATGAGAACTTGGAGCATCTGGCTATGATGGAGAGAGTGTTGGGTCCAATGCCCCAGCATATGGTGAATAGGGCAGAGTAAGAATCACGGACATGCATATCATACTGGCTTCAGAATTGGGCTCCTCATCTTTTTCCATTTTTTTTTTTTTTATGTAGCCGGGGTTCAGAAAAATACTTCAGACGCGGCATACGATTAAATTGGCCTGAAGGTGCAAGCTCTAGGGAGAGCATGAGAGCAGTCTGGAAATTGCCTCGTCTCCAGGTAGACATTGTGTTTTCTATTTATTTTTGTTCTTGAACATGATATTTTCCAGTGGTGTTGTTGATCACAAGTCATTTGTTTTTATCATCTCTTTGACTTTAAGATATGTTTCGTTTTTTGTTGCAGAACCTAGTCATGCAACACGTTGACCATTCTGCGGGGGATCTTATTGATCTGTTGCAAGGGCTCCTTCGTTATGATCCTTCTGAGCGTCTGAAAGCCCGAGAAGCCCTGTGGCACCCTTTCTTTACCAGAGATCCCAGAAGAGGTGTTTATCCGTTGTAGGTCAGAGACTTCTCTCCTGTTTTCTTGGTGAATCTTGTCGGACGATGAGATGTCGGGCAAGGGGGGGGTTGACCCAAACTGATTGCCGGATGTGTTGACTCATACACAGGCTGTGTAATCATTATTGTACAGGGAAATGACTTCTACATTTGTTCAGATGACCAAAATTGGCTAAGATTCTTTGTTTCTGTTCCTAATTACGTGTTCTTTCCTTTCTAGAGGTTGACTCCATTTTGAGAGAGTTGTTTGCAGGTTTGACAGCCTTAAAGCTTTTGCGAGGGACTTGCAGCCCACAGTTATTGAAGGCGAGTGTTATCCAGTTAATAGTTTACTTTCTTTCCGCATCATCATCATCATTTGATGTTTACATCCGTCGTGAAGAACAGTCATCTATAGACGTGTGGGTATTATTCGCATGCAAATGTGGCAGGCGTGGACTTTCTATGCTGGGCCTTGAAAATTTTGTCACTATGGTTTTTTGGTCTCCGTTTGGGTATACCTGTACAGAAGCTATTAGATTATAAGAAGAGAAATTAGTTTTGCCTTGGATAACAGCAATTATAGGGGAAGACGCTGATATTGAGGATTTATTCTCGGTCTTAATCATTCCCCAATTATCATTATGAAAGTTCCCTTGTTGACTTTTTTTTAATAATCGTTTGATTTCATTTCCCTGGTTTGGATGCAAGTCTTTTCTGCTTATTTTTATTATTTTTAAAATAATAAAAATATTTTTAAAAGAATAATTCTGCTTATTTGAGTTAATTTAAACCAGAAAACCCCGAGTTCATGTTCATTTGCAGTAAACGCTCACGAATTTACTTATTTTAGTGTTTATATGATCAATGTTCTAGGCTTTTTTTTTTTTTAATGTTGCCCATAAATGAGATGGAGTCAAAAGATAGGGAGATTGTTGAAATCATAAACTGAGGAGAGTACTTGATTGGAAATCATGCCAGAACGTCGCACCTACCTGAATTATTTGGGACAATCTGATGTGATAATTAAGTGTCCTGTAGTCAACGTATAGCCAAATTAAGTAAGCCATGAGAGCTTCGTAAAGTGTTGCTTCATTGATAATAAAGGTGCCTGGGACCTTTACAAGTCAACGATAATCACCATTTTGTTAGTGAAGTCGATGCATCTCGGAGGTAAAGAAACTGATGGTCTTAATGGTGAACACTTTAGAACGAGTATTCCCTGGTGTAAGCATAGATTGGTTGACACCCAATTAATACGAGTCAACGCTTGAATGAAAAGCCATAAGTTTTGAATACTATCCCACGTTTTGGGATAGGGTTGACCCTTGAGTAACAAAAAAGTCACATATAGCAGGTTGAGTGAGACTGCTAGAAAAGGAAAAAAGTGTTGATAGTTGACTCTAGTTTTATAGTTTAACGTTTTAGCACCTAATCCTAAAGAGTCAACACTTAAATGTGTTCCAATATGTTTTTTTAAAATAAAAAAATCAAAAAAATCAAGTGGAATATTGCAAAATTCCCCATCACAAACTCCCACGGCATTTGTCAACCTTGCAGGATCTAAAAATAAAGTCAAAGCTCCTGCCCTCGTAGGATCTATGTAAGAGGACTTACATGTGTTCAGCTGAGATTATACTTGTCCTAAGTTATTCGTCCTATACGTGATTAATGTGCATCTCACTGATCCACCACATTATTTCTGTGACGATTTTGGGCTTCTTCGTGTAGTAGTTTGACTTTTGCTTCACGTCAGGTCCTTACGTGAGGGGACGGATAGAGACGTAGGCCAGGTGGTATTCAGACCGTTGACCACCCAGGTCGCCGGGTCTGCTCGGAAACCAATTATCCACAATTTCTATAACATTGAGTTAATCATACAAATTTTCTAGACATATTGTTAAAATGCCTATTTTCGATTATGTTATAGGCCCGAGCATTATTTTTGTTAGGCGCGTGCTCAGATTATCCGATGCATCTGGTCCAGATCCTGCCCAGATACGTTCAACCAAATGACACGAGAGAGAGAGAAAGAGAGACCCGCAGTCGCCGTAGAGACTTCTCGCGGTAGGCAGCCCTCCCCCACACGGCTCCGGAAAGGTCGAATCAAAAAGCAGAAACAGTGTCCGGCCCGCGGGCGGAGAGCAGTTCGTGGTCAGGGAAGCTTCACTCCAATTATATGCTGTGGATTCCGCGGTACCTCTCTCTCTGGCTTCTCACCGTCCACGGTCTCGTCCGGGTCCCTGGTGGCGACTACTGTGGAATTTACATCGGGTGGGGGGGGGTGGATTGGAAGGGAGAGGGAGCCTCTTGGGCTTGTGACGAGTTATGGAGATCTCGTACGCAACGGCGAGCAACTCGGACATGGCGGTCTCGCTCTCTGGCGTTTCTGGTTCTGGGAGGCAAGTGAAGGTCATTCCATTGCAGCACCCGATCGCCTCCAACCCCGCCGCCCCGCCAACGGCGTCGTTTTTCACCAACTGGCTGCCGAACTTTAAGGGAATGTCGTTGCGTGACTGGACGGAGCTTCTTCTCCCCTGCTCGCGATGGATCCGGTCTTACAAGTGGAGGGAGTGGCTGCAAGTGGACCTCGTGGCCGGCATCACCGTCGGCGTCATGCTCGTCCCCCAGGTGCGTAAAGAGTTTTTCTCCTTCTCTGTTTCCACTTCATAAATATTCTATGTAAATATTGAACTATGGAGCATAATTAATTTCATATAATAGTTTTCTCCAGAAACTTCAGGTCTATTAGCTAGTAAGTCATGATATGTTTTCTCTTTATTTTTGTTCACTAGTGATGAAATTGGCTTAAGCTTGTGTTTTCTTCATTGCCCATGTTTCATTCAAACGTGTAGGCAATGTCATATGCAAAGTTGGCAGGCCTTCACCCCATTTATGGACTCTGTGAGTATATACTTCGTTTGTCTTTCTTCATGATTTTTCTCGCCACAGTTAGCTGGCGCAACTTAGTTTGCTACGTAACAACTGCAATATCTGAATTCCAATTGTTCCTTTTACAGACTCTGGCTTTGTCCCAATATTTGTTTATGCGATTTTTGGGTCATCACGGCAACTTGCAATTGGTCCTGTGGCTTTGGTGTCTCTATTGGTTTCTAATGTTCTTGGCAACATTGTTGATTCATCGGACGTGCTTTACACAGAACTAGCGATATTACTATCATTCATGGTTGGTGTTCTGGAATGTGTAATGGGTTTGTTGAGGTAAGCATGACGTCTTTGCTTGCTTTGTGTATGAAGATCGCATGGCTTGTTTAGAAAAAAATGGACGCTGCCACTCTTTTATGCCGTGAAACTTTTCCTTTTCTGGACTGCCATGTGGTGGGATACTGCTAAGAACATTAGGCCTTACTTTATTCTTCCCTGGAGTACTTGAAAGAGTGTCAAACGCTAACTTTTTCGTATGAATTCACTCCAAAATCCCTAAACTTCTTGACAACAAAAGCTTTTTAGAAATCTGATAGGGTTGCTATCATTGCTATCCTTTGTTGTTGTGATTATCATTATGACGATTGGCCTTCTTCATGTGTTAGCCTGGTGTTGGCAGAGCACAAACCTAGTCTTTGTGACAGGACACTATCCCCTGGCTTCGTGAATACCTTGCATACTGAGTGGCAAAGTGGCGTGTCGAGCTCATGTCACAGTTGAACCCTTTTGGTGGGGTTTGTAATCAATTGAGTCATCATGAAAACCAAGAACGGTTATGAAATGTATCAACCGAAAATCTTATTTATCAGTAAACTGAAGTGTCATGATCGAACACCTCCAGGCCTGTGTTTGTGAGTTGTACTAGTTTTCACTAACCTAATGAAAGTGATGATACCCTGTCAGAAGTCTTATTAGTACTTGTGGCCATCTGTAGATCACCCAACCGGTTTTTCCTTGGCTGGGGTATTTAAGAAGCTTCTGTGTGCATAGACTCCTATTTATTTCTTTTTTTGCATTTTTAAAATTTTATCAATAGGCCAAAAATTTGCTGTGCAGGCTTGGATGGCTGATCCGTTTTATCAGCCATTCCGTTATTTCTGGCTTCACAACTTCCTCAGCCATTGTTATTGCATTATCTCAAGCCAAATATTTCTTGGGATACAGCATTGTTCGAAGCAGCAAAATTGTACCTCTTGTTGAGAGTATAATTACTGGAGCGGGTAATGTATGCTCTTCAGAACCTGATTACCTTTCGCTGCATGATTCTAAATTCATATTTTTTTATGATTGCTTATGCTACACTTTTTTTTTTTTTTATCTTCAAATTATCGCTTTCTTTTATATATATATATATATAGATACAGCCTTTTTGGTTATGCTTAGAAAGTTGTAAAATTCCTCTTGCGTAAGAAAATCGGTGAACATAGAGTTTTATATGATTTGGTCAGTCAATACATTGACTGAATATTCATTCTCCCTTGCTGCTACTTTAACTTAATACATAATCCTTCGTTTGGGATATCTTAGTTAGTACATAGCATTCTAGTGGTTCTAATTTCTCAGAGAATTTAGATTTAGGTTTCTATAGTGTTTAAACCGGACGTGCAGATATGGAATGAATTGGGACATGAGAGATGAAAGCATCATGCTTAGTGCAGTTGATCAGCGCAGAGATAGGATTTAACATGGGCGTGAGATGCTAGATATGGATTCAAACATGTTACATTGGAAAAACCTACAGGATGATAAGTCTTCAGTGATATATAGCCGGGCAACTAATCGCTTCACAGAACATGCACTTAATTTCTGATCTATCGAATTGTTCGGTGAAATATTTTATCTCAGATGTGAAACTTGGCAAAAAAAAAATTGACTTACGAAACTTGTGAAATATGTGTTAATTATAACTTTGCACCATGGCTTTATGTGATGGACGAATGGATGTGCATATTACTTTCTAGAGTTTATCATTCATTTATGATTGTGTTGCCTGGCTCAACAAGAAAAATGTAATGCCGAGGTGCTTCTTCATGTAAAACTTGATCATGTGATCAAATCTTACGTGTCATCAAATTATTATCACATCAAGTACCGCATGTTCTTTCTAAGTTCTACAGGGTCCATTGCATTGTGAACTCAAGAGTACCCCCCACAGGATAGAGATTTCATTCTATCAATAGAGACAAAGCATTGGGGCCTAGTGAAGCCTAATTATCCTCTTCTGCTATATGTCGTTACAATATCCTATAAATATAATAACTATATGAAAGAAGAATATATTCTGATTGATATAGGTTCTGCAATTATAAGATGCCCTATGTTGTACCTAAAATTATTTGAGTAAATGCTTCAAATTGTTAAACTACATAAATTAGGAATACACAGGAAGGAATCGGGACAATGATATTCTGTTAACATAAATTTATATAAAAATGAATTAAATCTCTTGAATTGCTTGGAACCAAACTATACAAAAGTGTTTTTTCCATATCAAAGAAATTTTAGTTGAATCTCTACTGTCCCCACAGACTCTCTAACAAACAATAAAAATAAAGGTGTGTTTTAGAGTTATAATGCAAAAGTCATTATGTTATATTCTATATTTATATATATTATATAACATATCTTATTAACCTCTTCCTACTCCATGGATTGAAAGAATCGCCGACAGGTTCTGTTCGATCTATTATCCTCAGGATTAGATATTGTTCCTCCAATAATCGTAATTTTTTGTTAATTTAATATTTATTATTATATCTTTTATTGTTCATTTCATATATATATATATATATATATATCCAAACGCTCCGTATGATTGGCTTCACAGAGGGTCAGGCTATCTCTGAACACTTTGCATGATTGGCTTCATTTTGCTGAAGGCCTCAAGACAAGCAGCCACATGTGAAGCTGATTGCATAAAAGACTTTGCATTTACACAAGTCAGGAATGTGCCCATTCTCCCCAAATTCAACGTGAATGAGGGCACCTGTGTGAGCGCTTGTGTGGCTGCTGTTGGTGAGTCGGACATCTTGCACGTCTGACTGCCTTGATGCCTTAACAAGTCCTCAGCAATGCCTCAAGAATAATTGAGATAACGAAAGTACTTTTCTGAATTGTTTGATATTGGCAATATGGTTCAAACACCAGCTTCAAAACCTATTGATGGACTTTTATAAGAAACCTAGGTCTCATTCAGAACATCTTTTGCCGTCCAGCAGAAGATTGTCAGAAGCTTCAATAATCTACATTGTTTTTCTTGGATTTGAAATATTTCTCCAGTTCTCCACAATCAAACAGCACCTTAGCCATTGAAAAAATATTCCTGTGGAAAATCTACTCGTTGGCCAATATTTTGAAGATTGGGAATCAGAAGGCGAGAGTCGTAATATGAAAGTGTCATTTTGATAGTTCCTAACGCAGAGTTTTTTTAATATTATCCCATGGTGCAAGTTGGTCATTATGAGAAAATCTGTTTAATCATGTAAGTTCTCATCGAATGTATATTTGACATTAACTTTGTACGAGTTTGCAATGTTTTACTTGCTAATTTTTGCCTAGTTTGATCTGAATATTCATTGAATTTTGATGTCATGCGTAACTTATTTGGTAAGACACGATAGTATCATGGTAGCGTGTCCAAGTGTAGAATCCTCATATGTGACCGGATATATCAAAATGAATCATAAGTAAAACTGTGCTTTTCAATATTACATGCTTAGAGAAAAATGGAGATATCTGCTTTCAATAATTGTGCTCTGTTCACACTTTTTCCTTTCTCTAAGATTCATTTTCCGTATGCACTCTGCTGACATTTAAATACATATTGTTGAAGACCGATGCCTTATATAGTTTTTTGCATATCGATGAAGGATTATAGGGTTACGAACAATACTACTATGTGATTCTGGATTCATTACATGCTTCTTGTTCTTCTGTAGTTTATGTGGCAACCTTTTGTGATGGGATCCAGTACGCTTACAATTCTTCTTCTGATGAAGCACTTGGTATGAACTAAGTGTTTACTCTTTTTTATCTCTTTTTCCTCTTTAGTAAGCTGCTCAGCATTTTTCTTTTTTGCATGTTCCTTGCAATTGTTGAAATGGTGCAGGGAAAAACTAGTAAAAGATTCCGATATCTAAGAGCAGCTGGTCCGCTTACAGCAGTTGTCTTGGGCACAACTTTCGTGAAAATATTTCATCCTTCTACTATTTCTGTGGTAAAGCACGCTCCTGTAAAATTATTGAAGTTTTGAGGATGAACTTGTGGATCTCATATCACAACGTGATCCTTCTTTGTTTCTGTCTTCTATCTGAAAATTTCTAAGTGCATGCCAATCTTTTTGTGCCAATTTTCTTGGTTCCGTGAAGCTGAGCATATTCTCTTTATTTCTCCAAACATGATCTGTTAATTGTTCACTCATTAGAAAATGCTTTTGCCTATGCCGCTGCCCTTGGAAAGACAATATCAGTCTTAACGGCTCGAAATCTCACATTTTCATTAGAATTCGATGTTTCAAAGGAATTTAATAATAAAAATAGGGTCGTGGCTAATTCCAAGTATCTATGTGGAGCTAAAGCTGAAAAATCTTGATTTTTTGCTTATTTTAATTTAAAATTACAACTTATGACAGGGATTGAAAACATCATTTTCATCGAATTTACATCTCCATTGTCCAGTTAATTATTTATTCATCTCTGAAAGTTCCAGTCTAGTTATTACTGTTGCCATACAAATCACACCATGACAATCAAACTTCGTTCGGATCTGGAAGAGATATTATGTTCGCCTTTTCTATGGATCTGCTTTTTCTCTCTACATCGTACATTCATTGGGCCTCTCATTTGTTTTTTGAGACAGATATCACGAAGCACTTCGAAACTGGTTGCTGGATAAAAATGCCTTATTTTTCCCGTATGGTTTTCTTTGTACCATTTTTCATTTTTTGAGAATTGGTTTATTCTCAGCTTCGTTGTATGTGTTATCTTAGAAATAAAATTGAAATTTAATGGATAGAATGAGTCATTATGAAAATGTCTTAGTATCAGAATCACAACTCATGTTAGTTGGTTGGTTGTTGAGATTCGATGAACTTTATACAGACAGTTTTGTTGGCTGTATTGTTCAGATTTTTTAATTGCTTATTTTTCGATAAAGATGTTTTAGAACAGAATTTTAGCCCTCAGTTTGGATCCTTTTGATGGAAGTTAGAACTTCACTACATGTTGGATATCTGAAATCCTGAAGTTCATCATTGTATTAACAATATCTCAGTTCTATTCTTGTCCTCTAAAACTTTGATGCCGAAATGGAAATATTTTATTATTATAAATAATCATTAAATGGTCAACAAATGATAAGTAACCATTAAATGGCTAAAAATAGAAGAACGCCAGCAACATATTTGATTCATGTCAGAAAGTCTACGGTATCATAAGATTTGGATGTTAACATCTAATAATCTGCTGTTTGACATGTAAGTTTGTTTTTAAGATTGTGAGGTTAATCCAACACCTGAATAATATTCCGTCGAAAGTTAGAAAAATAAGATGTTACCAACAAGTTAAAACCCTTCTGATCACTACCCTTATACATTAGGAAACTGAAGTACCTCAAGAGAGAAGGTATCAAAACATAAATCGTCACCTTTCTTGTTCCTTTTCCATGTGACTGGGTTGTATTTCTCATGCTAGTTCTCGAACTTCAGTGAGACTTTTTTACTTCTTTCAGGTGGGGGAAATACCGCAAGGTCTTCCAAAGTTCTCTGTTCCAAAAGAATTTGGGCATGCAAAATCTTTAATATCAACCGCGATACTGATAACTGGTGTGGCCATATTGGTACATAACAATTCCGAAATATGTCTTCGTGATTTCTTTTTCCATTTTTTTTCTCCTATTTATCTTTTGAAGAAATTTTCTTCTTAATGTAGGAGTCTGTGGGGATAGCTAAAGCACTAGCTGTTAAAAATGGGTACGAACTAGATTCAAATCAAGAGGTAACGGATGGGTGTGCTATTACACCATATTCTTTTGATTTCAGCTCCCTTATCTCGGAATCTTTGGCAGACTTTTGTTGACCTTGTTCCATGATATCTTGCACATTAGTTTTTATCACATTCTTTTTACTACACACTTTGTGTAGTTAAATCATCAGGCCGTTTATCTCGTTTTGTGAAAATCGTTCAAGCATTTAATTTTGCAAGTTTATAGGGACGGTGGACCCTTTTTTTCCAAAGTTTGTATTAACTGCTACTGCATTGATGACCGAAAATGTGTGAAGACAAATCTACCCGCATAGAATAACCAAAAAGTTTATTGTGTAACCAGAGAGGCTAGGCACAAAATGTGACTGAAATAAGGCTGGATTCTTTGCTGACATATTCTTGGAATCCCCCTTTATGGTGAATCATCTGCATGCTTGTATATAGCGACTTCTGGCCAGATGCAATGAGATTCCCCGACCAGACATTACTCTTTCCGATGTGTTGATAAATTTGACATTATAGATTCCATATCCGCACTCCATTAGCCACCATTTCCCTCTTCCACTCTCATCCTCAAAAAGGACTGCAAGATGTTCATTTTTCGCATATGGAAGAGTCAAGCTGATCCCTTTGTTGTTGGACATCCTGTTGGCAGGGTACTTCGACTGTGTTGTGGAGGATTTGTCTTTACCTATGGGTTATTTCTTCTGCAGAAGTTATCTTCTTGAGGTTTACTCATTCTCAAGAAGTTTTGTCCTCTACACATGATCTATGTCTTATTCCTCTGCGTACGGTGTTGTTGCATTCTTTCTATCCATTGGTCAGATACCCAGGGCATTGGTTGGTCTTGAGTATTTGAGGCACTACAATCCCTGTTGGTGCGGGAAGAACTTGGTGTCGATGTGCACCCTGTCCCCCTAACCTTGGGTCCTCGAGCAAACTCCTACTTTTATATACCACTATCGAACCTAATTCTATTGACGTTCATGTAAAAATCCGTTCCGTTTTCTAGGTTTTTAGGTAAATCAAGTGCTTCTTTATTGGCTGCAGCTTACCTCAGCAAGAGGGAAAATTAGCATACTCGCAAATAAGAAAGTTGCCGCATGAAAACCATTGTCAAACTTGAGGAAACTAGTTGAAGCATATTTTTCTTGTGAAAAGCATACTTCCTGGCCTGACATTCTCAACCTGGCTGCAAGCATATTTTTGTGCTTCTAAGGTTTTCCTAATTATCTATTTTTGATGGAAGTATACTTTGGTGTGTGGGAGGATTTTTGCACTCAAGTTGTATATGATACTTTTCTGTTAAAATGTCATTTCTTCGCCTATCTTCTCTATTTGATATAGATGCAACTATCTGATGTGATACTTCTCTATTTTATACAGTTGTTTGGACTTGGTGTGGCAAATATATGCGGTTCATTTTTCTCCGCATATCCAACAACAGGTAAAGACGATCGTGGCAGTGTTTTTGTTGCAATTGATCCGCTTATCTATTTCACCTTTCGTCATTTGTAAACTTCCAAAGAAATTGATCTTTTTTGTCTAACTCAAGCTATGTAGATGAAATAGAGATCCTTGCAAATTGATTGGATGTCTTATGATTAATTTTGGCTGTATCACTTTGTTTTACAGGGTCATTTTCTAGGTCTGCTGTAAACCACGAGAGTGGAGCAAAGACTGGATTATCTGGATTGACTATGGGGGTTATAATGGCCTGTGCTCTTATGTTTTTGACGCCGTTGTTTAGAGACATACCTCAGGTGTGGTTGCTGGAGTAATAAACTATTTATTTACTCATTTCTGGCTAATCCGTTCATTCCATAATCCTTTGTTGCTTCTTCTGTCATTTTACATGAGAAAGTATGTTATGAGACTTCAAACGAGTAGCATAGTTGATTTCCTTCCACAGCATGAAGTTATTAGATGCGTCTGAGATGGTTTAACAGTTTTGTCTCATGCATTTTTATTAGTACATTGAGCAGACTCTTGTGATGTTTTTTTTAATGAGCGTGTTTGGAATACTGTCTAGAAAAGAACATCAAGTTAACTGTGGATTAGATGGATCGGTTATCTGACAAAAAGTTTCGGTCCTTGTCTGACCATTTTTTTTAATAAATTGAATGTACAAATAAAAATGCAGTCATTTTTATTAGTACGTTCAGAGTTCTCGGAGAGTTGAACCATACTGTATTGCTATGAGAGAAAGTCAGTTAAGTCAATCCGTAGTGGACATACTGGCCTCGAACTTCTGTGAAAAAACGTAAAAAAAATAAACGAATGGTAACACAGTATATTATTTTGATATTCGCTTAGGATGACTCCCATTAATAGTCCCTTGTTTCATTATGCATTTTTATAAATTTCTGGATATATAACAGAGCGAAATAATGCAGCAACATGTTCAAAAGAATTTTCATATATTCATATGAAATATGCAGTAATTCCATACCTCTACACTACGAAATATTATGATTGGTACGCTTTTCTTTCAACATCGAAGAAACCTTAATGTTTTGCAATGTGTTGTTATCTTTCAATGCACGGTGCATACACTTTAGTCTATGGAGTTCTATGTTTATGTGCATCATGTTTATGGGAGGGGAGCATCATGTCGTCTTTAGTTTGTATCACTGTGGCCATGCCACCTGATGTGTGCGCAATCACCTTTGTAAACCGGATCCAATCGACGTGTTGTTCTCATCCAATGGGGACCCAACGATTTTACTACGTTTTATGACTAACCTTTATGATTTAAACTTATTTCTGTAATAAGTGGCAGAATTTGTTTAAATGAGAACATAGTTTATGGTGAGAAAGTCATGGCAATTGGAAGCCAATGAAGATATTTGAAAGGGGAATGTTTGGTCAGTTGCGTGTCTTTCGCCTAATTGCAACCTTTCTCGTAGCTTTAATGATGTTTTAAGGAATACCACTTTTTAGTAACTCTCGAGGATTATTGCGGCAGTACAGATTCATAATGATAACAAGAAGGCTTAGGCTGCACTTGTATTAACTCTGATAGATGATCTTTTATGTCTGGTAAAACATAGGGTATATCTTTGATTTCCATTATGTTAGGGTTTTTTTTGTCCAACATGGATATAATTGTCAACATCAGTTAGCTTATTCAATATAAGTTCTCCTGAGAGGGGCTGCTTTGCCCCAAGGGAGTCAGGCGCAACATGCTTATTTTGGAGACCCAATGCTTTCTCAGTGGTCCTGATCAGTTTGCTTATGTTTCTTTGCTATTTCAGTGCACGTTGGCAGCCATTGTGATATCTGCTGTTATGGGTCTGGTAAGTTTACAATAGGAGCTTGTCTCAATAAATCTAGGATTAAACCATCTATCGTGGTCTTACTAGATAAGTGTAGTGTGCTAATCTGAAATTGACATGTACCGTATGTATACAAATGGTCACTTTATTGCTGATCTTTCTGTGTATGAAGTTGGAGCATCCAAATTATGAAAAGTCATGTTTCTTTCTGTGTACGAATTTGTACAAACGATCTCTTTTTTTTCCCCAATACAAATGTTCATGATCATGCATCATTGGTGATTGGATAAGAAGGGTTGTGCAATTCAAGCAAGATTTCTGTCTATTATCCCATTTTTTTTCTATCCAGTTGTTGAGTGAACGGGCTGGTAGTTATTGACATATCAATTCCTGTGGTCTTCCAAGTTATTTTTGCCACCATTATGTCTACAATACTAACCGGCCAGGGCATAGTTTGAGAGTTGCTCTCGTATAATCTGACAGCATGGTAGAACTGGGAAACCAGGCTATTCAACTTTGAATTGGTGATTTGGGACAAGTTTTAGCACCGTTATCTCTCCTCTCCCCTCCACTCCCTCATCTACGCAACACCCAAAAAAGAAGAAGAAAGACACTGCCTGCTTACAGCGATAAGAGAGCTTCCTTTGTGTCATACATATAATGCACAGTTCTTCCCATACCCAGTTCTTGTGAATATGTGTATATTTCTTGAATTCTTTCTAAAATTTTCAAATCTCCGAACAATGTTCTATGCTATGCTCTGTCTTCATACTTTTTGTGAAGCTTTACCTTGGACATACTTTTTTTTTCATGACTTGGTACCCAGCTTGAATCTCTAATCTGTATCTTGGTGTAGTTTAAAACTAGAGTCCAAACGTAATTCATATCCGGATCTTTAATATTGCAGGTGGACTATGATGAAGCCATCTTCTTGTGGCGTGTGGACAAGAAAGACTTCCTTCTCTGGACCATTACTAGCATTACGACATTGTTTCTTGGTATTGAGATAGGTGTTCTCGTTGGGGTAATAATTCAAATGACTGTGCCTTGAACTGCAGAATTGTTTCTGGTATTGAGATCTGTGTTCTTCTTGGAACAAGAACTCTCCCTTTCGTCCTTGCTACTGCGGCAGAAATGATGCCAGCTTCATGTCATTTTCTGATTATGTATTCCAACTTGGATATTATATCTGAAAGGGTGACCTCAGTGAGATAACCTGAACTTGCGGTGTGGCTTTGAAGTGCTATTTTCCTGCTTCGGGTTTATGGTTAAAGTCCTATTCCGTTTCTTCATTCATATTATTGCTATTGTCCCTAAATGAATGCACAGATGGCCGTGACTTCTCCCTTCGTCTCTCTTATATCGTTTCTTCTTCATTGATATTGTACCTTGTGCTGCATTAGTTCTTCTTTGAGAAGACATCTCTGATGGAGGCCATTATCAAATTTAGGAGTTGCACGTTGAATACAATCGTACGAGTTGAATGAGCGTCAAGATTTCCTCGAAGTTTTCTTTTTTTAGTTCATTATGTACGGGCTTGCTGTCGTGTGATATCACAGAGGGAGAGGTTCCCAATGCCTTGTTTTATGAGGTTGTCCGGCGTGTTCCCTATTCCTCTTCTCTGTGAAGCTCAAATAGCCTATCAGTAATGGAGGGAGAGCGATTCTATAGCCGCCCACCTTCTGAACGCTGAGAAATTTCTTGCAGGTTGGCTCCTCCCTTGCATTTGTGATCCATGAATCAGCAAATCCACACATTGGTCAGTTGGGTTACCGCAGCATTCCATCTATCTATCCATTATATCCGCTATTTCATCATCATTTTTCGATCAATCTTCTATGGTGCATCATTGATCATATCATATAGTACTAATAATTTCATGATTGCACACATTGGTCAGTTGGGTTACCGCAGCATTTCATCTATCTATCCATTATATCCGCTATTTCATCATCATTTTTCGATCAATCTTCTATGATGCATCATTCATCATATCATATAGCAGTAATAAATTTCATGAAAACCCACCTACTATGATTGTTTTGTTCAGTATCTGAATGATGATAACTATTTCTTGAAGCCATCCTGGGGCGTCTCCCTGGAACTACCTTGTATAGAAACATCGCGCAGTACCCAGAGGCATACACCTACAACGGGATCGTGATCGTGCGCGTCGATGCCCCCATTTACTTTGCGAACATCAGTTACATCAAAGAGAGGTGCGCCCGAGCTCCTCTCTGTACAGCAGAAGGCCAAGAACATCGAGTCAAAGGGAATGTTTTCCTGTTTCTCTTTTGACCAGGCTCCAGAAGTACGAGGTGGACATCTCCGGCTCAGTGAAGCGCGGCCCAGAAGTCGGAAGGAACTATTTCGTGGTCATCGAAATGGCGCGTAAGCTTCTCTCTCTTGTTCTTGCTCTCACGCGAACACTGAAAACTGCGACCAGACATTTCATGGAGTTTCTCAGGCGGTCGTCTGATATTATTCCTGTTGTTGTGATCATGCAGCGGTCACCTACATAGACTCCAGCGCCGTCCAAGCCCTCAAAGATCTGTATCTGGAGTACAAATCTCGCGGCATCCAGGTGAAGCCTCCTCTCTCTCTCTCTCTCTCTCTCTCTCTCTCTCTTTCTCTCCATTAATGGCTCATCGCTTGGTGGTTTGCCGCACAGATCGCCATCGCCAACCCAAACAGGGACGTCCTGTTGACTCTCTCCAGATCCGGGCTCATCGACTTGGTGGGCAAGGAGTGGTACTTCGTCCGCGTCCACGACGCCGTCCAGGTCTGCCTCCAGCGCGTCCAGAGCATCAGCGAGCGCCCGCCATGGCCGCCGGCCAGCGCTGCAGCGGCGGCGGATACGCCGACGCAGAGGGTTCGGAAGCGGCCCGGCCACGACGTTGACCCCTCCACCGCTACAGAGCCCCTCCTTTCAGCAGATAAGGTCTAGCCACCCATCCGGTTGACCAGGTAATTACTCCCATCCTGTAATATAACAAACGTTGTACTCTTATAGAATTCCTCCTCCATTGGTGAGATTCCACATGTTCCATTTTGGTTCGATTCCGTCCGATCGCCGGGTGTGACACCCCCGGAATCTCTCGACCGGGTTGAACTGGGAGAGACCACGCGAGACACGCGGAGGGAGGCGGGCGTCTCACACGCGCAGCTGAAGCGCGGGCTACGCGGTAAAACAGGAACTCGGCGGAGAGAGTCTCCCAAATCTGGAACGGTCTCGCCGGATCTACGAGAGATCCGGAACAGACAGACGAAATCATCGAAGAGAGAAGCAGGAGGGAGGACGGATAATACGGCGGAGGATTACCGAACTACTCTGGAAGGCGAGGGAGAATAATGCGGCGAAGGGTACTTGGCTCTCTGAGAAGAGTAGAGAAGGAAGGAAGCTTTGGACGAGAGAGGTCTCGTCGGTGTGGGGAATTCTCGAGGAGGAGACGGGTGTTCGGGTGACGCCGGCGTAGCGGCGGGACACCGTTTCGGAGTCGGCCGAGAGCGTAGGGAGAAGAGAGCCGTCGTGTCAAGCTCCTCCCATTTCTCCTTCCCCCTTGTAAGCAGCTTTCGAGTTCAGTGGAATCCTTCTTCCGTGCCTTATCGCCGTAGGGTCAGGGTGAGCTTCCGCAGGACGAAAGGCTGCCCGGCGTTGACTGAGAATGGTCGAGGCCGGTCAAGTGTGATTTGAGAAAAACCGGCGGTTTGGTCTTTTACCCCGTGACACCGCGTCAACCCAGCCATAGGCTCACACGTGCGACGAAACTTGGGGGTTCACGTATTGGGGGTGGGCGCGGGAGGCCCGCACAAGCGAGTTCTGCAAAGTAAGCAGCGTCAACGCTCGGCCAGCCTATAACCCCTCCATAAATTCATGCGCATGAATGTGCTAGCGCGGCGAGCAGCTTTCACCGCTCGCTTTGTTTTCCTTACTCATTAGTTTAAGGCAGTTTATAATGCTGGGGGTCCTAGTATATTTATAGGGACGCCTATCTATCTTTTTTCCAATTATTCGATGTGGGACTAACATAAGTGTTTTGAAGGCTAAATCCGTCCATAGCATACTCACCGCTGTTTCTTGCGAACAAATTTCCACGGGTTGGTCCGAATCAATCCGGGACTGAACACCTGGCATCGGATGGGGGGCCCTTTTGACTGAGCTCTTGTTTGACTACGGAAATTATCGGAATATGTAGACGTTTTATAATATGTCGATTCGTTTTCTCGGACAATGGTCGAACATAGGTGACATAGTGAACAGGTAATTGGATCGCTTACCTTGCCGGTCGAATGATCCGGCGGATGGAACTCCGAGGCTCAGGCTGCCTCGTCGGCTTCCTCGCGGGGCTATCGGATAGGATGAAGTAGCTTCGGATTTGACTTTAAGCTCCGGGTGGGGTTCACCCGGAGTGAAGAACCAGGTTCTGTATCGTTGACCGAGAAGCTGACCCCTCGTCTGTTGCGAGGGCAGAAGAGTTCCTCCCCGCCCCTTCCCCCACCATATCCGGTCACTTACACATCTCCTTTTTTTTTTATTTTTCCTGGTCGCGAGCTGCGGAGAGGGAGACTGGTAGGAGTGTGGGGCTGCTCCAAAGGGCGACGCTTTTCCACGGCTCTCTCTCTTCCTTCGTCGCGAAGCCGCCATTCTCTCCCTTCACGAGGGTCGTCCACGTCCCCACCTCTCCGGGGAGAGGACCAAGGCAGCGGTCGCCGTCAACGGTGGAGCTGGCGGTGGAACAGTATGCGGACGAGCGCATCTCCGCCATGCGTCGCCGTCAGTGAATGGGAGAGGTACCTCGTCCTTCTTCCTCACTCCCCTACATCCCTTTGATCATCTCTGGCCTCTCTAGGATCTCGAGTTTCTTTTTAACATTTTCTGCAGAGAATTCTATGCGAATTTGAGCGGTGTCTTCTCTCCAGGGGAGACGGCGGAGGAGGAGGACGGGCCAGAGACGGCAGCTCGCCGGGCCGTTGGTGGCGGGAGGGGGACTGGGCGCACTGTCGGCGAGCAAAGCCCGGGTCCTGGGGGGGGATCTCTGAGGACCCACTTCACGTGAAGAGGAGCAGACGCAGGTAGACTTGTGCCTTCCGGTGGGTTGCTTGAGAAATCTTCCTAATCTCGTTTTGGCCAATGGGGGTTCGTCTTCCACGTGATACCTGGGACCCCCGGCCCTCGCTCCTACATCCTCTTCCCTCTTATGCAGCTCTTCCCGTGGGTGATTATTATTCCCCATCGTCCTTCGTTAAGCCCCCCTCCCGCCCGTCTCCTCCGCCTCATTCTCCGCCTGGTTCCTCTTCAATTCGTTTCTGATCCGCCGGAGAAGCGAGAGATCCGGGTTCCTTCTTCTTGATCTCTTTGTTCCATGTGATCTAGAGAGGAGCTGCTGGAGCTCTGTTATCATGGTCGAGGCCGCAGCTTCGTATATCCGCATGGTAAGAGCGTGATTCTCCTTCTGGGTAGAAAGAGAGAGAGAGGGAGAGAGAGGGAGAGAGAGGGAGAGAGAGTTAGAGAGAGAGGGGGGGGGGAGAGAGGGAAAGAAGTCGGTTCTATTCTCCCTAACTGGTGCGTTTTAAGGTTTCAGGTGCAACACTTGATCGAGGAGTGCCTCGTTTTCCGCATGACTCGAGAGGAGTGTGCCGAGGCCCTCTCCAAGCACGCCAACATCAAACCCATCATCACTTCCACTGGTTCGCTCCCTCTCTCTCTCTGTCTCTCTATCTCTTGATCTCTCTCCCCGTAACACGAGAGGGCTTCTGCTTCAGTTTGGAAGGAGCTGGAGAAGGAGAACAGGGAGTTCTTCGAAGCGTACGCTCGCGAAACGGACAGAGCGCCGACGGTGGAGGCAATGCAAAGCATCCAGAAGGTCATCCACGATTCCCTCTCCAGTGATTCGGACGACTAGCCGAGAGAAGAAGACCGAGGCTCCTCTCTCTCTCTCAGTCCCCTCCTTCCCTCTCTCTCTCTCTCTCTCTCCCCTTCCCTCGCCTCGGTGCAGTCACGGTCAAGGGTCGAGAACAACGGATCTGCAGGCTAACATGCCTCCGCCGGCCCTCGGTCGTTTGCACGTGCTAGCCGCGTCACGTGCTAATAGTGTTTTAGGGAAAGAATCCATGAAGCTAACTGACACTCACCCTACCTGTTAATTATTTTATTTATTAAATGTACCCCTAGAATCAGTCTCTAGTACTGCGCAGAGAGTTGACTTGTCAACTCCAAGAGATATTTCCAAACATCGTGTTTGGAAAATATCTACGACTCCACGTCAGACGAGCAAATCGCTAGCCGGCGGCGCGCTTCGAGTTCTTCGTCTCCTCCGCTGACGTGGACGCTGTCCGAAGCTGCCGACATATCGCACGTGATAAAAACGTGGTGTGAGCATTGAGGGAGGCGCCTTTTGAGCGCGTTCCGACGTGGAGGAGTGGTCGAACAAACAGCCACATACGACACATGATAAAAAGCGAACGATCCGCCTCGCCATGCAGGGCGGCGTGTTTCTTCGCCGACGTGGACGGCCACGTCGTCTCTTGAGATGACTTGACACGTGATAAAAACGCGGGCTTGCCAACACGACTCGCCATGCTAACCGCGGCTCGATATCGTGTTAGATCCCCCGACACGATCTGACCTGATGATTAACTAGGAAGTCCGGTCGGTCTTAGACATGACTCAGTGAACATTAATCTCCAACCCTGAATCCAGAATCTCTCTCTCTCTCCTCTTTCTCTCTCTTCAGGCATGCATGGAGGAGGGGGAGGGTACTAAGTAATGGGCCCAAGGAGGACGATTCATCGTCATTAATGCCGATTAAGACCCTTATTCAGACCTACTCTCAGCCCATATCGGGCCCGGGTTTCTGAGAAATGAGTGAATCGGCCCGGCCCGCCGATACTACATGACAGATGTCCATCAACCGCTGCAGCATGCGGTCACAAGAGCACAAAGAGGACACGGATGATAGATTGGGGGAGGGGTCATGGTCTCTAGGCGGAATTGCGCCAGGCCTCGACCTTCGGTGCCCATCCAGCAATGACGTGTTCTCTTGCGGCCTTTGTCTTCAAGAACGACTTCTGGTTGAAGAGCAGCTGCGCAGGTCCCATAGTGAAAAAGGAGGAAGAGACGGTGTGGATAAGGCTCATCGTTGACTATCAAATAACCAGAAGAAGATGGAAGGCATTCACCGACGATGATGGACAAGCATTCCAGCCATCTTAGTAAGGTGGTTTACGTGATTCTTTAAGGTTTTGGAGGGGTTTTAGTAACTTTGTCTCGAAAAGTCAGCAAAAGGGTTCCACACAGAAATAGAGGAAGTCAACTTACGTCCAAGTAGGAGCGCAGGTGGTTCAAGTTCTCTGGGATGGTCCAGCCCTTGAAGTGGTCGAGAGTAATCTCCAGATGATAAAATTTCGGCGCCAGATTAAGATCAACAGCACAAGGCTTTGCGTAGTTAACATATGGACCCTGCAACCACCAAGAACTTCCATTCAGCATGCTTCCATGGGATATATACCCACTATAGATCAATAAAAAGATTGAGAATTCCAGAGAGAGAGAGAGAGAGAGAAGAGCCCAGGTGTTCACATATTGAATCTCACAGAATTTTGCCAACTGATTGATTGAATTTTTTTCCCCAGTTCAATGTTTAGCCATCATCCCAGGTATTGAACAGCTGACGGTATTGCTCACAATTCAATCATCGTTCATTAGTGATCCATATACGCTCGCACGCCACAGGAAACCTTCATATCCAGACTTACCAGAAGAGGCAAAAATAAAAAAAAGCAAAGAACCAGTATGCAGCTAGACGTTCAGGTTTTTATCAGTTTCTGTCAACACATACGTGATCTTTGAGGTGGTTATCCAGAGCTTGAAGTTCTTGAAGCAAGGCCTGTTCTGAACCATCATTTGGATCGTTGCTTTTCAGGAACCCGATAAAGGAGGAGAATAGTTTTGAACCCCTGCAATGTCATCGGCGATGTTAGAGCGCAGAGCATTCCATTTATGGGCCCCTAGATAAGTCTACAACTGGCATGTATTTCTTAAGAAAAAAATAAATGTATTTTTTATAAAAAAAACTACATCAAATAATTACCAACGACACTCTCAAACTTTAAGAAACATCATCAGCAGAAAAAGGACAAATGCAAGATTCAGCTGTTTTTTTAAGAACAGAAATTTGGTTGTAAGGAAAAAGAAAATGATCTTATTGCAAGCAACAAATGTGGATCCTGAGGAAAATTACATGTCAATATGCCATTCAGGGTAAAGCAGAGCATATAAAAAATTACATCAGAAACTAATACAGGGCAAGACTTTCAAGAGAACAGAGGAAATTTAAAATGGAAGGAGGAATTATGCGAATAGGATCTACACTTAGATGGTTCACCAAGCGTAAAAGAATAGAAGTATCTTATTCTCCCCTATGAGAAAAATATGAGCGTAAGAATCGAGAAAAATATATCCGAGTTACAACAAAGGATGGTCTCTAAATGCTGCATAATGGCTTTCAACCTTCGGAAAAAGGTAGACTATCGAAACTCAATCACTGAGTTCATCACTACCACGAAGGGAATGGCTTAACCTGTTCAATAACAGGAAAATTTGAATACAAAATAGAAACATGTTCGAAAATAAAATAAACGAGACTATTATGTCATCTAATTCAACAGATCAGCCTCAAGTTCCTTTCCTTGTACTAATTAGCCTCAAAACACATCAGATGTAACCTCCAGTCTACCAATCTACAGACCACAATTTTGAAAACCTATAGTTTTGGACTTTCAGTATATTCAGGGAGTGGATAAGAAAACTGCAGAAAAGAGAACGCAAGAGGTGTGGAATATACAACGAAATTGAAGCTATATACTGGCAGGCTATCAACGGCTGGCTACCATGTAGTCTCCTCCACGTCTGTTAAAAATAAATAAGAAAAACGACAGGCTTTCCCTGAGAGAAATTCCTTTATCATCATGTTTATCTTCTTCTATCAATTTCTGTTTCTACAACATCCAGCATATTTTCTTTCTAGTTAATAGGAGGGGGATGAACTGCTAAGTAGCCACTGGAACATGCATTAAACGCATGAGAATGCATGAGGTGTGGATACACAATGAAATGAAAGCTATATACTAGCAGACAATCAACGGCTGGCTACAATGTAGTATCCTCCACATCTGTTAAAAAGAATTAAAAAAGACGATAATTTTTCCCTGAGGGAAATTTCTTATTCATTATGTTTATCTTTTTCTGTCATTTCCTTCTTCTACAACATCCTGCATCTTTTCTTTCTAGTTAATAGGAGGGGAATCGATTAAAGGTATTAAACGCTCGTGAACAAAATGATGAAAAACTATACCATGATGAATGAACAGACTATCTGATCGAGAGAAAGTCAGGCATACAGTTGATGTTAATGTTAAAAAACTGAAAAGACCACTTAAAAATCTATTTTCAATAAAACTGATCCAAAAATGGTACCGATTTGTTTGGAAGGAGAGCACAGAGGTAGAGTTGTTAATATGTCGGGGCTGAACTACCAGAAAGGATCCCCGAGTATAATTTTTGAAAGTAAATAGTATAACTAAAAACAAGCAGCAGGTTCAGTGTCTAGAGGCTAAATTTGGATACAATGGGGGCAATATCCAACAGACTTGCCCTTGGTGGTAGTAGTAGTCACTGGAGCCTTTCGTGTGATTTTCCTCTGCTGTCCTTGTTGGGGGGAGTATTGAGGTACAGTTGTTACTATGTAGGGGCTGAACTTCAAAAAATGACCCCCAAATATCATCTTTAAAAGCAAATAGTATGAGAACAAGGAAGAAATAGGTCTATTGTCTAGGGGGTAAATTTGAATACAGTAAATTTCGTGTGATTTTCCTTTGTCCTTGTTTGGGGGGGGGGGAGCAACATCTTTAATTGTATACCTTATATGCTGGGTGGCTATCATTGGCAGCATTGTACAATTTCCCCACAATTTTTTTTCAGCAGCAACCCGATTTATTATATAATTTCCTTCTTCAGTTACTAAAAGTGTATGTAATTTAAACAGTACTGGCTCCTTTGGGCCTAATCACGTCGGGCTTTCTATAATTTTCCCCAGAATGACATCGTTATTTTAGAAATTGACCCCCCCTCCTTCCCCCCAAAAGCTGTAAATCAGTAATTTTTATGCAGCCCTCTCTCAACAGGTACCAAGAAATATTTGTATAATTTTACTATTGTGATAATTTTTCTTCCGATTATCATATATGTGAACAATAAAGAAGAGTCGAACAAGAATGCCATTCATAGAAGAGAGAAATGTTTTCTTCTAGATCAATATTCCAGTCCATATTAACAGTGAACGGGAAGGTCAGTAGTAATATGCGACACTCAACACATTTCGCTTTCAGGACTAATCTCCAGATTTTCAGGGCACGGTTCTAGTTCATGCTTTCATGTGATGGGGTGAAAATGAACAGCTAAAGAGTATTGAAGAGTACGGGAAATAAGAAAACAGACAAGGGTTGCATTTCGTACGGGTTTTCTGAAACGACGAACACTCGGAAAAATACGCAAGGAGAATAACACTGAAGTTCATGAGGAAGATAAAAGAAGGAACACGCAGCATAATTGATATGACTGGGAGTGTAGAAGTGAATAAAGAAAAGTGTTACGAAGACGTACACAGATGCAAACTCTGGCGGTGTCGCCAGAGGCGGCTCAGGATATTTCTCCTCTAATATCTGGGTGATGACATCAGAGTCAGAAACCCACCTGCCGTCCCCGAAGTTGATAACCGGCACCTTCCCCTCGGGATTAATCTCCAGAAACCTGTTGGACGAAGTTCAGACGAAGGTATTGGTGACTCCAGAACGAATCAAACCTATCAACCAGACCCGGCCAAAAACGGAAATCAGACGACCCCAGATGAAGAGAACGTGAACTTTTTACCACTGAGGCTTCTGGCTGAGGTCGACCAGCTTCGTTTCATACGGGATATCCTTCTCCTCCAGGGTCAGGAGGACCTTATGACAGAAGGGACCTATTTTCAATTTAGCAGACATTGAGTCTCCGGAGAAAGGGAATGGACGAAGCAAAACAATGACAAAAATTCAGGAGCAGCGATCAACGCGAGAGGGGAGAGGAAAGGAGAGGAATCGAACGACGAAGGCGACGAGCTTACAGTCCCCGAGGACGTCGGGAGCACCGGGGGCTGCCTTCACGCAGATCTCTACCGCCATTGCCTCCTACGATCTATGATCCCGAGTATCGACCCTCGCAGAGAAGTGGACAGGAAGGCGGAACGAGCCTATGAAAGGGAGAGAGGATGACGCCTGGGATTTATGCACTGCGTCACCGTTAGTATGCTGCTCCGGCGGAGCTGTTTAAAAACGGTCTTCCCGGCCACTCCTGTACTTCGTAGCTACTTTATCGTGGTGCACATTTTAGTGCTCGCAGATCTGCCGCAGCACCGGACCTGAGGAATTACCGCGGTAGTAGGTGACTGGACATGTGTATAAATGAAAAATTCAATAGATACACATTTATATGCAGATAATAATATTTTCCCACCAGTCATTTAAAGTATTGCAATTTAACCCCCACTTGACGGTACGACCATCTGGAGGATCCCTTGTCTTCGTGGCAGGAGCTCGGTCCGTTCATACGGTCAACGGAGCGCCTAAACGCCTTAAAAAACCTAACAAACCCCACGTGGAGTATGATTCATCCATCTGGGGACTGGTCAAAATACTGGGAAATTTCTTCTGAAGGACGTGGTGTTTTTTGGGCTGTTAATGGGCTAGGCCCATTGGGGAACGACCACTAAGCTGGTTGAGGAAATAGGCCGAGCCGTTGGTAACGTGATGGGTGGTAAGTTTACCGGACGGGAGAGGATAACGTTGCGAGGTTTGGAGTAGGCGGCATATTCCTGAAGGGTTTAGGAAGTTTGGAATCAAAGCAGTCGCCCGCGTCGGCGGCGACGTACCGAAGAGTAGGGAGAAACGCCGGCGAGATCAGTCGGAACCTGCGGAAGAAGGTCGCCGGAGGAGGAGGAGGAATTGCAGACGATGGAATCCCTTTGTGGCGTCCACCAAGGCCTGCTCCGGCGTCCTCTAGTTCCTTTCCTCTCCCGCTCTCCCCCGTCGCTGTCAGTGAAGCCGCTCCTGGCTCTGCGTGCCCCCCGGAGCCGTCGTCGGTTCTCAATCCGAGCCTCATCCGCCGCTCGGAGAATCACCTCTGTGGATTCTTCAGGGGAGACCTGGGATATGACCCTAGGAAGGACGATCTCGTCCTTGGTGAGACCAGCATGCATCGCGCTCGTGGCCGGCGCTGCCCTCTTCCTCTCGCGCCTGCACAAGTCTTCCGTCGCCCTCGCCGTGTTGTCCCCCGCCCAACCCCCCGCCCAACCCCCCGCCCAATCGGAACATCTCCCTTCTCCCTCCCCTGTCGTCGGTGGCCCGGAGACCCTTTCGGAGGAGGAAAAGGTGAAGTTCCTCGAGGATTTCTTGGATTCCCACCCGGAGGATATCAAGGCTCTCCGCTCCTTGATGGAACTCAAGATAAAGACGCAGAAGCTCCCTGAGGCGATTGCTATTGTGGACCGCCTGATCATCCTTGAGCCTGGCGAGAAGGATCTCCCTCTTCTGAAGGCCCACCTGCAGAGCTACGACGGAGAGACAGAAACAGCAAAGCAAGGATTTGAGGATATGCTGCGGAGAGACCCAATGCTCGTCGAGGCCTACCATGGGCTGGTGATGGCGGCTTGGCAGACCGAGGCAGAGGGAGACCTCGGAGGCGTCCTAAAGAGGATTGAGGGTGCAATGGAGCTCTGCAAGAAGGAGAAGAGGAATGACGATCTGAGAGATTTCAAGTTACTCGTGGCGCAGGTCAAGGTCTTGGAGGGAAACTACCTGGAGGCCCTCAAGCTTTACCAGGATCTGGTCAAGGAAGAGCCGAGAGACTTCCGTCCTTATCTGTGTCAGGGCATCGTCTACTCGTTGTTGCACAAGAAGGACGAGGCAGAGAAGCAATTTCAGAAATATCGGCAGCTTGTCCCAAAAGAGCATCCATACGCTCAGTACTTCGATGAAAATATGGTAGCCATGAAGGTTTTCTCCCAGATCGATGAGAACAGGAGAGCTGCTCCATTGGATAGGTAAGGGCCGTTTATCAATGGAGCCATGATGGTGGTGTGTAAGATCAAAAGGACGCAATGCTGACTAACTGGGTGGTTCCAAACTTTTTTTCTTTCCCGTTTATCTTCGTTCTTCGATCATCTTGCGAGGTTTTTATCATACCTTTTCCATTCCTCTTTGATTCTAGCAATCGGCACAACCACCAATAAGGTGCAGACAGCATGGTGTTGGCTGATTTCTCTTTAGTTGAGACGCATTTCCTTCTTGGATTGCGGATTGCACCATTTTCAGAGACTGGAGATGAGGAACTATGTATGCAGGGATTGCACTACAGACCCACCCAACGGAGATACTTGAGTTCTGCCCAGGGAGCTCATTCACTATGTGAGCCAGATAGTGGTCCTGCTTAAGCACAATCTTTATTCCGCACTCTGTTTATAGCCTTATCTCAGTTTAAATAAATCATAGCGAATGATAGGCCTTCTGTGCATATATGCTCTGAGAAAGAATGTAGAACAGGGCAATGAAATTTTTATCCATTCATGCCCACAGCAGATGCCTTTCAGCTGAATGAGAACAAGAGAGCAATGGATGACTGGGAAATCAGGAAGTAGGAGGTAGGAGATGGAGAAGGGATGCAAATCAGGCCACCTCTTTCACCTGAGCCGACTGTAATTCTACTGTTTTCATGGTCTGAATGAAGTTTTTTCTCCTAATCATACTAAATAAATGCAAAATCAATTTTTTATAAGTTCTTTTTATTGTAACTTTCATTTCAAAAAATTGGTGGGTCATACAATATGCTATAAAAGGATAGTATATGGACTTTGATGACTAGAACAGATAAGACTATAGTTGGAAAGAATATATCTGTAATGCAACCTTTCTTGTATCTGATTCAAAGCAGAGGCTGCATTTGACCGAACCGGAATATAATGAGAAAATAATGATACAATTCCATAATATGATAACTTCAAGTATGCTCTAATTCTATTGTCTCAGTTGAGTAGAATCATTCAAGACTCTCTTGGGCAAAATGAAGATCTGAGCTGATTTAAAGCATGCTGTGACCAACGGATCGTGTGTACAACAAGCAAGCATGCATTTGATGGTGGTAGCCTAGCCGACCCGGACATGAGTTGAATGATATGTGCCCGGTTTGACCAACGGGTTGACCTAGTTTTCTAGTTCCTAGCATGCCGAGAAAGTTTGCATCCGTTGATGTGATTAGTGATTAGACCCTTAATCTGTAAGTTTTAATCGCATTTATGCATTGAATTGGGAGGATTATGAGAAGGCGGCGAGGACTGAAGGGAGTAGGAGAACTAGGGAGGGAAGCTTGATTCTTCAGGAAGCTTGTTCTGATGAACCGTTTGATAAATCGTTGACGACAGGGGGCAAGCTCCCGCGGAGAGAAAGAACTGGATTCAGTGGGTGACGACCCTCTCCCCCATTTCTAAGTGAAGAAACCAAAAAGACGAGCTCCTTCCCGCCATGCGAAGGAGCAGGACGGCCGACATTCCGATGTGAGGCTGTGGGGTCGGCCATGGAGCCGTCTCCGTACGGATCCCTTGGATTTTTAATCCTGTGGAGGTTCTCGCTCACGGCGCCGTTCATGTCGTCATCCTGTGGAGGTGCGATGACGTCGCCCTGATCCTTCCGCTGGCGGCGGCGGCGGCGGAGGAGGAGGAGGAAGAGACGACCCACTTGGTGAGAGAGCTCGCCTTGTTTATGTGCCAGCCTGCAGCAGCGGCGCGGTGGGCTGCTGTCTTCCCCCGCTGCCCTGTCGCTTTCCACATCTTTTCTGCCGCCTGCCGTGAGGTGTCACCGTTTGGACCGTGGCGGAAGTGCTACTGTGGAGAGCCGGAGGGAGGGGGGGTGGTGCCGCCGTTGAGCGACGCTCCTCTTCCTTTAATTACGCGCCGTCTCTCCCCCTCTCCCTCACCATTCCAGTAAAGAGCTGGTTTTTTTTACAGGGCGGCGGGCTCATCGGGTCCCGTTCCTTTTTCGAGCTCGAGGTTCTGGTTCTTTTTCGGAACGTGGTTCAGAGAAGGCTTACGGTCGCAGCGCCACCGCGCCGGGCGGTCGCCCTGCTCACCGAGGCCAGTGTCAGAGGACTCGGGCGAGCGGGCGCAGCGAGGCGTTTTGAAAGTTCAAAATGGAGTGATCCATCGCTAGCTAGAGTGGCGGAAGGAGGACAGCTTCTCCCCACCCCCTCATTTATTAGTCGATCTCTACCTCTCCCTTCACCTCTCTCTCTCTCTCTCTCTCTCTCTCTCTCTCTCTCTCTCTACTGTTTGCCGTTGCGCGCCTGTCCACCTCCCACAGTTGCTCTCCCTCTCCCTGTCGCGTCCGTTTCGTTTGTGCTGAGGTGATCCAGGAGGTTGCGGGGGATTGTTGGCGGGTTCAGCGAGTTCGTCCCCTTAAAACTCTAGCTAGGGCTCGCTCCTCCCGTGTGCGTCGGTTGATATCTGATCCGCTCTCCTCTGCTCGGTAGCGCGTGGCCGGGGTCTTCGGATCCCCGGGGTCTTCTCTCTCCCCTAGTTCTCTTCCGAGAATGCAGTACAGGGATCGGTTTCGGAACGGCGGCGACGGCGGCGGCGGCACATCCGCGTCGTGGCGAAAGGAGCGATCGCCGCGACGGGCGGCCGGGGAGCGGAAGGAGGTGGCGCCGGGCGTTAGGTCCCGCGGCGGCGTGGTTGGGAATCTTCTGCTCCCGCCTGACAGAGTTATCGGAGAAGGTGTGGATGGGAGATCGCTTCCGTTTCTTGTTCCATGTTCTTGCCCTCGTTGGAGTTCTTCTCTGAGTTTGGAGAAATCTCTCTTGGGCTCTAGGAATTTCGACGCTATGTCGCCTTGTTTTCTGTCCTGTCACCGATCTACTCTACCTTGTACCAACTTCAGTTTTGTTTTGCCATTTTCTTCCTTGATCTTTTGTACTAAACGATCTGTCATACCCAGAGCTAGCGAAAAAATTTCTGAGGTACATGGTCTCCTAGGGTTCCTCACGACCCTTTTACAAGGTGCAGAGCTCCATCCAACAGCATATTTGGATGTCGCCCTTCTAACATTTTTCTACTTGTCTCCTCTGTTTCCTTTCTTAAACGTCTGATCACATGAAATCTCTGTCTACCTTTTTCCTTTCTGGGGGGGGAATAGAGAACGGTTCCCATCCCTTTTCTTCCACTTGTTTTCCTTTCTTTTCTCCTTTGATTCTTTTCGTTTCCTTCTTGCTGCTTTCCTACTCAGGAACGTCTAAGATCTTCTGCACCTCTTCTTTTATCCGACAGTCACCTAGATGTGTCCTTGAAAATGCTTAGCATGGTGTGTGGACTTTGGAAAACTAGAATATCATGCTTCTCTCTCTCTTGCAATCTACGCTTCTTGCATTTTTCCCTTCATCACCTCTAATTTACTCTGCTTGCATTCTTTGGGGGAAATGTAGTACACATAGAGATGGTGAATGTGGTTACTGATGGATCTTATTAATAACTGGGATAACCCTTTTAACCAGTTGATTCTTTAGATCAATCTCATGGAGATGAAAATCTGTTTGATTTTATACCTCGAAATGTTTTTAGGTTCATCATGCAATTTTCAAGTGTGTAGGCTCGACCACATGGACCATGTTATGTCTATGAGCTTACACAATCATTCCTCATCGGATAGTGGCACAATGGTGCCTAAGCATTTATCGATCAGTAACCTTTTATCGCAAAAATATCCATCTTATTTTGTATTCTGTGACGTGCTATTGGAGTTTAAATTCGTCATCTCTTTTCATCATTCCTTTCGTCATATTTCCTTCAAAGCCTGATTTTCTATCATAAGAATGACTACTTGTCTGGGTTTTTTGAACAATTTAAATGCCACCTTGAGCATCAAAGGACCTATATAATTTAAGGTTGTATCACTATGATCTTCCCATAAAATGTGTATCCATTTGCTTTTGAATCAAGGTTGCTTTAGGATGTTTCATATATTAATTTTCTGATGGCTGCTTTGTGTTGAATTTTATGTGTGGGCTGGTATCATTTGAAATCTGTATTTCGCTTCATATTATGTACCCTTCTTCATGTCGTTTCTCCTCTATTCCATGCAGAGGTACATTTTTTTTGGCCATATATTGCGTACAATGTTCTTTTCTCTGGATTATCCATCTTTTTTTTAATTAAATATGGTTCATCAACTACTTATATAAACTAGTTTATTCGTTTTTTATGATAGAAAGTACGCTCTTATTTCAGGATTTGTTCATCATATGAAACAAAATACAGGTTCTAAGGTGGAATCAGATGGCAGAATTGGAATTCTACATCAGCAAAGAGTGGTAATCATTTGCTATTTGCTTTCCTCGAGTATCATTTGTTATTCGATTACTGATGTTCAATAAGTTTCCATTTCAGTGACGAATAAAACATGCAGGCTATTGAAATCCCCCTCTTTCAACTATTTTGATTGCATTAGCATGTTTCATTAACTGTAGTTTGTCTTTCAACTTAAACTTATACATCTGATGCGTTTTGGTGCAGTCTGCCTTTGACAATCGGAAAAGTCTACTGAAAAGGCCTAACGGCACCCGTGTTAAGTCACTGATGGATGAGGAGATCCCAAACCAAGTGGCATCCAGGCGCCATTCACCAAGTGTGATAGCCAAGTTAATGGGTCTCGATTCACTGCCTGCTCCACATTCCAGCAATCTGCATTCAAGGGAGTCCACAGCGTCGTTCCATAAGGCATCGTCGAGAGGTTCTCATGGAGAGAAGAGTCGAGAGTTTAAAGACGTTTTTGAAGTTATGGAGACGGAGAAGGTCGAGAAACGCACCTGGTCTGCTCACAAGGGGTCTCTAAAGTCTAGGCAAAGAGATACGGATATGGCCGTCATTCGGCAGACGTTCATGGATGCAAAGCGGCTCTCCATGAATGAGGAGCTTCAGCACTCCCAGGAACTCAGTGATGCGTTGGAGGTGCTGGATTCCAGTAAAGAGCTTTTCCTCAAGTTTCTCGAGGAACCAGACTCTCTCTTCATGCGGCAACTGCAAGATTTGCATCCTCTTCCCGCCGCTCCTGAAGCAAGAATCACGATACTGAAGTCCTCTAATATGCCAAAGTATGAAAGCAGTGAAGTGTGCCGGAAGTCAGAGACGATGGCGGACAGGAGTGCTCCAGGGCAGAAACATGTCGCGCATAAGAGCGAGACTGATATTTTTGTTCATCGCCTCAGAGAGCATCCTGTCTCTCATTCGAGGCAGCCGTCAAAATCGAAGCTTGACCAAAATGAGGAGCCAGGCTTTCTCCCTACTCGCATTGTTGTCCTGAAGCCTAGTCTTCAGAAGGTTAATCATGGCACCGCAGAGGCTCCAGGCACTGCAGAGAATCTTCAATTTGGTGACAGACGATCCAGGGAATCTAAGAGATATGGAAGAAGGGAGACATTTCCGGAGCTAAGAGAGAGACACACCCTGTCTGGTGACAGCGAGGTGACCCACAGAACAAGGCGTTCTAGGGAGATTGCTAAAGAAGTTACCTGGCACATGAGGCACACTGTCACTGGTGAACACGGGAGGCCATATGATTCAAGACATAGCACACTCTCTAGCCATGGGTACCCACAGAGATCGCCGGCTACTTCATCTCTCTCGGGGCACACTGACTCTCAAAGCGATGCCTGGGGTAAGAGCTACAGTGCGCCCGATCTGACTGAAACGCATGCCACTAGGGACGCTAGGAGGCATCTGTCTGAGAGGTGGATGATGGCCCACAAGCAGCGGGACACGCTTTCTGAACGTAGGTGCAGCACATTAGGTGAAATGCTTGCTCTATCTGACGGGGAGATGCTGGAGGCGCCCTCTAGTTCATTTCCGTGTCGGGGGAGTCTGCAGGAGAGAATCTCTGGGAAGAAGGTCCTTGAGAGGTGGTCTAGCCCCAGAGGCATCAGCAGCAAGGATGGTTGGAAGGATGGGCAGTCGGGTGGCCTTCGAAGATCCAAATCCGTTCCTGCTTCGTCCGCCATCAATGGAAGCTTGAATTCCTTCATTAAACAGCGCCCTGATCGCGTTGACAATCCGTTCGTGCTTAAAGATTTGCTGAATCTTGGTTCCAGGAGGTCCTCCGAGCCACGATCATCGAATCAGAGGTCTAAGGCTTCCCCGGACACTTCCCAGGCTTCAAACACAGATGAGGAAGAAAATAAGCGTCCCGTCAGGGAAATTCATGTGGACCATGACGAGCTCCTCGATCGTTCCCCTGAGAAGGCTTTGCCCATGGACAAGTCTTGTTCCTCAGGATCTTGCTCTCCTGTTGAGGTGCAGCAGCCGTCGCAGTCGTTATGCTCCACTTCATCTGCCGTTGATAATTACTACACCGTTGACCCCGAGAGAGAAACCGGCTTAAAGGTTCGTTTTTTATGTTCATGCCAGAAGAAACCCTAAACCTACACCGAATTTTTTGTTCTTGCTCGTTTATTTTTTATGAAATGTATGGCTCGGTGTTTTCCTTCGTTGATGAACTTTTATCTTAAATAGGAAACGTCGCCCGATCATCCGCAAGCAGAGTCCCCTCCCGGCCAAACGCCGTCGGTGATCCCCAAGGAAGGTGATCAACCCAGCCCCATCTCTGTGCTCGAGCAGCCTATTGAGAATGGATCACCCCCTGAAAGCTTTGAAAGACTCAGCGCAGATCTTCGAGGTCTCTCACAGCAACATTATCCCACCTTCTTCCTTCGCTCGCCGGTAACCCTGACACCTTCTCTCTGCAGAGCTCCGATTAAAGCTCCAACTTCTTAAGCTGGAGTCGGCGGACGCTTACGCCGACGGACTGGTCGGGAGCGAGGAAGTGGACAGTAGTGGAGAAATCCTCGGTTCTCCGACCTTCGTGGAGGAAGAAGACAGGGACTTCGCTTATCTCCTCCAAATTCTCAGCGAAGCGGGCTTCCACAGAGCCGAATGGGACGAGCTCTTCTGTGGTTTCTTCGCCCCGGAATCCCCGATCTGCCCGGAGGTATTCGAGAAGCTCGAGCAGACGTACAGCAGCGAGGATTACTGGCCGAAGGCTGATAGGAAGCTTCTCTTTGACATTGTCAACTTAGTTCTTGCTGATCTTCTTGCCCTGAACATGGAGCTTCGACCGTGGGTGAAGAAGAATGGTGGACGGGATTGCCGGAGGACTCTCACGGAGGAAGTGTGGGAGTTCTTGGGTCGGCAGCGCGCGGAAGTGCTCTCGGCCAATTCGGGCAAGTTCTTGGATGACGCGCGGTGGTCGGATCTGGCGGATGATGTTGATTCGGTCGGCAGGGAGGTGGAGCGGATGCTGAAGGATGATCTATTGCAGGACTTGGTCTCTGAGATGCTCTCTCTGTAAAAAAAACCGGCCCCGATCTACTGAAAGCTCTTGGGCGGAGGTTTCTTGATGAAGACGTCTCTCTCTCTCTCTCTCGCTCTCTCGTTCGACTTTCCTGCGAAGGAATCAGTTATGGTCGCGAGGGGAGTAAAGGAAACCAGCGGCGACGGCGGAATTGTGGAAGAGGATGAGAACGCGCCGCCGCCTTTTCCTCTTCGGTCCTCCTTCCGACACCATTATTCCTTGGATTCCCGCCGCCATAATTCCCATCGAATCCGATGCCCCCACCGCCGTCATGAGATTCCTCCCCGCCGGTGGGCCAGATCGGACGTTCCCCATCGCCGGCCATGGAAGATCTGGACTGCCGGAGGTTGGTGGTGGCCGTCGCAGTACATTCCATCTACATCACTTCTCGTATGCCGTCTGGTGGCCGGCCCGTAGATCTCGGCACACGTCGAGAGGAGGATGCTCCTTCAAGAAACCCGCAGCGCGAGGGCAGAGGCGCAGGCACTGGAAGCGGGCCACGCCTAAATGATGGTGCCGTCCCCGCGTGTGCCGCCAGGCGGCGATGGCGATGGCAGTGGACGGAGCTGGTGGGCACGCCCATAACAGTCTGGGGTGACAGCTTGGGCCTTCTTTTACAAAACCCTTTTAGGGTTTCTCATCTGGTACCTCGAAAGCCATGCCTTTAGAGGCATTGATCGAAGACGATCGATGGGGGGAGATTCGATAATGAGAAAGACAGTGGCCCGAGTGACGGCCCTTCGGGGGTCCTCCATTATCGAGAAACATCCCTAGTTTATAAATGTTGGTGCAAGATGTGCATCCGACGAGTGCGTACGACGAATCAGGTCCTCGTCTCCCACCCCCGGCTTAAAAGCAGGTGGAGGTCACCTTTGTGGGGAATTTCCGAGAGGCTCTTCATCCCGATGCGAGCTCCGGCAGGCCATGGCGTCTTTCCTTTTCCGAGGTGTGAAGGGAGTGAGCATCTCGTGCACTTCGCCGGCGTCTGCGGCAACATGCACAAGCTATGGCGACAGAGGGTTCGACCGCCGCAGAAGAGCACGTAACTGGATGGCCACTGAGAAGCAGAAGTCATGCCCGCATAAGAGCAGGAAGAGCTCGGAGATTACTGGGAACCTGATCAGCCCCGCCTCCTCCTCCTCTCGCTACCTCCTTGACGAGGAAGACGACGGCCCTTTCTTCGACCCGGACGAGGACCCGGTGCCAGCATTGACCCGGATCAAGTCCACCAGGTTTCAGATTGTAACAGGGGAAGACTCGCCTATTCTAAAGCCGTCTCGTTTTTCAGCGTCATATTCCGCTGATTCATCACGAGTTCAGGGTCTCCTTCGAGCTTCTTCTTCATCACTGTCTTCTTCATCTCGTCTCTCTCTACCACCGACGAGGCTCGAGATCACAAGGGGTGACGACTCTCCCGTTCCATCTTCAAGATCTTACACTGCCGAAGGGGACGATCGTGCTGTTATCAGGCAGTCTCCTTTGGGTGGATCACAAGCGTGGTCCTTCTTTAGGAGCTCCTCTTCCTTGTCGGAGACGAGGTTCTCCTCTCCGGTGGGCAAGAAGTCCGACATCTTATCTTCCTCGGCAAGAACCCCGGACCAGGTTTATATCCTAATGTTCAGCTTCTACCCAGCTCATTCCAAAAGGGATAGAGCCCCTAGAATTCACTAGCCTCTGTTGGTACGATTGGTTTTCTCTATCCAGGTTGTAGTCTTGAGGGTTTCTCTCCATTGCAAGGGCTGCGAAGCGAAGGTGAAGAAGCATCTTTCCCGCATGGAAGGTGAGACTCGCTCAGTTGAATTCATCAATCGGACTAAGCTATTGATTTCTTTAAACCCTAAATCCTATACAGGGTTTAAAACATTTTCCGCAAAAAATATTGTTGATTGTATGGCGGACTCTTGAGCAGGCGTGAGGTCCTTCGACGTGGACTTCGCCGCCAAGAAGGTGACGGTGGTCGGAGACGTGACGCCTCTCGCCGTACTGTCAAGCTTCTCCAAGGTGAAGAACGCGCAGCTCTGGCCATCACCTTCCCCAACCATGGAACTCATCTGAGGTGGAGGACGTAGCAACGCCGCAATGGAGGGAAGGGCCTCGTCTACGAGTAGATGCACCAGTTCATGAGGGGGAACAGATTACATCTGAATTAACCGTTGTCATGATAATTGAAGAATTCGCTGTTGAAGACCTTGTCTTAGATAGCTTAAATTTTTATGATCCGAATGTTCACCAGACCTCTCTCTCTCTCCCGATCGATCGATCTATCTATCTATCTATCTTTCTCTGCCTCTGTGAGAAGTATCATTAACATATTTATGCTTTTCTATATGGTCGGGGCCTACCAAAGGTGGACGGTTTTATATTATTGAACGATCTTATCGTTATTCCATGGCAAATCTCTTCTCTCTCTCTCTCTCTCCCTCCCTCTCCCTACTCTCTCCGTGGAGAAGGTGAATGTGGCAGACCAGGCCTGGCCTTTTAAAGTTCTGGCCTAAAGGCACGTCTTTCTACGTGCAGTTGGGTTTGGGTTGGTCCCCTCTCCCTGTTGAAAGATCTCCCGTTACAAAACATGCCACCATAATAGTTCTAATCCACTGCTATAGTTCACTAATTTAATTCTACCTGGAAAGAAATATGATGAATTTTTTTGGTGAGCTAAGCCCTCGAGAGTTGAACGAGTTGACATCCACGGACTTGGAGATGAAAGCCACGGGCAGCTCATAGCTCATCTCTCCACTTCGACTCATCGCCAATCCCCGTCGTCGTCTCAAAGAGTTCCGTTCTTCCGCTACGGTTCACAGAGGCGAGGAAAACGTCGTGGAAGAAGACTAACTGGTGCCGCAATCCACTGCCACCAATCTAATTGCCGCCGATTTAACCACGCCAGTGAGCCGTTGTCTGCCTTCAGGTGCAGCTGGAACCGCCACCGGAGTCACCTCATCGGAGACTCTGGCCGATGTGTGATTTCTCCCCCTGAAGAATTGGACTCAGAGCTCTCCATGGGGGTGGGTCAAAAGAGATGAGCCGGCGAAGAAGCGGCGTGGCGGTATTCTTTATTATATAAGATAGACCTTGAAATGGAGTCGTTGGATGCGAAATTAATCCATAAGATATGAACCTCGTTGACCAGAAGGGATTTTTTGCTGCAATGTGGTTTCGGTAAGAACCCACTTCAACGCTACCTGAACCTCTTGAATCAACGACAGTGATGGCGTTGACCATCAGACTCTTAGATATATGAGACCGGAGAGGCTCGAAATAGCATTCCCGGCTGAGGACTGACAGATGCCATGTCTACCATAGCTCGGCTCCTCACCATCTTGATCACCATTACCACCACCACCTCGGGGCGAAGCCTGGACTATGGTCTAACACAGCCGCCGCCGCCGCCGCCGCCGCCGCCGCGAAGTTCCCACCAACATATCGTCTTCTTCATGAGCGACATGCTGGACGGAGGAACTCCCTCGACGGAGCCAGAGCCCAACATCGACAACCAGCCAGTTATCAATAACCCTGTAGGAACTCCATCGCCGGAACCCAGCGCCAACCTTCCCGCTGCCGGTGGCGGCGGTGAATCCAGCAGCTGGGTCCCGTACATCTCCGATCTTCAAGGACTAGAGGTTGGGGTCATCACAGTGATTGACGAGGACCTGAGGGAAGGCAGCGCGGTCCAATCACCATTTGTGGGCAGAGCGCGAGGAATTTACGTGGCGGTTCCGGGGGATTCCGGCAGCCATATGATGGCCATGACCGCAAGATTCGCCGATGGCGAGCCGGAAGACAGTCTGAGATTCTTCGGGATCTACCAATCCGAGTCCTCTGCGTCCCATATTGCTGTCATCGGCGGCACGGGAAGGTACGACGGAGCAAATGGGTACGCTACGGTGAAGAGAATCAATGCTCTTGTCAGCTCAACTGGTCCTGCAGAGAAGAAGCTCTTACTCACTGTCTTCCTGAGCTGACACACCCCGACAGCTCCCCCCCTCACCCCCTACTGTACTCCCCCGCGTGAGAATTTATCCACTAATTATTCTTTTCATGATCATCACCATCGTCTTACTCTCTCAATACACAGACTATTCTGTGTATAAATAGAAAGCACTCATCTTCAAAGTCTACGAGTATCTGAAATTAAAGTTTGAAGTAAATGAAAATGGCCAGAAGAACAAACATATATGCCACAGATTGAACTACACGCGACCAAAAATTCATAAATTTTGAAGAAATCTATGCCAGTCTTATTTTAATTACTAAACTTTCTGCAAAATTATTTGCGATACCATATTTGGCACTTCTGGAGTTCATGTTAACTGCGCTCCCACAAAAAAAACAAATATCGAAGCGATAATGGAAGGGAGGTAAATATAAATGAAAAATAAGAGGGGTACTAAAATATCCCTGCAAAACTGCTATATTTCTAATGTAAAAAATAATAATATAATGTGCATTTTGACGGATCTAAAGTCTCCCTAGTCGAGAGAAACTTCTCCCTCACTAATGATGGCCTGGCCTTAAAGACTTTCCATAAGGGACCTTGATAGTTCAATGCGTAGTATATTAGTTGGTTTTTAGAGATAAAACTAAGTTCTGTTTTGAATTCTTCCAATTGGAAATAAAGTCATTCATATCACTTTCATATCGCCATTATATTGCACGGCATTTTTTTTAAAGGAAACTCATTTGATAATGAAAGATGATCAAATCCATATGCATTTTATCCTCATTTCGAAATGTACGAATGAAGCTCGCTTGACAATGAGGTACCACATGATATATCTCAACCATCATATAGTGTTCACACGCAGGTCTATAACTTTCGATATTTAACATGTGTCATAAATCATGTTACGGCTATAGTATCTTCAACGTTGCAACATAATGCTACACCTTTCGTAACTCAATATCTTGATATTAGGCCAACGTTAATGGCAATTTTATCAAATACTGCTCCCAAGACCAAAGGATTTTGACACTAATAAAGTAGTGTCATAATTTTGGCTTACTGTCTTTCCTGATGGAACCGCTCTTTGATTTGATAGGGGAAGTGACATCTAAGGGGCCAATGGAATTCATACGAAGTGGATTACATATATACCAAAGTTGACTTTTTTGGAGGAAACTCATCTCAAGAAGGGGAACTTTTAATACCAAATTATTTCCTATGGTTGACTTACTCAAAGTCATATGCCAATTGAGAATATTTTCTCATATTTATGCAATTTTCTCTTGTTAAGGCCACTTATGGAAAAAGGGTTGACTGGGAACTAGTGGAGAATAGTAGAAGAAGTCAAGGTTAGAATTTTAATAATAACCAATGAAGCTTATATCATGTACTATTACCGAAAAATAATATTGTACCTGTTAGAATATGCGTTCCCTAAAGAAGATGTAACTAAAGTTCCATGGTTACTTGTTATTACCAGACTACTACGTTTATTCTCAATTAACTCTCAATCAGATGCCAACGGCACCTCATTAATTTTATCCAATTTTCAAGAGTTCAGAAGCTTGATTTCGTATTGGAAGATGCATCATTCTATGGGTCGATTTAAATAATAGTGTTACGGAACCAAGTGTCTTCCAATGGTATGGGGTTCGAGTGGCAGACACGGAGGGAGGCGACGTGGGCAACGGTCAACGGGTGAGGGAAAATCTGAGTGTGGGCTTGAGGATTTCTGAAATACACAAATATGGCTGATAAAGTTTTGTTTTAGAAATATCTTCGCGTTCGCCCATATGTTTGTGGTCCACAGCTGGGACAATAATTATGTCGGTTAGTGAGCTGTCTGATAGGATCCACTGGCCCAGTCATCAGCCTTATGAGATAATTTCAAAGTTACCTGGGCAAAGTGGGCCAAACATCACGTGAACCCCTGTGGCGGCTGTCTTGTCGAAAAGTCAAGCAGTGTTGTCCTGAGTTTTTCTCTGAGAAACGATTGATTGAGAGGCACCGACCACCCGCATCAGCGACGAATCCACGAAGCCCCCACGGTCAGGGTAGGGTGGAGGAGGAGCTCCCAAAGAGCTGACTCTCGGTCAAAACATCGGATATCGACACGCGGCTTCGCGTCCGGTCGGTCAGCCAGGCAATGATGTCGGAGAAGACAAGCTCGATGCTCTCCGGCGGCTCACCGGAGATGAGGGCGTGCCACATCCCCGGGTACAGCTTGAAGGTCTTATCAGCGCTGGCCGCCGACTCGTACAGCGCTTGGCTGACCATTGGGTCGGTGATGACGTCGTCGCCGCCATGGAGGAGGAGGAACGGCAGGGAGACCTGTAAGAGACGGACGTCGATCGGGAAGGAAGCTCTTGTGGAGAAGACGGGAGAGACCAGCGGAGCTACCTGGTTGAGGTTCTTCTCCAGGTCTGTGCTGGCCAAGAGGAGCTCGTGGGCCGTCTTCAGGCGGGGCCTGCCCTTGTAACAGTAGGGGTTTTGAAGCAGCTGCCGAAGCCATGCGAAGAGGATTATATTCTCATAAATCTAGGGTGTGTTAGTCGTCATATCATTTCAAATCAGATCGTATCGAGCGTTCTTACCTCCTCCCGTCTCTCCGGGTTCTTGTTGGCGTTCTTGAGTATGTTCAGAGTAGGTACCACGCCCCACGTTGGAAACATTCTGCTCACAGTCCCCAAGAGATTGACGAATATTGCAGGCGGCTTCATTTTGTCCGAAATCTAAGGGGATCAAAGATTAGTCAGCACAATTTAGTGAGAGAAAGAGACCAGGTAGGTGGGAGAGAACCTTGCACATGGGTGCTACTAGGACGGCGCCATGCCAGAACATTGGTTTCTTCCTGTGGATGAGGAGAGCGACAGCACCGCCCATGGACTCGCCGAAGAGAAACCTCTGCCTAGTCTTGTTTTCCGGTCTTTCTACAAGATCACCGGCGAGGGAATGAGAAGCCACGCTACAATTAACAACAGAAACGTCTTTGAACCGTCGTCGTCCTCACCGCATACGCTACTGAAATAGTCGTTGCAGTCCTTCACGATGTTGTCGAAGCTTGGAATGTAGCCTTTAAGCCCGGAGGACTTCCCATGGCCCTCGTAGTCGATGCCGTAGACGGCATATCTTGCCTCCGCTAGGCGCGTCGCTGTCCCTGGAAGGTACTGCTGGATCATCATCAGGTACTGTTTAAGAATCGGTATCGGCCAACTCACAACCGACTGATTCTCTGGATATGTGACAATCATTCGGAAAGACGGTGCCAATAAACAAAAAGTTTCAAGATATAATTCCGAGATTGATGTGAGCTTGCCTCTCATTGATATGCTACACTCCAAGGAGTATCCTGCATAAAGATTAAAGAGGACTCTATAAGCTCGGGCTGATTCTTCGTACTGATAGACGACTCCAGATGGGAGTAGATTACCGTGGCAGAGGAATACGAGAGCTACCGGGTCGTCCCTTGGAATCCATCTGCAGGTAAAGAGCTTCAGACCGCGGGAATTCAGAATGAATTCTGAGTACTGCAGGGAGATGCAAGTAAATATTAGCCTTCCATGCTGATGATCAGCTGTAGAATTGACGAATTTGTGGGAAACCAACCTCGTCATATCCCGATTTCGTCGTCCTTTCCTCCTGCAAATTAGAATAAACCGGTGAAACTCATTTGTAGTGAAACCAAGGAAACCATAAAACAAAACAGTAAATCTCATCCTTCCCTCCTCTGGAAAACAAACTTACCATAGGAGGGTCGCTCGCTCGTCGTCGGTGGAGCAACGGGATGAGGATGCGAGGAGAGTGCCCACCACTGGCATAGGGGTGGCCAGAGAGAGAGAGAGAATATTGCACAAGACTTGGCTTCTTCGCCTTAAATACATGCACCAAGACATCAGAAAGTTCTCGTCTTTTACTTCCGCAAGTTTTTCACCTTTTGTACTGGACCCACTGCCCCCCCCCAATCCGGCTACGGCGTACGTGTGGCATTGTATCGATCACTCGCTCATTCCCAATCGATCCTTAAAACGGTGGACCACTAGAGTCGGCGTCAACGAACAGGTGTCATTGATCTCTCCCTAAACCTTCTCGGTTCATGACTCGTCATTAATGGAATGTGGCCAGTTGAACGAAATATGCCGTGGGTATTAGGCAATAGAGGTGGCAAGTTGGTCTCTGTTCCCTTTCCGGGATCATGAGCCTCGGTGTATTATCCCCCTGTGATGACCGCGAATGGCGGGGCGTCACGGGGGAACCCGTAATCCCCCACAGATCTTCTAGGAAAACCAACGGCTCATGCCGTTCAATCTTGCCACGTTCCTTCAGCTCACATCAGCAATGAATAAATACCCCATGCACGCACTTTCCCTCTCCTCTCCTCTCTCTCTCTCTCTCTCTCTCTCTCTCTCTCTCTCTCTCTCTCTCTCTCTCTCTCTCTCTCTCTCTCTCTCCCTCTATATATATATATATATATATATATATCTCCCTCTCCCTCTCCCTCTCCCTCTCCCTCTCCCCTCCCCCCCGCCCCCTCCATCACTCGCTCTCTTCTTTTCTCTGCACTCCCTCGCTCTCGCTCTCGATCGACAATGAATAATTAATGTATGCACGCTACCTCTCTCTTTTCTCTCTCTCTCTCTCTCTCTGTCGGCAATAAATAGTGCATGCGCGGACGAGCTCGGCCTCTCTCGCTCTCATTTTCCCTTTCGACACGCAGATCACACAGGTGCGATGGGCGGCAGCAATTAAGTCATCCATGTTTTAAGTAATATGATGGCCACCGGGCTGGACGAGTGACCTCTCCGCTAGCCCCGTCCGTCCACCGCCGGTGACTGGGACAATGTCATTGCTCTCAGGTTTGCCACTGACCTTCGGCTCACCTTCCCCCCTCAGATAGCCAATCAACAACACACCCTTTATCCGAAGGCGGCTCTCATTTTCTACAAGATTTAAATTCCGGGCTTATTTAGTACCCACTCCTCAAAACCAGCGTAAAGTGTCAACCGACCCCTCTTCAGCTCTCCCTGAATCACCCGCCTCGCTGTGGTCAACCTCCGGGATATATGTGAGGCCCTTACATCAGGAACTTGGCCGAGAGTGCAGCCTCAACAAAGTCGGCCCAATCTAACGCTAGAGTAGGACAGGTAGAAACAAGCGCAAGACGACGGTACATGGGGACCCGACATCAGCAGGGGCAACGAGGCAGTGGATCCTGCAGGACAGACGTCGAGGGCGGCGGTTGGATCCGGCGGCGAACCTACTCAAACAACAGGACCCGACATCAATGGATCCTGTCTCGTCCCGAGTTCCATCGAAGAGGAAGGACGTCAAGGCACACGACGGCTATAAGTAACTAAGAACGACCGCCAGGAAGGGGGGAGAATCGTTGTAAGGAACTCCCTTGGGAGCTGGAGACTCGCCATCTTGTATCGGCAACCCCAAGACCGACGGTCTTCGTTTGTATCATTCTCGTCCTCATCTAGTTCATCTTTGTCTTCTCGCTCCTCCTTTCTCTCTCAGTCCATTCCCCCCTTACGTCCTCTTCCGGTTCGCCCGAGCTCCCTTCACGGCTGACCCGGTCAGCGGGACGTGGAGGTTTTGAGTCTTCTTTACGCAGTCCACAAATCAAGACCTCGCTCGCGTCAATGGGAGCCCATCAATATATTACCATATGGTTGAATATGAGTGGTATTTTAAATCGAATGAAATGACCAGAATACCCTCTACTCACGGTCTGAACTCCACTGCTAGGAGGGGTGTGCTCGTCTTCCCACATGACAAATGGAAATCGATCCGTGTAATATTCTGCGGATATAGGTAAGTTTTTAACACCGGATTAAGCTGAATGGATACCAAGGGTATTGAGGACGTGACAGGATATGCCAAATAGATAAGGGGCTCATTAACAATTTGGCTAGTTGGTGGAAGCCAAGCCCGGCCCGAAAGGACTCCTTTAATAAAGTGGAAGTCGGAGCGGGCTCTGAGAATAAAAATTGGCTAGGCCCGCCCAATTAATCCAGACAACACATGCATTGGTTGCCGAAGAATGCGGCTGCCGTATGCGGGACAACTTAACCGACACGTGGGAGCGTCAGTCGGAGACCTTTCGGACGGGACCAGGTAGCGTTTTGGTCCCGCCGGTCCGGACTCGAGGGAGCCTAGTTAAGTGACTTTCGATGCGGAAATACTATTTTTTAAATATTCATGTAAAATATATACCAAATTGAGGTTGTGACGTGGATGCCACCGTGGGCTTGATGGGCTAAAGATTATCAACACACGAAAGTGGTGTGACGGTCCGGGCTCTATAGGGACCCACAATTCAACTGCCCATGTTGGGGCCATGAAGCGGACTCTCGGGCTTGGGTTGGGTGCATAAAGTAGCGACTGGTCTTGCCGGTCTGTTGACTTTCGTCCATTCATCTACAGCTCGATACCCATTTCTCTCTCTCTCTCTATATATATATATATAGAGAGAGAGAGATAGATAGAGAGAGAGAGAGAGAAAGAGAGAGGAAATGGTCCCAATTTCCGAGGGAGTAAGATTCCTATCTAAATATTCAGTGTCCGATCCGGGGGGAGGACTGTCATGCTCTCTCTCTCTCTCTCGCTATCAAGCCCTCCGAACTCTGAGAGGCTTGATGATGGTAACGATTTCACGGGCGCCAAAGAAGCGTATGTAGTGGAGTAAGATCACAGGATTAATAACGAGCTTTCTCGCTGTCTTGAGGCGGCTAGGTTTCCTTGTCGTGCTCGGTCTTCTGTTCCTTCTCTAAGCTCGCCGCGGGCGAGCGTTCGTCGAGCCAGGCGATGATGTCGGAGAAGACGAGCTTGATGCTCTCCGGCGGCTCCCCGGAGGTGAGGGCGTGCCACATCCCCCGGTACAGCTTGAAGGTCTTGTCTGTGCTGGCTGCCGACTCGTACAGAAGCTGACTCACCGACGGATCGGTGACGATGTCGTCGCCGCCGTGGACGACGATGAATGGCAGGGAAACCTCCAACATCAAAGACCAAAGATTACTCCGAGGTGAGAACTAATTATTTTAAATTTTCCCAAGGAAAGACGAACCACGGAAAGAAATAAATAACCTATCCGGAATAAATACAGTTTGGCTTCTCGAAAACTAATTCCTAGAATTATGCACATGTTGACTCTCAGTAGTAATTTCAGTGTCTCTTAGTTTTTCAACCCAGACATCAAAATTAGTTAGAGACAGAAAAAATGCTCTCTCTCACTCTCTCTCCCCCCCCCCTCCCAACGCTAATTCAAAGGTAGGGGTTACCTTGTGTAGTTTCTTTTCGATGTCCTGGCTCGCCATGAATAGCTCGTATGCCGTCTTCAACCTGGGCCTTCCCTTGTAGCAGAGTGGATTCTCCCGCACCTACCAATCACAAGACAATCCAACAATCTACCAATACTCTCGATCCATATATCGATAGGGAGACGGGGGGAGGGAGCGAGAGAGAGAGAGAGAGAGAGAGAGTCTACCTCCCTCCTCTTTCCTGGGTCTTTAAAAGCGACATCAATGATATCTTGGGTGGGCATCAACTTCCAGGTTGGAACTATTTTGCATAGAATAATTAACATTTTAACGACCAAAGGGTGAGGCTTCAATTCGTCAGATATCTGCCAGGATTCATTAAACAAACTATAGGTTAGAACATGCGATAACAAATTTAATTAATATTTTTTCGACCAGTTGCATCGATTGAGATACAGTTATGTTTCTCCCCTGCACATGATGTTCTCAGGCTTGAGAACATCATGCGACACTAAAACAACTGCTTTTAAGGTTGGACTGACGGGAGATTGGAGCCAGGCCTCATCAAAACCGTCCAGGACACAAACAACTGCTTTCTCTGAAGGTCTTGGAACCTGACTGAAGTAAAGAATTCCCAAAAACCAAGCTTCAACCGTGTACCCACCACCCATATGAATCCCGGCCCCGTCCACTGCATGCGTCCATCTTGGAGAAAGATAATTTATGCTTGCGTGGGTACCTCTGGGGATGTGCAGGCATCGACGCGAGTGATCATAGATTAGTGTTGTTGTCATAAAAATAGACCCTTTGCTTTGGAACCAGTTCCTATAGAAGTCCCCAATTCTGATCCAGGGAAAATGCGGGGAATGCAAAAAAAAATCGGATCGGTTGAGCCCCCTTCTAATAATAGCATCTCACGGGGACCCAGATGGACAGACCCTTGGGGAGTAATGAGGAATCTTGATTGGCGCACGAAGCACCAGCGCGGATCATGAATGAGATGTCCCGGATTTTAAGATGATTGAATGGTAAACGACGAGATGAAGGACAAGAAGATGACCTTGCACATGGGCGCCACCAGGACCGCACCGTTCCAGAAGGAGAGCTTCTTCCTGTGGAGGAGCAGCGCCACGGCCCCTCCCATGGACTCCCCGAGCAAGAACCTTTTCTTCTTCCGGTTCTCCTCCTTCTCTGCAGCGTAATTACGCAATTGGATTCCATCAGCAAGATGCGAGCGCTCACAGATGGACGGGTGTTCCCCTTGCCTTTTTTCTTCTCCTTCTCCTCTGGTTAGGTCTTACCGCAGACATGGGTGAAATACTCGGAGCAGTCGTCGACGAGGTCGTCGAAACTTGACACGAGCCCCTGCAGCCCGGCGGACTTGCCGTGGCCCTCATAGTCCAGTCCATGCACCTCGTAGCCTCCCTCAGCCAGGGCGATTCCGGTGCCTGAACCACCACCATCAGCATCATCGTCATCATCATCATCATCATCATCTGTGGAGGAAGATCGGTAGGGCATCTAGAGATATACGAAGAAATCCAGGAACCATTCTCACCTCTCATCGAGATGCTGCATTCCATCCCGTACCCTGTGAAGAACACTGGCGATCAGATGGATTAGAAGGAATAGAACCGTTGAAATCTTAGATCACGAAAATACCGTGACAGAGGAATATGAGAGCCTTGGCGTCTGAGTTCTTGGGAAGCCATTGGCAAGTGAAGAGCTTCACCCCCCCGGAATTCCATGCGAATCCCTGGAAGACCAGGTTATGAGGGAGGAGTCGGCGAAGCTGCCGTTTTCTTCTGTGATGCAAAAGATTGACTGACCTCTTCATAGACGTATTTCACGCTGTTCTTCCCGGCATCGGCCTGAGAAGGAGAATCCATGGGGGACGGTTTATCCGGCCGTCGGCAGAGGCCAGCGAGAGGGGTGGAAGAAGAGAGGATTCCGACGAGTCGACTCGGAGATGTGACCGGAGATGAGCAGGCGGAGACGAGGAAGAGCGAAAGGGAGAGGAAGGTGGGTTCGCACGTTGGGTTACGAACGCCGACCCGGACGTGTTACTTGAGACGGGAAGGAAAAGACTTTGACTTTATTGAGAGACCATGTAACGGCGCAGTCGGCTGTGCCCTTAGATTGCCCAATCGCCGGGCTCCTTCCTATTCAATGGATGGTGGATCGCGGTTCTATAGGTCAACGATCAGGCCAGCTCATCCAGATGATGTTAGATAAAATAAATGTTTTTTTAATTCTAAAAATTTTCGGGGATAGGTAGAGCATGGGCTTCCACGTGTAATTATTGGGCGTGGAGTTGAATTCTCTCTCTCGCTCTCTCTCATCTCCCCCAAACTCCGAGGACAACCTAATCTACCGTGACAATAGTCAGAGCTTCTGAAACGTTATTAGCTTTCCCTCGAGTGAAGAAAATCGCTAGCCAGAAAATCTGGTTCCAGATTATCATGGCACGTCAGACTCATTCCACTGACCAATTTTGGAAGAGCTCCAAACCCTAACCATCGTAAAATTTCCAAATATTACGACCCAAGCCAGAAAAAAAGCATATTTTTTTATCCCAGTCATTCGCGCATTAACATCCTTTTAGAATAGCCTTGGACCCTGTTGCTTATATCCCTTGCCCGCCGCCCCCCCCCCAACCCCACTTACCCTTCTCTCTCTCTCTCTCCCATGTAGGGTTGCCCCACGTGCAGGCGTACTACAGTAGGGTTGATGAAACCCGTGGAGGAATGTAGTTCACGAAGGCTGGCGACTGAAAACAGTGGTTCCGCAGCGATTTGCAGGCACTTGTTCCATTCGTGGAAACCTCTCGTGAAGAAAGCCAAGGACGACGCACCGAACGAACTACACCACTCGGCACGCGCAAACCATGATAGAAGCTAGATCTGGGCCGTGAAGAATACCGCCCGGAAACCCAGAATCCCTCCACTGGCCCAATAATCTCTCCCTTTTCCCACTCCAGCCACAAGTGACGATGGGCTATGGGCCTGCCCGAATAATGGGCTCATTGAAGCCCGGGCCCGAGCGTCCACCCCATCCAAGCTCGGATTTGGGCCGAAGATGTGATTAGCCCCTATAAACCAGGTCGGCCCAACATTCTTTGACCGTGTTACATCAAGTTGGGAGTCCGGTTATGCATTCAGGAGAAGAGTAGCGTTGAGAGGGGTACAGGCAAGGTGGGCCACTCCAAATGTCATTTTCGGGAAGGCCCGTAATGAACCTATCGAGTTCATTATCATACTGGAGATTATTATAGTCCAAACGCTACCGATTCAGCCGGGCCCATCTTCGTTGGGCCCAAAATTGATATCTTGCTGCTGACCAAGGGTTCCATTCAATTGGTGCACCAGCTATTCGACGAAATGCCGATCATTTTTTCTTGAAGGATAGGTATGGGCGGAGGGTTAGGTGGTGCTTGGGGCAACGACAAATAAGACAGGGAGGACATGTGGATCTGAGTCACCGTGCTCGTCGAGATCGATCCTTGTTTAATGCTAGACTAGCAGCATTGAATGTTTGACTTTCTCCTGCTATTTAAAGTAACTGTTAATCCCAAGAACCAGAAGATGTGGCTGTGCGTGTCTCTTCGGGTGTACATCTCTAGATGTTTGACTATCATAGATCGACCTTCCTCTCTTTCTTTCTCTCTCTCTCCCCGTTCAGTCCTGTAAAAGAGATATTGGAAGATGTTATAAGAATACAATGTGAATATTGACAATTATTCTTCAAATATTGTGGTCGGCATGCATTAGCTCGTGCCGTCGCTGGAGAGTTGGATGGCCCATTAGGGAGATGTATGGATCTACGCAATGTACAATGTATCCAGAGAGAGAGAGTGAGTGAGTGAGAGAGAGAGAGAGAGAGAGAGAGAGAGAGAGAGAGACAGAAGGAGGATTTTAGGTGTCCATACACTCGTGTGGAGCCCGAGTGCTTCACGAGTCAATCATCACTCATGTTACTTTGTTTTCCCAGTTACCAACTCGGATGGGCTACGTAGATATAGATGGGCGGTTGAATATGGACAGGACTGGTCATCTATCTTTCCCCTGACGCAAACCATGACGTCGATTTCGTACGTTCCTTGCGTATCCAATATCCATCCGTACCAGCAGTTCCGACGTTGACCAGTTTGTGACGGCTGCACTTGAAGTGGGTGGCGTACACAGTGAGACAAAATGAACGCAAACCACAAGAAGCCCGATGATATCTGTACGTAAGCAAGATTCGACCAAGGATTTCTCAAACCTTCTAGAGTTGACTTTAGGTTCTCCCGCCGATCTCAGAATACTTTACTCATCAATGTCTTCTCCGAGATATCTCAGACTAGGTGTTCTTCTCGTGCTGACAATCAAGCCAAAGAGCTCTGAGCCAGATACTTGCATATTTTAAAAAATTGGAAGTTTCTCGAACGTGGGTGGCGCCACGAAGTCGTTTACATCCACAGAAAAGATACGGACCCCCTGAACAGAAGTGAATGGGCGGTAGAAATGAGAAGATCTAGACAGTTGGCAAGGACGGATGTAAGATAGATTGAAAACTTCAAATAGAATAACTCCCTTGGATTGCGAAATTTCCAAGTACCCATTCTCAAGTTTGACTTTATATATCACAAGGACGACTTAGCTGAGGCAAAGATGAGGTTCACAGTGGGAAGAACGAGGAAATGGCGTCTCAGCCAGACGAGGAGACTGGACGCCAGATTACTCGTGGCCAGCGCGATGAGACAAGGGGCGACGTACGAAACGATGATGCTGACAGAAGGAACCAAAAACCATTAGCTGTCGCCTTCAGGTGATCTCCGTGCACGGAAAGAAACCTGCTGAGAGGCGCCACAGCAACTCGTGTCGAACAAAGACCCTGGAGGTCATATCAGACGCGGCGGCCATCTCCAAGAAAGATATTGAGAAGGATGTGGCTGAGCTACCCCCAGTTGTTAGGCCGCATGAAATGTCACAATGGGAAGGTCCCATATCGCGGTCATGGATCTTTCCATTGATAACTTCCAAGGTATAGTTATCTTTGTCACCAATTTAGATTTTAGATCTTCTACCATACAATGAGAGAGAGAGAGAGAGAAAGAGAGAGAGAGAGAGAGAGAGAGAGAGAGAGAGAGAGAGAGAGACAAAGAAGCTTAATCTCTATACCCGGGACGGCCGTGCGCTGCAGCATTTCACGTTACTTCGTTTTCATAGAGATCACGCGAGGCGGGTTTGCGTCGGCAGGAGAGGTATCCTGCGTGTCGTCGACAATGACGTTGACTCCGTACGTTCCGTATTGGATCATCCGTACACCCCCTTTGCCCACGTGGCCCAGTTCATCCCATGTAGAGTGACGTGTGCTGAGACAAGATTGACAACCACAGAAAACCCCAATATATCTCTATGCCCGGCGACAATTGGCGGTGGCGTTTCCCCCTTGCCCTTGCCCCAAATATGGTGATTATGTCATAGCTGCGTGTGTGAGGTTTATTTGTATCATGCTCACAATTACACATTGGTAATTGAGGAATCTCAGGGATCGGTCCTGCTTTCACACCCCAGAGCGGATGACATGACAAGGTTGACTTTAACCAAGAAAGGAAAGTTGGAAATTAGAGGAGAGAAAATATTCAGCCCCAAAATAAACGAGAGAGAGAGAGACGCCTCCTTGGTTGATATTCACATGAAGTCAGGGATTACGAGATGGGACCTCTAAAATCAACGCTTTAGATCAATCGAAGGCTGTGATCTAGGCAAATTATGGGCCCATTTTGATGCCCATTTTGGTGAATACGAAGTTGGCCTTGACCGCGGTTTATACACATAACGTTAATTATATACAGAATATAAAAAAAATACTATTCGATGAAGCCCCGCTGTCCGTGGCCTTTGCGTGCTGAGGGAGGAATTATTCGGAGGGAGTTGGGGGTGGGGTTGGGGATCAACGCCGTGCTGCGACGAGCGGTGGGTGCTCACGCGATGAAAGCCTTGACGTACTTGGTATCATGAAAGTTTCAGAGATGGTAGCCTATGACTCACCAACATTCCTTCCGACTCCCCTAACCAACATTCCTTCTTATTTACCCTCACCAATCTCTCTCTCGCTCTCTATCTCAATATTTGGCATTGAAACGATGGTCGTTGGAGGAAGTCTATCTTGTGACGAGTTCCCCAAAGATATTTGGAAGTAGGACATAAGGATTTGAAGTCAAAGAAGAGGGTGGGTGGCAGAGTAGGTCGCTGACCCGGGATCCCATTGCGGCCGCGGAAGAATATAGCTTCCTTTTCCTGTGGACCGAAAGCTATGAGAACAACGTCATAGCCATGGACATATTCAAGGCGAGAGAACGAAAAATCGAACAAAATTCGTTCTAGACGAGGCCTTTCAACAAGTGATCACCAAACGAGCCTAATTGAAGCTGTAAACTATTGGAAGATATTGAGGGTGAAGTCTCACATTAGGGATATCGAAGGAAGAGAGAGAGAGAGAGAGAGAGAGAGAGAGAGAGAGAGAGAGAGAGAGAGAGGCCGAAATCTAGTATAAAGAATCGTAGAAGAAATATCAGTCTTACGTAAGGAATCGTCGAACCACATTGTCTTACACTTCGTCTCTTCTTCTTCAAAAATTCATAGATGCACATAGAAGATTATCGTTTCATCCTGACACGCTACATATCTGCTTAGCGATCTAGTGTCTCATTCGCTTTCGAAAAATCTGAAAGACAAAATCATCGCTGTAGACTAAATGGACTTCTCACCAGACGTCAATAAAATTTATTCTGAAGGCACGAAGATTTGATTACGACAAGAGAGAGCCTCGCGAGGAGTTGTGATATCCACATACGAGAGAACCTCCCCATTTTTCTAGTGATCTTTCCTCTCCACCAGAATAGCCCCCTCGAAGTTGCCACAGACGCCGTCTGCCGATCGAACACTCGGTTTTTTACGGTGAAAGAAATGATGGCCGGGCTGTGTATTTGGACAGGATTCTGCTTCTCCTCCGTGACGCAGATAATGACGGAGGCTCCGTGCACGACGAGCTCCGCCGCCGGCCTGAGCTCGAACTCAGCCACGAGCCACTCGGACCGTCCAAAGCCTCCGGATATGTTTTATTTGTGTTGCCATCTGATAGACGACAAAGGAACAGGATGGTGACGATAATTGAGAGAGAGAGACACTCCGATTCCCGGTTCCTGCTCTCAACTGCGACGTTCGACCGTCCGCTGAGCAGCGCAATTGCCGTGGCAGCCCAACACGAAGGAAGAAAGGAAGAACGTGTGAACCCCCTCGGTGGCAGCCGCTTCCGTCTCCGTTTCACGGCAGGCAAAGGTTTGGACCAAGAAGATCTCTTCGCCCGCAACTTTTGGCCAACGATGAGACCGAAGGTCAAGGAAGATGGCGCTCCCAGTGTTTTCATTTTTCATATCCGAATATGGTTCTGTTTTAGTAAATATTAAACACTCGTATACATCAACGGTTCAAGAAAGGTTTCTTTGTGTGAGAGAGAATATCTCCCTCGGAAGTATCTGGATCCTTACACTCGGAGGCCTCCCATCATCGGCGGCGTCCCCTGGCTCCGCCAAATCCGTGGAAAGATCTCTTCCTCTGACACAGACCGTTGTAAAATCTGTGGACAAAAATAGGTTAAGATCACCGAAGGTTTAGAAACCCATTTCCAGATGAGGCTGTAGAGATCAGGAGGGTCAACGTCGCGCCCAGCGGTCATCACATCCTTATAACATTTATGAATGAAAACGAGCGGAGCAAAGTGGACAGGGGCATCGGTGTCAACGAGGTGTCGGGTCTAAGGCTGGAGTTAGAAGTACCCAGACTACGCATTCAATTGACTGCCAAAGTGATGTTAACAAATTGATGTATACATATACACGTATATAATATATTTTCTATTTTTGGATTGAGGAGAGCATGTTGCCAAACAGATGAGCGTGCTAAAGGATGAACAGTCGACGACTATAGACAGGATCCTGTTTTCGCTATGATGATCATAATGAACCTCTTACTTCATTCCGTAAAGCACGCAAAAAGTAATTGCGCTGACATAATGGACAGGATGGACGGCTAAGCCGAAGTCAAAGGAGGCAGTAATGGTTGTGGGGAAAAGGAATGGCTAGGGCTATTTGCAGCGCCTTGACCCACCCCAGAGCCACATTCCTCCCTTCGGACAAGCTGCAATGTGTTTAATCATCTTTCTTTGTGGCCATTCACATGTTAACTGAGAGTAGCTGGAATCGAGTTACTAAGAACGGCATCTCGAGTCCCACGGGATTCACCAGTTGGAGTACGACGCTCGCTTGATCACCGCCTAGCGTTCATGGGGATCGAGAGAATTGACACGATACTTGTAGATACCGTCAATCCCATCCCAGTAGATCCGTGAGGCGAGGAGTACAACCATCTCCTCCTCAGGCATGGATGATATCCCAGAGAGAAGTACCGTGATCTCTCCGACAGCAACGTTTGACCAGCTCTTCGCGCCGGTTTGAAGACATCTTTGACTTCTTCATCTCGCATTATCCTGGGATGCTAATCCCCAATGCCCGTTTTACATGATAGTAGCTGCACGATCTGATGGTATAAGCTGATCTACGTCTCTGAACCTCTCTTTCATCGTCGTGACCAATTCTCAAGAATTCATATGAACTTCGAATTCCTCTCTCTCTCTCTCTCTCTCTCTCTCTCTCTCTATCTATCTATCTGTCTAGCTCTCGCTCTCTCTGTCGCTCGCTCTCTCTATCTTTCGCTTTCGCTCGCTCTCTCTCTCCCCCCCTGTTTACTGGGTCATAACATGTAAGCAAAGAGCATTTAAGAGAGATGCGAAATGCTCTCCGAAAACATCGAAAGTCAGCTTCCCTGATTTGAACGCGGCAGGAACAGTTTAAATGCATGGGTGCGAGTCTCTTGACCGGGAGAGACGCCTTCCACATCAGCGGATGGACGGACCGGAGACTGGCGTCGCCTGAGTTCTACAAATGGGAACGTTTTCGTTGCCAAGGGCTTCTTCCGCTGCCCATGTTCCCATGTCCCCATTTGCGCGGAAAAAGTTGACCAGGTCATTGTCGCCATACAGGACCATCCGCCCGCCACGTGTGACGTGTAAGTATCTATATAGAAGTCAAAGGTGGCGCATTCAGGAAGAAAACTCTTCTCTGGACGTCTCACGCTGAGACCACGCGGCGGTCTCTCTCACTTCAACTCCTTGCAGCAGAAGCAGACGCCGTCTGTTTGTCCTGGTAGCAGTAGACGGAGAGGGAAGGGCTCTATTCGCCCTCTCATCCATTACGTGGCACGCAACGCTTCACGAACTCTGACGTGGGCTCTGACAGCACTGCTTCGAGGGCGCATTGTCTCACTGGACGACACAGCGTGTCTAACCCAGTGACTAAGACAATGACGTGGCGGCGTGGCAGTAGAGGGCAACCGTAATTGAGGGACCTCCGCCGTCAGTCACACGTGTACTCACCCCCCCACCCCCCCTTACCATTTAGTTTCTGTGATATAGTAGGATTAACAAGCCACGTGGAGCCTGCTGTTAGGCTGCAGCAGCAGGAGAGGCGCGAACGTGGGTGACGTGGACGTCAGGCCAAAATAGCGGCACGGTGGGACAGTGAAAGCGTTGACCGAGATGACATAGAAACATTGGCTCACGTGTAAAAATGCGACTGCGCCGTTGACCAGTAACTCCGCGTCCTTGATTATTGGGCAGGTAACATTCGTAACGGCCTGTGACTCTCTCTCATTCACTTCTCCCTCAAGAAACTGCAGTAACAAGGCGTACCACTGATCAAATCTTAACTGTTGGATTGTCACCAACAAGGCATCAGCTTTGAAATCGGGCTTAAATTGTTAGAAAGGGTCGGGGGATGGGCGGGTAAGTTCTCTTGAACTTCCAGGCAAGTAGAAGACGCCAACTGGACAGGAATGTTCCGGCCCGGTAGGATCTGGAAGCTTCTCGACAGAAACCCCCGTTTTCTGTCGAGTTTATGCATATTTTATACAGGAATTGATCCGAGTGAGAAGGAGGGAGGCACTATCTCTCGATAGTCTGAAGCTGACCGTTGACTCTAACGCGGGAAGCGCGCCGCCTTCGTTCTATCTCACGTTGTGTCCCGGAATTTCGGCGGCTGTAGCTGTTTGGAACTCGGCCAGGGTCAGGTGCCTCCGGTTCCCGCGTCTGCGGAGTCGAAGAGCGAGAGTAAATGACAGATTTAACGCGTTCCGTCGGGCGGCACCCGCAGCTTCCGTTACCGCAGGCCCGTACCCGTGAGCGCTCCGAGTCAACGCGTCTTACTCGTCCCCTCTCCGCCCTTCTCTCTCCTCTATAAATGCTCTCCCCCGGCTCTCCTCCAGTATCCCAACTCCATTTGTAACCAGATCATCTGCGCGACTACCTCAGCTCTCCTCCGCCTCCCTCCTCTCTGGCCTCCCTCGTCCCACCTCAATCTAAGAAATACATCACCGTCGCAGGGAGATGCCCATTAAGGGAATGCGCAGCATCTTCTTCCACCCCTCCCCTCGACGCAGCGACCGCCACGCCGCCTCCGGAGAGGCCCCGGCGTCCACTCCGTCGACGCCGCGCCGCAGCTTCTCGGCCACCATGATGGAGGAGAACATCTCTGCCGCAGAGGAGATCATCACCAAATGGGACCCCGAGGGATCCGCCTATGCCAAGATAACCTCCATCTTCTACGAGAACCGCGCTGAGGCACGGCAATTCCTCCGCGCAGTCTCGGACCTTCAGCGGGCTATGCACTTCTTCATGGCGGACTCTCCTGTCTCCAGCAGTGACCTTCTCGTCCGGGGACAGACGCTCATGCAGGCGGCCATGCGCCGCCTCCAGAAGGAGTTCTATCAGATCCTCTCCGCCAATCGTGACCGCCTGGATCCGGAATCAATCTCCGCGTCCGAGCGCTCGTCCCTTTCCCTCACTTCCTCTTCCTCTCTCTCTGACCTCGAGGAGGATGAGATTCGTTCTGCCACGGAGTCCATTGGTGAGGTGGAGCGGGTATCTTTCATCGCCATGGCCGACCTCAATTCCATCGCGGACTGCATGATCTTCTGCGGTTACGGCAAGGAGTGCGTCAACATATACAAGACCATCCGTCGCTCCATCGTCGACGAGGGCCTCTACAAGCTGGGGTTCGACAGGCTAAGCCCCACCCAAATTCAGAAGTTCGACTGGGATGTGCTCGAGATGAGGATGCGAAGTTGGCTTGCCTCCTCAAAGGTCGCAGTCCGCACTCTCTTCTCCGGCGAGCGAGCCCTCTGCGACCACGTCTTTGCCTCCTCGGAGTCGATCCGTGAATCCACCTTCGCCGAGATCGCCAGAGACCCCGCTATATACTTCCTGGGCTTCCCGGAGCTGGTGGCGTTGAAGACGAAGCGCTCGCCGGAGAAGATCTTTCGGATGCTCGACATGTACGACTCCATAGTCGAGCTGTTGCCCGAGATCGAGTCGGTCTTCTCCCACGAGTCAACGTCCGCCGTCAGAGCCCAGGTCACCTCCTCCCTACAGAAGCTCGCCGAGGCGGTCCGGTCCCTACTCGGCGACTTTGAGACAGCGGTTCAGAAGGACAACTCCAAGGTACCCGTTCCAGGTGGCGGACTCCACCCCCTCACTCGGTACGCGATGAACTATCTGGTTTTCCTCGCCGACTACAGCGAAGCCCTCACCGAGATATACGCCGATCAACCCTTCCAAATGCCCGCCTCGGTACCGGAACCCTTCTTCGACGCCGTCCCATTGACTTCGACGCCGCCGTCTCCCGCCTACCGCGCCGGAGAGGGCTCCCTCTCCCCCATCTCCGTCCGGCTGGCTTGGCTTATCCTCGTCCTGCTCTGCAAGCTCGACACCAAGGCCGAATCCTACCGCGAGGTCTCTCTGGCATACCTTTTCCTCTCCAACAACCTCCGGTACGTGGTGAACAAAGTCCGTGGCAGCCAGCTACAGGGCATTCTCGGCGACGACTGGGTCTCCAAGCACGAGTCCAAGGCCAGGAACTACGCCGCAAGCTATGAGCGCCTGGCATGGGGAAAGGTCCTGGCGACAGTGCCGCAGACCGTTGCGGCGGAGACCGACGCGGCAAGGGAAGGCATGCGCCGCTTCAACGAGGCGTTCGAAGAGGCGTGCAGGGAGCAAGCCGGGTGGGTGGTCCCTGATGGGAAGATGAGGGATGAGCTGAAGCTGTCCGTCTCCAAGAAGCTGATCCAGGCGTACCGGTCCTTCTACATGGTGACCGCCACCGTGCTGCGGGGGGAGAAAGACTTGCCCACCCTCCTGCGGTTCTCACCCGACGACCTTGGGAACTATCTCTCCGACCTCTTCTTCGGCGACACCAGCACTGGCTCGAGCTCCTCCTCCATCTCTGGTTCCTCTAAGGCTTCGAGGATGCCCGTCTAGCCGGATCATCCCCCTCCTCCACTCCCCCAAATTCAAAAGAGAAATATCATGTATTCTGAATCACGTCTGCAAACGTTTGAAACTGGTTCCAACCACGGGAATTCAACCAGTTCCAAGCGTTTTCAGAGTGACCGATCTCTCTACCGTCGGAGATCTGTACATAACAGAGTCAACACAAATTCAATAAGGCTTGTTTCTTCCGACCATCATCTTGGAAACGACGATGTCTTCACCTTTCTTCCTTAATACGGGGATCTCCATCTCGAATTTCAACTCGAATAAATATCTGTTGACGAAAAGCGACGGCCGCGCCGCCAAGAAAGGATCGTCGCACATTGCTCGGCGCAAACCGCAGTCCGAAAGCCTTTTCAGAGCGAGCGATCTCTCCATCGTTGAAGATCTGTGCAGAACAGAGCCGCCACTGATTCAATACGAGTTTTTCTTCCGAGCATCACCTTGAAAACAACGATGTCTGCATTTTTTCTTCCTTAACACCGTCATCTCCATCTCTAATTTCAAACGGAATACTGCTGTGCGACGGTGACGCCCGCGCGGAAAGGATACGGGCACATTGCTCGGCGCACAACGCTGTCCGAAAGGGACTTCCGCCGGTCGTAGGAGAGACGTGGCCGGAGACCCCCCACGTCTGGGGAATCGCGTACAATATCTTCTAAAGTCACGTCAGTGACCAAAGCGGTGGCCCTGGATTTCCCAAGAACTGTACCTTTAGATTTGCTCCGGAGATATTAACGAGGGAGAAATTTCCCGACCTTGTCAGTCAACATCCGTGGGTCATCGTGCCACGTGGCACACTGTGGCGAAACGTTAAGAGCCTTGTGAAAACATGCTCTCCTCGTAATCTCGTTGGAGGATCATTGAGTCTGAGGGGGCGGATGTAGGGTAAGCTAGAGTCGATTGGGAAGAAACTGGTGGCCGTTCATGAGTGTTCCTAACGCTGGCCTATGGGATTGATAAACTAGCAAATTATTAGCAAATTATGACTTTTTTGACGATATTTAGATATAAGATTAAGGGGAAAATGACTTTTACGAGTTTAGAAATAAGCCAATGGCCCAAATTGAAGCCTCATAGGGTTAATTAAGAATATATTAATTGGGCGCATGGCCCAAGCATATTAGTGGGCCAAGTGGGCTTCTAGGTTGCCCCAACTAGCATTTTGGCAGGGAAAGGTGTGATTGACTTCACACTCACATCATGAGCGGCACACGAGTGGATCAAGTCATCATAGTAGATGACCACAGTCAAGCCAATGGAACATAATGTTAGGGGATCATTTAATAGTGTTGTCAGAGAAAGGCATTGCATGTTGACGCATCTGGGGTTTACACATCTCTATAAAAGGTCAATTGAGTGAAGACAGATCATGCCTCTATATTTTATATATTCTTTTCTATAGACACAACATCATATATTGACACATTGGTGACACTAGTAGATAATGAATACCAAAAGAGTGTATGAATAACAACTTAATATCAAAACAATAATTGATGTTCGAGGAGAATAGAACTCAAGTGCAAAGGTTGTTTGACATGGAGGACCACCTTTGTGTAATGTCTAGCCATAGAGGAACCAGCTAAATGACATGTGGGTAGTGACATCATAAGTCATCATATACACTAGTGACATTAGATGTGGGACTATCTTACGAGAGGTTTTGAGACCCTTGCAATAGATGTTGCACCAGCAAAGTAGGTAATGACATACATGCAATTGACCAATGAAGAGAATGTCATGCATGCAATCGACCAATGAAGAGAATGGCATACATGCAATCGACCAATGAAGAGAATGTCATGCAGATAGCAAGTTATGGTGAAGCACTAAATATCTAGATTGAACTAAAGCCACTGTTACTAAAGGTAATGACAAGTTCTTTATAACAAACATCACATGGTTGGGAAGTAACGCACATTTACGAACTCTTATAATGAAGGACTACATAAAATAGTTTTCATTACTCATTGATATAAAAAATGTGTTATAAGAAGATAACATAGTTCAACTTTATCGTTGGTCTTCAACCTTGAGCTCATGTAGAGCTGAGGTACTAAATCGTATAAGATTACAATAACTACAACAACAATTAATGTATTGATAAATTACAAGACAAAGCCTATCAACACTAGGAGTGGTAGTAAATCATTGAAATAGTGGCATGAATGATCAACTAAATAGTAAAAAATGCAACTTAGAAGTAATTCATTCAAGAGAGATTAAAGTGTGCTCAATATAGAGGTAGTCAAATGAGAGAAAAGGACATCTTCCAATCTCTTCAAAATAAGTGCTGCATTTTTTTTCTTTGTGGAGCTTAAAATCAATGACAAATCTACTCCTACAATGATGGAGAAGGGCCACTCATAATTTTCTCTCAAGAAAAGAGGCCACCTAATTAGACATAATTTTATCATAAAGCTTGGACTGAATCAAGGTTGTTAATAGATGACATGTACCCTAACTAAGACAACATGTGAGAATTTTCTACAAATTGGAGGATGGAAAGATCAGTAGATTTCACAAAACTATCTATACACAATTTATTAACCATCTTAGAGATTGACTTCCTTATGTAGCATATGAAAAATCCTTTTATCATTGTTTTGTTATTTTCATCACAAGCAAAGAAGAATCATTCTTTATTTTGGAAGTAAGAAGAGCAGCACCAACCTAAGGACTAAAGTTAATGTCTACCCTATAGTTGTGAGACAAACATACCTTGTTATCATGGGAGGCTTGACATTGAGATATGTTTGAAATACTTGAATACATAATATTAGAAATCTACATATGTAGTAGTGTTATGGTCATAACAACAACTATTGTGATGTCACATACATATAGACGTATAAAGGCTGTGTGCAATAAAAGAGGTCAACATATTTTGGTAAGTACCATCTAGAGTTGCATAATTATGAGAAGAGTTTCATTCACACTTTAGGGATGTAGGATTTTAGAGTGGTTTGGTTTAATATCTTTTACTTATGTTGACTTTTGAGATGTTCACCTTAGGTCCACTATGTTAATACTTATATCACACCTGATTTTAAGAGATAAGGAACTCCTTACATTATTATACTTCACATGTTTGTGATAACCTCTTAAGACCCTATAATAGAAATAGTCATAAGTAACCATGCTGCCAGCACACTACAAGTGTCACAATGTTATAGTAAATCACAAAGTCAACACACTCCGAGTGTCTCGACATTCACTAAATATTAGTCACAACAAGAGTATCATCAATAACAAAATCAAACTTTTACCTTTCCCTTCATTCAAGGATATAATTGTTCAACTTCATTAAAGAATGTAAGGAAGTACAACCAATAAAGGGAGCACATGAGATCTCTAAAGTATGAAGCACCCTTAAGTGTCATTGAAGTTTTGGGACATAAAGGTCTTCTTTAATACAAGGCTTCATCAAGTTATTGTTAGACATGATTTTATGGGGTGATGAATGCAGATAAGAGAACCACAAAAGCAATTGTTGCATTTTAAACTTCAATTTGAATCATCTTTCCCTAATTTTGGGCAAGATATCATTTTTATACTTTGAGTAAACTAGGTTAGCCCTCTATTTTTAAAGATTTACTAAAAGACTTATTTCTATATTGGGCAGATATTATTCATTGTACTCCTAATTGACATGCTTCTATTATTAGGGAAAACTAACTTCTAGAAAGTGGTTTGTGATTCATTTTCTATATTTTAGTGGGTTATGACCTAATTTAAAATTGATTGTTTGAATAAATATATATATTAAAAAAATATATTAAATAAAAAACTAATATTTTCATGATGTATTTGAAGTCATGATTTCTCAAATAATCCAAATTGTACTTAGTGCATGTGATTTAATTTATATAAAGAAAAATCTCACCAAAAAATGTCAATCTCATTATATCAATTTTTTTCTTTGAGTAATTAAAACAAATCAAATTTCAATCATAATTTTATATCTTATGTCAGCAATTTTATGATTTTCAATCAAGATTGATGTTACTTAAATATCTTTACAAATCATCAAAAGAATGTTGAGTTATCAAAAACTCAACAATGTCCCTTTTTTTATGATTAAAATATATTGAAATTATTTTTCTTTCTCCTCAATAATTCACATTTTCTTCCTCTAACTTTATGACTCTCCCCTCACTTTATCAATTTGTATACACAACTTTTCTTTCACTTTGTAACATAAAAAAGATATACAAATATTGTGTCACACACCCGAGAGGTAATAATGATACAAATAATAGATAATAAGTTCATTTCTATTAGTGTATGAGAATCTTCCCACTTATATCATATCAAAATACTCATCACACATATATACTCATTATTGTGTCCAAAATTCACACTTATACACATAGACCCATGAAACATTGGTTATTTAAATTCTATATTTTACATTTCTATTTCCATCATATCATAAATGAAACTTTTAGATTCATGATGCTAATCACTAAAAGAATAAGAATATTTCATGAATAATCATCAACTTTTATAAAAATATTGATCAAATTTGGCTCCATGGCTATCAAAGTAAAATATTTCACTCTAAGATCTAATTTTTTGAAACTATTTTAGGAGACATTAGGTTTAGATTTTATGTTAGTGTTGTAATACTTTTCCTGAATATGTTAATCAATATATATATGTATATCACAATCATTAGATGATTTCAACAAAGATATTCAGAAAATCAAAAGAAACAAAAATATGAAAATTGATGATGCATAATCAAATGGATTCATTGGAGCACCTTTTTTCATACAACAATAATATGATGATTTTATTAGAACACTATAATAAATGATATTTTGATCATGACAAACAAATGTAAGATCAATTAAAATATCGAATATCTAGTTTATAATATGAATGATATGACATTAAACATGAAAATACTCAAGTATAACTTGAAATAATATTAATAAAATTTGAGATGAGAACTTACAAAGTACATTCTTGATCAATAATTTGAACCTATTAAATTGATTGATTTCAACATGAGAAATTATTATTTTATTAATTATTATGGAAATCATTAAGATCTATAGAAACTACAATAATAAGAAAATAAATTGTTAAGATATTTAAATCAATAAGGTTTTATGAAGTAAAATATGGCCATAAAAGTTTACACAATTATCTATGCATAAATAGAGTGTAGGCATACTACTAATTGCTATGGAAACATTTTTTTTAGACATTATCAAAGATATGTTAAAAATACATAAATCACAAAATTAATGGTTGAAAGTATTGAGATCTTCAATCAAAATGTCTTCTTAAATATTATACTTCATCTAAAACGATTGGATCATATTTGATAGTTTTATTAGATATTTAGTAAGACATATTTCATTAGTTATGAACTCTCAATATTAGTTCTTAAATGAACTGATACAAACTAACATGATTTGGATATGAACATTAAGTGTTAACATAACCATATATTGATTTTATCTGAGGATATCATAATCTTGTTGAAACACATATTGTATTGGTTTCTCGACTAATTGAATAATAATATTTTAGAGAAAATAGTCAATAGAAAATCACAAAAATATGAGAGGATTTTTGTATGATATTTGCCTATAAGTTCTACTATCTTTGATAAGTAAATTAATATATTTTTTTATCTTTTTAATGACCCTCAATTTTTCATTAAGTTTTTCATGCATGAAATTTAAGTGAGAAATAGCGAGGATCAAGTTGACAAATTAATTCAAAGGTAATTTGAGGAGCACTATTAGAACATTGAAAGATCTTCTTCAACTTACTAAAGCTCCAAGTGACTTCCATCAATGGCTAATAATTCAACATGAATAGGACAATGAATTCAAGCCATCAAATATTATCTTCTTTATTGAAAATTTGAACATATCCAAAGTTTACATCGTCAATCAAAAAATTACCTATAACAAAATAATTTTATATTTATTGTTAGATAAATGTGAGATTTAAGTATAACTTGATCAATTATAAGAGTTGTCCCTTTAAATAGTTGTTGGCTTCCTACAACTATGAATCTAGAGGAAACTTTTTGGACAAATTTTCATGAGAGGTGAGTTTGATCATTAATGGTGTGTGGTCAGATGGTCATAACTAGTGGAATCTAAAAAGATAGATTATTTTTAGAAAGTGAATGTAGGCAGGAGACTAAATCACCATAAAAATACTATGTCTTCATACAATCTTGATTTAGGTTTTAGAAAAACTAAAGACCAATAAGAAAAGTTCTTATAAGAGTCCATAACCCAACACAATTTATAATTGAATATTAAAATCTTTCATATTTTCTCTCTGTGACAAGATGCATGTCCTCTTATCTTTGCTCATTTTTTCTCCCCCCTTTTTAATTATTAAAATCTTAGGAAAAAATATAATAATTATATATTAAGTTCAAGGCAAGCAATATATGACAAGAGGTGAACGTAGCATTACAATGTGGGATGTAGACTTTATATATTAGATTGAAACATTAACTTTTTAATATGGTGCGATGTGTGCAATCCTCAATATAATTTAAATCATCCCTTCACATCTATTTAGAAATTTTGCAAACTAGGATATCATTAGAAAAGTTTCATCTTATTTTCAATGCACTATACTGTCATTAATTTCAATTTTATTTTGACCACTTGATTGTTCCTGAAATTAAGATCACATTTTAATAAAAAAATGGGGCCTTTTTAAGTGGACTTTGACTTAAACCTATAACGTGATGAGTTTGAAAAAACAATAAACAAACACTCTTTAAATATTTATATTCCATAAAAAGCTTCATATTTTCAATATCTATTAAAGTTTTCATTTATCACATAATCAAACTTGCTATTAAGTGTGATTCAATATTTTTAAAGAAACTCTCATCAGAAAATGTCCCTCTCATATAATCAAATTTAGGCAAGATAAGTATTCAACTTATAAATTTAAATAAATCAAACTTCAAGCATAATTTCATATCCTATGTCATCAATTTCAAGGCTTTTAATTAACCTTATTAAGTTTATTTAAATTTATCATTATTTAATTATACTTATTTTTTTTATAAATGATCAGAAAATTATTGAGTTATCTAAAAATTAATGGAGATATATAGGTTGTTGAATGAATTATTGAGAACATGGCTCATTTGTGTCTCTTTTTTCAGAAAAAAGGGCATGTATCTCTAATTATGCACATACTACTGAATGCCTAATAAGGTTATTGTCAAGGGTAAGTATTTGATACTCAATACAAAATATTTGTTCAACTAATTTGGAGAAGCCATGTATTTATTTATGATGGATTTGAAGAGTGTGTTGGTTTCAATGATTTTGATATTAACAAATTAATCATATAAATATGATAATATAAAATAATCAAATGATCATAAAAATATTAAAATACATTAATTGTTAATAATTATTAAAATTATATATTTTTATTTAGATATACTTTTAAGGTCTTAAAGAAGAAAACGATTGTCAAAGGTCATATGCCTATAATATCAAGTCACATTTGATCAAAATAAGTCATTTTAGAGAAAAACTAGAGGAGAGAAAAAAATAGGCAAAAACATGTGTCAACTTATTTTTAGATAGGAGAGATTTTTTTATTTGACATGTGCCAACATCTGACCATGATATTACATTTGGAAACATGAAAAATCTTATTGATAGGGATGATGTATGATAAGCAAAGTTAACATGACACATGGCATCTCCTAGTGAATGGACATGTGATACGTGATAAGAAAAAACAACTGATAAGTGAAAATTATACAAAAAATCAGCTCGAGAAAATTCCAAATCAAGGTGACATGTGACATCACATAGTGGGACTTGGCAAAATCAACCACTCAAGACATGACATGTGATAAAATAATGACATCACAATAAATCCTACGTGGTAGGTGTATCTCACAAATGCACAAAATGCTAACACATTAGAAGATTTAGAAAAATTAGAAGATCTTAGCCTAGCACATCTAAAGATCACAATACATTAGAAGATCTTAGGGTGACACATCAGAAGATCATCAAATAACATTTTTAACTTTATGAAAAAAAGTGGGAGAAGACCAATCTTGACTAGTCTGACCACACTACTAGTATATTAGAAGAATAATTTTTCATCAGATAATGAAAAAATAAGAAGATTGGATGAATCTTTTAGACGTCATGAAGTTCTCAATTGATTCTCATGTTTGAGCTCGGAATAGGGTAACAAAGGGAATCAACATTATCCAATAACATATTGATTCACTCAAAGCATTAATGTAAGCAACTAAGCACATTAAAAATAATGCAAACTAACATCTACATGAAGTGGAATTAAATATTGACGACCATGTTCTCCTATGTCCAAAACATGGTCTAAACAATGATGTCAAGTAGAGTGATCTACCAATTAAGATTTTGGTGTAGAAAGGCTGACTCACTACCCTTTACACAAGAGCGATCTACCAAGTCTCTTTCTTGTGTAAAGGGAAATGAATGTGTGTGTGTGTGTGTGTGTGTGATAGAGAGAGAGAGAGAGAGAGAGAGAGAGAGAGAGAGAGAGAGAGAGAGAGGGAGAGAGGGAGATGATTATGTCACAGCAAAATGCGAAGTTAAACGGGTCTTAGTTTTTTTTTTAATATGACGCAATATTGGACTACAATTAGGTAGTCTCCTCTGGCATCGGGATGGCCTGCCATCCAGTGTAGGCCTCGAGAGCCTTCATAAGCTCCTCCGAAGCCGGCTCCATCGACCACTCAGGGTAGAACTCGGTGGCGCAGAACACACAGCCGGCGCTCCCTCCTGGTAAGAGTCCGGGCTGGGCTCCACTCAGGAACATGTCCCCCTCAGACCTCACCGACCCACAAGTCTCCTCCTCTGTGTCCGCTGCCTGGTTCGACACATCATAAGAACATTACTCTAGAAACCTCCGCGTCCCGAAAGCTCCGTAGACATTTGTGATTACCTTCTCCGTCACATACTTGACGACGACCTTCTTCTCACCAGCTTCATAGATGTTGCACTGAGACAATATCTGATGGAGTTCGAGAGAGAGAGAGAGAGAGAGAGAGAGAGAGAGAGAGCATGAAGCAAGGTCCATGATATGAAATAACTTACATAGCACATTCGTATTAGTGGTGCCACCTGAGACTCCAAACTCGCACAAAGTCCATACAACCCCCAGTTCCTCGTGTAATTGTTGTACAGATGGACCTTCCCGAATCGTACTCGGGGATGGCGCTGCCTCGTTCCGTCGAAGAAGCAGTGATGAATGGTTACTTTGATGCATCGATCCTCAATGTTCTTGCTATCCGCCCCGATTAATATCACTTTGTTGTGCATGGAAAATCGGCATCTATATAAAACAGGAAAAAAAATAATAGATCACATACCAAGTAACAGCCAGTAATCTTAAGAGCAATGCGAGATTCTTCGTAAAAATGAAAGACCAATTAATAGAACATTGGCTTGTTTGATTTATTAAAGCTATTAGTCATTAATACTATATATCAACTGATAATTAACATGATAACTCTACTTGTATAACCATGCTTAATTTGTAATTAAGTAATCGATGGGTGACCCATCTTCACCTGGAAATAGTGATATCGGTGCTCTCTCTCGTTATATCTATCAGTCCGTCGTCGTAATCGCGTAGGCTGCATCTGTCAATCCAAATGTGCCTCGACCCCGGCTTGATCTTGACGGCGTCCACGTCGCGTCCTCTGCCACCTTCAAACTCGAGATTGCAGACGATTACGTTCTCGCACTTGCTCAGCTGCAGGCCGTTGCCGGTTATCTTCACTCTCTGCCCTCTGCCGTCGATCGTCTTGTGGGAGGATACCCTCAGTGGCGAGGAGAGGTGGAGGGTGCCGGAGACGTCGAAGACGATCCACACCGGGTCTGGTCTGCTGCAGCCCTCGCGAAGCGATCCGACCCCGTCGTCTGCGAGAAGTCAGCAGGTGGGGGCGATTTCTTCAGTCTGCGTGAGAGGAGATGCAGTGACCACGATGACGGCGAAGAGGTAATATACCGGCGAGGGTGGTGACGTGATACACGGGGCCATAGAGGCCGCCGACGGCGCGCCGGCCGAAGCCCTCGGCCTTCCCGGCGAGGGCTCGCAAGCTCTCGTCCACTTGAGCGTAGGGCGCCATTTCTTCGGATGACGATGCAGCGGAAGGCTTCAGCGGGGGACGTTTAAAAGAACTCGCCGGCGAGGGAAGGCCGTGCGACCTGGCGGCGTTACCCCCGCCGTTCGCGCGTTTCGTAGCAGCAGCAGCTGCAACAGCAGCCTCCCGCCCGTAACGTAAAACCGACCCCCCTCTCTCTCTCTCTCTCTACTTGTATAACCAATCAAATCAGGATGAATAAACCCGGTAGGAAAATCGTTGCAAAGGCCCAAACGTTAATCGGCCCAAAATCGTGCTATATGGTCCACCGGTGGGATGTGGGATAGGTTGGCCCATTAGTATGGATTATTGGGCCCAATAATAAGAGTTGCCAGCTTAATCCAGAGATCCAAAGGAGGATCCGAATTAGCTCTGCTTACGTTGCCGGATACCGACAGTGTCTGCGGCCAATTATCACCGTGGACCCGACGACTTTGACTGGTCTTCGTCTACCATGAAGGAAAAGCAGGAAAGGGGGTAAAGGATTGAGAGGAAAGCAGAGCGCGGATGGTCCTCTCTCGTTCTTCTTCATCCATCGACCCCTCCACCAGGGCGTCCTCTCTATGTCTGCCTTTCCGTCTCTTTGAGAACCCTAGAGCCCGCTTTTAATGTGTGGGAGCAATCGTCGCCTCGTGCGTGTTGCTGCTGGTTGATCTTAAAAAAGGTTTCAGCTGTGTCGGCTGCCGGAGGTGGAGGTGGTGGAGCTGGAGCAGCAGCGCCATGGGGCTTCGAGAAGGTACCCGTTCCCTCCGTCTTCTTCTTTGATTATGATAACATATTTTTGTGAACCGAGTTGGAATTGATTCATGCTGTGACCGATGGGTGCCTCGCTGATGTAGGGGGTGAGAAGGGTCTGGTGTTGGGGGTAATCAACAGCAATCCGAGCGGGAATCCTAGCCCCAAATCTATCGGAAATATGTCATCTCCACCGTCGCCTTCCCCTTTCCCTTCCCCTTCGTCAGCTTCGGCTGCGCCAGCGTTGGTGCTCTCAAACTCCGGGAAGAGGATGGACCAGGCGGGGAAGAAGAAGTACGTCAGGCAGGTCACTGGGCGACACAATGACACGGAGGTTCATCTGGCGGCGCAGCGCGGTGATCTCGCGGCGGTCCGGCAGATCTTAAGAGATATCGATGCCCAGATGACGGAGACCGCCGGCGGGGAAGAATTCGACGCCGAGTTGGCTGAGATCAGGTCTGCAATAGTTAACGAGGCGAACGATCAAGGAGAGACAGCTTTAATGATAGCGGCGGGGAAGGGTTATCTCGACGTGGTTGAGGAACTTTTGAAGTACGCGGACAAAGAAATTCTTGCGAGAAAGAATCAGGCCGGGTTTGACGCTCTGCATATGGCTGCCAAAGAAGGGCACCAAGGTAAAAGTTTCGCTTCTGCCCGAACTTTCCTCGAACTCCTTTATAGAAGCGTCTCATGCATGGAAGCGGGGGGGGGGGGGCGTCGACGTCATGCATTATCACGGATGTCTCTTCCTTCATATCGCGCTGCCATAAAGTTTGATTGTTCCTAATTATATGGTACCTATGCTATCTGGCCTTTCTACAGCTGTAGTTTTATATGATCCAGGAGAGAGAGATTTGTCTTTTACCCACGAAATTCTTTGATGAATCATCACAACTGCGCGACCAAGCTAGTTGTTTATGCTATTTTGGTTTCATGTAGTACTATTCCTGGCTGATTACTGGCCATTATCTTGATTAAAATCGTAGTCTCTGCGATGAATACATTTCTTTTTCTTTATGTTAAATTCGATCTAGTATTAGGGCCTTCTTAGTTTTTTACTCAATCTCTTTAACATTTACCTTAAACTCACAGAATAAACACCTCTGTGCAACTGAGGTTGGGTTTACCTATAGAAAATCACGAATTCAAAAGCGACGGTTGTTGATGGCATTTGCATGCCATGTGGCTTTTTTGCTGTGCTCTGTTGAAAGAAGTTTTCCATTGATTGGTTTTCAGCATTAATTACTATTGCGGAAGGGTGTACTTTGTATCTATGCGTGATATATCGTCCAAATTCGTCGTTCACATTTATGTTCTGGCTGTGAATTTCCTCTGTTTCCCTGCGATTGATAATGCATATCAGGTGAGCTTGTGAAGAAGATCGGATATGGGTCAAGAAATCAAATATTACCGTGTGACCCTGCTTTTTTTTCTCTTTTGTGAGTGCTATGCTGGGACCGAGACATGTTTATTTAGAGACAAAATCCTTGATGGTTTGATTTGGTGGAAAGGTGAATGGGAGGTAAGCCTAGCTTTTTCAAAAAGTTGCATGTGATATATGGAGATTGGCAGATGGAAATAATTTAAAGAAAATGAGATACTGTTATGCGATTTCGTGGATTTTTCTTCACAGATTATCCATGGCAATGACTCTTAAGGTGATTGTCTTATTGATTTAAAATATGCATCTCGTGATGGTGTGATAACTAGCCACTTTGTGGATTTTTCACAGTTGCCACTTAGGTTTTTCCTTTTGTCAACTAGATCTCCTAGGGAGTATAGGCTTGAAAGAAAGATTTTTGTTTTGCTTTCCTCTCTTTTCATTACTAAGATCATAGCTTTAATCTGTTCCTAGCTATCACCCATTGCAACATTTCGCATTATTTTTTTTCTATCAGTCTTGGATATTGTTTCTGGAATTCATTGAAGTTCTATCTGAAGTTCGTTGCAGTTGAAACAAATCATTTTGGCAATTTTTAACTTCTACAATTAGTTTGGAAGTATAAACTCTTCTTCTGTCATTACTATTTGCTCCGAGATAATGTTAACTATGTTACCATCAGTATCAGGCAATGATGAGATAGATCTTGCCATCAGTTTTACATGTGAACTGTGAAGCTGCCCCCCCAACCAGCCCTTCCTTTCTTTTTTTGTTTTCTTCAATCAGGATTGTGTGATCACCAACTGTTCACCTCGGTTGATTGATCCACATGGTTTGAGGGATGTAATAAAAAATAGTCAGAGAATGTTATCAACCAGAGACATTGCTGACTGGTCTGTGGTGTGGCAGATGTTGTTACTCAGGAGATAACATCTAAAAGGCATGGCTCTTCTCCTGAATAAGCTGACCAAAATCTGATCAGAATTGATCTCCCAAGTACTGAGTAAGCTGAAATGTGCCTCCAGATCGTAGACCTTGTCAAAGCTTCCCTGCATTCTTCACCACCTGCAGTTAGAAGCTGAAGGGTTTTCTAGCTTATTAGCGAATGTGGTTAGCGGGGAAGAATGACCAACGTGGCGCCTCTACTGTGTCTCCCTGAATTGCATCTGTGGTGCAACTTTCTCTCAATCTTCTTCTGAGAAAACGAATGGTACCCACCAGCTGTTCATGAGCCCTGCTAGAAATGAACACAATCTGTGCATCCATACGTGCCCCCTCCAAAAAAGTCTACTCATAATCATGAAATGAAATCTAATCGATTTCCTGCTAGAAATGGAATGTGGGACACTGATTTCGTCAGCCTGGAGTCAAATCTTCTCATAATCATGGATCATCCTTCTGTTGTGCTTCCATGGAATACTATCAAGTTTATGTTAATTTTCGCTCCCATTTCCTTTACAGTTCCTTCATATCCTTGATTAAACTGACCTTCTCGGATGACCACTTTTTCCACAGATATTGTCAAGGTGCTCCTGAACCACGACTCGGGGCTTTGCATGACACTGGGGCCCTCAAACGCGACTCCCCTTATAACTGCAGCAACAAGGGGGCACACACTGGTGGTAGAGGAGCTGCTGGAAAAAGATGCCGGCCTTCTTGACCACGCAAGGTCAAATGGCAAGAATGCTTTGCATTTTGCTGTCAGAGGAGGACATTCAGAGATTGTCCGTGCTTTACTCAAAAGGGATCCAAAGTTGCCCCGGAAAACTGATAATAAAGGGCAGACCTCCCTGCACATGGCCGTTAAAGGAACCAGCGCCGAGGTGGTCAGGTTGCTCCTCGAGGCAGACCCTGCCATAGTGATGCTCCCCGACAGGTCTGGCAACACGGCTTTGCATGTTGCCACGAGGAAGAAGAGAGTAGAGGTGCTGTTCGTCACTGATGTTCCTGGCCTTTCGCAATCCTTCTGCTTCCTTGCATCTTCTTCCATTTGTTTCTTTCTGTCTGGAATCCCTCTACCCTAATGTTGTCGACTTCTTTCTGTATCTATATTTTTTGAAAAACTCTTTACAGATAGTGAACGAGATGTTGCTCCTGCCCGATACAAACGTGAATGCGCTCACCAGAGAGCACAAGACGGCGCTGGACATTGCAGAGGGGCTGCCCCTTTCGGAGGAATCCGCAGAGATCAAGGAATGCCTGTCCCGCTATGGTGCTCTGCGGGCAAACGAGTTGAACCAGCCGAGGGATGAGCTCAGGAAGGCCGTGACGGAGATCAAGAAGGACGTCCACACCCAGCTCGAGCAGACCCGGAAGACGAACAAGAACGTGAGTGGGATCGCCAAGGAGCTGAGGAAGCTCCACAGGGAGGGCATCAACAACGCCACCAACTCCGTGACCGTCGTCGCCGTCCTGTTCGCCACCGTGGCCTTTGCGGCAATCTTCACTGTCCCCGGCGGGAACGGGAACGACGGGATAGCTGTGGCGATCAACTATTGCTCCTTTAAGATATTCTTCGTCTTCAACGCCCTGGCCCTCTTCACATCGCTGGCAGTGGTGGTTGTCCAGATCACGCTGGTCAGAGGGGAGACCAAGGCGGAGCGGCGGGTCGTCGAGGTGATCAACAAGTTAATGTGGCTGGCATCCATCTGCACCTCCGTGGCATTCATCGCCTCCTCTTACATAGTGGTCGGCCGGCGCTTCGAGTGGGCCGCCATCCTCGTGACAGTGATCGGCGGTGTTATAATGGCCGGAGTTCTTGGGACCATGACCTATTTTGTGGTGAAGTTCAAGCACAGCCGCAAGATCAGGAAGAGGGAGAAGTCGATGAAGAAGAGCGTATCCAACTCGTGGAACCGTTACACAGAGCTCTCGGACTCCGATATCAACCCAATTTATGCCATTTGAGGGAGCTGGTGGAGCTCCGGTACCTTCTTACTGAGAGTATTGTGCTGTACTTAATCCTCCGAGTCTGTGATATAAGACCCAGGAGTGTTGCTCGCCGCCTGTAAATTATGGAGAAAAATGTGTATATTTGGGGAGACCAAGCCCTGAAATGGTTCCCTGATTCAGCAGCTCTGGAACCCTGACCCAGATATTCCCACTGATGCCTGAAGTTCATCTGGTGAGCAGTTTTTGCCCCTTCTGTTTGATATATGATGATGTGTATCCTCTTCGGTCGTCTCTTTGATTGTTCTGAAGAATCTCATCGAAACGATCAGAGAGCAGGTGGCTGTCATTTTTAGAGACGAGACAATTACAGATCTCGGAGGAACCCGCCATGGTCGGTTCCACAGGCTACGACAGCAGCCTGAGGTGTGCTCAGGATCTTGCCCAGATGGATCTCACAGATACGAATCCCTCTTCGGGATCATCGTTGACTTTTAAAAAGATGGTTGAACGGATCAACGTCAGATTAACCTGTTTTGTACTGAGCGAGGTGCCGGCACATGCCCCATCCATCGTCGGCACTTGGAGGTGGGGTCGTTGACTGGCTGCGGCGCCGCTGTGCCAATTCACACGGCGAAGTAGCAGTCCTTCCTCATCCAAAACAGCGGTCAAAGTAAGCGGAGGGAGGAGCATCGTCCAAATCTCTGGCCATCCTCTGTCGGTCGCGTGTAGTTGACGTCGACGGGGAGAAGACCAGGGGCGAAAGCAGCGGCGGGGGGGACGGCGTATACACGGAGGTGACCCCCATCTTCCGCGAGGGCATCCACCATTCAGTGCAGACGGACGATAATCCGCAGAATTAAAGCCTAAAATGGTTTCCGTACAGTGTAGCTCTCTCTTGATCGAATGATTGGTTCTGCAGATTTGACCGCCCTGATTACGATTCCGTTCGAAGAAGACGACCCGGAACGCGGCCACGGGTTGCTCTCCCGATGATGATATTGGGCCTGTAAGGAGATTAATACTCTTTTGAGGTTCCATAGTAATTTCAGGAGGTCGTCATGGGGGTCTTGCGGGTCGGCAGAAGAGCAAGTAAATGATGCATTGGGGGGTTCTGGGTAAAAAGATGAAAAGAGGAGAGTGACCGGTGGGGCCGTCTCCGTCTCCCTTCCGTCTCTCATGGGTGACCATAGCCTGGGCGACCCAATCCCGTGTCCTTGTCAACGACCGGGTTTTATTAAGCGGGTTGTCGGCGTGCACATCAGGTCCCAATGCTCGGTGCGTCCGGTACTCTGTTCATCTAAATCCATGTTCCTCGCCGGCGCCGGAAATGGTCCTTCAAAAGTGCTTTTTTTATTTGGAAACTGCATGATTTTGTTCACTGGCTCATCCATCCGCTTTTCCGGCCTCGGGTGGGTCTTCTTCCTCATCTGGCTGGTGGGTTTCCTTTCGGATGCTCAATCTGCTGAGAGCGACGATCGTTGTGTCGGTCTGGTCCCGTGGTTCTTCATTACTCTGCGTTCAACTCGTCCGGATTTGGGGCTCGGCCGAATGATCAGAAGCGCCCGCCCTCTGCTGTCGCCGCCGCCGTTCTTCGTCCTGCAGACGCGAATATCTGTCCTCCATCGTTTCGATGGAGTGAGTACCTACCAATTCTCAATGTCCTGAAGACAGAAGGTGTGTTCCTCTCTCCTGCGCTTTTCGTTTTTCGCTTTCATCCTTCTGAGTTCTGCGATCGACAGGATGTGCTCCGCTTTCGCTTCCATAGACGTTTTTATTCTATTTACAGGACGTGTGGGCCCTGTCATCTTCCTCCCCTTGATCCCCCTCGCATTCGCCCCCCGAGAATCACTGCTTCTCCTTGCGTCTAATGGATATCTGTTCTGGGTTGCAGAGGCTGTCTGTCTGTTTTCAGACTTTTGTCTTAGAGAGAAGAGGACTCCAGCGCAGACTAATGGATTCACCCGTCGTCGGGCAGCCCAACTTCCGCCGGAAGAAGATGACCAAGCAGCTGACAGGGAAGCGGGACGACGCTCCTCTTCATTCGGCTGCGCGGGCGGGCAATCTGGCCATGGTGATGGAGATCCTGACTGAGACGAATGAGGACGACTTGCAGGGTTTGCTGTCCAGACAGAACCAAGCAGGAGAGACGGCTCTGTACGTCGCCTGCGAGTATGGCTACGTTGACGTAGTGGGCGAGATGATGAAGCAATACGATGCTTCATCGGCTGGAATCAAGGCTAAGAACGGCTACGATCCGTTGCACGTCGCAGCCAAGCAAGGCGATGTTGGTGAGCTTGTGGAATCATCTCCATAAATTATATATTTTTCCTGCGAATTTGTTCTTCCAGATTCTGCAGTTCACGTCTGCTTGATGAGGCGTTGAAGCTCCCCCATCTCACTCACCCCCCAATCCCTAGCATTCCCCGCTGAATTCCTTCCTCAGAATTAGGTTTTCGAAGTTCTTCAGCATTTCCGAACCAGTCATCTCTGTGAACGTTGGCGCTTGTCTGATGCCTTGTCTGTGCTCTGAAATGACCCGGTTTTTCTACATGGGTTTGCAGATATCCTGAAGATTTTGCTGGGAGCGATCCCGGAGCTGTCCATGACTGCTGATTTGTCGAACACGACAGCTCTGCACACTGCCGCCACGCAGGGTCACGTCGAGGTGGTCGGCCTTCTGCTGGAAGCTGACGCCAACCTGGTGAAGATCTCCAGGAGCAATGGGAAGACGGCACTCCACTCCGCCGCCAGGAACGGGCATGCGGAGGTCGTGAGGGCGCTTCTGAGCAGGGACCCCAGGATGGCCTTCCGGACGGACAAGAAGGGCCAGACGGCGCTCCACATGGCCGTCAAGGGCCAGAGCCTGGAGGTGGTGGAGGAGCTCCTACAGTGCTCACCCTCGCTTGTGAACTCGGTGGATTCCAAGGGCAGCACAGCGCTGCACGTCGCCGCCAGGAAAGGCCGCCCGCAGGTGAAGTCCCCATCGTCACCACACCGCCGCCGCCTCACTGGTTCTGCCCTCTTGATTGGGTCTTCTCTCGCTCGCAGGCTGTGCGTAGGCTGCTGGAGATGCCGGAGATGGACATGAAGGTGGTCAACAGGGCGGGGGAGACGGCTCTAGACGCCGCCGAGAAGGAGGGGCAGGCGGAGGTTATGGCCATCCTGCTCGAGCACGGCGCGGAGAGCGCGAGGGCCCTCAAGGCCGCCAACCCGGCACGGGAGCTGAAGCAGACGGTGAGCGAGATCAAGCATGAGGTGCAGTCGCAGCTGGAGCACACGTACCAGACGAGGCGCCGTGTGCAGGGCATCGCGAAGCGGCTGAACAAGCTCCACGCCGAGGGGCTCAACAACGCAATCAATTCCACCACCGTGGTGGCGGTCCTCATCGCCACCGTGGCCTTCGCCGCCATCTTCACCGTCCCCGGCGAGTACGCCGGCGGGCAAAACGGAATCCCCCTGGGGGCCTACCCCGGCGAGGCCAACATCGCGCACAACGTCGCCTTCATGATCTTCTTCGTCTTCGACTCTATCTCCCTCTTCATATCCCTGGCGGTGGTGGTGGTGCAGACCTCCGTGGTGGTCATCGAGAGCAAGGCCAAGAAGAGGATGATGGCCATCATCAACAAGCTCATGTGGGTCGCCTGCGTCTTCATCTCCGTCTCCTTCCTCGCCATCTGCTTCGTCGTCGTGGGGCCTCACGACCGGTCGCTCGCCATCTGGGTCACCGCCATCGGCACCGCCATCCTGGCCACCACTCTCGGGACGATGTCCTACTGGGTCATCGCCCACCGGATGGAGTCCAGGAAGCTCAGCCGCCTCCGCCGCTCTTCGCTCAGCCGCTCCCGCTCCTGTTCCATCTCCGCTGTGTCCGACCCGGAGCTGCTGACCAACGAGTACAAGAAGATGTACGCCATTTGACAGGCGGCGCCCCACCACCATTCCTTCTTCTTCCTCTCTCTCTCTCTACTGTAGATGAAAAGGTTCCCTCTCCTGTAGGTCAACCGAATGGGGACAGAATATTACGTCTAACGTAAATTTTAATCTTAAAATTTTGCATGGTAATATTGACTCATTTCTCAATAGCACTTTTGCCTTTGGTCTTACTGGGCTTGGGTGGGCCAGGGCCCATATTAGGGCTTGGGCCCAGGTGGAAGGGCGGAGCCAGGGATGGAGCATTCACGAGGTCTACTTATTTATGACGTCGAATATTGCCGATATAATTAAGTTATTGCTTAATTAATTAATTAATTGTTAAATAAACGAAATTTTTGTGTGCCCAAATAAGCCCCCAAAACCCGTAATTCGAGGTCTGAACATGGAAGAGAGTGAGAGAGACCATAAATAATTGATAATATTTTTTATATTTTGTAATTATATTGATGTATTCGTAGAGTTGGAATTTAATTATTCCAGAAGAATATTAATTTTAAAAAATAAAATAAAATAGGTGATTTGACCAGATAGATCTGATCACCGAGTTTAAAAGTTTCTTCATTCCCCTATAAAATGAAGGGGGCTTCCGTAGCGACGTACGTCGTGGTCTGTTTGTGCTCGTCTGGCGGGAGCCTCTGCGGGCCCGGATCGGAGGGTGAGGGACGGGGGAGAGGGATGGACGATGAGCTATTGGAGTTGCAGAGGCAGTTCGAATTCGCTCAGCAGGTCAAGTCGAGCATCAGGCTGTCGGAGAGGAATGTGGTGGAGCTGGTGGCCAAGCTCCAAGAGCTTGGCTTCATCAACTTCGATCTCCTCCACACCGTTTCCGGAAAGGAGTACATAACCCCCGTAAATCATCTTTCATCTCACTTATTTTCTCCGTGAATTCTATCTTTCTCCAAGGGTTAAATTCTTCGCACCCGCCTTTGGTTTTGATTCCGCCGCGTTTTTTAAGGTTCTTCGTGTAAATATTCGAACTCCCGGTTATTATTTTGATTAGACGCTTTCATGCTGGCTTTGTGGCCCCAAAATTATCCCACTGAACTCCGTAATTCGTAACGCTTCGTGCAGCTTATGGTTTCACTCCATCGCCTCGGCGTCATGGATTTGTTGACGTGATTTTCGTACGATTTTGGATAGATTTCCTCTAATTTTGGCGTTTGGATGCCATTCATTTATCGTGAATCCTACACGCGATTTGAAATGATTATGGGAGTAATTTGCATTTCCAAGAATCTAGTTAGATGCCCAACATGTCGTGGAAGGTCGGAACTTTAAACATGTATATTTCTGTTTAAATCCAGGAAAAATGATTTGGCATTTTTGTTGGCATTTCACCAATGAGATCAGTAGGATAATGACAATTCTACTTATTTAACGAATGACATTGCAGTTGAATATTTATAAAAAATGTAAATACTATGTGGCATCTGCCATGCTAGATAAGCGTTTCAGATGTCTAGAGTCGAAATGATTTTATAATTTTTTATAATTTCATTCTATACATTCTAAACATCAATTCATGCAGATAAAAGGAAATCTGTTTTATTTTTCAAACTGATACTTTTTTTGTTAGAGACAAGGGTTAAATCGGTCTATAGAAAAGATAACTTGACTGTGTCAGGCTATCTGGCGTTGCAGTCATTAACAGTGGCCGCTCGGAATTTACTACTTAAATTAGTTGCAATATTTACTTTTACAAAACACTTATCAAAGGGATTGACGTCGTTTTGACCATTTGAAAGGCTTTTCACGCTGGAGTAATTAAGTGCCACAAAAATTTTTCAGTCAAAGAATCATGCCAAACTCTTAACATTACTCTCAGGATGCAGACGTAAAGACCAGAGACCTCGATAGCTTGATTCATGAATTGAATTGTCTTCCCAGAAATCTCTTAGTTTCCTGGTTACAGAGTGATTCGGCATACTCTCTGCTGATTAAGGAAGGGCAAACCTTGTCGATCCTCTTTCTTCTTTTCTCTACCTTCCGGGGTTCTTTGGGTCAAAATTTACATCATTGGCGTGGCAACTAAGATTATTACCGGAGCTGTAAAATGAAGCCACCATGCCATGCGTACTTGTGCTGTAAAATGATCGCGACCATGCACTTTTATGTCATATACCATTCAGAAATTACCTTTCATCTTTCTTTAGAGCACAATTTTTGAACCATTGAACGTTGGACTGCATATCTCTTAGTGACTCTTATATCGTTTTTCTCCATTCCAATCCTAACATGATGTTAATGCTTTAACAGGACCAACTTAGATTTGAAATGGCGGCAGAGATCGAAAAGTCAGGTCGTGTTTCATTAATTGACCTCTCAGATATTATTGGAGTTGACTTATACCATATCGAGAGGCAAGCTCAGAAGATCGTGTCAGATGACTCAGGGCTCATGTTAATACAGGGAGAAGTAATTTCACAGTCTTATTGGAATACTGTTGCAGAAGAAATAAATGAGAGACTGGAAGAATGTAGCCAGATTGCGTTGGCTGAAATAGCTGCTCAATATCACGTTAGCTCAGAACTGGTGCTATCTGTACTTGAGCCACGCCTGGGATCCATAGTAAGTTATAGCTTTCGTTCTTGGATGATAATGATGTTATCCACGTGCATATGATTTTTAAAACTATCTTTATTCTTCACAAAAACATGTTCCACGTAGCACCTAGGTATATGCTTTTTAAAGAATTATATGGCCATTGTTCATTTACGTGAATAGTAATGAGGGGCCAGAAACAGGAAAGTGTCAGCTGGATGGCATTAAACCATTGTTATCCACCAAAAGCTTGTCTTTTGACCTGGTGTGGGAGATGGAAAGAGTGATTCAGAAAATTTAATCTATAATGATTAAAACTAGTACCTTTTTTTAATTCTGTAGTCATCGGGTAATACTAAAGGCTACTTGCTATAAATGCTAAACTTCTGGAATATGGCCTTACCAATTCAGCATTTCATGTGATGGGTGTGGAGCATTTTTTCTGTAGAGCATAGGTCACATTGATATTCTAATTAATAAAAGTTTTTCTTACTTGTTAACGTAATATTAATAAATAGTTTTTTAATAGATTTCCATAGATGTGCCTAAATTTTTCATTCGAATCTGAGCTTTTTGATAATCATATCTCATTTTAAGGAAAATACAGGAATAACTATATGTTAATTTTTGGAAAGAGTTGTATAAGAATATATTTTTGATACCACGGTCATAAATATTCATGTAGTTTGTTCTATATTAACTGGTCACGAGGTGAGCTGACGCATTAATTTATGAATGCCACGTAAAAATGTTTTCATGTGATTAAACTATGGCAGAAATTAGACTAAAAGTGTGTATATGGTGAAAGAAAACCTTCCTCTTTGTCGGTGCTTGTACCTCATATTATGTTTTGGTCTTGCATACCTTTTTATCTTATACCGTTGTGCCAAAAAGAATGGGCATAATTCTATGACTCATTTCTGATCCATGCTTATCAGTTCCCTTATCTATTGGATAACTCTTCTAGGTAAAGGTACGAGCAGAGGGTAGAGAATCATATACCTCTTTGGCCAAATTGAATGGTTTGGGATAATTTTACAATAGACGTGATCAGGAAGATTTCTTAGTTTTGGATTAACTTACAAATGTTTTCATATCTTAGAATTGTTTCCCACTGAAAATGTATGTTGGAAGGAAGATTACCTCTTGATTATCATTATTATTTTGACATTATGTTGTGAATGTTAGTTTTGATTTTTCCATTTTTATTTCTCTTAACTGGCGTAAAAATTCACATTTTTGTATTGATTATTCGTTCACCAATCACTCAACTTTCTTCAGATTAAGGGGAGATTAGAAGGGGGACAATTATACACCCCTGCTTATGTTGCACGTGTTAGTGCTATGGTTCGTGGGGCTGCAAGGGGTATCACCGTTCCAACAAATTTACCAACGGTCTGGAGCTCCTTGCAATACTTATTGCAAGAAATGGTTGGTTCCAGTGGTGTCTCAGTTGAAACTGCGTTTTTCCAGTCATTGTTTAATGGACTTGTAAAGGAGGGACAGATCCTTGGATCAATTCGTGCAGGAGTTCAATGGACGCCTTCTGTGAGAACTATTGCTTATTTCTTATGTATATACTGATACTACATTCAATTATTTCATAATAAGTATCAGTATTGAACTGTTGACAGGTTTTCGCCCATGCTCAGAAAGAGAGCGTGGAGTCTTTCTACTCGCAGGTCTTTTTCTTTCCAAGATAGACACGTAATTTCCTGCATGAATTTTGTGATTCATTGGATATTCTGTTTATTTGTTTTGAAAAAATCCAAATGGTCTAAATGCTCATCTATTTTTTAATGTCGCTCAGTGGTGACATTTTTGTTGAGCTTTCTCAAGTTTATGAAGAAAGCTGTAACTTTGGTCTAATTGAACTTTTACTAGTTCTAACGGCATCTTCTAGTGTGTTAACTTTCCAACCGCTGATCTTTGTCTTTAGGTCAGCATTTGAAAGGTCATTTTGACGTAATCGGTGCTTGTTGAAATTTAAGATCAAATTTCATAAAAGGATATGATCTTGAGGTCTGGTTTCATCCCTTCACTTTTTTTTTTTTCCATTACAGAATTCCTTCATCAGCTATGATGTTCTTTACAAACTCGCGATCCCCCAGCCCAGGCAGTACTTGCAGGTATTAAGGGGCATCTTTATTATCTTCGATATTTTATATTTTTTTTGTGTATTCTTGTTCCAAGATCCAAATTTGCTTTCATGTAAGTGAGTTTCTTATTTGATCAGTTGTTTACGTACTTACATGTAGTCTCGGTATCCTGATGGTATACAACTGGAAAACGTTTTTGTTCGCACTTCAATGGTAGAAATGTTGGATGCTGCTGTGCAGGATGCAATTGAGCATGGTAACTGGTAAGTTTCGCAAGTCTAATTTATTTTCTATGCTCATTCAGATAAATACTCTCTTGAGCTTTAATTTGTCTTGTTTTACATCCATTCCCATTACCCTGCTTCGTTCCTTGATCCTTGGAGTTCATATTCTGGTTCCCTCTTTAGAGTAATCAGATGATGGCTCTGCTTTTTTATACTCTTAAGCTTGTCCTTTAATGGAAACTTATGTTTTCACTTATCTAGTTCACAGATTCTCCTTTTCTCACCTAATTTTAAATATGCTTCACAGAATATCAGCTAACAGAACTAAACGAATCACAAAAAAGAGTCCTAGTTATGGTATTCCGAACACCGTAGCTTTTTTCTTTCTCCTGCCACTAGATTTCATGAACTTTATTTATTGTCCTGTAGGGATGAATTCGACCTGTAGATTACTCAAACATTCTAATCCATCAAAATTCTCAGGAATGAACCCAAATTCATTTCGAACTCCATCCAAATGTAGCTTATCGATAAATTCTTCCATGTCTGTTGTATTCAGTGAAAACAAGTGCAGTCTCAAGGCTGATTGTCAACAGAATTATGTCACGCAACTGAAGCCAGCTATCTTTGTTTCTTTTCCTTTTCAATCCCAATGGGGGACAAGATATCCCTGGTGGTTCTGAAGAACAGGAAGATATGCACAAAATGTGACGCGAAAAGTCCCATTGAATGTAAAAGAAAAAAAAAACCGAAGCATAAATTCCACTTTATTTCTAATGATTTCCAAATCTCTAGTCCAAATATAACGAACAGTTTAGTGATAGATTCATCATATTGAGAATTTTACTAGTATGAGGTTGATACAGGATATAAAAGCAATTAGAGAAATACAATTGCTTGTTTAATGACTATTTTAGGCATGTTGTGTGACTTGTACGTGTAGTCTTGTGGACAATATCATAGAATCATTCCATCAGCGGAAAAACGGGGTTTGACTTCATGAGAACCATTCCATTAGAATAAAAATATTGGTCACGGCATCACAAGATCATCCTATTATAGGGATAAAAAAATCCATTCCATTTAAGGATGCAGGAATGACTGTAAGTTGGACAAGATTATTAGATTGGATGCATATACTTTAATTGGTATGAATCCAATATTGGATGCCAATTGTCCTTAAGGCCTATACAGAGAACCTCCTTATTGGTATGAATCCTCTGATGACAATGACACGTTCTGGAAAAATCTATGCTAATAAGGGTTAAATTAGGACGAGAGTTTCTCAACGAAAACTACTGATAGAGGTAGGCACTGGAAACAGGAATGGACTCTGGTGCCAAAGTAAAGCTTCAAGAGTGGGAAAAAAACTCTTATTGTGGCAGCCCTGGTAAAGAAAAAAGTACGAATGTTGATGGATGGACATTGATCCGTACAGTGACCTACCTTTTTCTGGTTACTCGAGCCATGGGCAGGACTCCTTTCCCAAAATGCCTTTATTCTATCTCCAATACCGACATCTTCTTGCTGCTTCAGCTCCGTTGCACTTTTTTTGCATTTTATGTTTTTCAGATCACACTATATATTATACATGCCAATTTCACTTAGTGCCAAAATTTAAGTGCATGCTTAATTGTACGAACTTAGATTGATGTTCGAATTACTTTGATTAGATTCTGGATTCACTCTTGTTCTGGTTTGGGGTTGGCCTGGACCGGCCAAGATGAGATTCAAAACAGGCAAAAAATTGGTTTTCGTCAGTTTGATGTGCTCAATCCTTGCCCTGTTCTGTTTCTCCCATCTATTTAAATTTTGCCTTAAATTGCTCCACTTTCTCTGTTTTTTTGTTGTTGTAAGTCTGCTGATGTAAGGTTTAAAACCCGCATTATACTTCTCTGAAATTTTTGCTTCTTAATCGTTATAAATGTGATGTGGACTCAAATATAGAATGTATGATATCTCAAAAATGTGGCTTGTGTATTCCTTTGAGCTTTCTTTGAGCGGAATGTTCTAATCAAGCTGTCTTTAGTATGATTTTTAATTTTAAAATTTTGGGACGAAGGCTATTTCTTGGTCCTTTTCTGTTGTACATTTTATAGGTGCATAATATACCACGAAAATGTAGAATATTTTATTTTTTGATTTACTTTTCTCTCTGGTGCACGTACACTTGTGGCCACTTTTCTTTGAGCCTTACTGAAAGAAGCTCTTTTGTCGATCAGGATTGACTGTCTTTCAGTTCTACCAGCATCTATTGATCCTCTTGATGCCTCCAAACTTTTATCTCTATCTTCATCTGTTCAGAGAGCACTTAAAGTAAGTATTTAAATCGGTCATGTAGTTTACAAAGTGATGGCAATTACTCGATTCGATTTTGTTAATGTTATCCTGTCTCTCTCTCTCAGTCCGAAAAAGCAGTTATCTTGGGGGAGTCGTGTGTATTTAGCAGTACTTATGTGAAGGTGATATTCTGATTCGTAATCTATCTACGGTACCTCTTTATATTGAACGAAAAATGAAAAAAAAAAGATTTTTAATCAGAACTGCTTGTAATTGATTATTTCTACTGTTTTCCTTTGTTAGGATTTATTTGAAAAAATGGAGAAAGAGCTCGAAACACTTAGCTACAATCTGTCTGCTGGTCAAATGCTAGAATATCATCAGTCCTCTGTGTCGAGTGAGGTAGATGTAGATGATGCTGCCGGTAAGCATATTCCAGAAAAAGGGTCGAAGAAGAAGAAAGGAAAGCTCACTGGTTCAGCGAAGACAGTTATGAGTGAAAGTGATCCATCTTCCCAGGAAAATATCTCAACAAGATCTAAGAAAAATCAGCGAAAAAGCAAGGAAGCTGCACCTGTTGCTGCCTCTGTTGCAAAAACGGGCAACACCAGAGTTGTGGGAAAAGTGGAGGAAAGCCAGAATATTCCTTCTGAAGAGTGGGTAATGCAGAGGATCATGACCCTAGCCCCAGACTTGGAAGAAATAGGAGGTTTGTTTCTGCTTGTTTGCCAACTAAACTAAGATAGTCTAGAATTTTTTAATCTTTTAACTAATCTAGCACCTAACTTCAGATCCAGATGACCCACAAAGTTTGCAGAAACATTTGTCATCTCACTTGAGGCCGAAGCTTGTAATTTCATGGAAGAAGAAGAGAAACACGTTACTCATGGAAAATGCCGAGAAAAGACGTTCCCTGCTTGACAACTTACAGAAGCAGTTGGATGAGGTTTGGCTCTGATTGTGCCTTTCTTCATCTCTAAAGTGGTATATAGCTTAGTAAAGTTGATATATGCTATATAGGGAGGTACTAATAAGAATCTATATTTATATTCTAGTTTAGGATATTCTGGGCTTTATCATATTATTTTGACTGCTGCATTTTCGTGCTCAAGTAATCTTGCATCTATGTGTGATAGGTTATTATTATTATTATTTTTAAATTGGTTATCCTTGTTTTCTTTCAAGGCTGTCCTAGATTTACTGCTTTATGAGAAATCACTCGAACTATTTGAAGATGATCCTACAACTTCGGTAAGTTGTTGTTTACGTACACTGATATCTAACTTCTATGCGGCCTTTTTCTGACAACTTCAGTGTTTTTCTTTTTGGTCAGAATATCCTACACAAGCATCTCCTAAAAACAACTGCTGCTTCTATTGTTGACAGATTTCTACTCTTCTTGGTAATGTATTTCTGTATTTTCAAATGGATTCATGCTATTTTTTTCGAAAGTGCGATTCTTTCTTCTCTAATTGGTTGCTCCCAACGAAATGCTGATCTGTTGACGATCATCGTTTCCTGATGGTCTTACATATTTTCCTGAGCACGCTAGAGAAATGAAACATGTTTTATGCTGCAACTGATTAGTTAACTGGTTGCTTACGAATTTCTGCCGCATTGGTGGTGTTTGCATGAGTGTTACTGGTATTAAATTTGCACAAATTCTTCACAAAAATTGTCTGCTCGCACTTTTTGTCTCTGCAATGTACTCCAAGTAGTGGCGGACCCGCCAAATCCATGTGACGTGCTAATGGTTTTCTGATTCTGTCTGCCTTCCGAAATTCCAATCCACCATTTACCTTTCTGAGCCCTGATTGATCCCTACGAGAACCGGTCAGATCATGCATGACTTCGGCCGTCAGTGTATATCATTCGCAGTGAAGTGTTCATCTACTTGGATACCACAGAGAAGTAAACACCAGGATGGTCAGCTTATGTTACTCCTCATGCCTCTCTTTCTAGTTCCAGTCAGGTAGTAAACATTTATGGCTAGCATGTAGGATGTAACTATGAATGGGTAGTGTACCATGTTCTGTTTATGGGATCAAAACAGAGATGGCCTTTTGGAGAGATTGCCCGAATGATTGATAGCTCCAGTCAGGAAAACCGGTGCAATTCTGAAGAATCATTAAGGGTTTGAGTCCCTCTCTCTCTCTCTCTCTCTCTCTCTCTCTCTCTCTCTCTCTCTCTCTCCCATTTCTTTTAAATATTTCTTGATTGGACTAATATGCTGTCATAACCCCAATGGTTTGGTTACATGGGATAGGATTGCTGAGCCAGAACAAGAAAAGTATATTTATTTACAGCAATCGCAGGTCTAGGGAAGAACACACCCCAAATCATGATCGATTCCCCTTCCAACTCCCGTTGCAGATGCCCCCCAAAAAGAGGAATCCTAGAACAAAATGAGAAGGTCATGGTATCCTGGAATAGATCTCCCTTTCCACTTTTACCCACCCTCCATACGATACTGGACCTGGAAGCATACAGATAATATAAGAATGGGTCACGAGCAAGGAGAATGTATGAAGAGAGAGTACCTTCATTCCACGGCATAAAAACAGGAGAGATCCTTCCCTTTTTTTGGGGTAAAATGGTGCCCGACATCCTCCCATCATCTGTAGAAAGGTAGAAAAAATTGAACGGTCAAACAAGTAGTAGGCTTTCAATCTCTGCCACCATCCACGACCAACTAATGAAACAATGAAACAAAAGGCTCCCTGCCAGAGTCCCTGCCAAACTAATAAAATGCTTCAATATAGTCACCGAGAACAGTAGGGAGAACAGTATGGTACCATATCCTGCATAATATCTATGATATTTCCATATTTAAAAGATAAGGGCTACCGGTACATCATCACGCACATTTATCTGAATTATCTCATTTCTTCTTCCTTGTATTCATCCTATTAGCATTTCCAGTACGATATGTTACGACCTCGTTTCTCCCATTTTGCCGGCCTGCCTCCCATTGCATGCGATTTTCTCAGAACATTTCTCATGTCGCATAGGACACGGACAACAAACTGAAGAATGGAGTGGAGGTTGAAGATCCCCAGAACCCGGGAGCTGTGCCCTTGTCCCCTGGAGATCGAAGTGCTCTTGTACGATTGCCCTCTCAGTCCGTTTCCCCCGCGTTTCTTCACAAGGTTGCTAAGCTGGTTCTTCTGTACACAGGCCAAGAATTTATCTGGTGGACTTTCAGCAAAGGCTCAAGCCGCAGTTGACGCACTGGAAGGAAAGGTTCCCCCGCAGAGAGCCTTCTGTCTGATCTCTTTCATTTTCCTTCCCAGTACGTCGGAACTTACTGCCCACTTTTCCTTTCTCTGCATCAAACCCGGCAGCGAGTGGACTCGTTCTTGAGTGCACTTGGATCCCTTGCAGAGGAGTGGTAAGGATGCGGACTCACCCATTTCTAGCTCTTGGTCCCCAGTCAACGTCCTAATGTGGATCCCATTTACAGTGGGCTTCTGGTAAAAAAACTCGACAAGAAGTTAGAGAGGACGCTGCTCCATTCATACCGCAAGGTTGACCCCGCCACCCTGCAACTCGCTTTCCACATAGTTTTTATCAACTGGCCCGGAATGACGTTGACTCCTGTGCTGCCTCCAATGCAAGGATCTGATGTCCCAAGTTTCATCAGAGATGGACCCGGTCGCCCTTCTTCCCAAGGTCATATCTCTCCTTTATATACAGGTCAGCAGCCTTCTTCCCTCGTCACTCCCTCTGTTCACTAGTCTGCTGCCATATTCAGACCTCGGTGGCTGTTTTCAGGTACATAACAGGGCTCTTCAGGCGCCCGGTAGGGCTATTTCTGCAGCCCTTGCTAAGCTGAAGGTAGGGGGAGACCACCTCGTCTCCTCTGTTTTTCCTCTTCTTGGATCACTTAGCCTCAAATAAATATGCACATAAATTACATGCGGCAGGATAAGTTGCCAGATTCGACCTACAAGACCTTAGCGGACTACCACGCGGCGACCGTTACTCTCTTGGCCCTCCTTGCGGCGGCGACCGGAGAGGTGAGTGGGGATCGATCCGAGGGAATGGGCCGCGGATCGGCCCATACTCTTGTCTTCGTTGGGCCTTCATATCCTTCGTCTCTGTGCAGGAAGATGATTGCTCTTCCGACAGAATTCTGTCCAAGAGAGAGTTACTCGAGAGCAAGATGCTGGAGATGAAGAGCGTAGTGCTGAGCAATCCCAGCTCTTGAATTTTCTTTCTTTTTTATTTTTTAAATTATAAAGGTATCTTATTTTATAATGTTTACGTATATGACGGGTATTTTTCTGGCCGTCGGATTCTGACCCTGTGGCCATGATGCGTAGAGTGCTGGGAAGGAGGGCCCAATATTGGGGGAAATATCTTTCTTTGAGAAAAAAAATTATAAATATATAAAATAAGACGAAATTTTGATTTTAATCGTCTTTCCCGGTTCGCGACAGGAGTACGGTTCGGTGCGGTACGTTAGTGAACCGGGTTCGGTTGCGAGTCGCGTACCGGCATAAGAAGCAGCGCTCGTCTGCGCAGGCAGAGCGGCGAAGGGCGGGGGAGGAGGGGAGAAGATGGTTGTGCTCCACGTGAAGGGAGAGGCGGAGGAGAAGCAGTTCCTCTACGAGTGCTCTGCGGGATCGCCGATGGAGGATGTCTTGACGGCCGTCGTGCTCATTCACAATCTCCAGTCCAAAATCCTTCACCTCTCGGTGCGGCTCCGGGAGCTATTCTTCGAAGGCTCCCCCCTGGGTACATCCTAGAATTGATTGTGTTCTTCGTTGATCCTCTCCCCCCCAACCTCCCCAGTGAATGCACGATCGCCTATCTTGTTACCAACTCTCGGTTCTTGAAAGACCGATCGGTTCCGGTGCTCGTACTTTTTGCGTGGGATCTCCGTCTCTTCGTCTAGAAGAATCTGGATTGAATTCATACTTTTTCCGGTGTTTCTTTTAGAGTGTTATGTCTTCGGAGATGAAATACGGCGAGGTGAAGCTCGGAAACTGACGGAGTTCGTGAGGTTTTAGTGGTGTCTGAACGTGAGATCTCCTGGGTTTTGCTGGAGGTGCCTTTGTTTTTTTGTAAGGAATCGTCATTGTGATAAGGAACACACAATTTCCATCAGAAAATAAGTAGAGCGTGGGATAACTGAGTTACGGATCGTTGGCGATCGCCACATTCCCGCTGCAGAGATTCATGATGTTACCCTTGGGGAGGGTGACTTATGCCCTTTGGTTCATATGCCAACCAGAGAAACTCCAAGAACCGCATGACTTGATGGCCTGAAATCGTGTGCTGATTCTTTTTCTGCATTACTTGATGATCTTATGTACCTTTTTGTAGGCTATATCTTTAAATACCCAATGACACTGCTGCTAGGGGTAGAATGGAACCAATACTGAGTATGCTTTTTCTCTTCTCACGCCAGAAACTTGGACGGATTCGACAATTTCTCTGTATAGATCGGCATCAGAAGCTGAGACTTATGCTTCCAAGGTTGCAGAACTCGCCGATTCTTCGCCCATAATTTTTATTTAAATTCTAAGAATAGTTTTGTCTTCGTTGCCTTGCTTTCCCATAGAGAACTTGTAAATGTTTTTTCTGTCCTTACTGTCAATATTGTAGATGCGTATTCTAAACTCGATTTGATTTCAGGATCAAGTTCTGCATAAAAGGCCCTTGTTGCCTCATATTCTTAGAGACCATGTCCAAAGTTTAGAAAAGGAGATTATAGTTTCACCCCTGATGGAATCCTCAGAAGTCAAATTGGCTCAGCTCCTCTCTGGTAGGCACAGTAGACAGCCACTGATTTATAGCTTCAGTTTCAGCTTCATCTTCTTGGAAAATGAAAGGCACTATTGGCTTGCAGTCGTCTCTTTATTTAGTGTGTGCTAATATACGTGTAGGAAAAAAAATGGAATTTTCACAGAAAATTAATGTTTTTTTTTCCTTTTTTTACTACTAACACGAACCATGATTCTAACATAGGTAAATAATGAGAATGATACTCTTGACAACTTGCGACACACCAGTCGCTGTGGTAGGGCCGAGGATCAATCCTAGCCTATGGTGCCGAGGTTCATAAGTTTCCATGCATGCGTTTTTAACTGAGTCTGTTTATGCTCTAAGCTTTCATAAGATTGTAGCTGCAGTGCATGCTCCCGCTAGCCTAGTTATGAACGAGTATTGTTTATGCTGCAATGCTTGCAATTCACACTGTTCGAGTCAAGCTCATTCTGAGAAAGCTGCTAAAAATAGTCCAGTACGGGTTTAACCCAGCTTTAATTTAAATGTACCGTTGTTGGTCCGGGCGTTTCTCTGATTCAAGAGGCTAGATTCAGGCTGATTCTGGATATCCCTAATTGCTTTTGAAGGTGGTGTAGCTACGTGTGTTGCTGAAAAATATTAGATTCTCTATGCTGACATCAAACTTATGGGCTGGATGAAAACAACCAAACCTGGCTCGAGCTCGAGCTGAGGCCGTCGGAGCTTCTTCCTTCCTCACAGATTTCTAGCCTAAAACATTTTCTTTCTTTCTGACCCATCACTTTGGCTGAACTGGGCTACAGATTGACAATGGCGCGTCCACATCTTGTCTCCTGCTGGGCTTGGGCATTTTTGCTAGGAAGAACGAGAACAATTAGAGTATGATATTATGTGAGACAATTTTTCTCAGTCTTTGGAGTGGGAGGAAATACAATCCAACTTTTCTTTCATCTCTGGTCATTCATGTCCCAAAAAACTCGATCAGATGAAGATTGTTTTTTAGGAAATGTTTTATCATGCATTTCTGCATGTCACCAACCCGAGCAACTGCAGTCAGCTGGAGAGAACTTGCTCATCCACTGCTTATAGTTATTCCTAAATTAGCTCAAGTTGCACATCTATTCTTACACACGAGAAAAGCATACTTTATTGATTATCTCCTAATTAACGTTCTCATGACATTTGCAATGTCTAGATTTCGTCCCTCTGAATGGGGAAATGGCGCAGCTTTGGGTGGCTGGGAAAGAACTTCTAAGGGGGAAGCAATTATGTGATTACATTGGCAAAAATGAGAAAACAAAGGTTACTTTATTCTTAACTGTTCGCTGCTTTACTTTAACTAGATCTGGTTTACTCTTGGCTGATGGGTCTCATTTCCCCTTCTTATTTACTGATGGCAGATAACAGTTAGACTGCAGTCTGCAAGCTCTGACGCAGTACCTGATTTGTCGTTGTGTAAGTAGTCGCGTGTACAGCACTCGCATTGTCCTAAGATACAATTTATGTAACATTTTGGACAGATACATCGAAGAGTTAGCGACATTTCAGAAGAAACTTGCTCTGTGATCTAATTATTTGGAAGAAAAGACGTCAACACCCATAAAGCCACACTACGAATTCTGTTTATCATTCCATTTGGCAGTTGGTCTTTGCTTTGCAGTCCACTCAATGCTACTTCTATTGAAACCACCACCGTAGAAGTATCTGTACACACTGAGACTATTTGGATTGAATGCAAAACGGTTCCCTTGCAACGCAGAGTAGAAAGTGATCACTGTTCAAAATGGGCTGGGCTCTGAGCTTCTTAGGCACTGAACAAGCCCTGGTTTTAGTCATGGTCGATTGGAGCTTGTATTGGAGTTATTATTCTTAAAGATAGATGAGTTTGGATCGTCCAACACCCATGAGCCTGTTGGAATCTCTCATTCTTTTCTCCACACTATTAGTATGTAATGGAGAAAACGTAAAAGCCTTGGAGAAGTTCCTCTAAGCGTCAAATCTAGACAGTCTGTTGGAGAAACCCACCATCTGTTTCCTTCAATTTCATCGGTATAACTTGACTGATCCTTTCTGATCCAGCTTACTTTTGTGTGTGTTAGAGAGAGAGAGAGAGAGAGAGAGAGAGAGAGAGAGAGATCTAAGGCCTGGTGGAAGGAAGGGAAGGAGGGAGTGCCTAGCAGCAAAAGTGGGGGATGGGACTCACTGTTGCCTTGGGCTTTCGATCCCTGCCGAACCTTTCACTAGGATGCCATCCCAGTTTAAGGTCGGGTTGTCTCCACGTGAAGCCCGCCTCCTCGTTTTTTATCCCATCCCCAGCAACCACGTCCTTCAGAATGAGCCTCTGTCAGTGTCTGCACCATCAGTAGATGTCTCCCTCACGTCTGCTTCATCCCTGCCACTGTGAGAAAGCCGAGCAGGCCTCTCCCGCCGGGTTTATTCCTCACTGTTTATACTACGTACACCGGTGAGCTCCCTGTTGAGCAGATCTCGCATCTGAAAACCCATGGGGTTTCCTAATTGTTAGCTTGGTTTTTGTTTGCTTTGAAGAAAAAAATTGTTAAGCTTTGTCGTCGGTCCTCTTGCTCACCGTCTTCTGCTTCTTCAGTGGGGATGGGCTCGGCACTCCTCTGACGACGGTCTGTCATGGCTGGTGCGGCAGCGACGGCGGGTGGCGAAGGCTGTCAATCTGGAGTCTCATGAGATCTCAAGATTGGGTAATTTCTTGCCGCTTGCCATCGCCTGTTCCCTCCCCTCCTCCCCAGGGAAGATGTTCGTGTTCTTCCCCAATTCACAGATGTCTCATCGTTCTTTCTTTGGAGTCGGTAGCAGCTTTCGACTACGACAGCAGAGTCTGGTTGGCCACGTAGCGGCGGCGAGACCAGTGAAGGAGACATTCGGCGCAAGATCTCGAGAGATCAACGAATGGACGAGCTTGAAACCAGGTGAGCGCCTCCTCTTTACTTGCCTCACAGCCAAATAAAAAAATTGATTAAAGCAGACAAACCTATGTTCTGTCTGCAATAGATAATGGCGTCACTTCAAGGTGCCCATCACCATTAATGGCGGGGCGGAGGCAAGTTCATAGCTCCGACATTGACTCTCTCTGTCCCCTGCATGCCATGTCTACAGGGAAACCCACATTCCCAAGAAAGATTCCCTCCCATCGCCGAGTGAGCATCGCTCGACGTTCCTCTGGAAAATCCGTTCAATCGAGCAGGCAAAGCAACTCTGTAGATCCATGCAGGCATTCTGCGGGAGATCGGCGGCGAGAGATGGAGAAGCGAGGAGAAGATGATTTCTTTCTTTCTTCTAACTGGGTTTTTACTTCCGCCCGTCGCCAGCGGGGGGCTATGTTTCGCAGGCGGCGGCGACCTTGGAATGGGAGAGAGTGCAGCAGCCGACGTCGCCGAAGCTCTTCCGCCCGCCGGCCACCTGTTGGGAAGACTTCTTGCAGTAGGCGATAGCGCCTTGGATCGAGCACTCCACCTCCGAGTTCACGCTGCTGCTCCTCTTCAGCGCCGCCGGTCCCTGGAGCTCTCCGCCGCCAGCCGCGGTGGAGGAAGAAGAAGAAGAAGACGAGGAAGAAGATGCGGATGACGAAGGGGAAGAGGAGGAATTGACGGTGGCCGGGTGATGGTTGAGGACGCCGGTGAAGGACCGCCGGTGGGAGCATTCCTCCGCCGTCGCCGTCTTCTCCTCGCTCATTCTCCGGTGGGCCATCGTCGTCTCCCATTGGATGAGCCCAAATGGGGGGGTCCCCATTCCTGGGGGACTCGCATTGCCGCCGGCGGGGAGAAGGTCGCTCGTCCTCCGGCCGCCGCAGCCGCCGCGCGGCTCCTCTACCGAGCGCGCCGGCCGGGTGAAAAGGCATTTGAGATAGTCCCTGGAGGCCTTGAGCTTCAGACCCAGAGAGGACTGCCTGATCAGTTTCAGCTTCTTGGACCAGGACTTCTTCGGGAGTGGTTGGCTGCACTCTTCCGGGTTCAGCTCCCCGCTGACGTAGCAGGAGCTGACCGGGGAGACGGTGCAGGACTCAAACGGGGTTGCGACGCCGGCGGCGGCGGAGCCGGCTTCTTCTTCCTCTTCTCCGTGTGTGGCGGCGGTGGCGGGGTCCTGGAGCAGCCTCTGGACCATCTTGAGGCGGGGGGGGAGGTGGAGGGGGAGGAGCTTCCCCTTGTAGAAGAGCTCGTCGGCGGGGGAGGTGACGGGTTCCCTCTGCACGAAGTTAGCATCCATGCGGAATTCGAATTCCCTTGCATGCGGCGGAGAACCAGCGGCGCTACGCGAGAATGCGGCGGAGCTGACGTCCATGTCTATGTACTCTTCCTCCTCTGGTAGCTGCCCCTCCGACTCCACTTCCATGCGCACCTTCAGCCGACTTGTTTCCCTTAGCTCTTCAGACCTCTCTCTCTCTCTATAACGGCGATGTCCTGAGGATGAGAGGTGGGCAACGGCCTTGGGAAAGGAGGAGAGGGGCGAGGGGGAAGGATTATTTAAAGCCGGGAATTGCCCAAGGGAGGGGGAGAGAGAGAGAGAGAGAGAAGAGATTATTAGTCACCGTCGGATTTTATCAAGGCCCTCCCCCGGGGAATTATATGAGCAGGAGGGAATCCTCCCATGGGGGGGCCACCTGACCGTCTCCGTGGCTCCTTCAATCCTTCACAATCTTTCCCCGCACACGTCGCTGCCCTCCCGTTGGCTACATTCCCCCTCAGAGATCACGCAGAGGAAAACAAAAGCCCCTGCCCGGGAACAGGCTTCAGCCCCAGCAGCCACCTAAATCTCCAGAATCCGCCGGAAAGGGGGAGCCTTTTCCCGGAAAGTTCACCACTGCTCGAGGAAATATTCGATCTTCAAGAGCGCCCACATCTCAAAACCTGGTGATCTGCGGGTATTAATTCAAGGAGCCCAAATCCTAAGAAGCTGGAGCCTCTCTCTTCCGCCCGCCCCCCTGCGGCCCCCTTTCGGCTCTTGTGGGGATCAACCCCCCCACATATGGACGTATAATATTATATATAATGAGCAGGAGACGGATGCAATCCCGTCTCCTTCTTTCGCGAACACATTTTATGATTTCCAACGACCAATCAAATCCTCCGCGACTCCGTGGTTGGACGAGGCAGCGGCTTGTCAGAGCCCCTAGAAAGGCTGCGTTTCGCGAGCCCACACGCCCCATGAAGAGCCTCCACATTCACTGTGCACCAAAACCCATCCTCATCGGGGACTCGTCTTTTTCTTGCACTAATAATAATAAAGAAAACGCCGTCCTGTAGAGACAGGCGAGGCAACCTGGCCGTTAAAGAATCCTCCGCTACACTCGAGGCCCCCACCCGCCCAGCCTTCTCTTCCCTTCCCCCGGGGCATTAGCCTGCCTTCAAGAGGGACAGCCCACCGCCATTTCGGGCGAGGGAAGACCTGGAGACTGTTAAAGGCGTGGGAGCAGTGACCCAGGAACTATATTCCCTAGGGGGGTGAGGGAAGGCGGGGGTGGTTCTCAATCCAAGGAAAATAGGAAGGTGCGGGGAGGTTTATTCACTCGGCATGTGCTACCTGGCAGCTTCTGTGCTCACCCATCGCTCTCCAATAGAGACCCAGCACGTGCCAACTCCACGGGCTAAGCCATGAGATAAGACAAGGCGCCGCCAAAGACCAGCCCCCACCCCTTCTTCTTCCCCTGTAGAGGCCTTGGCTGTCCCTTCTGCATCATCGCCTTGAGGCCTCCCCCTCCCATTCTCCTATCCGGCCAATGGAAACTCCCCACCTACGCCAAAGGGGAAGGGAAGGCAGTACTTACTAAGGTAATCAAGCAGAGCTGCACCAGACGACCCAAAACCAGAGCCTTCGAGGGGGGGGGGGGGAGGACGCCTACTCACTCACTGTTTTGAAGTAGGGCCCCCCTTGCCGAGGGAAACAGACCTCCTAGAGAATTTATGGTAAAGAGTAGCAAAAATAGTGAAAGGGTGTGTGTGGTCTCCAGAGCCACGCCCACCTGGTTTTTATTTTATTTTATTTTATTTTTTTCTGTTGAAAATAAGAATTAATGGAGGAAAGAACATCTCGTGGGCATGAAGTCAAGCATCTAAAAATAGCTCGAGGGTATGTAATCCCAGGTGCGGATGGTAATACAAGTATATATATAATCCAAATGTCAAGGAAGAAAAGGACCAAGGACCATGGTAGGGTTTACATAAAAGAGACGTCAGTGTTCATACACTTCACGAGGCAGGAAGAACAAATGGGAAGGGCATGAACATGGTGTTATTATAAACAGAGGAGAGGAGGCTTTCACTTACTTCCACCGGGCTCCCCGGATTTCAGTTCCTGTTCGAGTTCGTCGAATTCCCATCCTCCGATCTCCTCCGCAGAGAAGTCTCTGGTGACCTTTCCGAACTCGGACTCCAGCTTTGCAAGCTCTGCTTCTGGGTCCAGCTGCTCCGCTGGACCTGCTCCCGGTTTTGGCGACTCGGGATGCTTCGATTTGGGTGAGGCAACGGTTTGCGGGAGGTGGGTTTGATGATTCTCAGATTTCTCCCCAGAGGAAGTCATCTCCCCTGCAGGTGATGATGCCTCACGGATGAGGGTTGGTCTTGCGATGGACTCGAATTCAGCTCTCACGCTCTCAATCTCGTCGAAGAGCTCTCTGACCCGGTTGTCATCTCCTCTGCATCGCACAGTTTCAAATCAGAATGCGTATCATGGCGGCAACAGAAGCATTCCCACGCTTTAAGATTCTAAAGGAGCTTCACCTGGAAGTGTTCGCTTGCTCAGTGTAGAACAGCTCTTTCATGTTGTCCACAACACTGAAGGCAGTAATGATCTGCAACAACAGTGTCAAGCCCTCCTCTGTAAGGTCTGCGCTTTCAATGAAAAATGGCCAGATTTCCCAAAATGGAAGAAAGAGTGCCGACATAACACAAGCAGAATATCCACACTATTTTGATTTCCTCGGCAGAACTTTGATCCGCTACCATCAATGATGGCCATACGGTGATAACATGCATGTAGAGAGAAGACCAAGAGAGACGTATGCTAAGGGGGAAGATGCATCCAGAGCCTAACAATGGACCGAGGAGATTCATCAATTGAGATATGAGAATCTTCTTGTGATCACAGAGCCCGACAAACTAAAAGTGGGATGAGGAGTTTAGCAGCCTTTTTTTGGCAAGATCAAGATGAGAATTTGGCGTTCCTAGGAGTCAAATCCTTGGTATGGATGACCCATCCTCCTAGGATCTCTGGTGAAGAGGACATACTGCTTACAAGGGTTTGACTTAATGGGGTCAAGAAGTCATCCGGCTTGTAAAGAACATGTCGTGTCCCTATCTTTAATCTAGAAGAAAATGGAACAATAAAGAATAAGAAAAGAGAAAAAAAAATGTAAAATACACTCGTTATGGCAGAGAAAATCACAACGGGACAAACCGGACACTAAAAGGAAGCTTGATAAATTCAATGAAGGGGACCAATGCCAGACAAGTGACAAGCACATGGGACACCCATGGCAGGGCCTACTGCTTCTTCTTTTAGCACGGGATACACATCGCTGAAAAAGCTACTCATTAGCACTACTTGTCTTAAAAAAAATTATATTTATTAACCATGATCATTCCACCAACTAAGTCAGGTGCAGTCAGGTGCAGTCAGGTGCTACGAAGATAGCACTTAAGAGTCACAACTCACCCAGCCACTTCTCCTTGGTTTTCAAACAAGAAGAAGTATCCATATATTCTACGTGAACTTACTTTCTATTAGTAGTTTGACTTTCTTCTTTGTGATATCTTAAATCTAGGCGATGATGCAGATGATGTGTAAATCTATAAATCTTTTGTTTCCATCTAAGTTCAATAAAACCAATCTGGAAAATCTTAAAAAGTACGCCCGCCAAAATCCAAAGCATTGCCGTACTTCATTCCCTCCATCATAGTCATGTTGATTTTTGTATTATGATCGTCTCCAAACCAAGTTATGGATAATAGTGAATTATCTTTTGAGCTTTGTTGATTACTATACTCAATGTACTTCAATTTATATAATTGAAAGCAAGAGGAAAAGTTTCTCAGATTATTCACAAGTAAGAATCAATATGGAAGCAGGGTTAAAAGACACATCTGCCATTATCAAGGACTAGCTACATATTTTTCTATAGGATGAAGTCATTCCATATGATACTTCGTGTGCTCAAACCTTTCCATCAAATTGGTTCAGTTTAATGAAAAACTGATACTCGAAACCATCCGAGCATTATTGTTAATTTAGGCTAAAACTATCTTAACAGCCTTTTTTGTAATTAATAGAATGCCATCTCAGTTCATGAGAAGAAATATTGAAGTATCCATTGACAATAAGATTTAAAACCTTACTCAATTATCCAACAACAGTTAACTCCAATTCTAGTCAGTTCAAGCTAAATTTCTAACTTCCTTCCTCAGAACGCAAAGTGGAATATTCCAGTATAGCTCTCAAATCCAAAATTTCAGCTACTCAGTGCCTCAATTCATGGTAATAACATCCATCTCTGACCAGGGAAACTCCATTACGTTTTACCTTATATTCTCCGAAAGAAAAACACCTTCCAAAAAGATATCCAGATTCATGATTGATAATTTCGATTTGCAAACACAAAAATGACTTATGATTCTGGATTCGATGTTCCCAAACACCAGGAAGAGGGGGCATTGACCTGTTATCCAACCTTTTGTAATCCACATTTTCAGAAAGCCTAAATGTGGGAGGGGGGGAATTGCAAGAGAAACACGCGAAAATAACAATACTAAAGCAAAATAGAGAAACTCTATTGACCTTTTCCTCGGTTTCTAAGTATTCATCCTCAAGAAGCTTTCTTGGGTCTGAATCTTTTGGTAATTTACCGTCCTCACCAAGCGGTGTTTCTGACCTGGAAAGCAAGTGTGAAACAAGATCTTCGGTCAACGAAAAAGTAGTCAAAAACCTCTACTGTACTTAACACATAGAGCAAAAAATGACCATACCTTTCACTAAAATTCTTCAGATTATCCACTAGAATCTTGATACGAATGAATGAAGAATCTAGTTCTTCCTATATAAATAATGAAAGTACAATGAAAATGGGAATGAGACACTTATCCATGACAATCTTTAATAGACTAACATTCAAAAAATCTAAATTTTCGGCCAATTCATTCTAAACAGTACCTTGAATGTCAAAAGATAACGGCCCACCAGCTGCACGAAATAATGTCCGTATTTCTCTAGCTCGTCACTGCAGTATGGAGAAAAACAGACAAGCAGACAAAAAGAAATTCAATTGATTTGCATTAAACGGAAAAACAAGTTAAAATGATTGGAAATCGCTGTCATGGCTTTAAAGATTGTCATAGACAAAAAGAGCATCACTGGTTTTTTTAATAGAAAAGAGGAAAAAAATAGGGTACTTGATCTGCTTATCCTTCTGTTCACTGTAAGACGACTGGAGAGTCCAGGTATCTTCCAAAAAATTGATCCAGGTTTGAACAACCTCTGCTTCTACTTTACATGAAGCTATGGATCTTGAAAGTTCATCCTCCTAACAGCAGAAGAGAAAAGAAAAGGATACGACAGAATTAATGTTTTAATCAAACAACTAAAATCTCAGAATTTTCATTTCCTTTTTCCATGTATTATTCCAGGTAAGGCAGTACACCTTTGACTTAAAGTGCGTGACAATCTGATTGCTTGCTTCATCAAATTGGTCCCTTTCTTCTTTCATCTTGTTCAGACGTGCACGTGCTGCTGTTAGAGAGAGATTCACCTGCACATGCAATCTCACAGTGAAGAAGCATAGACGACCATAGCCACAATAGCAGATATATCATTTCGAAAGCATACTACCAGAATCACAAGCGTACCACAGGAAGTCAAGATTCACTTCATATCGTTACATACAGATATAGCAAAAAAAAAAATAGGCCAAACGTGCAATGAAAGAAGCAGTGCAGTGAGAAACAAAAAGAAATCTCTCTCCCCTTCTGTAGTATAAATTGTGTTATAAGTTGACATTGAACACCAGTCACCTGCAAGTGACTCGTGAACAAAATTATCAGTTGAGAAAGAATTCCTATTCCTATCTTATGTTGCAAGAAGAATTTCAATGGATCTCACCCATCTGATGTGATATTTGACAGCTTGATGGTAACTTCTACATAAAATACCAACTCATGCACTATGGTGGATGTATGAGGCATTTAAAAGTGAATTTCAAAAAGACATGGCTTAGTAACGTTCATGATTTTAGCAAAACACACTTAATTAAAAGAAGCATCTCTCACACTGACTATGATCCTAATAATTCCAGCTGCAACTAGAGTGGAAATTGGAAACTTTACATCCATAAAGCCTATGCAACAGAAAAAGCAACTCTCTTGAAATAGGACAATTAGCCTCTGCCATCAAAGTGCACTTCGCTAATTGAGCCATACGTGACCACATTTATGATCTCCTCTGAATGTCCACAAAACTAGAACACCTCTGACTTTCCCCAAAGTTTTCTAAGAAAAGAACATTAGCTGCTTCACACTGTCCAAACTGTAATAAAAAGATATTATTAAGTCTGCCAATTCGCAGAAATGATATATTTTTTATTGAATGCCTCAGACATCTCAACCAATTCCTCAAGGAAACTGTAAACATCATGTAGCATTAAAATTCCTCAAGTAGATGTGCCCACCATAATTGAGGGTGCATGTGTATATATATATATATAAACTAACATGAATAACCATTGCTAAACTTAGATTAAAATAAGGTTGCCTTCCCCTTCGGCAGCATTACACATGCCAATTTTGAATGGAGTATGACAAAACCGGTTTCTGAGCTTAATTTAGCTTGAAATAGAAAATATGAACTTCATTACCTGTATGAAGTAAAAAAACTTGATAGTATTCAAATTTGCTGTGATTCAGATGTTAACTGAAGACCATTGATGAGAATATTATTTTGCACAATTTCTGATTCGGGAATTTATACCTTCTTCAACTCAGCCTCGATTTCCTCTCTTTGCTTTTCCAGTGTGGTAATTTCTGCTGTAAGATCCTACAATATACGAAAAACATAACCCATCAATAACCACAAAACAATGAATGGTCCACGGGGATGAATCGCATCTGCACAGGAATAAGGGTAGACGATATTACTTGCATCACAAATGCAAATTATGTAGAGGGATATCACCAAATAACAGTCCGCAGCATGCGGCACAAAAAAAAACTTGTTTTCAAATGAATACTAAAGGTGAAGGCCCATAAAGAGACACTACTCCTCTCTCAACTTGAATCTACACAACAAGCTCTGATTTTCAAGTGAGAATGGTCAGCATACGGTTCTGAAAATTAACAGAACATTTCTCAGTTGTAAGGACGATGACATTCACTGATTGAAAAAGAAATGTGGAGTGCCTTCGAAACAGACAGCATAAATGAAACAGGAAAAACAACTCTCGTGCCTACAAAACTTTTTTTGGCTGTGTCAAACTCTTTCCCTCTCCTTTTTTTTTTTTTCCAATCAGTGAAAGGTCAAAGGAATGATTAAAAGTATAGACAGCAAGCCACATTTCAATTTGTCAATCCAGAAAAAAGAAAAAAAGAATGTGAAGATAAACAGAGCGGACAAGGATCCACCCACATTATTTTAGCAATGCGGATGACTTATGGTATTATTTATTATCAAGAAACTTCAAATTTACTTTTATAAACACAGCTACTGTCAACAGAAACTGGTGATTTACAAAGAGATAAATGTCTTTCATTCCACGACTTGGCTGATTTTACTCATAACTGTCACCGAACAAACCATTTCATCTGTTTATCCATTTTTCTTAAAGATACCAACTTACAAAGTTTGCAAAAATGACTTCAGAAAACCCTTACGGAGTCAAGAAAATGACTCAGATAAGTGAAACAACCGTTTTCACCCTTACAGAACGGTCTGCGCCAGTAAATCCCATGCATGACACAAATGCAGTGCTGTGCACAATAAAAAATTTCAGAAAACCATTTAACAACACCACTGCGACCCTCATAACCAATGGTTGCGACGAGTACAAAGGGTATAAATTCAAAGGGTCTATTATTTTTCTCGATGATCAATTTCTTGTTTTATGAAAGTACCAGAAGGAAAAAACAGTTGTTACAAAACAGTGTATCAAAATATGCCCGGTAAAAGGTAAGAGAATGGCAAACAATTTATTACCCCCACCATACTTTTTCTAACCATGTGGTCTTCGCACAAAAGTTGTAGCCTCAAGACGCATACTCGAAAGAATTTGCAAGCTGCTTAAAATCTCAACCATTTCTCATGCTCATGTTGCCAAAACAGGTAATTGTTACTTTATATATTCGTATCTGTTGCTCTACCAGTAGCATACCTTCTCAATCTCGCTCACGTCATTTGCTTTGGTGACACGAAAGTTGAGTGCTTCTTCCTTCTGAGTTCTGTTTCCAAACACAAAAAAAGATTGTAGAAAAGTGTTAGCTGATGAAAAGAAAGGAAAAAGAAAAGGAAAAGTGATATTTCAATGAAAGTGACGTCTGTAAAGACAGAAACCTACGATTCGAAGTCAAAGAGTCTGTGATTTAGTGTACTTTTTAATATGTCTGCACTTCACAGTAGGGAAAGGGAAGTGATGACATTTCTATAGCACGAGATAGGTGGATCTCTCCTAGCCATGCTGAGTCTTGAATTGTAGCCATGCTTGTTAAGCATTTGAGTGGCCATGCAGGAGACTGAACAAACATCCGGCAAGACAAGCTCACGACCATATGCCAAAATGTTCCCATGTATTAACTATACTGTCACACGTACAAACATTGCTTATCTTCCTCCAAAACCACACAAGGGCTATTTAAATAATTGTTCCTTGGCGGGTTTGATTGTCATCGTTGACAACCATTGTGAACAATGTGAGGAATCTCTGAATATTTATCCTACACACGTGCCTGAAAAGGTTAAGTTTATAGGTAATCTGTGAGCGTATGTGCATTCATGTCCATGGATATTTGGAAATGGATAGGCATGTAAACACGGGCAAAAAATCGTAAGTACATAAATGAATGGACATGGATACATAATTATCCGTGCAGGAGGAAGGAGAGTGTGCAGAGGGATGGGGGAGTCGCATAGGGGGACAAAGTGAGAGAGAGTTGAGGGAGAGAGTTGAAAAGGAAAATCGGAGGGAGGGTAAAGATAGAAGAGCTGGCGTCACTGACAGACAAAGGGAGGGAAACGATGAAGAAGCAAGAAAAGAGAGTTGCAATCTCTCTCAGGATCCTCTTTTTAGGTAACTGCAGGGTATCTGTCATTAATGTCACTCATGTCATGCCTTGATACGCTGTCACCCCACTATTTTTATGTGTATTGTTATCTCATGTTATTTGCTAGGACATAATCTCACGGCAAAAAGGAATTCCTCGACCAAAAGAAGTCCCTCCCATAAGCATTACAAGGAAAATATATGAGATATAAAACTACTGTATCGTACCTGTGTTCTGCTATGCGCTTTTCTGCCTTCACTGAGGAGTTTGCAAGAGATTCCGCCAGAACTTTCAGCTTATCAACCTGAATTAAATTTGGTCAAAGATGCAAAATATTAAAGGCGCTCCCTTTGTGAATTCAGATCCTCACAAAAAAACATTAATCGTTGTGAATTCTCAGAATGATGTCTTTCAAATAGACTATAATGAAGCATAAAAAATTATACTGCCAGCTCCACCTAATCGCTCTCATTTGATGATGGGGTTTGCAACAGTGCAGAGACGTTAACTGTGCTCTATTGATTCAGCATACAGTCAAAATTGCTTGACTGACTAGCCCTCAAACGGCCAGTGTGTTGAAAAATGGCCACCATAATAATGGGTAGATCATTTTTCATGGGAAGATAGGAGCGAAATTCTTTCTTCATAAAAATATCGTTGTATTTATTTTTATTGGAATTTGATAAAAATATGCGTAGAAACGTACGGTAATTCAATAAATTAAGCACTAAAGCTTACCCTGCTTATTGCTAGAAATAAGGCTAAGAATAGACTGAATGGTAGTAAAAAATGTCACAGTATAACAATCATCCCAGTTGTAACTTTTTTAATCCCCAGGGAGACCAATAAGGGAATGTTATCATGGAAATGCAAGGCTTTCCATAAAGAAAGGAGCACATCCAACCTGCCTGTGATGTGTAAAGTGTGTCATTCACTTTCTTTATATGAAGTTTATAAGTTTTCATAGGAAGTTGACAGGAGGTTTCTCTGGAATGGTGCGTGTCAGTTAATTCGTTTTTCCTTTATAATATGCTACACTTAACCGAACCCATCAATAATATGGATAGTGTACATTTCACCAAATCCCATCTATGGTCGTATTGATTTTAACTATCAAAGTTAATATGATGTCAGAAAAAGGTATCTACCATAATTATCCCAATCCAATCCATCTCTGATAATTTATATGAATGTAAATACTATCAGTCATCTTCATCACGTCAATGAAGAAAAGAAAGTGGGAACCAAAGCAAATGCTGCAATTTACAGACTTAAATTAAAATATGCAAAAGATACCAGCAAAAGTAGTGGATCCGATCAGACAAGCATTGGTTAAGATATTCCTTTTTATGTCTATACACCGGAAAGTATAAGGGTTTTATTTTTAAGAACGCAGCTCACTTTATAGCAATATCAGATACATGATTATAAGTATGCGGCAAATACTGTTATTGAATAAATTGTGTGCCTCTAAGGTACTAACACTTGGATCTTTCTCCATTTAACATTGGGCTGCACTACCACCTTTCAAGAGAGAAAATTTCTAAACAACAGGCGCACCCGACCAGTGACCAGTAGGCAATCACATGAATAGACAAGAGAACAGAGTGAAAATTAAGGATTTTCATATTTATATGAATTTCAGAAAGTTTAAGAGAAAAGAGGTGAGATATGCTTGCCTTCTGAGAATGGATCTCAACAGTATCTCCGCTGTTTATAGATTTTTTCTTCAGCAAGAGGCCCTCCAATCTGGAACATAACCGAACTTCTGCAAGTGCTTCATTCAAAACCTAAGAATACAATGAAAGAAGAATCAATTAAACGAATTGAGATTCTGAAACCAGCATACAATGAGGACTGTCCCTTAGACATAAATTACTGGGTAATTAGTAAGGTAGAAGATTTCTCAACATATTCGTCCTTATCTCAATCTACAGCGTTTATGTGCCTGTAAAACTTTAAAATTTCTCACGAACCCTCATAAAAATCCTGTGCTTATTTGAGTAACTTATATGCCACAAAACGTTAACAGTTTTTCTTTCTTACTATAAAGACAACTGACACATTTCTTGGTACACGTGTTATTATAAACATCCGAGTCTCATAAATATCGCCATGGAATAATAAGCAAAATCATCAACTGAAGTCATGCCCTCATAGATAATTGCATGGCTAATATTTATCTCCAACAGCCTTTTAGAGTAAGTGACAGTAAGCTATCCAACATCTTAAGGCAATTTGATACCCGGGGTCAACAGCTCAAACCAAGCTCCTTCTCAAGAAGATCCGTTGTATCTCAAAATGCCAAGCAGTTTCTAGTTACAAAAAATGACCTAAGCAAATATCGAGACATAACTATAGTGATAAGAGTAGATAAAGCAGGGCCTAGTGAGAAAGGGGAATAGTTTTTTTCTCAGATTGAAGATGGAGGAAATTATTAAAAAGCAGAATTTCAAACATTATGTGCACGTGAAATAAATGCCCAAAAGACAGACAGAAGTTAATGAACAAACTTACGAGACAAAGTAAAGGATTTGAATTGTGGGAGACTCAATCTATGGCACCGTATTTAAAAGACATGTTATGGTTGTGCAAGTTATCATCTAGTTTACCTCTATATCTATTAAATTTGTCTTTTCAGACGTTCTGAACTGATCATCAGTTGAATCTACTTGCTGAACTTCCAATCCATCAACCCTCTGCCGAAGTGCTGAAGCTTCTGCATCTATTCTGCAATCAAGAAGAATATTGCATAAAAAGTCAGTACCTTCCAACGATAGATAAAAAGGTGTAGAGATCTGGAAGGAGAGATATCCCGTTATAATTCGGTTATCGGATAAAATTTAGGATAATATTATAAGAGGATGTAAAATCTTATTAAAAATAAGTTTCTCAAAATATTGCCATCACACATAAAAAATAATCACAAAATTCAACGTAAGAAAAAATTCAAAGGACTCCATATTCTGTTTGTTCCCTTATTTTTCAGAACAAAGCAATGGACATCTCTTTTCATTTTGCTGAATAATTTTCAGATAAAATATTAAATAACCAACAAAAAATTTTCATGATTTTCATATTAGCAGAAGTCATATATTTGAATCTCAAAACTGAGCAAAATAAACATAAGTTTTTTCAACAACCTTCCAAGGTCTGCATTTAATTTCAGTCCTGCAATGGCACCTTGAGCAAACTGAAGCAATTCCTCCCTTTTTACCTGAGGATAAGCCATAGATTCAAAATAAAAAATTACATATAATTAAAAACTTAGGGAAATTTGAAGAAGAAAATAGGATAAAAAATAATGTCAACAAGAAAAGAGAAAACCACACCCATGTCATGTAAGAAGTTTCAACAACAAAAGAATTAGATCCAAAAAGTCAAATTGCTTCTATAAAAAGATAATTACACAATTTAAGTCGAATCTGGATTGGCTTTTATCATCGTCGACTACCAAATGCCAACAAGGTTGAGGAAGTAGACTTTGATTGCAATCCTACCATCTTACCTCATTCATAATAATATGTGTAGTTCTATACGTTTTCTCAGTGGTTCCACTCGACCTCTATTGGCCTCATATTCCTTCAGGGACACCCTGAGAAACGGCGGTGAGTACAACCATCCTCCTAGTTGTCTTCATCTAAACCGTCACAAATTAAACTACCTCTATTATTGAAACTTCCATCATATCCCTACCTACCATCCCATGCAGTCTTTTCTCATAGTAACACGCCCATTATAACTCAGTAGTTCAGCAATGTCACCTGGCTCAAAGGACTTTGTCTTAGCAGTCCAGCATTCTGATCCACACAATATAGCTGGTTGATAGCTATATTTCCACATAATTTCTCTCCAAGACAAAAAAGAAAGAACAAACAGGGTACCACAGAAGCTTCATTTGAATTTCCCTGTATGCAATTATTGAAAATAACTTATAAAAATAGCATCCAAATAGGATGCTGATTTCTCTAATACTTTCCCACAAAAACTAAACCCCACGTATCCTATCCTAGTCACAATAATGAAAAAACCTTGAGAAACTGTTAAAATCCTTTAGAATTTCAACGATACCCTTATGAATCCTCAGACCTATTCAAGACCATGCATCAGTTTCATACTATTTGGGGCGCCACACTCACCAGATCATTGAAATACTGCTCAAACACCTAACAGTGGGGTTCGTTCCCATAAAACTTCCTCTCCTTGGATGGGGCTCATTTATGAAGTCATTTTTTAGAGCTTACTTTTCTTCTTGTCCGCTGCGATCTCAAAGTTATTCCCCACTAAAGCTCCTTTTCACCATCTTCCCCATTAATGTCACAAATCGCCCACATCACCCATGGCATTATGAACTGAAGTTTTTGGAATGCTAACGCCAGATATTTCTGCTTATCAGAAAAATCAGAGTGCGGTTACATATGGGTGCAGCACAGACGTCTTCTACGTGAAATTTAGGAGAGTCAGATGTACCGGTCCATACAAGCAAAATAGACAATAGCTTTGGCCCAGCAATTGCCACAGTAAATGTTATTCAGTCGCACCGTCCCAGGAGGTAGGCTCTGCAGCGGCATTGGCAGCAAGCCGATTTCAAGAGAGGCTCTGCAGAAAGTGTAGACATCGTGGAGATCCGAAGTACGAATGACATAACCACCAATGTAGCCTCATCCGCGAGGAATCATAGGGAGGGGCATCCTTCACACTGGACCTGGTCATTGGGCGTTCTTCTGATGTCATACTTTAAATCATCAGAAGGTCAATTACTTCACTTTGCGAACCACACGATCAATAGACTGAGATTAGGTCAAGGACAGGGGTTCAAAACACCATCTTCTGTAAGAGAGTGAATGGTGGCAATACCAACCATTAGTAGCCGCAAATTGAGTTGGCAAACAACAGGTCTTTGTCCGAGCAGAGTACCTTAATGAATCTATCTTTCCTTTAAACTTCTATCAAAAGAATACATTTTTATGTCCAAGAATATGTAACTATAAATGTTTAACAGCGTTCAACATTTACTGTAGTTGTCAACAGAGACCCAATTGCCTTAACTATCCGAAGCCACTGCCACACTCCAAAGTTCACAGGTCAACCACCAAGGGGGAAATGTTTAATGGATACTACCGTCACCATCAAAGGCAAAGGAAAAAGAAAATGAAGAACAAAAGGGAAGTGTAAGGGCATATTAAAGTGGCCGACATTTGAGCCAGATAACATCGTAATCAGTAAGGTTTCAACGTCTAGATGCTATAGCACAACATAGACCAACATCAATTAGGCTAAGTTCTTCTTCTTCTTCCTCCTTTCCTCTCCCACAGCTCCACCCGCATTACAATTTTTCAAAAAAGTTTCTGAAAATGAGAAAGGATTTTTGGATGTTTTATGATCCACTTGAAATCTCGAAAACTACAAGAAGCCACATCAGATAAACTGTTCAGAAAATAAAGGTTATCTAACAAAACTGAATTTTCAAATATTCCATCCAAGCCTGGGCCCATTTTAATTTAAAATAAACGACACATCAGAAAGGGAGCGATCTATGCTCCCATTTCCAGCCAATGCCATTCATTTCACAACCGCAAAGGATTCCATATGGACCTCTTTTTGCCATGACAGTTGCATACCTGCCATAAATGTTAACCATGCATACTGCATAAAGTTGTTTGCATACGCCTTAGGCCAAAAATCCTTCAAGATTAAAAGCTTCTGGGCAATTCCAATGCAAAATAACATCATTGTATCACTGGCTTAAACCTCACAATAGAATTTCACATGTGAAGCTCTGAGACAGTGAATGTGAATGCTTAGACTGGAAAACTTAAACTGTGCTTTGGATAAAATATGAAAGTAAGAGTACTACGCCTGCCAATATCCTTAAAACAACTCAACAAGATACTAGATCTGATGATTGCAATATTTCCTAACAAACAGCTTTTCCAGTGATCCGTTCCGAATGGAATACAAACTATTCTACCCAAATTGATCTCTGATTTTGTTAAATCATTCACCAGTGGGCTATTTTTGGAATATAAAAGTAGTCGGCATTCTTGAACTTGCGATTATCTAGAAAGTAAAAATAAATAAATTTAAAGATTATCACTATGAGAATCAACGTGAATTCTTTACTATTTCCGGCACTAAAATCATAGGCAGCTTAATTCCAGAGCAACAGTAGTATTAGAAAGAAAATATGAAGAGGTGAAGGCAAATGACAACAAAGAAGCCCCCAAAAGTCAAAAATCACACTTCAAGAAATGCCATGTCACGAAGCAAGTGGACAATGAATGATACACATAAGAGAGGAACGGAAAAAATAGCCAAAATATACTATAGGGATACATACCTATGGAATTTTAGCACTAGTGCGACACCTCATGATGGCAAGATCAGTGAAAAGGTAGTCTATGAGCACATATTTGAAGGCAAATAAAAAAAAATTGAATATGATAAATTAAAAAAAACACTAAAAAATAAATATTCTTGGATGTGTAACAATGTATAGTCAACCTTTCTTTTGACCAAAGCATTTTAAAATAATGGATAGCTGACATGACTAGACACATAAATTTCATTTTGATCAAGGTATGGACACCAGCAATACGTGAGATAACAATATGTTCAGATCCTCAACAAAAGCTAGGTTAACTTTCTGAATAGGGAAAGAAACAGGAGAAAGAGTGAAATCACGAACAAAATAAAGTCAAGAAGAAAACAAGCATATGGTGGGGAGTAATTTGAGAAGAGAAAATCAGTATAGGAAAAGAGCATGCAACCTAAAAAGAAGAAAAGGAAGAATGAGGCTAAGTACAGTGTTGATGAGAGGATGAAAACTAACATAGAGCACCACACTTTAGAGCAAATGCACTACTATCAATCCATCCATGCATCTCTAATACCTTTCTGACATTCACATCATAAAGCTCAGATAGTACATATCTTTATAAACAATCCGGGTTCTGCAAAAGTTATGTTCATTTATATTTCATATGTGTATTTACTTTAAAAGTAACTAATTGCACAAACCCTTTAATAAGAGCATACGTGAAAATTTCATAGAAATCAAAGAGTAAATGAAATCTAATCAAGGAATTATGTAACAACAGCATACAGGGAAGCACAACCTCAGATTGATTAGCAATATGAAACTGATTCCATTTCAAATAATATGAAAAAATTAAGTACAAAAAAAGTTTAACTTATTTCCGCAAGTAATATTTTTTTGATGTGATAGATAATGGCTCTACCAAAACTTCATCCTCGTAACTTGCAAACACTTTTGCCAAGTCTTGAATGCTACTTATGACTGCATTATGAACTTCCTTCCCTCCTGTAAAACAGAAACTGCAAACAATCCAAAAGAATCATCACGTCGAATTGCCATCAAAGAAATCTGAAGTTAAAAAACATAAGTATAAAGCCATCAGAATCATTGAATGTTGTAGCATTAGCGGAAAACTGCCAAGGGAGATCTACATAAATAAACTAAATCAGTTAAAAAGAGATTAGTTGTCCTCCAGAAAGCAGGCCACAAAAAAATACAACTGTTTTACTCTATGACTACTATGACTTGGACGAAATCCTATACGTGCAGATGAATACAATTGCAACTTCACTGAAAATTTTCTTGTCTAGCTTTCCTTTTCTAAGGATTTGAAACCTCAACTTGATAACTGGCATACAGCAGCAAGCATGGTCTGCAAATCAGACAATGCAGAACAGAAGTGGTCCTCGTCAATAACTACATAGAGGAAGACTAATTTTACGGATAGAAATACCAAGAACTGGCATTGAATCGCAGAAACAACCACTTTCCATTTCTTTTACTGAAACCCCTAACATTCAAGCAATGGTCGTACTCTAAATGGTGTAGATGTCCCAAATGTTTTGTGAAATGGCCTTCACCAGTATCAAATTTGGTTTCCCTCTGGGGCGCCAATAGATGCACTACTCTCTTAAACAAGCACCTTTAGCAATGTTTCCAATCCACTTCTGCGGGCAACACAAGGAAGGAGACATTTTTCTAATTCATCTATCCACATCAAGCTTCAGTTAATGTTTTCTTCGAAGAAAGTCCAGATTTGTATTTCATATTTCACTTTGATGAAGTTTACTCACCAAATAATATTTAAGCAACTTCTTTCTAATTTATTAAGATAAATAGACCACAATCTCTCCTCCAGTTTTTAAGCTTTACATGACCTTTAGCTCATCTTCAGCTTTCTAAGGCTTGCATCATCCAATCTATCCTCATTCGAGTTTCATGCATCCTGATCTTCATCCATATACATTCTCTTTATACATACTCTAGGAAGATTTTCCTCATATGGCTTGTTAAGAGAGGACAAGACAATTAAAGTGTAGCCTTCCCCATTTCCGCATTCTTCTGGTTCTTGAACTTTCCAATTCTCCATAGTTCCTCTATCTGCAACATGATATCAGCGCCATACAGTCCCTCTCCTCTCTTCCCCTCTTAATCGGGCATGTCTACTTTTGAGACATTTGCTCGATCTATTACGTAATGTCAAATGGATATAGACCCAAAATGCTCTGATAAATCAGTAGAATGGCATCCACATCACCACATCCACTATACCCATCAAAGGTTTTTGCTGCAACAATTGCATTTGCTCGGTTTATTTGATTCTACGAAATTACTTTCCAACGTGTTGTTCAAACACTATGTTTCCCATATATGTTCTCAAGATGGGCATTCAGTTTATTGATGCTGGCAATTCTGCCATCTAGGTTGCTGGTCTGAAGTCCACCTTGCACACTACCAAGGGTTTATGTCGATGTTCCACCACTCCATGCACTGGCGTCCTTCCTAATGTAAGTTGTTATCTCAACTTCCATATATGGTACCCATTGCTTATCATGTTGACTCTATTGTGACAGTTGTGCCCACTCTTTAAGCAAACTCTTTATTCAAGGCTTCTTTGCTTGGTTTTGATGCATCTAGATTTTGCTAGATACCATACATCCTCCTGGTCTGGTCTCCCAATGTTTCGAGTAACACACAACAGGATTAGCAACAAGAGCCTTAACTTTCCTTGCAGCACTTCACCTGCCAAGAACTTCAAAGTTATTTCTAGGTAGTTCAATTATACGAGTAAAAGGAGGCTATGGACAAGGCCTCTTATTTTAGCATTGCGACCAAGGACTGTGCTATGGTTGATATATCTGCTAACATAATCTCCCTTCATTTTCTTCTTTGAGATCTGGGCCTAGCTTCCTCAACTCCCACTGTGTTCTATGGTGATAATCAAAGTGTTCTTCAAATCATCAGCAAGACTATGTTCTATGAGCAGACCAGACATATAAAAATTCATTATCATTCTTTTTGCCAGCAACAGCAATTTTCCCTACATTATATTTCTTCCCCTAAGCAGCTTGTGGCATATTCAGCAAATCTCAATAACTCCACGTTTCAAAGAGCTCGTAAGCAAAATCTCAGCCTATAAAGTCCCATGATTCTGAGGGAGTGGAGAAAGAACGTTATATATCCCTTATACAGTTTTCTCCAAGTTTTTTCCTTTTTCTTTCCGTGCCCTTCTTTGGGCTCTATTACTCGCACAAATCCGTAGTAACACTCGTAGCATGCGTAGACCTGGAATTCTAATAGTGTCTATGTATGCACTAACAGTGTTCAGACACTGTGAGTTAGGTCTCAGGAACAGCCTTCAGTGTTTTCATGTCAATCATAATATGCAGATTGGTGTAAATACCATTAGTTAGAAAGTCGAGGCATGAAAATAAACAAGATAACAAAGAAAAGTCATTATGTAATCGTTCCCATAAATACACAAGTTGCAATAACTACCAACTGAGATAAAATTCAACCAACTTCTGATACAAAGAGCTCAGGCAAAGATCAACAAACACGATCAGAAACAAGAATGATGAAAAGCAGAAAGTTATTCGCCATAATTAATTGCTGCTCAAAGAGAACTTCCTCACCTTTATCAGGTACTAGTACTTAGTATTATATTATATCAAAATTATGACATTTTTAAAAACCTCAATCGTCATCACAGGATCTTCACCTTATAACGAAATTTGGCACAAGGGAAACACCAAATTCTAAAGGGTCTAAACAGGTTTAACTCTTAGGAACTCACCCAAAAATTTCAAGGAGGAGAGAAACTTCTTCCTCATTTGGTGCTTCAAGAATCTGAACGACAGGAAAGAACTGCTGTTACCCTCATTATTGGCAGACAGAAAAAAGCTTGAAGTTTCTTTTTCTTAAAGAGTTTCGATCATGAACACCAAGACCAAAAAAAAAAGTAAAAAGCCAGAAAGGTGACATTAATAATTAGCAAAGCCTCTATCAGCCAGAAAAAAGAAACAAGCACGAACAATTTCCAATAGACCGTGCAATATGAACTAAAAAACGCTAGATATAGTTAAAAACTGTATTAAATGACCGAAGAGTACCAACGTTCATGATAAAAAATACGGAGAAATTTGAAATGATGGAAGTAAACCCCACCCAGTGCCAGTTATCCAGCAAGGCCGGATACTGGCCGCCCGCACACAAATGCTATTGCATGGAGTCTTCCAAAAGCCAAGATGTTTAGGCTTTATGAAATATTGTACAGTTGCAAAAGTATGCTGAGAAGAAATCTACTTTAAAAAGTAATTTATTACCACACTTTGAGGGTTTAGCAATGTAAAGGTGCAAAATAGGAAGATGCTAATCGCCCTACAGGTAATCTTAGTTGGAAAGATATAGACATTTTTATTCAAAGTTCAAAAAGCTTATCGATGAGCTTTATGAATTACTGGTCGAATACAGCCGGAATAGCCAATATATATAATTCAGAAATATGAGAAAGAATAAGATTAGCTCCTAAAGCGTTCCTATAGCAGCAATGTCGTTCTCTTCTTTATTCACCTCAATGAAATAGAATCAAGAAGCCCGGAAAAAAAAAAACATTCTTGTTCTGTTTTGACTGTTTAGATATGCATGTCCTCTTAAGATACAGGACATTATCGAAGGTATCTATCTTGACTATTGATGAAATCCGCATATCCACCTTTCTTGTGGAAAAATTCCGACGGATGAATTGGGAAATCAAAAATTGATACAACATTGTGTATATTTTTCATGAAAACTCCTGTTTTTGCATCATTCCACGATATCATAATAATACCAAGCAAGGGGCTAAAAGTTTGAAGAAAATGGTCTTGAAACTACAGCTCAAAGTCTCTGTGTGAGGACATTTAAGTCTAAAACAGTTATCAACAAAGAAATCTCTAACTTCTGCTGAGGTATCTGCAGTTCCAGCTGAATGTTCAATTATGATCAACCAATGATGAGCTACGAAAGATATCACAGAGATGATTGTTTGCCCTAAAGGACTTATTTCCAGCATTGTTTGGTAGCATTTACCCGAAGTGTATGTTAAGTACATTTCTTGTACTTATATATGCCGTGTATGTAGGTCAGTAGGTGTTGAGATGAACGATTGAAATTTTCTGAAGGAAATATAAAGTTTTTGAATCCAACACAAATGATTCATACGCAATTAAATATGATCCTTTTTTTTTCTAGTTTACAAGTCTCCATACAATACCAAGTGAGGGAACTTTACATTGAATTCAACCGAATTCTAAAGCCTACTTGGTCCAAAGCATAACGGCAACTTCCCATGCCAAAATGAATTTCAGTCTTCCCATGTAGGTCTGATAGGACAAACACAGGTACAGTCTTCCCATGCGTAACGGCAACTGAATTTCAGCCCAAACCCTAGTTGTTTTATGCATTCTGAAACATTTGCTTTCTCTGTGGAACTGATAGACAATGTTCTTTCAATGGATTACATAATTTCTAAACCTTCCATTGTAGAACCTTGGTATAACAATTTGTGAAAGTGATCGGCGTAGAAAGAAGAATGTGCCTAACTATGCACCCTAGCCATTTCTAGTCTGGTGTAATGGTCTAGGAGCCACAGTAATGCCATGGAAACGGCATTCAGATAGTCTCACGTCAGTGAGTTCATGAACCCTGGACTACACTGTACTAATATATGGCTTGCGTCTAAGGCAATATGCATCACAAGCAGCCAAAATGAACCCATGTATGTGGCCTACATGAACAAACATCTTTGAGCTTATCCTAGAGGATCATCGTAATGGATTGTCCTATCAGACCTAAGTGAATCATTGTCTGAAATTTGATGATAACGGAATTTTATACTTGTACCTTAGCCTGTGAATTGGATAACATTCATTTATGGTGGGTCCTCTGAACCTTCTGTATAAATGAACACCGTTCACATGTTAATAATATACGACGATGAGTTAGTGTTATGTGCGCTATTTCCTAGCATTTATGCCATTGGAGAGTGCAACACTAGTTTCTAATATATACAAGCGTACACAATCTGCTTGGAGAGAGACATCTTAGAAATCGACCATTGCTCCGGAATGTATTAACACAGATCTTGCTAACTCTCAATATAATTATTCTAGTTCCACCAATATCTATTAATTCTCGAACCAAGAAAAGCCCAAATATTCCTTCAAATGATTAGCACGTTGTTCGCATGTAAAACTGAAAAACTGATTTGGCAAGGAGGAAAGCCATGTGCATGAAATTCCAAGTACAACAAGGTTTACACCACGGTGACTGGTTATCATTGACATCGCACAACCAATTATAAAATCCAGCGAACCAAACACAAGCTAAATCAAAAACTATTAAGTTACAAAAGCTTACCATTGACAACGTAATGCCCTCCAATGCCTGACTATGAAGAAATACATCTCGAAAGTTCATTGCTTCACCTCCAAGGTCGGAATCAAAGAACAGAACCTGCTACAACAATAATAGGAAAGCGAAACCTTAGAGTTCCAAAAGTATAACATAATCTTTCATCCCACACCCACCAACCAAAGCACAACAACATTGATTTGAACACAAAAGAGTAAGCATTTTAAATCAATGCACTTTGACACACTTACTCATTTGAATAAAATGAAACTACTAAAAACAAAGAAAAGATACTATCCACAAGTGACACCTCATTTCCTAATCTGTAATTGGAACCCCAACGTCAGTAAGTACCACTTCCACCGTTTCAAAGAGATGTATGGCGTGCCAATACGCACACTTCCACCCTTTCAACGTCAGTATGGTCGTGCCAATGGGCACGCTATTAGCATAAATATGATATGTTAGCTTATAAAGCATTACACCTCGTCTCAACAATACATACAAACTTAAATGCTCAATCCATTATTTTTTTGGGCATTGGGAATGGATTTCATTTCACAAACAAACAGAAGGAAATAGAGAATACGCATTTCATTATTGTTCAATATGCTCCAACGTCAAATGCACATTAAATTCTAAGCTATAAACAATGAAAAATCACAAGTTGGAACTGTTCTTTAAAATTCAATGCACAATACACTGTCAAATCATGCGAGATGAGAAAATAAATTCAAGCTACTTACGGAGGAGGCACTTCTTGGGGAGGTGGACCCATCAGAAGAAAGATGCTGCTCAAGAGTTTTGTCATCCACTAAACCAGAAGCTATTCTGTCAACCTCTTTCAAAGCAGCCAACCATCTCCTCAGCAATTGAATTCTCTCTGTTCCCCTGCACGAAACAGCTGCTTCTTCCAACCTCTTGACCGTTTGTTTAAAGCTTTTGTAGTTTCGACCCACCTATATATTGAATCGCCATAAAGTAGAAATTTTCATACGTCAAAATTCTAATTAAGGCATCTTACTAAACCAAATTTGTCATACTTTACATAAATAACGGCACAATCCCATCTCTTATTTTTACACTCGTTTGCTGAGAGGGACACATGAAAATTCCCTACAGCCATACACTACATTGAGTCATCGCCTGGATTAACATCTCAAGGAATTACACCCCTCTTAAAAAACATCCCAGCATCATGACAACTAACATCTGATTCTAGAACTCCAATGAAGATGGAGATACATAAAATGAAGGAACGCACGATGAAGTTATTTCATTGTTTATTACTTATTATAAACACGATGATCCTATTTTTTTTCATTTCTCAACTCAAACGCTTACCATATTCACAGACAGTACAGATTCTAAATTTGAGACAGTTAGATTCTACATTTATAGAACCGTTCATAAACTCAATAGCCAGTATAATTCCTTTGAAATTTTAGATCGTCGTCCGACATGTACAAGATTGTGTGATAGAAGAAGTACCGAGGTTTAAAACAATCATCTTTCCCATCATTAACTTATTCCCGAAAATTGCTACGCAGGACTGTGAGAAATCATTGTACGAGGCTGTCCTGTGTTTCGTTCACAGTTGGACATTTACAAATCTAGAGCTTGTACCGAAGAAGATTTTGAGGAAGTATAAAACTCGAGTATCGATATGTGTACGAACCCACCCTTCATCATGGAGCACAACTCACACGATGTAAAAGTTTAGAACATAAAATCGACTGTCGTTCACCAAATCGGAACCTGGAACTAACTCAAAACACGCTTCTGCCGTACCGGCAAGCGGGAATTTCATGAAGTAAACGAAAGGCGCGAGAAAAAGAAGGAAGGGAAGGAAACTCTAGCAGCTAGCATCAGACAAAACTACCATGCGTTCCTGAAGCATCTTGGCCCCGCCAGCGACGGCCTGGCCGGCATGGTGGACGACCGTATCCGCATAGTTCTTGACGGTCCGAGTGATGTTATTCTTTCCGCCCACTTCGACGGCCTTGTTCACCGCAGATCTCAGCCACGACATTCGCCGGGAGAACGAGTGGACCGCCTAGGGCAGAAGCACTGGGGGAGGGAGGCAGCGACGGAAAGAGCGAGCTCCAGCGATCGGGAATTGCGGTTCAGGGGACTCCGGCAGAAATGCAATTCCGCAGAGAGTTGGGATCGGAGGACTCGCTTTCTTCCCCTTCCCTCTTCCGCACCTCGGAGGGATGAAATCAGCCACGACTTGGCATCGAACTGCTCGAGGGGGATCTCGCGCGGGGCTTGCCCACTGGCGCGCCCTGCGTTGGTTTCGGTCTGCCCTATATATAGCTAGCTCATCGTCTCCGGCAAGCCTGGTGCAGAGTTCAAACACGTGACAATCGGGCCGGGCCGGACCAGTTGACTTGTCACACGATTCCAATTGGGCTGGACCAACCAATAATTAAACTCGGGCCCACTTTCCCTTTCCTCTCGGGACAACAAAAAGGAAACTCTCTCTCTCTCTCTCTCTCTCCTCTCTCTCTCTCTCTACAAGACCATGCACCAGTCATGAATAAAACGATTTTAAGGAAATTTTATGTGGGTGTCTCCACGAACTGGATCTCATAGCTTTGGAAGAGTCGGTCGCATCTAAGGTTCCACAGGGCACAGAATCAGTGCCACGTCTCAGCTCCGGACTCCATCGACAACAGTAGTCAAACCAGTGTATGATTGTTCGAGTTAGGAAAATCCAAGAAAACACATAAACATCCGAAGAGAGAGAGAGACAGAGAGAGAGAGAGAGAGAGAGAGAGAGAGAGAGAGAGAGAGATTGATTATACATCTTTAGAAAGTCAAAGGCAAGAATGTCTGTTTGGCATTTCTTTGCCTATGACAGTTAGAGGATGATGTCCCCATGAGAGTTCATCAAAATAATGATAGAAGAAAATGGATAAAGAAAGTGGCAGAGAACTTACCACTGCAAGAATGAAACCATGCGAGAACCCGAGCGGTCGTCCTCTTCCCTTCTTCTCTCAGTAGTTGAAGAAGCCGAGGGAGAAGCCATCAGGTGGAAGGGACGACAGAAGGCGCTATCCAACTGCTGCTGCAGCTGCTGCTAATCCTTCTTGTGTTTCTGAGAGCGCCTCCTGGTTCGCGACCCGCTGTTACACCGCCCGATGAACTTGAGCACCTCGTCGATCAGGATCACTGGGAAGGCGACCGCGAGGACCAGTAGCCACTCGTTGAAGCTGAGCGGGACGATCCCAAATACTTGGGCAAGGATGGGCACGTAGAGGATCAGGAAGTGGAGCCCAAAGGAGACGGACATGGCCGCGAGGAGCCATGGATTGACCCAGGGTGGCATGGTCAACAGGCTGCCGTCCTCGGAGAGGGCGTTGAGGGAGTTGAACATCTCGATGGCCACCAGGACGGAGAGCGAGAGCGTGGTCGCCTTCACCTTCCCCGACTGGAAGTAGTCGCAGGGGTTGGAGTCAAAGGAGAAGACCCGGGAACCAGCAGTGAAAGGTGACACCTTGAAGCCCTCCCAGGTGGAGCAACGATCCCAGTTGGAGAGCTGCGAGTAGGTGACGAGCGTGTGGCCGTCGCTGCTCAAGTCAATGCCCAAGAAGGACCCGTGGGTGTACCATATTATAAAGACGCCCACGGTGGCAATGCCCACATAAAGCCCGATGATCTGCGCAAATCAATCCATTTTCCAAGGTTTTGAGAATAATTATTATTGAAGAAGCTGATGATGCAAGGCGAAGTCTGGGTTCACCAGGTAACGGAATAGAATCCAGGCATTGATCAGTGAATCGTCGCTCCTTCGGGGGGTTTTCTTCATCACATCCTTGTCTGGAGGATTGAATCCCAGAGCTGTTGCAGGAGGCCCATCAGTGACGAGGTTCACCCAGAGCAGCTGAACTGGTATCAACCCCTCTGGGATGCCCAGTGCGGCTGTTAAAAATATAGATGCCACTTCACCGATATTTGAAGAGATCATGTACCTGAGATTATGTGGCAAGATTGGATGAGATCAGTTTGGGGGGGGGGCGGGGGGGGGGCAGTCCAAACTAGGAGTTTGGGGCAACTCCTAGTATTGGATGATCTTTGGGCGGTGAGAAATATCAAAAAGAGAAGTAAGGAAAACAAATGACTCGAAGCCCATAAACAGAGCTTCTTCCTAATTAGTCTAAGGATTGAATGGATCACGGACCAGAAAACTATTTAGCGCTCTTTGATATTCCAGCTCTGTGGGTGGCTCCTAACGTCTATTTTAGGCAAGATCATTTGCAATAGTATCTGCAATGTGAAGGAGCATCGAAGAAACAGGTGCTTCATGCCTTCCACCGCGTGGCTGTGTAAACCGAATGAAGGGTGAAACAGCGTGAAACTCTCACATGGTAAGAACAACACCTTCAAAGAAGATGGGTCTCCCCAGATTTCATGAGCTAGAAGGCACATGGTTCCACCTTCACTAACTATATAATAAACCAATATAATGATTACTAATGACTGATAATCATCATCTTATCAGCACCCTGACTTAACCACGGAACTGCATATGCTGTTGCAATAGAAAATCAAAAGGTAGAATGGGAGGATAATAATCACTAATAAAGAATCACAAGGAACCTGATAAAGGCTTTCATATTGTTGTATATAGATCTTCCTTCACCAACAGCTGCAACTATCGTGCTGAAGTTGTCATCCGCTAAAACCATGTCGGAGGCTTCCTTGGCAACCTGAAAAGACAAGCGACAAATTAGAGGAAAACTAAGAACAGATCATATGACCCACATCCAAATTCTAAAACGATTTATTAGAATTAAGAGAAAGGTTGCATATATTGCAGACTGCTGTCATAATAGAAAGCAAAAAAAAAAAAAGAATTAGTAGCTATGTGACGGAAGAAATCAAATAAGAATGTGAATAAATGAAACAAGAGAAGAAAAAACCAGGTTTATAATAATTCACACACAATTTTCTAATATTACTGAATTAAAGTTTGTCATCCATCCCAATTAGCTCAGAATCATCAATTATTTCAGGATCCCTAGATCTGCAGAGCTTTCATACACCTTGAACTAATGTCTTACGCCACAGCAGACTCTTAAGAAAATAATAGACGTAGAAAGGGAGATTTATGAACAGGATCATGGATCGAAAAGCAGGGAACCAGATTTTCCTTCGCGTAGCCACTTCTGAGAAGGAAAATGACAATCAGCCTAGCTTGAAAATCTTTGATATCTAGTCTGATAGAGTCAAGGTTACTAGGGTTTTGACCCTTTAAGCCAGATGTGCAAAAAGAATGTATTCTATGTTGTAGTAGCAATAGTATAAATTTAATCAGATTTTGCGGACAAAGAAATGAACAAAACGAAAACTAAGTGCAATCACTATTATCGACTGTCAATTATGTATTGACTAAGGTTCTGCATAAGATGAATTTTTACAGAGGACGTTACCTTCAGCGGAAGGGATGTTAAATATGCTAAAACGAGTTGTTTTTCCACTATATCTGATTATTTAGTGTTGACTTAAAAAATCATGAAGTAATATTTAGGAAAACAACAAACAGAATAGGAGGCAAACATTAAAGCCTTGAAGAGATTAGGATAAGACCCATAAGGGAAGAAAAAAAAAGATAAAAATGTACAATAGAACAACCATGACAGTCACAAACGAAATATAAATGTACCTCAGTCCCAGTAATTCCCATTGCAATACCGATATCAGCTAATTTTAAAGCAGGAGCATCATTCACCCCATCGCCCGTCATTGCAACCACCTCACCTTCTTCTTTGAGCAGTCTCACTATCTCTTGCTTATGTTTTGGTTCCGCCCTAGAGAAAAGGAGTCCACCAGACTGCCTCAGATACTTTTTCTTATCAGAAAGATGCATAAATTCTTTCCCTGTAATGCTCTTTGAGCTAATGTCTTCCCCAGGTTCAAAGACACCAATTTCACAGCAAATTGCCTCTGCTGTATCTTTGTTATCCCCCGTTATCACCATAACTTGGATTCCAGCCGCCCTACAGTCCTCAATTGCTTTGTGAACCTCCTCTCGAGGAGGATCCTACAGAGATTTGCAGCCAACATTGGTAAGAGAGAATATCAAATTTGTATGGACAGTAGCAGAAACACTAAAAGAAGTGGTAAAGAGGAAACATATGCTCACCCTCAGCCCAACAAAACCCACGAAAATGAGATCACTCTCAATTGACGAATAATTAGATGGATCAAGTAAGAGCCTGTGAGCAGGATGATATTCGCCATCATATGTGGCAAACTCTGAAAGATCAATCTTGTATGCAAAACCCAAACATCGTAAAGCCTTAGATGACATTGCTTGAAGCTCTCTAAGAATCAGTTTCCTTGACCTTTCATCCAAAGTTGCAATTGAGCCATCAAGTAGCTGTAAGTATGTGCTCCTTTCCAGTAAATTTTCCACAGCTCCCTATCATAAAAGATACAAACTATAAACCACATGATGACTTAAATTTTAAAATAAAACTAAAAGATAGAAATGACAAAGTGGTTATTCTTAAACAGGAGAAGATTGGGCAACCGGAGAAAATACAGGGAAGAAAAACTGTGAACAAGCAAACGTTTTAGGTCCAGTAAAAAAACATAAGACACTGATCCAATCACAAAAGCAATCATTGCGGGGGGAAATAAAGTAGAAATAAATAAATAACAACACAAAAATCAGATTGGAAGTATTTGAGTGCCGTTTCATCAATCCTTTATATCACGAACAAAATAGCCAAATGTAGCACAATATGCATCTACTAAAAATGAGCAAAACACTTTCCATCAAATATCGAAATTTATTGTCGAAAACTAAAAATTAGTCAATAAAATTTTTACACCAGGAAAAAGATATTCACATAAATGCAGCGATCGAGGAATCACCAACCATAGGTAGTGGGAGGTGAAAAATATCCTGTTACATCTATATAGAAATCTTATATGAACAATGAAGCATAAATCATCAGATAACTTCAGACACCCTCCTCAAAGTTCATCACATGACATCCACACTAAAAACTAAAGATAGGCACAGATATGTCGTCCTTCAGTAATAAAGTTCTTGAAACTTTGTCCTTAGCAGAAGCTTCTAAGCATTCACACTTTCACATCTGCAATTCCAAATTGTTTAAAACCGGAAAATAAGAGATAAATGAAGTCTATTGTAGTGCCTCCCACACATCGACTGTAGAAAACAATGATAGTACCTTCACGAACAACATATTGCCTCCAGAGTCTGATTTCACAATGACACCCATAGATTTTCTGGATCTATCGAACTCCAGAGTCGCAACCCTCGGTGCAATTGAATTCCAATACTGGCAGCAATCTTAAATGATAGAAAAACAAACGAAGGTTAGATCAAAAATATGCATCCGCACGTACAGAACTGTAAATCACAGAATATAAACATACGGAATCCTTCTCCCGTATGTGAAACATCAGATCCTGCGGGCAATCCCATTTTCTCTACTAACACCTGAAAGAAAAATGTGCATCACATCAGATTCCGACATCTCATTCTTTTCATCCAAAACGTAAGACACTGTAAAAAGACGAGGAATGAGATAAAATATAATGCTGCTAAGTTGATACTAGCCCAGTGTTTGTTCTGTCACGAAATGTGCCAGCTCAAAAGTAAGCCCTCCTTTCTTAACTTACTATCCCATCCTTCATACACTAGTTTTCACACATGCATTATGTCTAGAGCTGATTTTAATGGATCAAATATAAGATCCAATGTGAGTATATACATTGATACAGCCATTCCATTCAACGAATGTAATTAAAGAAATCACAAGCTAACCTTCAGAGCAGCTTCTGTGGACATTCCATTGGCATGATACTGAAGGCCAGATTTTGTGACATTGGCTTCATTGCAAACAGAAGCAATCTTGGCAATTATTTGAAGATTTGGATCCATCTGGCCGATTGGCCAATCATGGATCCTACCATCATGTGGATCATACGTAGTCCCGTCCACTTTGAATCTACGAACTACACCTATCTTCTTTCCAATTGCCACAAGCCTTGCCACAGACATCTGGTTTGTAGTCAAAGTGCCCGTCTTATCTGAACAGATTACAGTTGTACATCCCAAAGTTTCCACACTAGGTAGCTTCCGAACCAATGCATTCTTCTGAGCCATTTTCCTGGTCCCTAATGCCAAGCAAGTAGTTATAACTGCAGGTAGCCCCTCAGGAATAGCTGCAACAGCTAAAGCTACTGCAATTTCAAAATAATAAGTACACTTTTCAAAAGAAAACTTGAAATTTCTTGGCCACCCATCAACATAATCCCACGTAAAGAAGTATTTCACATTGATGAGCCAAACCAGTGCACAAATCAGACCGATTATAACAGTGAGCGACTCCCCAAATTCATTCAACTTCTTTTTCAATGGTGTCTCAACATCATCCTGTGATGCTTCATGTATCTGGGAATGCACCTTCCCGATTTCTGTGTTCATTCCTGTCTGCGTAACCAAGCATATGCAGGTCCCATTCACGACTGTGGTGCCAGCAAAGACCATGCACTCTTTCCCTTGGATGTCCATGTCTTCTGTGTCAATCTTGTGGTGGGTCTTATTGACAGCGTCAGTCTCTCCAGTCAGTGATCCCTGCTCAACCCGCACAGTAGAGCTTATCAGGTACAATATCCTCATGTCCGCAGGCACCTTATCCCCGGCTCTGAGCTCCACAATATCACCCGGGACAAGTTCTTTTGCAGGCAAATTAGGGACGACCTTCCCTGCCCGCCTCACCGTTGCATGCTCAGATTGTATCTCTTTCAACGCCTCGAGGGCCATCTCGGCATTGCTCTCTTGCCAGACACCAACGGCGGCGTTGACGATCAGGATGAGGAAGATCACCAGTGGCTCGACGAAGGCTGTGATCCCCATCTCACCCCCTTCGTCACCATCGTACCAAGCGAGGACAAAAGAAACGACGGCAGCTAACAAGAGGATCCGAACCAGAGTGTCATTGAATTGTTCGAGGATCAGTTGCCAGATCGAAGGGCCGGAATGTTTCTCGAGCTCGTTGCTGCCATAGACCAAACGCCGCCTTAGGACTTCCTCCGATGAGAGCCCGCGATCCGCCGAGACCTTGAACTCCTCCTCGCATTCCGGCACGTCTCTCGCCCACGCCGGGTACGTCGATACCGAAAGTGAAGGCTCCCACCCAGCCTCACCCTTGCGTCGATCTTGCCCCCCCTTCCCCATACCTGTGGAGAAACTTTACCTTGTCAATGAAACCAAACTCGTAAAAAAGAAGAAGAAAAGGACCGATTCAATCACTGTACCTTCAAATCTCGACACTCAAGAAACAAAATTCCACGGCCGATCTACTGTAAAAAAGAGGACAAGAACCAGATGCAGACACCTCGACGTAGTCGATCTCCCCGGGCAAAAGCCGCACCGCCAGGGAAACCGCGACGGTACAACCGGACAGATGGGCGAAGAAACAACAGAGTCAATGTCTCGCCGTTGGACACCGGAAGGACCTAGGTTCTCATCATCGACGGCGACGAAACGTTCATCTTCACGCCCTCCCCTCCCGCGGCCACTGTTTCCGCTCCCGCTACTTCGTACGTCTCCGGCGCGGAGACCGGGCTGTTCCCCTCCGATTGGTCAAAGCCAAAATCCCCGTTATTTTCGTTCTAGGAAGTTTCCCCGAAGTATCCTCATTCCTTCATCTCCACCCTACCTCTCCAATAAATCTGGACTCCGGATACGACGTCGAAAGACAGATGGTGACTCCTATAGAGAGACAGACAGACAGACAGAGACAGAGGCAGAGACGACGGAGAGAGGGGGCTGATTTGACGAAGCATCATACGACCTTCCGTTAACTTTATTATTGCGCACGCCACTGCATGCGATCCGGACCGGCCTTAAATGGACCGGGGCAGGTAGAAAGTTTGTGGAAGTTGTGGTCCGGTGGTGAGCCACTTGTATTATACGGAGACCCGGTTATTTGAAATAGACTTTCCCTATGGATGTAAGGGCCGTTAATCCGCTGAATTTTTAAAGTGTCTAAAGGTATATAATTTTTTATTTTTTTATATGTATTAAAATATGATATTTGAGATTTGTAAATTTTTATTTTTATAAATATATTGTTAAAAAACTAGTAATGATTTGAGTTGGAGGGTGTAATAAGTCTTTATTATCATGAGTTAATTATTAATAGATAATATAGTTTTAGTTTTAACTCATAATAAATAGACTTATATTTATGTTAAAGTGTAAAAAGTACTTTTTAATTAATTAATATATTTTTATATATAATTATATAATTTTATATAATTTTTATAATCTTACTTTTGAAATAAAAAATAAATATAAATATAAATATAATAAAATAAAGGGACACACCAATCAATCGAGCTTGCAAGCAGGTTAGAAGTGTAATGAGAAGTAGTTGCGAGCAAAGGCTTGAGCAACTTGAACTAATAAAGGCACGTGTGTGCCACTCTCCTTCTACATCACTAGTAACCAATCGACTGTAAGGTAAAGAATAATTATACATACGCCAAAAAATAACTTGTTTGTAAATATAATATTATTATATATTCACTCAAAACTTTAATATATAAGTGATATGAGATTAAACATATGTCACAATTTTTCAAGAAAAAGTGAGCAATTGGCAGAGATTTAAATTCTCTTAGAACCAAAACTTATATTTTTTATTTGATTATCACGACTTTCTTGCAGATCACTAGTGAAGGATTAAGCAACCAGAATCGCTGGATCATCGATGAAAATCTTGTCAACACGATTCGTAAAACATTATTACTAAAATTATTAAATAATTTATGGTTAAAAAATCGTGAATTATTTGAGTAAAATATATTCGATTAATTGACAAATAAGTATATCATATGTGATGAAAAACTTCTTCTTACTACGTGGACTTGAAGATGAAACTTCTTAACATGCGTCTCATCTTTATCAAATTTTTCTTTGTCAAGTGACAACTATCAAAGAACCATAAAGTCGTTATTTTTTTGCTTTGTTAGGTGATAGCTGCATGAGACGATTCGACAATCTATTTTATTAGTCTCTAAACTTCGCAAGAAGATCTAGAGATTGCCCATGTCATCTTTGTCAAATAAGAGATTTCAAAGTCATAAATATTGCACGATGATCCTCTAGAATACTTAAGATTCTGATGTATTACTGATGCATTACCACTGTGACGTCGAAATTTTATTTTCCCATTTTCAATTTACTTTCTACTTCATATAGTGATAATTTGTGTGATTTAAATTTACCAAGATATATTTCATTCAATTATGATTATTTTAACTTTTATAGATCTTAATTTGATCAATTAAATGGTCTATAATCATTTACGTAAGAATTGTCAGATAGAACTCTATTTCCATCTAATTTACATTTGCTAAGCACTAACATCATCCTAATGTTTGCACCCTTATTTATATTTGTAGTAATTTTTAAATATATTTTATTTTTATTTATTCATATAAAATTCATAGAAAATAGTATTCTTAGAAGTAAATTCAGAATAATTATCTAATATTATATTACATCCTTGTGATCAACTTGGAAAATTACCGTTATTTTTTTATTTTTTATTGAATTATAATTGATATATTATTTTAAAAATACTTCTAAATATTTAAAAATTCATATTTTCTAGTTTTATAAACTTTAAATTTATGTGATTTACTATTTAACGACTAAGTCACGTCAGATCCCCATACGTTATACCTCCCAAAAGTCGTACCACGGTGAAACTGTAATCCATGGAAAAGTCAAATCGGCATGTTATTTAATCCACGTGGAAAGTAATTATCAATGGTTTTTTCTAGTTATTTTTGCGTCGAGTGATCTGTATGTCCAATGGGCCCATTATTGGGCTTCAGTTCGGCCCGGGCCGTTGTCGACCCGGGTGAAATCGGGAGCGAGTCGAGTGTGAGCGAGTTCCCCGATGGTTTCCCTAAATTCCGGCTCTTGTTTGCTGATCCGTGGAGGGAAAGGACGGGAAGCGTGTTCTCTCGAACGTTTCTTTCTCCCTCTCCTCTCTCCTTCTCCATGCGCGATCTCGCCCGGCGGAGGGCTGGTCGGGGCGGCGATGGGGAACAAGATAGCGAAGACGACGCAGGTTTCGGCGTCGGAGTACTACCTCCACGACCTACCTTCGTCTTACAATCTCGTCTTCATCGAGTCCCTCGGCCATGATCGCTTGTTCAAGTCCATCCGCTGCAAGCACGACGAGGGAGAAGTCATCGTTAAGGTCTACTTCAAGCGTGGCGATTCCCTAGGGCTCAAGGTTGGACTATCTTCTCACCCCTTCGACACGCATATGCGGGTATTTCTCCTCGCTAAGTTTCTCCCCAGTCTCAGCCTCCAATATATGCAGGAGCACGAGAGAAGGTTATCTGAGATAAGGGAAATTCTTCGCCGGGTTCAGCACTCACATGTTTGGCCCTTCCAGGTGTGATGTCCAATGGAGGCAGTCCCCAAAATATCTTCACGAAGAATCCGCGTGATGTATTTTTTCACAAATGTTCTGATGTTGTTTCCTACTAGAATTACGAACCATGTTTTCACTAAAACCATCTTATGTCGCTTTTGGAACCGCCTGATGCCAAAATATTAATAGGTAAAGCAGTCATGTCTGAGTTCACTTGCGTCCTCCGAAAAATTATCCCCCCGAATGGTAAAGTTCATTTGTTTTAACCCGAAATGTTCTACTGAAAGGCCGTTTCGGAACAAAAATCTTGAATCATATTTTTTACTGAAACCACCTTATGATTTTTTTTGGAACTTGTTGATGCGGAACGATTACTATAGTCATAGTAATTGCACATCATAAGTAGTTAAACCAGAAATTAAACATCGTCGTCTTACACTTTTACAAAGCTTGTATGTAAGATTATTTTTCTAATTTACATGAAACTGCTAATATAGTTTTGGCTCGAGACGGACAAGGCAGCATACCTCTTGAGGCAATATTTCTTCAGCAACCTACATGACAGGCTGAGTACTCGGCCTTTCCTCAGTCACGTCGAGAAGAAATGGCTTGCCTTTCAGGTGACAGTGATGACATCAGTTTTCCGTTATTGTTACAGAGACTAGCATCCTGAGAAAATTTGTTGATTTTCTAGTGGGTGAGGGAGATAAGCATTTATTCTCCTATGTGCACCGATTTAACTTTGCTATTACGAATTCTTCTGCATAAGCATTTATTCTTGTCGTCTTCAATTTTTTCAGATGTATGTTTGCCGACTTAGCTAGTTTGGTTGTGCAGCTCCTATGTGCAGTCAAGCAGAGCCACGAGAACGGCGTCTGTCATGGTGAGGGGATCCAGTACAGATATCAGTTTCCGTCTCGGGATTGAGTGGCAGATATGATAGCAGTAACGTGGGATTTGCGTCTTAATTATTCTAGGTGATATCAAATGTGAAAATGTCCTTGTTACATCATGGAACTGGTTGTACCTTGCGGACTTTGCATCATTCAAACCAACATACATACCTGTTGATGACCCATCAGACTTCTCATTTTTCTTTCATACTGGAGGCAGGAGACGATGTTATCTTGCACCTGAGGTAAGTTTCATTCTTGCCTTCTGGTATATCTATGCTCAGCATAAAATGTGAACAGTACACTCGGATTTAAGGTTCATTGGAGAAACTATGTGATAGACTGGTAGAACAAAACATTTAGGTAAAGCTGTTTGGATCCGCTGGTTTCTACCACAAGTGGATCTTCATATTCTTCTGTTGGTGTATTTTAGCCGTGAGGATACAGTGAGGATTTGCCTTTTTTTGAATCATGAACGTTTAGAAAAAGCCTTTAACTTTTTTTCTTATTTGGTCGTCAAAAAAGTCAATTATTCAAACAAGTTTTGACAACCTAGTTTTCACGGCGTCCAGGCTGTGTAGAGATGTCTGCTGCTGCCTATTTTTGAGTCCCCAGTTGAGGACACTTGTGAGCTCCAGTGACGAGGGAAGGTTCACATTGTATAGAATTAATCATTCTTATGATGCGTTTTAATGACTCAACTTGAAACTTATATCCGTTTTAATTGATTTTTAATGCCTACGTCTGTTTGTGTTTCCGTAAGCCTTGCAAGATGATTCATTTTGTTCTCATCATTGTTTTTAGAGATTTTATGAGCATGGAGGTGAGATGCAAGCTGCGCCAGATGCACCCCTCAAATCATCCATGGACATCTTCTCCTTAGGGTATGTGTTTTAAATAATATACCTCAGTTTTGCTCGACCTATAGGCATCTAAATAATGTTTTGGATCCGCTGGATCTATTTATTTTAAATAAAATGATCAGATAATTTTTCTGTGGTTAACTGAAGACCTTTGTTATGTAGTGTCTCTTGATTGTAAAAAAAATCGTCTTAAAGCATCAATTGACAGCATTAAAGCGGCTTAGTTCAAATTAAGGTGCAATGCTAATGAAAAACGTAGCAACATGTGAAGACGTAAAACTGGCACTCTCAAAAGGAAAGCTCCTTAATGGATTATCCGTTTTCTTCTGGAGAAGGCTGTTACATGACAATCAATGCGACTGAAAAACTGGAGTGTAACCAACAAAAGTTATGTTATCGAAAACCCTAGAGTATTGTAAAATCTTTGGCTTTGACTTATAAAACAATCAGGCACTGAACATTTAGTGCTCCTCCAGTAATTATGCCATGTACATATTCCTACCTGCAAGCACTTGGATTATTTTAAAATGGTGAACTAAATTCCAGATGAATAGCATCTCACTGTAACTGTTTTAGGAACTATTTTTTTCATTCTATTCAATGTTATGGTAATGTCCTTTTTATCTCAATATGAGTAGTGTCCCATCCCCACGACCTTAGGTCTCCCAGCATCTATCCGAACTCAGTAGCATAGTTCCAAACCTTCCAGTCATCGAATATTAGCATGTGCTAAACTACAGATCTATTTTTCACATGCAATCATAGAAATTAAACTGATTGTGTTTTTTCATTTTTTATTTTGAATTTACAAAAGACGATTGGAATCTTCATCTTGTTTTCTAAATTGCGGTTTCTGGGAAATCAGGCTATAACAAACTATACCTTTTAGAGAATGATGCCACTGTGAACTTGGGCAAAAAATATTTTTCCTTTGTAGAGCAGTGTAAAAAATCTCTTCTGCAGTCCATGGTCAAAGGAAAGGTAAGGGGAGGTCAATAAGAGCCGTGGAGCTGAGCCATATCCATAATCACATTGTATGGAGCGGAAACTCTTTTTCACGCAGCAGAATACATCTGAGTGAAAAAAAAACCCGAAACAAACTGAGTACGCTTTATCTTTATTTGCCACAAGAGTGATTTATCGATCTCCAAATAAGAAAGGAAAACAACAGTGCACTTTTTCTCTTTTGATTTCAAGGTAGATTGGTGCAGACATCAAAGCTCTTCTCCCGATTTAAAATCCTTGAGTTATCACATAAACTTTACTATGTGTTCGTGATTGTAGAACATATTTTGTTGTCTATTTTATTTGATCAAAAAAATAATGTAATGTATTAATATTTACTTTCCAGTATTTTTTGGCAAAAATGTTTATGTTGCTTGTGTAGTAACGGTATGGATCTAATCTGCTTTTTATTTTGTTTCATGCATCCCATTTTTTATATTCAAATTTAATTGCCAATAATATGTCCTTGGGAACATTATTTTTATTTATATGCATTCATTCTATTGTACTACCATCAATTAACGTCTGTTTCTAATATAATTTTTTTTACTACAGATACTTGGGAGATGTCATCACATGCTTTACATTAGCATTGCTTAGTAAATTTCACATCTTGTCTTCTTTTTTCGTAGGTGTGCCATTGCGGAACTTTTCCTTGATGGCCAGCCTCTATTTGAGTATTCCCAGTTGCTTGCCTACAGAAGAGGCCAATATGATCCTTGTCAGCACCTTGAAAAGGTTTGTTTTCTTAGTTTCTCTTATTTCCTTATTAGAAGAAGAAAAACTCGTTAAATGATTTTATGGGACGAATGTGATAAAGAGGACGTAGACGGATCAAGTTAAACCGAGCTCCATTGTTGTGTTAATTGAAATGAAGATTTATTCTTAAATAATTTGGCACTCCATTGTTGTGTTAATAATTTTCTAGATCAATGAGCAACTAGGGTAAACAGATGGAGGATATGGGATGCTTTATTCTGTGTCTATGTATCCTCCGAATTACAACTCCTAGAGGCAAGTTTACTACAAGTTTGAGTCCCCTGAAAGAAACTATATTGCAAACACGCCTTCCACTTTCACGTTTTCTTCGCTGTCCGATTTCGAAAGAAGAAGAGTATTACCCATTGAACTATGAGTTCTTGCATTTCCTTGGTTGCTTAAAAGCAATTTTAAATCTCCAATGGAAAGGCACTGTAAAATTCAAGACAAGGTATTTAAAAATTGTTGTATGATAATTTTTTGGTTCCATGGTCCTGCATACTGGGCAGCGATATTTCACTAGCGAAGTTATGCTTCAGATGGATGAAGTTTGAGTTTATGTTCTCCAGTAATCCATCTAAGATCGTCACTATGTCTAGTGGGCAGTATTTTCTTAGATCTTGAAGGGATGGAGACAGTTCTTTAAAATGTCTTTTTGTTGGCTTCAGAGTATATTTCCCAGTCATTCCCTGAATGCAGAAAACAAAACTCGGCTTTTGACTCGGAAAAGGTGGCTTTACATTAGTTTTCTCACCTTATTGACATAAAATTTAGTAGCTAGGAAATTAATTTCCTTCTGGATCCTACAACTAGGATTTTATGAAAACTGAGGTATCATTTCACAAGCAAAGCTTGGCAACATAATCTTGTGTTTTATAAAGATCGGCCTGAAAAAAGCTCAAAAAAATTAAATTATTTTATTTACCGAACTAGCCTTCATTCTCATCCTTGCTGCATTACAGTTGGAAACTATATTCATTTCCTTTTGTTTAGGTTTTAATCAGTCATCAAATATAGAGGTCATCATACCCTCCATCCTACAGATATTATGTGGCTGTAGCCCTTCCTTTATGCATAAACTCTACTTGACAGGGAAATGAGGAGGTAGAAGCCATTCATCATGATAACTTTTATTAAGAATAGTAAATGTGCATTTATAAAACCCATCTATGTCCAAATATTTGCAGGCAGAGACATTGATTCCTGGATTATACTTAGCCATCAGGCATTAGATCTCATCTTTTATCTTTTCAATCAGAATAGGCTTAGTTATTGTACATTCATATGATTGCCGTGCTATTTCACTTGAGAAATTGCTGCTAATGTGGAATATATGACGAGTGCAGATAACAGACACTGGAATCCGCAAGATGATATTACACATGATCCAGTTGGACCCAGAACTGCGGTTGTCTTGTGAAAGTTATCTGCAGGAATACGGATCTGTTGTATTTCCAAGCTACTTCTCACCATTTCTACATAAAGTTTTTTCCTGCCTGGTCCCTCTGGACTCAGATTCACGGGTAATAAACTCTCATGTGACGGGTTGCTGACGTTTTTCAAGTATAAACATATTTTCATGGATCTCTCTCTCTCTCTCTCTCTCCCTCCCCCCCTCCCAGGTTGTGGTTATCCAAAGTGCATTTCACGAAATACATAGACAGATGGTGGGTAGTATGTCACGTGAAGAGTTTACCTCAAAATCTGGTTCAACATTCAATGTGACAAGTCATGAACCTGATCAACAGACTGTTGGAAGAAAGGAAAGCATGAATGCCACGCATACCCACTCATGCGGTAGTGAGATAGGGAAGGATACCCTTGTCAGGAAAGTTTCTTCCCTATTTAAGGAGGTGGAACAAGGCAAGGATTTTTTAGATGCCAATGTTACGCTTCAAGACGTTTCTTCTAATTTAAGCAGTGTCAACGTCTCTCAAGATATGGAGCAGCCTAAACAGCAATCTCCGGCTGAGATTCTTAAAACCATTTCAAATGAATATAGAGAAAAAGAGTTCCCTCTTTTGAGAAAGATCCAAAAGAGTGATCTGAAGTTGTTGATGTCTGAATACAATAGCCAATTAGATGCATATATGTATGCCTTGTTTCCAGACAGCAGATCAAATTTGAGCTGTGAAGGTATGGTTCTGATAGCTTCTTTGCTTTGTTCGTGCATACGGAGTGTCAAACAACCACATATGAGAAGGGGTGCTGTGTTTATGCTGCTGCATTCATCTTTATACATCGATGATGAAGATCGCTTGCAACATGTACTTCCTTATGTTATAGCAATGCTTTCTGATACTTCGGCAATCGTTCGTTGTGCTGCTCTAGAGACTTTAAGCAACATTTTGCCACTAATTAGAGATTTTCCTCCCAGTGATGCGAAAATTTTTCCCGAGTATATTCTTCCAATGCTTTCCATGCTTCCTCATGATCAAGAGGAAAGTGTCAGAATTTGTTATGCCAGCAATATCTTCAAGATTGCTCTCGCTGCATACCGGTTCTTGATTTGTTCTCAAGGCTTAAGCGACTTTCAATCTCTGGATAAGCTAAACTTGCCACCAAGGTCTGTGCCTCATTCTGAAACAACAGCAAATAAGCATAGAGATGCTATTGATGCACATATCTTGCAGCTTAGAAGGTCCATAGCAGAAGTTGTTCAAGAATTGGTGATGGGACCAAAGCAGACCCCAACTATTAGAAGAGCACTTCTGCTTGATGTTGGTCAATTATGCTATTTCTTTGGTCAGAGACAGAGTAACGACTTTTTGCTACCAATCCTCCCAGCGTTTCTGAATGATCGAGATGAGCAACTAAGAGCTATATTCTATGGCCATATTGTATTTGTGTGTTTTTTTGTTGGCCAGAGAAGCGTTGAGGAGTACCTCTTACCGTATATTGAGCAGGGTTTAAGTGATGGTATGGAGGCTGTCATCGTTAATGCTCTTCAGTGCTTGACTATGCTGTGTAAAAGTGGATTCTTAAGGAAAAGGATACTTCTTGACATGATTGAGAAGGCTTTTCCCTTGCTTTGCTATCCAATTCAGTGGGTAAGAAGATCAACAGTTAGTTTCATCGCTGCAAGTAGTGAGAGTTTAGGACTAGTGGATTCCCATGTTTATCTCTCTCCAGTGTTACGCCCATTTCTTCACAGAGAACCAACTTCTTTATCGTCTGAAGCCTCCTTACTTTCTTGTCTCAAGCCTCCTGTATCAAAATCAGTATTCTACAAAGTCTTAGAAAGTGCGAGGAGTTCTGACATGTTGGAGAGACAGAGAAAGATATGGTACAATACACCTGCCTCGTCGAAGCAATGGGAAGATATTGAAAACACAAATAAGGTGGCAAGGGACCAAAACACTAGAAAGAAGGAATCCAACGTTCAGGATAAGAAGCATTCAAATACGGTCACTCAGAAGTTAATTATTCCCGACTCTGAAGACACGACAAAGTCTAGAGTTACTGGAGGTTCTCTTCACAATTTTCCTAGCATGGTGGATGGTAGAGACCCTCTTTCCTCAGAGAAGATGCAATTTTCTGGCTTCATTTCACCCCATGTCAGTGCTGGAAACAGCTTAGTTTCTGATGGGCAATCTGAGGGCATACCTGTATATTCTCTGACCACGGTCAGGCATCCAACAGGAGCAGAAGTAACAAGCTCTGAGACTACAATGCTGCAATGGAATTCTTCTGGAACTGCCTCAATATCCTCACCTCTGGCGGACCCAAGTAACAGACAATTTGGTTTGTCCACCTCAGGTCCACCCAAGCTTGTGTCTGGGTCTTTTCTGAACATTAATAATGGGTCCCAAAGAATTAAGTTTCCAAAAGAACCCGAAGAGAAGGAAAATGATCAATCTGGTTATATAACCAGCAGATTTCGAGATATCACTGTCGCTGATACCCTCAAAGGTAGTTCATCTATGACTGGAGAAGATGCCGCGCCGCAAGGTGATGCCACTGGACTGCCATCCTTTGCCAGGGCAACATCTATTCCAGAGGCAGAATGGAGGGTTCGTGGTGTGCTGGTTGCACATCTCCAGGAACATCGTTCTGCAGTGAACGATATCGCCGTGTCAATTGATCACAGTTTTTTTGTGACTGCATCTGATGACTCTACTGTTAAAATATGGGACACAAGGAAGTTGGAAAAAGATATTTCTTTCAGATCGAGGTTAACCTATCCACTTGATGGAAATGGAAATCGAGCTTTATGCACCGCAATGCTTCATGGTGGTTCTCAGGTCGCTGTTGGTGCATGCTGTGGTACAATACATATATTCTCTGTGGACTATGTATCAAAGGGGCTAGGCAGCGTAGTTGAGAGATACTCGGGTATTGCAGATATTAAGAAGAAAGATGACGGGGAAGGTGCTGTCATTAGTCTTCTGAACTGCTCAGTGTACGATGGTTCCCGCTCTCAGATGCTTCTTTACAGCACCCAGTATGGCGGGGTTCATCTGTGGGACACGAGAACAAACTTCAGAACTTGGACGTTTAAATGTGCTCCGGATGAGGGATATGTCTCTACTCTTACAATAGGCTCATCTGGTAATTGGTTTGTATCTGGTTCTTCCAGAGGCATGATTACACTGTGGGATATGAGGTTTCTCTTGCCGGTTAACTCATGGCAATACTCTGCACAATGCCCCATAGAGGATATGTGCTTGTTTATACCCCCCATAAACAGTGCTATGCCTGCTTCGGGTAAGCCCTTGGTTTATGTAGCAGCTGGCTGCAATGAAGTTTCTCTTTGGAATGCAGAGAATGGAAGCTGCCATCAGGTATGGAAAATATCCAAGTTATATATTTCTTTTCTTTCTCATACTTCACTGAGCTTACGGCTGTAGTGGATTTTGACCTCATGAGATAAAATAAGCAAGAATATGTGTTAGTATTACTTTCGTGAGATTCGGTTTATCATCCTCTGGAGTAAAGATTTGAGAGATTGCCTCTTTAGTAGATAATTACTAAGGCAGCAGGAATTCTGAAATAAAGGGTATAATGAGAAATATCCACTATTAGTATGCCCAATGTAGAGGGCATTGCCGGTGGGTTTATAATCATAATCCAGGGGTGATTTGTGGGTATGTATAAATGTAGGTTCTCCGACTGGCAGCCGGTGATGGTGATGCTGAAAACTCTTCCAATGTACCCTGGGCTTTGAGAAAGCCCTCAGGCAAATCCAGCATGAAACAAGCCAAAGAACGGAATGGTGATCCCAAATATAGGATAGACGAGTTTAACGAACCTCCATCTCGTCTCTCTGGTGTTCGATCACTACTGCCCTTGCCTGGGGGCAATCTGCTCACAGGGGGAACCGACTTGAAGATACGCTACTGGGATCACCAGAGGTTCTTTTTTTTCCCTAATTTCCCTTTTCTCCTTGTGCACTTGGGTTCCTTCTTGGGGTAAGTCATTCATTGATGGACGACTTTTTTCTTTCCCGAACATGGCAGCGCTAGTAGGAGTTACTGTATATGTGGACCTTCTGCAAAAGGCATTGGATGTGATGAGCAGTACAATACCAGATCTTGCTTTGGAGTCCAACTTGTACAGGTAATCATTGCATCCTCTCTAAGCCAGTCTCCGTTGCCTTGATCTGCACACTAGATTTATTTTTTCAAATCATACTAAGGAAACTTTCGCTTCTCAGACGTCCGTCTCATTCACTGGAAAAGTCAACCCACTTGACGTAATTCTATGTGTTGCAATCGCACACCTTTAATCTAGTGCCCTCATATTTGTCTCAGTAATGCTGTTCTCAGATTTTTTATTTTTTTTTAAAATACCATTGGAAGCGAACTTCTCAGATTGCTGTATTTTGATCATGGGATTTATTCATTAAGCTACGTAACCAGTCAGATCTTCTGCTTTTGAGGTTGTAACGGCACATTTTTGGACAAATCATTGCTTGCACAAAAGTTTGGATAACAATTCCTCAGGAATAAGTGATAGAAGTTGAGAGTGGTTCATTCAGTTCCTAAAAATAGTATTCGTACTATGTTTTATTGTGTTTTATGGATCGGGCTTCTGCATCCATCTCTGTTCATCTTCCTGAAGGTTGGAGCAGCTGTTTTCTCCTCATGATTCTCACTATCGACCACTTTTTTAAAACTAAATGAGATGAATTTTAGTCAAAATTCCCAAGAAATATTCATTCGAATTGAGAGTGTTCCTGCCCCATTTTGTGCACCAACTCCAGATTGATTCATCTAGGAGCCGCAAATATTTTCTGCCCAAACCAGGAAAGGAATTGCTTAGCCTCGCACTCTATCTTGCAGGAGACCAGCAAGCAGCATGTAGCGCTGAAGCTGAACCAGAAGGCTCTGCTAGCTGTGGCCGCCACGGACACCGCCGGCTGCCACCGGGACTCCGTGCTCTCCATGGCGGCGGTGAAGATGAACCAGAGACTGCTGATCTCTGGCAGCCGAGATGGTGCAATCAAGGTGTGGAAGTAGCTGGAATTATTAGAAAGCGGGCACATATATATATATATATATATATATATATATATATATACACACACAGGTGGTAGGCTCCTCCCCTCTTTGTACCAAGATTGTTGTTGAATTTCTACGAACCGTTCAAGATCTGCACATGGGTCAATCTTTACTGCTCTGAGCTGAAGAGAAGCGACGTGTTGCAGAGAAGATTAAGCGTTGGATCAGGAGTTCTTTCTTCCCTGAGAAAGCAGGGGGCGACGACGGAGGTAGAAGAGAATGGCGTCGCCAGACAATATATTTATTTTGCTTTCCGGGGAAAAAAAATCGCGGAGAAAGAAAGTCAAGGCCCCCCCCCTTGTTCATGCCAGGGAAAGGAGGTTGCGGCCGTCTAAACCATGTCGCTGATGAGCCGCACGTGCCGACTGCAGTGCCTCTCTACCGCCAGCCTCGAGGCCCCCTCCACCATCTTCCGCCATGTCTGCCGGCGAGAACGAGAACCCATAAGGCGAAAATAAGAGAAAACAGAAAAGGGATAATCTCCAGCGGTTTTTCTTACCTTCTCCAGCGCTGCAAGGAAGAAATCAACCCTGGGGATCTCTCCGGCCCTGAGCTTGTCAGAGATCCCGGCGGCGACGATGATCCGACGAAGAAGAACGGCAGATCTGTGGGGAGGCGGGTTTTGGCGTAGGAGACCCTTCCACTCTGCCGTCCTCTCCACGCCGACTTCGGCGCAGTAGATGCTGCAGTCCCCCGCCGAGTGGCACGGCATCCTCCGCGACGGCCGCCTCTTCCTGCGCGCCACCGGCCCCCTCAGCAGCCGCTGGATCTTCCTCGGGGAGGCCTTCCCCGTCTCTGAGTCTGCGAACTTGCGGAGGAGCTCGTCGGATGACGCCTTCGCTACGTGCTGCACTTTGCTGCTCACTGAAGCGGATGCCATTGTAGAGAGAGAGAGAGAGAGAGATAGAGTAGCAGAATAAATGGTGGCGGCGGGGCTGAGGAACCTCTAAGAGCGCTTAGTCGTGGCGACTGTAACAAGCTTTATCCTTCTTTTGCTTTATTAACAGAGAAAAGAAAGACACCTCGTGTTATAGCCGTTAGAAGGACGATGGCACGTGACGCGCGGCCCGTTACGGGAGATCCCCTACGTGGCGAGCACCTGCTGTCTGACTCATCCGAACCGTTGAACAACAAAAAAGTACCCCCCCACCTCCATAACAGAGAGCAACAGTTGGGCTTTTTTCTGCAATGGACCGGCGAGCCCGTTGGGCTGTACTAAAGTCGATATTTAATGGGCCGGCTCATATTGGCACGGTGTTGGTAGACGGTAGCAGTGGAGATGATGAGGCCCCCAACCAGTTATCAGCTGCACGGGAGGAGTCTCCTGTCACGGTGTCCACGTTGCAGGAGAGATCTCTCTCTTCCCACACGCTTGTCACTCTCTTACCCACCCGCTTCTTCTTCCTCTTCTCCTCCTCCCTCTGCCGTCGCCGGCTGATTCTCCGGAGCCGCCGAACATCGGAGGCGGCGTTATATACAGTGCAGAGAGGGCAGCGAAGGTGGTAGAGATCTTTGTGCGCCATGGGTGGAGAAGAGAAGAATTACGACTCCGGAAACGACGCTGCTGGCGCAGCCAGCCTGGGCGAGCTTCAGGGGTTCCTTGGTGGCGACGGCGGCAACCACGTCGTGGAGCTGGAGCAGATGCCGGCGGCGTCGCCATCGCTCGTTCTGGCTTTCTCCGGGCTCTCCTACAGCGTGAAGGAGCCCGGAAGGAGGTCCTTCTTGGGTCGGCGCCGCCGCCGCCTCGCCGCCTCCTCCCCGGTGGAGGACCTGAGATGGAAGGCGAAGACGAAGACGGTGCTCGACTCGATCTCCGGGGAGGCGAGAAAAGGAGAGATCCTAGCCGTGTTGGGCGCCAGCGGCTCGGGGAAGTCAACCCTAATCGACGCCCTCGCTAACCGGATCGCCAAGGAGAGCCTCAAGGGGTCCGTCACCATCAACGGGAAGATCCTTGACAGCGAACTGCTGAAGGTCATCTCGGCGTACGTCATGCAAGACGATCTCCTCTTCCCCATGCTGACGGTGGAGGAAACCCTTATGTATTCGGCAGAGTTTCGCCTGCCGAGAACCATCTCCAGGGCCAAGAAGAAGGCCCGCGTGGAAGTCCTCATCGACCAGCTCGGGCTACGAAGCTCTGCGACGACCATCATCGGCGACGAGGAGCACCGGGGGGTTTCAGGAGGCGAGCGGCGGCGGGTCTCCATCGGCACCGATATCATCCACGACCCGATAATCCTCTTCATGGACGAACCCACATCGGGGCTCGACTCTACTTCGGCGTTCATGCTGGTGAGGGTTCTGAAGCGGATCGCTCGCAGCGGCAGCATCGTGATTATGTCGGTGCACCAGCCGAGCTATCGAATCCTCCGGCTCCTCGACCAGCTTCTCTTCCTCTCCCGAGGCCAGGCCGTCTACAGCGGCAACCCCGACGATCTCATCCGGTTCTTCGCCGAGTTTGGCCAGCCGATTCCGGAGAGTGAGATGCGCTGCGAGTTCGCCCTCGACCTCATCCGCGAGCTCGAGTGTTCTCCGAAGGGGACAGGAGCCCTCGTTGATTTTTACAGAAACTGGGAGAGGACGAAACACCAGCAGCAGCACCAGCACCATCAGACCAGGTCTGGGTTCTCTTCCCTTCAGGAGGCCATCAACGACAGCATCGCACGGGGGAAGCTGGTGTCTGGTTTGGTCCAGGGGACAAAGGCCACAGTGGCGACCTTCGCCAACCCTTTCTGGGTGGAGATGTGGGTGCTCACCAAGCGGTCCTTCACCAACATATTGCGCATGCCGGAGCTCCTCGCCATCCGCCTCGGCGCCGTGCTGGTCACCGGCGTCATCCTCGCTACCATCTTCTGGCGACTCGACAGTTCCCCCAAGGGTGTCCAGGAGCGGCTTGGCTTCTTTGCCTTCGCCATGACCACCACTTTCTTCGCCTGCATCGAAGCCCTCCCCGTGTTCCTCTACGACCGCTGCGTCTTCATGCGAGAGACGGCCTACAACGCCTACAGACGGTCCTCCTACGTCCTGTCCAATTCCGTCGCCTCCGTCCCCTCGCTACTCCTCCTCTCCGCCGTCTTCGCCGCCACCACCTTCTTCGCGGTGGGCCTGGTGGGGGGACTCTCAGGCTTCTTCTTCTACTTCTTGATCATCTTAGCCTGCTTCTGGGCAGGCAGCTCCTTCGTCACCTTCCTCTCCGGCGTGCTCTCCCACGTCAGTATGGGCTTCACAGTCGCCGCGGCGACGCTCGCCTACTTCCTCCTCTTCAGCGGTTTCTTCATCACCAGAGAGAGGATCCCCTCCTACTGGCGGTGGTTCCACTATCTCTCTCTGGTAAAGTATCCCTTCGAAGCTGTGATGCACAACGAGTTCGACGATCCCAACAGGTGCCTCGTCACGGGGTCGCAGATCTTCGACAACTCCCCGCTGCGTGATCTGCCTCACGGGACCAAGAAGAGGCTGCTGGCGGCCATGAGCGAGGTCCTCCATGTGAAAATCTCCGACCGCACCTGCCTCGCCAGAGGGGCGGACGTCCTCCGCCAGCAAGGGATCACCGGCTTGAGCAAGTGGGGCTGCCTCTTGGTCACTGTCGCCTGGGGATTCTTCTTTAGGGTTCTCTTCTACTTCTCCCTCTTGCTGGGCAGCAAGAACAAGAGGAGGTGATTACCCCGCCGGAGGAGAAAGGGACCAAGCCGGGAGGACGAAAGTCTCCCGCCCCATCAGCTTGTTCATTTTCTCTTCATTAATAAAAGGTTCTCTTTTGCTCCACCCCTCCCGTTGTCACCCGCGAATCTACGATAGACGAGGAACTCACTTCATTTTCATCATGCACAGCCATTTCTCGTCTGTATCTCGATTTTCTTCATTAAAAAAAGATCCCCACGGGGGAGGTCGATGGAGCACAGAGAAATCGTGGGCTTGTGGTCGGGAGGGAGCACGGGACGATGACCTGTCAGAAAGTGCCCAGAATCTCAGCTCTCAGACATAGGGGCACCGGGACCGTGTCAGATGGTCAAAAACGGGCCCAGATTCCTTTGACTTTTTGGTGGTATGCTCATTATCCCCAGACATGTCACTTCACTGGGGAACACGTGGCTCATTTTGGTTTATCTACGCCCGTTAGCATATCCCAGATGGCCCACTGGGAAACACGAGGGACGCATGTTCATATTTTGACCCATGTGAGCCCAATAGACCAATTTTGCATGCTCATCTGGAAATCCTCATTTAGTTCACATACAGTTGACTCATATGAGCCCAACGGGCCAATTTGGAAGGCTCATCTGGAAATCCTTATTATCCCCATTGACGGCCTATGGGAAACACGAGGCCCATTGTTTTCATATACAATGGGCCCATATAATCCCATTAGACCCGTTTAGTAAACCTGGTGGGCCCAATTTTTGCCGAGGCCTTTCGGGATGCTGTAGGCCCATTGGGGCTACCTTCACATGGGCTAGACCCAATAACTTGAACGGTCCACCCGAACCCCTGAATGGCAGATAACTGCCGTGGAGAGAGGATCGGCACGAAAGGGCAGACAGCCAGTCACAAGGACGACAAGATGACGAGCATTCCAACCTTCCAATTCCGGCACTTCCTTCCCCCCGCAGTCCTCGATTTCCATCCCTCTCCGGCCAGAGGACTACGCTTCCACCGGTCCCCTTCGCTCCACCTCTCGCCGTCGCCGCCGTCGCCCCCGGCCGTTCCCCGAGCTGCCGCCGGCGACGACCCCAACCCCGGCGAGACCCCCGACGCCGACGAGGAAGCAGCGGCGCCGGCCGACTCGGATTTCGAGAACCGGCTTGCCCAGGTGCGGCTCAAGTACCGCAGTGGCAGCGGCAAGAAGGCCGAGCAGAGGCGCGGCAAGAAGAACCCGGGAGCGGCTTCCTCTGCGAAGAAGGGCGGCGGCAAGGGAGGGGCGGTGATGCTGCCCCCTGTTTCCCTTCGCGAGCCCACCACGGCCGGGGGGCTGAAGGTCGACTTCGGCTTCACCCCCTACAGCGAGCACCTCAACGGGCGGCTGGCGGCGCTGGGGCTGGCGGCGCTGGTGCTGGTGGAGCTGGGATCCGGCAAGAGTCTCCTAAGCTTCCACACGCCGGCTGTCATCTTCATCCAGATCTACACCGTCGCCGCCGCCTCGGCGCTCTTCGTGAAGTTCGAGAAGGAGAGGATCAGCGTCTGGCCCAAGGCTCCGCCGCCGTCGCCGGGGAACGTCGTCGGTGAGTGAGCTCTCCCTCCCTCGCTTCGAGACAAATGGCTGAAGACTCGCCACGGAGGTCATCCTCCCCACGAAAGCTGAACACAAAAAAGACGTCTTCTCCCGACGGATAATAGACATTCCCACATCGCATTTTAAGTTTATTTTTTTCTCGACGGGCATTTCCAGATCGATCCAAGGAAACTCGGGCTCGGGACACGGAAGATATTCTACTCTGGGCAAGGAAGTCCAACATGATCACAGCTTCCAATGACTTCCCTGAATACATGGGATTAGCTTCCTAATGTACATGCATGCGACCCCCCCCCCCTGTTGACCAAAGGACAGGTAGCTTCCGCAGAGAGAGAGAGAGATGTTCTCTCAGGCGCCGCCTCAGGGAGCTGCCCGGGCCAAGAAGTCGTCCACGGCGAGGTTGGAGTCGCCGTGGGCGACGGCGTCCTCTGGCTCCGGCATGTACAGGCCGGAGGACGTCACCTGCAACAGGAGAAAAACCCAGGGGTCTGAGGCACGGAGAGGGACAATCGGAGGAGGTGGGGCGCTTCGGAGGGGTCAATGGTCGGTTACCTTAGAATCGAGGAGCATCTCCCCGTTGCCGTCGACGGTGATGGTGGCGCCGTGCGCCCTCAACCATTCCGCGCAGTCCTCCACACCCCCGGCGTCCTTGCCGTCGGCGTCCTCCGAGGAGAAGCCGAGAACTTGGGCGACGAACGCGACGGGGACGGTGGGTCGATAGGACTTGGACATGCACTTCACGGCCTCGTACCGCATCTTCTCCACGTGCAGGTCTGCGGCGCAGAAGTTGGTCGTTTCATCGTTTGGAGAGGGCATGTGATTAATTATCTGAGGATGAGCGGCGTACCCATGATACAGGTGCTCAGGTTAGGAGCCTTCTTGTACAATCTGAAGAAGAGGACGTAGTTTCCGGAAGTGACGGCTGACCGCACTTGGAGAGCATGCTTCACGGTCTCGTCCCTCTTGGCCTCGGGAGATAGCCTGAAGAGAAACAAGCCCCGCCAAGATCATTCATGAGCGGGCATAAAGCCGAATCTTTTGCCGAGCATTCCGACCCAGGAGCTCTGGCTCCACCGATCGGGCCAAAGCTCGAACTCAATCAAAAAAATCATGAAAGGAAAACCATGGAATATGCCGTATATCAGGGGAAGAGAACAGGAGAAGCCAAAGTAATGTCAATAGCTCTGGTTATGGAATAATCTTCTTCCAAGCATTCCGGCCCAGAAGGTCTGGTTCCACCGATCGGACCAAAGCTAGAAACTCAATCAGAAAATCATGAAAGGAATACTATAGAATATGGGGTAAATATATATATATATATATATCTATGTATCAGGGGAAGAGCACAGGGGAAGGCCAAGTAATGTCAATACCTTCCCATTGAGGATAAAAGTTCTCTGTTGTTGCTGGAATGCAGGATAACGCAGAGTAAATTGTACGCAGAAAACTCGAAGTTGCATCCCTTGATCCCTTCCGCGTAGAGGGTCTTTAGCTGAGACTGGCACTGGACGTGCACAGAAAATATAGAAAGGTTTATAACCAAGCGCAAAGATTGAAGAGAAGGGTGGGTTTGAGGCTGTCTTCGCCTCATCTCAAGCCACAAAATCAAGGCAGTTATTGACATGAACCCTCCAGTCGTCATGCACACGTTAAGACACAACTGTCTTTTCTGTAAAAACAGTATATTGGAAAATGCCAGATACTCAATTCGGTATGCGTAGAGAGATGAACAGAGAGATGAGCTATGGAAACCAGAAAAATCGCTGCAACTTGGTTAAAAAAGACGTCCTTTCTGACTAAAAAACGTTTCAAAGTTGCAGGCTTATCAATTTCACCACATCCTTGACTGAAAAATCTTTACTTTCTGCGTGCTGGATAATTCAAGTGCACAGAAGGTTTGAACCGTGATCAGTTACTTTTCGATTCGAGGCCAGACAGAGAAATCTCCAAAACCGGTTCGGACCTGCATGATGAGATTTGTGCAAATCGAGTAGAAGAAAGCAAGACCAACCTGATTGTACTCCGGCATGTCCCCAGCCTCCAATGCAAACCGTGCATGGGTTTCATAAACCTAGAACAGACGAGGGAAGCCATTAACAACGAGTAAAGAAGAGGTGATGTTTTATGACAGAAAGAAAACACCAAGTTGAAGTGGCCCAAAAACAATGAAAGAAGACCTTCACAGTAAGCTCGTTACGTATACGCTGCACAGTCAGGTCCTGACGGATGGATTTCAACTGATCACATTTGTATAAATAATTCTTCGAAGTGCTCTGCACCATCGCGAGTGCTTTCTCTAACACGTCCTCTGGTCTAACCTGTAATTTCTCCTAAATTAGAACGAGATTCCTGGAAAGGAACAAAAAACTTGTTTCCTCTTCGAGGAAACCCAGATATTCAAGAGCGCCTATAGCATATAGAAATCCGAGCAACAGGGGGGTCGAAAGAGCGGAGCAAAAATGAACAACAGAGTACTCACAGTGGACGGATCAGGTGCTGACGTAAGACGTAAGTAGCGTTTCTCGATTTCTTGACAAGTACCCTTGACGGTAAAGGAATCCCAATCAATATCTTCCACGGCCCGTTTGGGACCATCTTCATTTTTCAAAATCAACGGGATATTTGACCTTCTATTACGTCCACCCCCTTGACGAAGAGCTTTAGGTTGATAATTCTTCTGTTCTGCCAGACGCTCCTGACCTTTTTCAAAACGTTTGCTCCTATGCTCTCGTTTTTTTCTCTCCTCGGGTGAATTAGCTAGAGAAATTGCACTAGAATGATACTTGGTTAAATCCTGATCTTTGTCGCTATCACTAGAAACACTACCATTTTGGACTGCATCTGAATCGGAAAATCGTGGCTTTTTAGCTGGTCTCTGGACGTTTCTATTTGAAGAGGTCTGTTGAGACGACACAAACTTCGTGTTGTTCCAACCATTTCCCTTGCTCTCATACCTTGCAACATCAGACTGCAGAGAGACAGCGTCAGTTTCACCAAATACAACGAGCTAGAAGAAGCTAAAGAAGCAGACACAAGTCATGGGGATGGCATACAGAGAGTTTTTTGTTTCTGCCAAAAGTAAATCTAAATCAGGGTTGAAAAAATAAATAAGTAATGAACAACTGAATAAAAGAGAACAGAAAATTTACCACCTTTTCAGTTCTAAAACGATTAAAACTGGTATTGTCAACTGAAACATGAGTCAAATGGGCAACCTTGTCAACCACCTTTTCTTCTACAACAGGCTCCCACCGACTCTTGGTTCGCCTACTAGGGCTCCGTCTCAACTTATGCAATGGGGAAAGACTGACAGACGTTTGCGGACTGCTGTAAAATATAAACGAAGTGTAAAAATAGATAACAAGGATGTATACAAATATCTCAGTGAGCAAATGGCATCAATAGAATCCTCCATCTATTCTGCTTTCAAGAAAGATGCCATAAATGTGATTTCTTTCATGCAATTACGTGTATAAACATTAAATACTAAAATACCCACATTATTTGTGCACAAGCATACAATATTTTCAGACTAGTGGAAAAAAAATGAGCATGTTAATGAGAGATAACAGCACACATAGACCGATAAAATGATATTTGCACTGTCTTTTCACTTCCAAGTCATGATGCGAAATATTGGCCCAGCTGGTTTTACATAGCATTGGAACATTTAAGACAATGCTAAACTGATACTGTAAAGATAAAGATAAACTTAATCTTACACATGGTAGTATTTCCCAAACTGCCATACCTGCTAAAGAGATGCTTCAAAAGAATGAACAAACAAAGGGTTTTAAAAGACCAACAAAAGCTCTTATGATTGACAAAAAGAACAAACAGTTGTTTTCTACATGGTGGATTATTAACCAATATTATTAATGCAAAAGGTAATAATGTAGACCTTAAAACTACTTTTTCAAATAACTCTACATTCTGCATAAAATATTTAAGTTGCAAAAAAATAATTAGAAGAGAAACATAATTGTTCCCTCTGCAACAATTTAGCTAAACGCGGAGAAGAAATATTTCATAGATGTTACAGGGAAAAAAAGTGGTCGCACCCTTTGTTTCGAGCATCAAAACTTGTAGTTGGCAAGGGAAAAAGAGGCTCAGTATCCCAATCTAGGGTGAAGAGCGTTCCATCAGTAGATGCCTTGGTAATGATCTGTAGCAGATAAAAAACCAAAAGAAAGATGGAACAAAGTTAAGAAGAAACTATAAAAAAGGAAATTAAAAATCTAAGGAACCCGGAACATTTCATGTTGGCTGTAAATGATTTCTAATGATGATCAACCCTTATGGCTACTGTGTATTTCAGGTAAATGTCACAGGAGAAGAAGAAGCAAGTTCACTGTCTACTGTGTATTTCAGGTAAATGTCACCTGGAACAAAACATTAAAGTCGCTAGGTCTAAAAGATATGGGAAATGACCAAAATTAAGCGAAGAGTAGATACCACTAATTAAATACGTTTTTCTCAGCAAATAAGAGATGGCCAAAGGCAAGTTAATAGTTCACTGAATAAAAACAAAGCTGTTTTTTTATTGTAAATAGGTTCCACCGTTATAGAACAAAAAGGAGACAGTATCTAACCGAGGAAGGTATACATTTAAGAAAATGAGTGATAATACTGCAGATAGGAAGCAGAAAAATCGTACTACAACAAAGACAATGGTATTGGAAGAAATTAAGCCTTTCGTGGTTATAAATTGCCAAATTTTGATTTGCCACTACCTTAAGGGATGTATAAAAAACAAATGAAAAAGAAAATGAGTTTTTCTTTATGATTGTGGGGGATATACCTATTATAGAATAACAGAAGGCAAATTAGAAATGGCAAGCATAGTGTGGCATGCTGGGGCAGAAAGTCGCTTTTTTGCAAGGAAAATAGGATGTCATGGTATCCATTTGACATGGCAAAGAGACGTCCCTGGCAGAAGAAGTGAGTCACAGGATCCTAGACGATGGCCCAAGAGCAGTCGCTACATGAAGAACCAGTTCATTAATACTCATTCCTATCATGCCACGTCCAAACCAGTTTACGAGTGCCCCTCATTCTTTTCAACTGGGTAGGATTTGATTTCATTAGAGTCGGAAGAGCATTTCACAAATCTATCTCCTGGTTGTTTTCAAAAATTACTTGGAATTGCATGCTTCTTAAAAAAAAATGATAACAAGAATTCATTGAATGACATTTTCCCGCTGGACAAAATTTGGCTTTGAAGGTCTTGGAAGTTCTAGGTCGTAGGGAAATAGTGTAATAAATTGAGGGTATTTTTGCAAAAGTTGTGTATTGTTACTCCCTATATAATGAGGGTTAGAGTTGAATGAATCTAGAGGCGGTTTCCGCCGTTCTCCCCTGTCCTTCGTGACGAGGTTTTTTTCTCCATTTCAACAGAGAGGCCATGGGCAACATTACAAGTTGATAGTCTTGGATCAAATACGAGTGTGAGATTTCTAGAAAGATAAAGAATGGACAGTAAAATTTCTTACAGAGAAAGGACTAGACAGGAACTACAAAAAGATTATACAAGATAATAGAATATACAAAATGCCAAGGCTGGATAGGAAGGGAGATTTAATTGGAAGCAGAAGAGATGCACTTAACAATGGGACAGTAATGGTGCTTCACTTGAGAAGGTTATATCAAAGAGGAAGTATGACCTTTACAATGAGGAAAAGAAAACACCCTGGGGAAAGGAGTTCAAAAACCACAGCTATCTATATCACATTAACCTATCTACCACACAACATTTTAAATGTTTTTCTATCTGTAAGGATCATAGTCCCAGATAGACTTGAACTTATATTGAACAGGTATTTGTATTAAATATCATAATATAAGAGATAATTATGTGCATTACATAAACTAATAGTACAGATAAGGGAAGAACCGAGCTTATGCAAGACAATAAAAAGTTTTATATAGGAACAATCAGATTTTATTTGAATTCCTTCTCTTTTTTGGAAAGTTATATTCCCCAAGAAAACATCTTACAATTGGAATTAACATTAGATCATTGTATTGAGCAAACTTCGTTTGCCTCTAACCCAAAATAAATATCTCTCACCTCCTTCAGTAAATTCTGGTTTGATAACCTCTGTGCGTCATCCCTGCAACGAGCAAATGACCTCTCAACATATGCACGGATGGATGGAGGGAAGAAATCCTGCTGCAAACAGTACAGGGACCAGAAGAAATTAAAGCTTGGAAGAGGAGAAAAAGAGCGCCCTGAGCACTTGATAATTTCCACCAACATAATTAAGAAAGGGAACAACTTGCTCCCCACATTTTGTAATTAGTACTGTATTGTCTCGGTCAATCCTCCATTAAAAGCTTACATGAAAATACATTCTTTGGATGATAGGTATTTCACACACCATAAAGAAGCGAAAAAGACAGTACACTTAGTGATAGGTATCAAAGAATTTTGAAACTGAAAAATAAGTGGGGAAAAAAGGTGGAGGGTATGGAGAGAGAGAGAGAGAGAGAGAGAGAGAGAGAGAGAGAGAGAAAGGCGCTTATCTATCAAGGCTTCAATCCTACTATCTTGCATTGATTTCCAAAACAAAAAGCTTAATACGTTTCCATGAAGGCAAAGAAATTTCAAGTTACATCCTCATCAAAAAATAAAAAGCGTGTTTGCAAACATAAACTTCCAGGACCCAACCACAACGGCAGGAAACTGTATGACACACATCTGGAATGGTTTCCACGGCCCGAGTGGCCATATCAGATCAAATATAAAACTTGAAAATAAAAATAAAAACGTCGCTTGACAACCAGCTGATGTTTTGAAAGACTACTTGAAGATTATTCTGCTCATTGACAAACTAGGCAGACAGCCCTAACAATACAGTGATGTTCCAACGAAGAGAAATTTTAACTAGAAAATAAAGTAAGATTCTAAGGCCCCAAAAAGTGTCATTGCAAATATTCTATAAGCATGCCACGAAAAGAATTAGATAGACAATTATTTGTGCTTTCCTTCTACAGAAAATGACAAATCCCCGCAGCCATTTCCCATGCTATCTCTTGAATTTAACCATGATAGGAATCACTATATTGGCGATATAAAACCACAATCTCTCATAAAATAATGAAGCAATACATGACTAAGGTATATCATGTTGCAAAACATCAAATATTGAAATTTGCCGACAAACATGTCATGGATATCATGCGAGGCTAAAATTTCCATTAGGAAATTTCAACAACTGCTATCTTGTAAAAGTTTTAAGTACAGGAAAAAAAATGCCGTCCATCATTTGGAAACGAGGATTATAGGAATAATTGCATTATGAATAATTGAATTAATTAATTAATTAATTAAACTGCTGAAACGCCCAGTAAAGTTTTAGTTAATCGTAGTTACATTAAAATTGATAGATGAATAGATGGATACAGAGAAATAAAATCTAAAAAATGTCACTAGAACTTTCTCAGAAATAAATCTAAAATATTATGTGATTTTCTCCTTAAAATCGTAATCCAAAATCTGATGAAAGGAAGAAATCAACAAAGAAAACCCAACAGCACCAAGGAACTCCTGATAAGAAACTTGGATACAAGCTAAACCCGGAAAAAACTGAAGGAAAGAAAAAACTAGAAGCAATGGTAGTACAATGCGTAAGACAAAGGCGCACAACATAAGGATAACAGAAAGGAGCAACTGGTGTCAAACTCAAGTGTTTGCCACGTCAATGGCAAAGAATGAAACAAGGTCTTGAATTCCGAGATTACGATTGTGCAGTGCTTGTTAACAATACATTCTTTCTTCTAGGAAGTGGATCGGATCTCAAAAAATGCATGTCTTCATTCAAACTTGAACATTAAAAGAATGAGCATTACCAAACTAAACCTTCTGAAAAATAATCTAGTACCCAATATAAATAGTAAAAATGACAATACAACACGTAGGCAAGGCATTCACAATGAAGGGAGGTGGTGAAAACTTGTCGGTCTAAAATGCATATAGAAATAAACAGAAGAAATCTAACCTTCGTCAGACTCTCTGCAGAATCATGAGAGGACAGTTTGCTACTGGGCTTCGATGATGAAACATTGATGTACGCAGGTGTTGAGGCGGCATCCCTTGCGGAGCTCTCCTTATCCATCTTTGGAATGGACAACGCCAAATTTGTAGCAATTCTAGGATTTGTTGGAATCTGAATTTTGCTTGCCCGAAGTGCTTCCAATGTTGGCAAGGGATTCAAAGCTGGCCGAAAATTCTGTGGAACTTGATTAGAAGATGGAAACCGCACATGTGAGCCTTGAGCATGCGCCATCTTCTGTTGTTCTTCCATGTTGGCATACGAGGGAGGAGTTGAACCCAATGTCTGTTGAAAATGTAAGGGTGCTTGACTCCCATGCTGTTTAGCGAAGACAAGAGGCCCGTTTTGCCAATTACTATTTTGGCTATATCCTGCCACATCCTTTCCCTGCAACAAGAAAAGAAAAAAAGGCACAATAAATTTGATAACTGTAACTGTCATTCATGGAAGCACCAAGAAGATAGAGTTCTAAGCATAAAGAGGACAAAAACCGATTTTCTACGTATCATGCAAATGGAGGGGAAAATATCAAGTAGGGTTCTGCAACCATAAATGACCTCACAAAGTTTTCCTGAATATCGTTATTTCTCAGAAAAAGGTCGAGAACCAGAAATCATACAGTTAGCTGGGAGAAGCGAGAAAGGATGTACACAGGCAAGCGGGGAGTAAGGGGAGAGGGAGGGAGAAAGTGGAGGGGGAGTGAGAGGGGAATTGGATGGGATGGGGAAAGTTCTCAGTTCTTGTGGCCAGATGGCAGATGAATATCCAAGCTTCTGGGCAAGGACTAAAAATTAACCCATAAAAAACATGGCAAGCCGGACTCCAGCCTGGCCAGAGTAAACAATTTACGAAATGATGAAATGTTGCGAATTTTCAGTATTGCCTCAAGAAGTATACATTAATGCATGCCTACCAGAAGGTGGCAACAATTTTCATTGGGCGGATCCAACGAGAAACTAACCTGCAGGGAAGGAAAACCAGAGGAGGTGGTATCTCGTCCCCATGACGTGGTACCTGGTGGTGGTGGCTGGCTGTTCACCACAGGATACCCTGGATTAAAATCTGGGACTGAACTCTCAGCAGAAACTGAGGTAAGAGCTACGTGCTCTGTACCAGGGGCACACATAACATCTGATGCCGTCTGACTGTAATAGCCAGCCCACTGACCATATTGTTGCTGGTAATGGGCAGCATCCACAGTTGCTGTGCTACTACATTGCCCAGCATTTGCATCAGGTAACGAATAATTCGAATACTGATGAGGCACGTAATTTCCATCGTTCCACAAGTTTGTCTGATTGTTATAGTCACTGCTCTGGTACCCTGCTGCTGCTGGCTGGTATCCTGCTGTTGTCTGATAATCACCAGGATTGTAGTAAGTGCTTGAATAACTCGTAGGACCCACATAAGAGCTTGCATTCTGAAATGAGCTAAGAGGCTGATAAGGAGCACCTGTGTTTTGAACTACTCCCACTTGCTGATGAGAAGAATCATTGGATGAATGTTGATAACCATAGTATTGACTTTGATATTGATATGGATAAGGGTCAGTCGAATTCTGGTTTGTTATATAAGCAGAATAATCATGTGATGTGTTCGCTCCAACACTTGATGCATAAGATACAACATTTCTCCCATCCTGAAAGGCAGCTGTATTTTTGGTTTGCTGATCATCGTGGTAGCTAGAAATTGAAGGTATACCATTTTCAACGGAGCCATTATCTGTCCTGTAAGAGTTCCATTCTACTCCAGCGGACCCGGGTGTTAAGGTCCAAGGCTGATGCCCAGGTGTTGCAGATGCATACGGAGATGGTTGTCCTTGACCTGCGCCTTTAACCTGCTCTTTCTGTCAAAAAACAGTTTAAACTATGTTAGTTTTTCAGAAGGGCTAAGACCAGTTGAAGTCGGGTAGAGAATTGTGCTTTGTTTGCAATGGCTTGGTATGGGAGTCGCGACCAACATATACACTATCTAGATGCTCTATTACGGTATCCAAGAGACAATACATGTACATCTCTCCCTTTATTAACATTAATGAGTATGTGATCCAATCCACCATCAAACAAAACAATTTAAGAAACAACACATCCCTGGCTATGTTTTCGTAATGTAAAATGATGCAACGATAAATTATGGAATTAAAAAAAAACACTAGATAGTCAAATTCCAAAATGAATTATACTAATTCCGGTAGTGAAATCTGACGATACTAGTGTTATCAGAATCAGATGCAAAAAAGAGGATGCTTTACGTCTCACGCAGTTAATGGGAAGCAACACCAAAAACAAAACCAATTGAGGAAATAAAACTCTGGATCAGGATTACCGTTCATCCAAAATCACAAAGTCTATCATAGAGATCAAAGTTTAATCGGCCCCACGTATAAAATCTAATGCGATTGTACCTTAAGAAAAATGGAACAAAAGCAACAAAAAACTCCTTTGGCACAAAACCCTTATAGACAATCTATTTGGAAAAAATAGCAAGACACGTCATAGAAACCAGCGTACTTAACCCAGAAACGAGTCCAGGCCCCCAGACAAAATCATAACTGCGTTCTGGCTATGTTCCAAACACTCGCATCCGTACACAGTTGAAAACAATATCAATCTACTCCTCATAAATATCCGACAAAATTCTGATGCAACACTTTATGCCGCACAGGGAGTATGAAGATCTAAGAGACCAGCAATTTCATCGCGTAGCCACGATTTCACGTAACTTTTGAGCAGCGTAAGAATAACATAGAAATTGAAAATACCTCAAAAGTTACGCGAAATCGTAACTTTTGAGGTAACTTAATCGAATGGCCTTTACGAGCAAACAAAAGATGCAAAAAGCCAGTAGATTATGATCAAATCGAACAAATCCAGTGCCAGTGGTATCCAGTACATTCCATTGTAGTCCAATCCTAAGATATAGAACGGCTCCAAGAGCGTCCCCAGTAATCCGAACAGACAGAAAGACAAGGACCTCATGTAATATTACGAAAAGAGAAGCAGACAAACGCATGAAAAGTTACCTCCAGTGAATTAGACTCTAACTCCATTGAATAAACGCCGACAACGTTCACTCTCGTCTGAGCATCGAACAATTGTCTCCGCAGGCAATTCACAAACCCTGCTTACAAGAAATTCAACAGATTCAATCAAAAAACCTTCACTAACGACAGCAGATCGCAGAAAAAACCCTAGAACCAAACGTTAGCCCATTACCTTAGCCAACGTTTACAGATCCCTGCGGCGCGGAAATAGTTTCTTTCCACTGCGTATCGATTCGGCAAAACAGGGAGAAGAAAGAAGAGAAGGACGAAAAAGGAGGGAAGAAAGGTACAGAATCGGAAACTTTAATTAAAAGACAAAAACTGAAATTATTTACGACAATGAAAGATGGAAAAAATTTCCTACGTATATGGCTTATTCACAGAGAGAGAGAGAGAGAGAGAGAGAGAGAGAGAGACGATGCGTAGAGAGATTAGGTATTCGTTGCTTCTCGTTTGGGTCCTGAACCTCGTGACCCCCTTTGCTCAGGCGGGAGCTTCTGGCGAGGGGTTGGGCGACCGTGAAGAACAGGGACGATATACATCGACAGGGTGGGGGCACGCTTGGGCCGTAGACCGCTTATATAGCGCCCTATATTTTCATGTGACCAAAATACCCCTACTACAAAAAGCAGATGGTATGATGGACGGCCAGGCAACCTAAGCCCCCCCCAGTAATCGCGACTCGACGACGCAGTTAGGAAGAATATCTCCACCGTTCTATCCTCGACTGCGGAGCATCGTAAGGTAGCCCATGAATGGACTGCGGGTCACGACGCTATGGAGGATAGTCAACATTCGATCTTTTTTTCGTATCTGGATTTCTCTTTCATATCGGTCCATATTCGCAAGCTAATTCCTGTGGAACTCTAATGTGTTCCGACTTCGAGAGGCATCCCATTCTACCATGCCCTCAAAGCGATTTCAGGATTCAACAGAGTCGTTGAACAGACGATTTACGATGTCGTTCGAAAGGAATCGGGACTCGGAAGAAAAGATTCTGCGCTACAGGGTTGGAGAAATGGGAGCAGCGATCGGATTACAGAGTTGGAGGTCCTCCAAAGAGAAAGAGGAACAAGAATGAACAATAGAACACCGAGGAGATGGAACCCTAGAATCCAGATTACGGATTAAACAACCCTCGAATAATCTATTTTCCCTATCTCACTATCCTTTTCCCCTCTTTCATCGTTCTCCGCGGATTTTCTTGACAGCAAGACTTTCTGAGCAGCAAGAACATTAACCACCGAAACCGTACAGGGTGCGGCCTTGCCTCTTCAGCGCGTAGACCACGTCCATCGCCGTCACGGTCTTCCGGCGAGCGTGCTCCGTGTAGGTGACTGCATCGCGGATCACGTTCTCCAGGAAGATCTTGAGGACGCCTCTCGTCTCCTCGTAGATAAGGCCGCTAATGCGCTTAACGCCTCCTCTCCTCGCCAGCCTCCGGATCGCCGGCTTGGTGATCCCCTGGATATTGTCCCGCAGCACCTTGCGATGGCGCTTCGCGCCGCCCTTGCCCAGCCCCTTCCCTCCCTTACCCCTCCCCGACATCCTCCCCCTTCCTCCCCTTCACGGAAAAGAAGTCCCACAGAAACCCTAGCAGAGGAAACCAATGAACAGCACCATCGGTAAGAATCGGCGGCGAGGCATTTATAGTAAAAGCTTCGCGGCGGCGGTCGGCGAAGCGTGTGAGGTATCCCCTGCCGTTGATCCGAAGGGCGACGGACGGTTCTCGTCGGCTGGAAGGAGGCGAACCCGGATCGATGACTTGGCATGCGACGCCTCATCTAATCCTCTATAAGCAGCATTGGAGAGGACGGAATGAATTCTTGCAGAATAGCTTCTTCAGAGGAGAGAGCAGAGTCGGCATTCACAGAGCCATAGAAAAAAGACAGACGACAGGTCCCAAAAGGTAGCAGGGGAAATGTCTCACAAAAGCTTCCGGTCAAGTCAGTTCCGGGGGGACTCCTCCTCGCCGCCGCCGGGGGACGGGCTCCGGCCGTTGGCTTGAGGGCTTCCCAATTGGTGCTCGGATGGCGAGTCCTCCCCCCGCTCGTTACTCACGGGGCTCCTACTGGTCTCTTTCCTCGGGCTCCCACTGTCCTCCCTCCTGGTGGGGGGGCTCCTGCTCATCTCCCTTCTGGTGGGGGGGCTCCTGCTGATGTCCCTTCTGGGTGGGCTCCTGCTCCGCTCCCTTCTGGTGGGGGGGCTCCTGTTCATGTCCCTTGTGGGTGGGCTCATGCTCATCTCCCTTCTGGTGGGGGGGCTCCTACTGATGTCCCTTCTGGGTGGGCTCCTGCTCATCTCCCTGCTGGGGCTCCTGCTGTAGTCCGACCCGTTTCTCTCCGCCTTCATGCGGTCGCCACGTTGGGGGCTTGGCCTCCCCAGAGGGCTCCGGCTGCCGGCGGGAGACAGGCTGCGCCGCCGCCCTTTGGACGGCGGCGGGCTCCGGCTGCCACGGGGGCTCCTGGATCTCCGATCGCGCTCAACACTGTAGTCCCTTCTCGGAGCAGGAGACCGGGACCGGCTGACGATGGTGCAGAGATCGTCAATGAATTTCGGAAAAAGGATGATCAAAAAGATTATAAAAAATCGATGTGGAGGTCGGACCTGTAACTGCGGCTCCGGCTCAAGCTCCTACTGCGACTGCGGCTCCGCCCACGACGAGGAGAGGGAGACCGCGAGTAACTCCGGCCCCTTCAGAGAGAAATCTAAATCGATAACCCAATAGAAGCAAACAAAACTCGAGCAAATAATTGAATGAATTAACTGTACGAGGGAAATACTTCAAGCTCTTGGGGCTGTTCTGGCAGTTTCTCTCTATATGCCCTCCGTCTCCACAACGGTAGCATCTGTTCTTCCAGTCTCCAGCCTTGCAGTCTCGGGCCCAATGGCCATCTAATCCGCAGTTAAAGCACCGGCCTGACCCGGGTGGAGGGCCTCTTCCCAAATATTCACGAGAAGCACCAGCACCACGCGGTCCCTGTGCAATAAATATATACATATATCGGCGGACGTACATAAGAACTAAATATTTTGCATAATCCGTTTGTAGAAAGCCATGGTTACTCACTCCTTTGGCAAATTCGACCAAGATACGACTCCCATCGATATCCCGCCCATCTAGTGCATACCTTGCATCGTCAGCGTCTCTTGGGTCATTGAACTCCTGCACAAGTTCATTGAGGAAACCAAAGGAGAAGGGGCTCATATATGGACAACAATCGACCAGTCATCAAAGCAAATAAATGAACGGATCAGATACATAAAACGGGATATGAACAGTCAATGGGAAATAGAAGGCACATACTATGAATGCGAAGTTGTGCTTCAAATCCACATCCCGTATTCTGCGGAAATGGTTGCCAGAAACAGTAAGGCAAGCAAAACTTAAAGTACCCAAGGGAGTGATACTTCGCCCCTCAGAAGATGAACTAGACACCACTTTGCAACTCTCGCCACTTCCATAAAAACATTATATTACGGAAAGAATCGCCAAAGTCTCTCACGAACATTTTGCATGAATAGCCACCAATTCCACCAAGCCACCCTCATACCACGGCCATCCAGGTTGGTAAACCCCATAACCTTCAACAACATCATTCAAGTTAAATGATGGTCCCTGGGGTTCAACCTTCTAACGAAGATAACATTTTTAAAAGGAAAACAAAAAGACGACTCGTGGAATACCTTTCAACCTGACTCCAAACGACCTAATACAGATAAAAATAGCATCATACCCTAAGAAACTTACATTTCGATGGGCGAAATAGTGGATGTTATATGAGTGGAAAAGAAAAATTACATAAACAGCCTTGTAAAGTGTGTGTGCGTGTGTAAGAGTGATTTTATTTTAACGAATAAAAGAGATATATTTCTGCGAGTAAACCTTTTACCTTCCGTATCTGCTGAAAAGATCTTCCAGATCACGAGAACGTGTACGGGAAGACAAGCGGCCAACATATAGACGAGTACCACCATATCGATCATCATGACGAGGCATTGCTTCACTGCCACAGTACCATAAAAATTCAGTTAAACCATAATCATAGACAACTAGAAAAAAGAAAAATATGACGTCCTAACTGGCACGAGAGGAAGTGAAACCCCACTAGTTACGTGAACATGACCAAGAACATGCATATTGACTACGAAGAACAATTCAACACAGAATTTTAATTGCAGCCTAGAAAGATATTTTACTCGTGGACCAAGTTATAAAAGAATTGAGCTTACATTGTATATAGGTCGCAACCCAAAGCAAAAGCAATTTTCTAATAGGGAAGTAAAGAGGATTGTGACAATAACTTTACAACTAGAAAAGAAATGCGATCTTGGTTGGGCAACCCAAGCACAAGCAATCAGAATTTTTTGAACTACTGGAAAAAGATTAGGCAACCAGAAATTTATCATCAAAGAGAGGAAATCCATTTTATATAAAGTAGTCAAGATGAAAGAGACAAAAGGGATATTCAAAAGAGCCATCTGTGGACATATCTCAAAGATGTTATAAGATGACTAGTGAAGCGAACTTCAAAACACCAGAAGGGCAACAGAACATAAAGCATTAGTGAAACGAATCACAATCTAATGGGAGAGTAGCAAATCTTGGAGTACTTCAATCAGCTGTTTGATTTAAACAGAATGTAGAGTGCATATATTGTTCATTTTCTCTCATATTTGAATGGGCAATTGAGAAAATTATAACATTTTGCCAAATTGAACTAGATTATGAAACAAGCAAATATACAGTAGCGGTAATAAGGAGAAGATTTCCTCGTAAAGTGGGATTAAAGTCGTATATTAGCTATTAAATAAATATATTAGGTGCGTCGTAAATTTGAATAAATAAAGATTAAGCTATAGCGTTTCCTCGCCCACGGCCGCCAGTGGCAGGAAGGGCGACTAACCGAAAAAGTTATATAACTAAAAAAATAAAGACTGAAATAATATTTGGTCGACCAAAAACCAAACACATTAAATCTGCTGGGAATCTTAGGTTGTCGAGAGGCAGGGAAACCATATACAAAGAGATGCGTTGAACACGATGGCACAAATTAAAAATACAATCATGCGTTCACGACTTCATCAAACTCAAAGGTGAAAACATCCAGGCCCTCATGATTCTCAGATCATTCCAGATCCAGTTACCACCCAAAAAAATTACCCTGACAATCTTTGTTCGTATGTCCGAAGATCTTTAAGCGAGAACATAAAAATCACCGAAATTGACAGCAAATGGCATACCTAAAATCGCAGTCAATGCACAGCGGGCAGAAGAGAGAGACTAAAACCCTAGCTCAGCGCGAAACAACAGAGTAATAGAAGAAGAAGGAGATACCAAAAGCCTCCGATCTGCTATGGAAACCCTAGCTTTTTCCACGCTGTGCTGATCCGCTCCGGCTTGACTACGCCCTGTAGAATATAAGGGAAACCCTTTCGACGACTCCGATGTCCCCAAATGAATCAACGGCCAAGATGTTATTTTTCCAGTGGACTTACGTCTTGTGGCGGGACCATATGTGGCATCTCCTGATGGGGGAGGTCCGACAGGATGGTCTGCGAAGCGCCTGCGGCTAAGTCCCGTGATTTCCATTAAGAGGGATAAGCGTGGCCACGTCAACGGACCCCTCGCCGGGCGGACTTGACAATGGACCGGTCGGCGGTGAATTGGTCAGCCGCGTTCATCGGCCGAACAATCCTCTATTACGCTTGTCGCTGTTGCCACGTGGCATATGCTTATTCTCGAAGTAAGTGGATGGCCGACGTTAGCAGGCTTAAGGGAATCGCACTTCCGCTTTCGCCGGAATTAAATAGGTTGAAGGGGGAGCCGGCGTACAAAGGCATCTGGTGCTACGATCCGTCGTCATCTCCTCCATTTCCTCGCATTCTGCGGAAGAACCTCCTCTGGCGTCGGTGAGCCTCTCACATCTTCACGTATAATCTTCGTTTTGCAAGTTTCGCGCTGTTTTAGATTCGTTTTAGTCTGAGTTAACGCCCTAGATCTGACGTCTGGTCTCGGAATTGCGGGGTGTGCCGTCGGGTAACTTGCCCCTGAGGTTTAATGGATGTAATCCGTCCTCGTGTTGCATAGAAAAACCTTTCGTATGTTGCCAAGAGACATTTAGTCAGGAAACTCAGTTAATCAGGGCAATGACTGGGGGATGGTGTGTAGATCTCACGTTTTTTATTTGTGACTGATCCGTGCATTGAGTTTTCAAGGATAAATAAGTTGTGTTTATGTTTTTATCATCCGTTCATTAATTTAGCGAAGTTATCTCCTGTTGTTTAAAAAAAAAAGTAAATTCAAGGAAACCCTGTTATTTTAAGTAAATCATCGCAAAATACGTACAGATTCCTCTGAAATGCTGGTGAAGAACTTCAAATTATATCCTCTCGAATTTTTAGTCTAGAATCACGGGTTTTCCTGGACTTCTAGGAATATGTTTAGTAAAATTTTAGATGAAAAAACGTATAGTATCTTATGCCTGTTCCTACTAGTGTTTACGAGACATTTATTCACAACGTTGCCTCTTCTTTCCTTTTTCATTTTTAGAAAAAACTTTCTTCGTCTAAGAATGTCCGTCTCGTCCTGAAAATCAGAGGGAATGACAGGCACAATATATTATAGAAGGTTGGAAAATGTGGGGAATGTTGTGACTGCAGCGACAGAAATCTAGTAGTTTTGCCCATGCATGCAGGAATATTTCAACTCAATCACGATGCTGTGATGAGATGCTTGTTTTACCTTTATATAGCTCGAAGTTTTACACATTTTACCCGTAATCTCTCAAAAACTTGATGATGTCAGGGGTGTTCAAGATTTTAGTTTTGATGTAAATACATTGTAGATCAGGAATGTCGGATGAGGAAAACTTTTACAGAACTTCTTTGAAAAGGTTGATTTTCATATTTATCCTTTCTCGTGGTGAATAAAGTTCCACTAGAACATTGCTACAGGGTTTGTGATTTGGCGAAAATTTTGTTGACGTGCTTCTCCTCTGATTTGTAGTTTTTTTGGGGCTATGTTGACTGATTTCTTTCAATGATGTAATAATCGAGTCATTTACTCATTACCTCGATTTATGCTTAATGTCTCAGTTGAGAACGACGTGTGTCCTCCATCCATGCTTTTCATTCAAGCCTGTTCTTTTAGCTTGCTCTGTTTTTCCTGTCCTCTTTTTACTGCAGAAGAGCTTTCATTCTTGAGTTTTTGGCATTAAAGTCTTTCGACTATCTTAGAAATGGATGTTCCAGTGAATCCAGTGGTAAAAGAAAACAAAAAGATTTCTTATGCATATTTTCTTGCACCATTCTTCAGCATCATTCGGTAGGTCTACTTGGGCAGAGATGTGCATCTAGTCCTTTTTTATGCCAAATGAAATACATCTGTGACGTCTTCAAGAGAAAAATGATATGTTATTGGTAACATTAGTTTATGATAATATGTTGAGTAGGTCAACTTGGGCATTTGCTTTGCCGCTAGACTGCAGTAGATTACTATCATGGTTGTTAACTTGATGCTTGAAGTGCATTTCATTCTGTCAATTCATATTTGTGTAATGTGATGTTACCCAGTGTTTTCACAAATGGTTCTATGTTTGGGCATTTAGGTCTGAATAGCACCCATTTTCTGTGAAGAAAAATGGGAGGTGGGAAAGACAAAGATAACCATGGTGAGCCAGAGAGCAGTGATCGAGGATTTTTCTCTAACATGGCACATCAGCTATCTGGATACCCTCCGGGTCACCACTCTGGATACCCTCCACAGTATCCTCCTCAGGGCTATCCGCCAGCTCCTGGGGCCTATCCTCCACATGGATACCCTCCACAAGGGTACCCTCCACAAGGTTACCCTCCACAAGGATATCCTCCGCAAGGGTACCCTCCGCAAGGGTACCCTCCGCAAGGGTACCCTCCCCATGGATATCCTCCAGCAGGGTACCCTTCCCATTCTGCTCCGCATCACGGTAAGCAAATTACATGCACAGAAGAAAAATCTTCTTTGTTACTGGACGGCGTTGCATTGATTATAATGTAGGGAAGCATGGTACAATTTGCTTGAAAAATATGGAACCCATGAGATAATTTTTTTTACCTTTGATTAAATTCCAATTTTCTTATCCTATTATGCGACCCCTTAGATTCTAGTTCGGCCTCCTCTCTCTCTCTCTCTCTCTCTCCCTCCTCCCTCCCTCCCTCTCTATCTATCTATCTATGTATCTCTCTCTCTCTCTCTCAGATTTTGATGGTAATCTATCCACTTCATAGGCCATGGGCCTGGCATGGGAGCAATGTTAGCAGGAGGAGCCGCCGCCGCTGCAGCTGCATATGGGGCTCACCATCTGACACACGGCGCCTTTCACGGCCATGGGCATGGCTTCGGCCACCATGGCAAGTTCAAGCACGGCAAGTTCAAGCACGGCAAGCACAGAATGCACGGTATGTTCGGCAGGCACGGGAAGTTCGGAAAACACGGGAAATTCGGAAAGCACGGGATGTTCAAGAAATGGAAGTGATCGGAACTTAGCCTTGGAACTTGGTCGACTTTATCTATGTAATAATTTTAACTTCGCTTTCCTCCATACCTGACACGTGTCTACCTCACCCAGTGTGCTCGTGTGTGCCATGTCTTTCCTTCGCAGTCTGATGCCTCTTGTTAAAACTCAATATCCCTCATAAAGCCATAGAACCACCCTTCCATTATTTACCCATCGCATTTTTTTGCCTTTTATCTAGGTGACTAGGAAATTTGTTGGCAATGATAAACGTAATTTCGTTCAATGTGGGCCCCACTAAAATGGTACTCGATATTAATGTCTAATTATCAAAATTCCATTCTAGAATACCATGGTAATGAAATATACAACGCTGCTCGATATTACAGTGTGGGCCCCATCACAATGTTAATCTTAATTTCGTTCAATGTGGAGCCCATCACGTACTCGATATTCAATTTCCATTACAATACAGTGTGGACCCCATTACATTGGTAATCATAATCTCGTTGAATGGGGGGCCTATTACAATTGTACTCGGTATTACAACGTCGGCCCATTACAACGGTAACCATAATTTCGTTCAATGTGGGGTCCACTAAAATGGTACTCGATATTAATTTTTTTCAATATAATAACATTTTCATTATAGAGTCCCATTGTAATGACATATATAATGGTAGTCGATATTACAACTTGGGTCCCATTACAGTGGTAATCATAATTTCGTTCTATGTGGGACCCATTACAATGGTACTCGATATTAATTTTTCATTATAAAAAAATAATTATATATTTCATTATAGAACACCATTGTAATGAAATATACAATGGTACTCGATATTACAATATCAGGCCCATCACAATGGTAATCATAATTTCGTTAAATTGGGGGCCCATTACAATGGTAATCGGGATTAATTTTTCATTATAAAACACCAATGTAACGAAATATACAATGGTACTCAATATTACAATGTCGGCCCCTGTACAATGGTAATCATAATTTCGTTTGATGTGGGGTCCATCACAATGCTACTGGATATTAATTTTTCATTATAAAAAATCCATTATCTCTTTAATTATATAAAAAATTTATAGAATACCATTGTAATGAAATATACAAAGGTACTCGATATTAAATTGTCAATGAAAAAAAAACATTTTATATCTCATTATAAAAAAGTCATTACATACTTCATTAAAAAAAATTAGTTATATAATACCATTTTATATTTGATTACGATGGCACTCGATATTACTGTTATTAATTATGATTATAATGAATTTCCAAACGATAAACCCATTTCCGAATATTGTAGACTAGAGGCTCATTATTTAAGTGTGGGTTTTTTATGGTAGAAAATAAATAAATCAGGGAGAAGAAAGTTCTTATTTATATACCGTACTTCGTTTTGTTTGTAATCCTACCATAATATTCATTTCTTATTTATTAACTGTAATTATATTTAATCCGAGAATCTGGAGCTGGATAGTCCCCTGATATGATCTAAGGCACCTAACGGAGCGGTGCCCGCTGGAAAAACGGCCAGGTTTCGGTACAGTATAAATAAAATGTACCCGAATTAGGACTAGCGATTGGCGCCGGGGGTGTCCGAGTTCTCAGGTCGCTGGCGCTGGAGAGTAGCTCCAGTCCCATTGTTCGCCGTCGCGATGGCTTTCTTCGACCTAAACGTGCCCTACCTGGAGAGGGAGGGTTCGGCCCTCACCGCTGCGCAAGAATCCGCCGCCGCCGCCAGCAAGGCCGCGAGGCTCAAGGTGGTGGTAAAGGCGATGGAACTTGGATACTCGGGTGTGGCGTACAACCGGACAATCAGAGGCGTGGTTTCTGATTCGGATCGCTGCAAGATCCCTCCCTTTCATCTGTGCTCGCTTCTAGGCGTCGCCCCTGCCCTAGCGGCTGCAGCCAGGTTCCACCGTGAGATTCTGAGAGTCCCGCTCCAGTCGCCTTTCCGACAGTACACGCGATTGACAGTGACGGTGGATAGCGAGCTCGGTGCTGCTGCTCTTAGTTCTGGAAACTCCGTTCTTCGGAGCTACCACTTGGTGGCTGTACGGCCTTTGAACCAGACTGCGTTCGACCAGATTTGCAAAGTTTCCGAAGTGCGTAATTTCAAAAAGTTCTTCACACTCCTCCAGTCACTTTTTTTTGTTAACATATATGTCTGTGCGAATGTTTTGGGATGCCGCTGATTAATATAGTACTGGGAGCACATTGATATCCTTCCCAAATGGACTTTGCATTTGATACAGTTGACAAAATATGGGATTAGTCAGAGAATTAAGAGTGGTAAGCTTTCGAAGAAGGATGATTTTTTGTTTCCTGGGTGATTATGCTATAGTATGGTGACAGGGGACAACATCTGATGTGAAATTGACGATGCTGCCGGGTTAAGACTGTCTGGCATAAATCTGACAGACAGTCTTAACCCAGAAGAATATTATGTGCCATTTTATTGGGTTGATGAGAATTATTGAACACGCATAGGATACCTGAAATGCCACAATTGACTTATAGTATCTGAGGTTTGGGGATTAGCCTTCTGTTTGGAACACCGTCTTTCTCTTTGGAGGTATTGGAATATCTGTCGGTGTTCCTTATGTTCCTTATTGGAGCATGAAGCTCATGAACTCTTAGCAGTCATTTTAGTCGTCTAAGACTGGATTGGGTCCGGTTGTTTAGCCTGGATGGGAAGTATTTCCATTGGATCAGAGCTTGTTGATAGGCCTAGTTGGGAATACAGGATTCGGCTCGCGCCTCCTCTTCTGTTGGAAATACAGTAGGAACGCAGTTGAAAAGGGTTGTAGAGGATGAAACAGAGATTAGGAAGTTTGTTTAAATGCGGAAATTACAAAATGGCACTGTGAATTTGGCAACTAATGACACTTTGTACAAGCGTCTATGCAGTTGTGTACAAGGCTGACAGCTGGCTAGGGGAATGAGAAGTATTCTCACTGTGACTAAATATTTTATGGAGCTTGTGATGGCAGGTAAATTGAATGCAAGTGGTGAATCTAAATGTCGCATAAATATTTTATGCGACATTTTCATAGTGTTAATGAAAATGTGAACAGCTAATGGTTGCGTTGACTGATCCTGCTTCGGGGAACAAAGTTTTGTGCTAGCTGTTTCTCTGAGTGAGAAGTTGGCTGCTAATGCTGGCACTTCGGAGGATTATGTTTGAGAGATTGGAGCTGTAAAGAATTTTTCCGTAGTTATTGTTAGTGTTCATTACGCAGGTCAAGTGAGCAGAGAACTAGTCGGAGCTCAGCATCAGGTCTCGGTGCTAGGAATTTAGTTGGTTGGTGTAATGGTGAACTTATAAAAATTAATTGCGATGCTATGAGATGCAAACACATGAAAAATTTAAACAGAATAGGAGCCTGATTAAGGGAAGGGACACTTTATGTCAGAAAGGACATTTATGCTTAAGTGGAGGAACGATTAAATGGCCTAACAACTGACCAAAGTAAATGTCGCATAGTTCATCGTAATAAAGTTGACGCACATGGCCTTGTGGTCTGATCAGTAAAATAGCTATGAAAATATTGCCGAATTTCTTCATACAATCTGGTATCCTTTGTGATCGGGTGGTCATTCTTGCTATGGCCTATAGCTCATTCCAGACATGTTATCAGTGTCTTCTTCGTTATAATGTGGTACATTATCCTCGTAAGTGGGTGACACGAGGAAATTTCTGGATGGCAATTTCCCATTATTAGAGAGACCTTTTGAAAAGGAACTTTGTGTTCTTTCCGCAGGTACCTTTCAACAGTTTTTCTTTACATTTAACTTTCTACTAACATCAACTTACTACTCAACATCGCTGTCACGAACCGAAATTGGATTTACTAGAATGGGTTTCAAATTACGTGCTTGAAAGCTGTGTTTTTTATTAGTTTTTTTCACGTTAGGATGTTCTTTTCACAGGTTGACCTGATTGCAATAGACTTTTCCCAAAAACTACCATTCCGTCTGAAGCTTCCAATGGTCAAAGCTGCAATTGAGGTTTGTTCAGTCACCCAGCATTTGGCTATGTTGCAAATTTCTGTTGGCCTTGATGTGTGCTTGAGACCCTCCGGCTTGCATATAAATTATCTGATGTTTGCCTTGATTTGTGCAGCGTGGGATATATTTTGAGATCACTTACTCTCACCTAATTTCAGATGTGGATGTACGGAGACAAATGTTGACGAATGCCAAGGTTAGAGACTTCCTTTCGTCATCATTCACTTATGTTCTTCTTTTAGAGAAATTACAATGAATAGTGCAGCAAAGTAGCAAGAGCCAAAAGTAACTTTAGCTTAAAATTGCTAGGATGACTGTTGCCTATCCTTTCATAATAATTAAGTCCAAGTCATACACTTATGAAAGGTCTTTCAAATTTCTTTAACTCTCCTCTTCAGAGTGCAATTTTCAGATGATTCAACATCGATAATATTCCTTTTTGTGGAAGTAGTTTTGTCATAGTATTTTAAATGACAGCCATCATACTCATTCCATCTGGGGAAGTAAGTCCCTCAAATTACTTGCTCAACATACTCGATCTATGCTGCATTTCTCTATGATTTATGTTGCATACGCAAGTGCAACATAAATTGTCTATTTGAACAAATTATCCTAATATTTTGGTGATGATCCCGTTCAGTTGTTATCCTGCCAATAGTTCCATGTGCATGGGTTCCTGACTGATGTAACGCATCCACTCTTCACTCTATCTTAAAATCTCCATTTTTTTCCTAAGAGGCTGTACACATTAATTTCAAGAATCTCTGCGATGGAAAGTCTGGCTTGCATTCGCAGGCCAGCGACGTTTTGTATGGACTTGCCTTCCGTTCTAGATCTTCTCTCATTAACTTCCAATATCTCAAAACTAAGTCTATTGAAGTAAACAAATGGATCGACATAGTTTGGAATAGCTCTTGGCGACATGTTACTAGCCGCTATGCATAGATGAAATAGTCACAATTTTTTTTTTCACATTTTCCGATCAGAATTGTTTCTATACTCTTGGGGCCATTCATCTGAGTGTTTCAGTTCATAAATTTCAGGTGCTTGTCGATTGGACACGAGGTAGAAATCTCATTTTCTCAAGCGGTGCCTCAAATGTAAATGAGGTTCGAGGGCCCTATGATGTCATAAATTTATTTTCTTTGCTTGGTCTATCTATGGAAAAAGCCAAAAAAGCTGTGTCAAGGAACTGCAGGTGCTCTCTCCTTTCTTTTCTACAGTATATCAAGCGTTCAAATCCCCTTCTTTTGTGTCATCTATGTGATCTTCATTTTTGTGCAGCTGTCTATTAAATGGCGCCCTACGGAGGAAGCAATGCTATGATGAAGCTATTAAAATTGAAAAAATTTCATCTAGAACCCAGGTCAACTCAAAGGACTGGTTTTCTGATTGGAGCAACTGGGATCCAATCTCTAGTGGAGACGGTGATCTGCCTGCATTGGATGATATTGCGAGAATTTTCTCTTCCTCTGGAGATGTTTCACAGGTTTACATCAAAGTCAACGATGAAACAGCTGCAGATGGGATGTTGTTAGATACAATTTCTAGCAAGGAAGAAGATCCTATGTCATCGGATGACAGGGGCGTACGTTTGCCAATAACTAGTGAGCATGAATCATCTGGCCTAGGAAATGAAGCTCCACTTCAAGACAGTCATAAAATGTCAGCCGGAGATGAGATCTTACTCCCTGCAACACCCCTAGGACACCACTTTCCACCTTCTGACTTATGTACAGTGTCACCGAGAGATGAAAACTCAGAGCCAGCTATTACTGAAACCGAAGAATTTAACTGTTCATTTAACGAGATGGATGATGCTTACACCGAAGATTGGGAGCCGTCATTGAGCAATACTCCGAGCAGCTGTAATCCTGTTAACAGATCCAATCCGCTGTCCCCAAGTGACAGTGTGAAGTTTTCCTCTGCTCCTGAGAATGTTGGGATATCTGGTGTGTTTTCTGGCAAAACTCTGAGTTTGGACGGGCATGAAGCTATTTCAGTTGTTCCTTCAGCTCCAGTGGATTCAACACTGTCCAAAGATGTCATCTTTGGCATTCAAGATGAAATGCCTCCCAATGATCAGGAGAAACCAACAAGTAACCCATCAGGAACTGACAGAGTGTCTTTTCTTGGAAAGGATCCTGGAAGCGTGATTGAGCCATCCGGTGCACAGGACGTGCCAGAGATGAAGGTTTTACCAAGAGCAGGCGATTTAGAAAGGAAAGACCCTTTTATGAGCGTTTTTGATACGCTTTGCGAGAAAGAATTTCCCAAATGTGGGACAAGCGGAGAAGCTGAAAGAATATCTTTTCCAGAAACTGATTCTTCTTTGTTTTCTAGTAAGGATGCTGACAGCTTGAGGAAGCTCTCTAGTGAATGTGATGCGCCAGAGGGGAAGGCTTTATCAAGGACAGAGGATTTAGAGAGGAAAGACCCTTTCATGGGCGTTTGTGGTATGCTGTTCCAGAGAGACTCTGCTAAATCTGGGACAGATGGAGGAACTGACTGCATGTCTTTTCCAGAAAGCATTAGCTTCGTTGAAGTTTCCAAGGACATGAAAGTGCAGGGTCAAAGGGACATGGTTTCAGTGGTTGACAACACACCATCTAGAGACATTTTGGTCAACATGCACGAAGAAAACAAAGCTTCTCCAACACCCATTGACTGTCTGCAACAACACCCTAAACGAGGTAAGGGATGACCTGTGGCTTCCCACTTCTATTCTCTTCCATTAACGGAAGAGAGTATATTTCCTTTTGACTCCGGTCGGTTTATTGCTCTGTCAGACTTCTCTGGCCCTTAGTAGAACAGCCTCGATTGATTCACCATAAAAACCAAGCTAGTTCTTGTTGACATGGGCCTTGCTTAATATACCCAAATACCGATCAAAGGCAAGTCTTGCTGGATCTCGACCTGCCCAGTCCCCAACTGACCTTCTTCGGTACCATCAAGTAACATGGCTATTAAGGTATTTCAGTATCCCTTTCATTGACCCAAGTAAAGTGAGTTAGATATAAAGCTATTGAAATGGATGCCCATTACAGACTGGCCAAGAAAAGCTGATGCGTAGAGGGATGTTTCTCAATGGGGTTTCTGCTTGCAGTGGGCTATATGGATTACTACAGAAATGCCCCTATAGGGGCATGCATAGGGATTCCTTATTTTCCGTGATCAGTACAAAAGTGCTGATGAAGTCAACGGCTGATGATATTCGTCAACCTTCTTGCAGGGAAAGCGCAGCAGCTGCCGCCCCCTCGAGGGCTTCTCTTCGCATCAAAGCACTGCATCCGTCGCCTACTCTTCAAGAGGCGAGCCCGGCATTCGAAGGGCTCCAGAAGACATCCTGTGAGAAGAAAACACCAGAAGACTGTATAAAGAGGTCTCCTTTTCCCCATATGGACCATCATTATTTGATTTTATCGTCGTCCTTTATTGGGTATTTTTCATTGACTAACGAAGGATAGAGGCGGAAGTGGGAAGATACCGACTAGAAATCAGGACATCTCCTTTCGGAAAAAAATAGAAAGCATTACGAGAAGTAAACCCCTTCAGCTAGAAATGTCCATGGCCTTTGACCACGAAGAAGGCAGAGGCTGTTGGTTGACGTAGGGAGTCAATGGGCACAGCGGAACCGCCGGCTCTTGCCGTCTTCCAGATGGGTCGGCTGATGTCGCTATCCCCTTCACCGGGCTTGAGGTGACGGCCACTAGCTAAGAGGAAGAGAATATCTCTGGTCACATGAGGGAAGGCTCGCCCAAGCACTTGCAGTAGCAGCAGCGAAGGAAGGTGGAGAGGGGGGGGGGATTTAAGGGAGGGTTGTTGCCTTTGGTAGGATGATAATATCTTCGGCTGGTGAGTCCTCCCTACTCATCATGGCTTCCAATAATTGCGGGCTTGCCCGCTCTGTGGCAGTGACTGTGACTGTGACTGTCTTCCCTGTTCATGACCCAAGTGCTGATAAAAAGATGAAGAAGACGCGGGGGAGAGGGAGAGAGAGAGCATGGGGCAGTCCCAAGAATGAAGAGTAATTTTCAATGGAAAGTGTGAACAAAGAATTACTCTCCATTCTCTCTCTCTCTCTCTCTGTATATATATATATCGCTCTACCTATCTATCTGAGAATAAGAAGAATAGTAACAACGACAAGAACAAACAACGAGGGCAGAGGGCGATAGAGAGAGACAGAGAGAAACAGAGAGAGAGAGAGAGAGGTCTCAGTGGGATTTGAGATTCCTAGTTCTCTTCTTCTGTAGACTACGGGATTCTCTCTCTCCCTCTCTCAGGGAAGGCCATAACCTTCTTTTCGAGTCACATGCTGCCCACCAGCAGGAAAAGGTCGGGTACCTCTTTCCCGTGTGAAGTCTTTGTGGCCGTCTCCACTCTCCCTCTCCTTCCCTGCCACTCCGTTCCCTCCCTTCCCATATCATCGGGCTCTCTCTTTCTCTCTTTCTCTCTTTCTCTCTCTCTCTCTCCCTCCTCTCCAGGTGCAGAGGGTGGCCGCACGGGCTCCCCTCCCCTCCTCGCCGGCTTCATCATGCCACCCGCCCTCTCGCTTAGTGCGATAGGATATACCCACTGCTTCCGGTGAGGCAGATCATCGCTCGCCTGGTGGTGGACCAGCAACGCATCTCCCCGGCTTTTTATCGTGTCCCCGGCAGCCATGGCCGGCCCTCCGCCCTACGCGCCACTGAAGTCTTCTCGCTCGCTGCCGGACGAAGGAACCTGGTCGGGTTCGATCTTCTCTTCTCCGTCCGTCGCGCAGGACGGACCCATCAGTTGCCTCTTGAGAGAGAGAGAGAAGTTGTGACATGCACGCTGATAGGAGACCGGGGCATCCAAGCTAATTCAAAAACCTCGAAGAAGAAGATCCCCCAGTCACTGAACGCGTATTCATTGTTAAAAGATTGCTTTGAGGGTGCTCCCAGTATTCTGACTCCATCACGTAATGGAATAAGCAGCCTTTTAGTCTATCTAAATCATTAGAAACCCGTCTCCGGAGACCGACGCATGTCATAACGCCGACAGCCCTCTCTCTCTCTCTCTCTAACCATCTATCTATCTATCTCTACGACTATCTCGTTCACCCATAGCCAGATGGTGAAGCTTTGTACGGAGGAAGAGGACCAGAAGAGAAGGAAAAGCTCTCGAAAGCCAGACATGGGCGGCGGTACCGCTCTTCAGCCAAGCTACCCTCTCTCTAAGAACACGAAACCTCGTCCCTGGATCATTAGAGGAACCAGTCACATTACCGTACTCTTCTGCATCAAGGTACTGCCGGATCAACTGTAAACAGGAGAACAGTCCTCCCCGTCAGCAAAGAGATTTCCACGGTGTACATATTTGCCTTGGCTCGCGGAGAGAGGGAGAGAGAGAGAGAGAGAGAGAGAGAGAGAGAGAGAGAGATTTACATTCTCAGACTCCCACGTCAGTCTTCCAAACTCAGAGAAGATTTACAGTTCGAGGAGCTTCCATGCCGATCGAGGCCGAATACCACTTCCGAACTAGAAGAGGTGCGTTGACAGTAGTCGAGGATTTCCTTTTGCTGGCCCCTGATGGGTCATGTCAAGATAGAAGGGTTGACTTTCGTTTTGTATCACCAAAGATGCGGCGTCTGCGTTTTTATGAGGTGATAGGGGGGGAGAGGGACGCCGCAACAGTCCTCAAGATTGTCATCCGGCGTGGACAGACCATAAGAACATTTAAAGTTTTGGAGATCGCCTTGTCTTAAATTAGGGGTCAACCCTGTAATCATACTGAGGGCCAACCTATCTCACTGGTCAGCCCGGCCCATTTAGCCTTATTCCACCGGGGGGGGGGGAGGGGGGGCCACCGAAGTAAAGCATCACTTTGTCACAACTTACCTGAGTACCTCTAGAGTGAGAGAGAGAGGATGTGGGACCCAGTCTTACTTGGGATCTCATGTCAGCCCTCTGACCGTACATGACGGTCCAAATCACCCTCAACAGTGGGCCTACGCCTCAGACCCACCGAGGTAGCGGCCACCATGTGATAAAAGCCCACCTTCGCCTCGTTCCTCCCTTTCCTTCCATGCTATCGCCGCCCTCCCCAACCTTCCGCTCCGCCGCTGCTGCAACGCCTGCCATGTACCGGTCTCAATCTTACCCAGATCCCTTCCTCTACCCTTCCTGGGCCTTTCAATCCTCCCCCCCTCCTCATCCACATGACCATCACCACCACCGCCCACCTTCGCCTCCGCCGATGGCCTCCTCCCCGCCTTCTGACAGCGTCGGCTTGCTAAGCTCCCCCACCTCCAACTCCCCTCTCCTCAACTCGTCCTTCATTCAGAGGAGCAGCAGTGCCCTCTCCCTCCACAAGCACGTCCTCGGCATCAACCAACATCACTACGGCGGCGCCGGGGGCAGCTACAGCGGAATTCACCTCCACGAAAGGCCCGACTTCTTCGACTTTCCGTCCGACGGACCCATTAGAAGAGTCTTCAGCACAGGAGACATAAGGGTAGGTGATGATTGAACTCAGCTTTGATCTCCAGCCCGTCTGTTTTAATGGCGGCGTTCATGATTTTCGACGGTCCCCTTCGCAGGCTATGAACACCAATCTCCGACCTCCTGGCGCCGATAATTGCGCCCTGGAGATAGTGGGAGGGAATGGAACTGCGATGGGCGGCAGAGTAGGTCGCTACAACGCCGAGGAGAGGAGGGAACGAATCGAGAGATACCGCAACAAGCGGAACCAGAGAAACTTTCAGAAGAAGATCACCGTACTGTTCTTCTTCTCCCCATGTTGCTTATCGGGGCGACAGTTCCAGGGAGAGGATGATGAGATTTCTCTTCTTTCTTTTGGAGCAGTACGTCTGCAGGAAGACGCTGGCTGACAGCCGCCCGCGGATAAGGGGGAGGTTCGCGAGGAACGGCGACGCAGAGCTGGAGACTGATGCGGAGGCTGGGGAGGTGAGCTCCTCCAGCGGCGGAGTCGACTACCGTGGCTGGAGGCCGGCAGTGGACGGCGAGGACTGTAGCTACGACCCTGATTTCTGGGCCAATTTCCTCGACAACCTCTCCGTGGGCAATATGATCGCCTGATAGCATGCAGTCGCAGAGAGATAACCCGCTGTATATCGTTAGTTCTCAATATCACTCCGTGAGTATTCGTAGTTTGTGTCCACATAAACGTAGCAACCGGGGCTCCGCGCTTTGGCCGTTTTCTTTTCGCTTCCCATTCTCCAAATCCTCTCCCTTGCCATCTCATTGGGGAAGAAAACCCTGTAACTCGTCCGTTCCATGAAGAGGACGATGTAATAGACTTGAATGTCTCTCTCTCTCTCTCTCTCTCTCTCTCTCTCTCTCTCTCTCTCCTTCCTCGAATACACCAGAGGAACCCGTCCATCGGGACCTGGGGGATCGTGGCGGGTGGGTATAGTTTATCATGGGGCCCGGAAGATCGCCGGAGAGGAAACTCACAACTACAAGTGACCAGTTTTCAACTTTTGTGGTGAGAAAGCTGGCCGGGGGGTTCTACCTGCTCGGGTCTGCGTCGGGGCGGGATGCCCGTGAGGTCCACGCCGGGGAAGGTTCGCAGGGGGTCTTCTCCTTTCCCGTGTGAATATGCCATCCACTCTCTCTCTCTCTACGGTATGTTCCTCCACGGTCAGTTGTAAAAGTCAACCTCTCACAGTAAAAAAAATGTCAACCTTCACGAGGTAGCGCAGTCGAGTCTCCTCTTAAGCGGGTTTCACACTCCGGCTTTCGACCACCTGGATATGGGATTCGGGATTAAGATATCATCACCGGAGCGGATTGAGCAAGCGAGCATCTTGGACTCTCCCGCGACCCCTTCGTGAGGCTCTAGTTCGTCCTCTTTTCTCCCGAATCTTTTGACTCGGGCACTCGCCACGTACCCCAACACACTCTCTCTCTCTCTCTCTCTCTCGTACGGCCAGAATTCATGGCTTCAGGAAGGGTAGGATGAAACCCATCGTCCCTCCGAGCATCTTACTCGAGAGACGCCCTGTGGGTCTGCGTTGGAAGCCGATGCTTCCGGGAGTAAAGCCTCCGCCGAAGCTTCTTCCAAAGACGCCCCAGCCTTTCGATAGCCCCCTCCCTCCCCCTTGCCAATCTCTCTCTCTCTCACACACACTCTGCATAGTCCGTACACATTCAAGCGCGATAAACAGGAAGAAGAAGAAGAAGACGACGGACGGAGCCCTGTCGCCGGCGCGGCGCCGTGCGGATGGTGAAAGGCCGCCGCAGAATCTTTGCCTTTGGGCAAAGGCTACCAGCCCCAGCTAGCCGGAGGCCGGGATTGTGGCTACGCCGATTCTTGTCGGCTTCACGCACACGAGGGTGTCCCCTGCCCGAGCCCATCGACAAGTAAAATATTGGTTCCACGAGCGTGCGGCAGGGAATCCTGGGGTACATTGGAGTCAAAATTACTGGCAATAATCAAGACTAAAACTTTGCACTTGATTTTAAAAATGGGTCATTTTCCAGACACACGGAGGAAGAATGTGTGAGTGGGCTGCCCTATGAAGGGTAGGCGGCGGAAGTGGGTGGTCTCCTTCTGGACTCTCTGGGTTTCCAGGCTAGACACAGCTCTTACGCCACAAGGGCTCATGGGCTTGTCTGTCCTTTGAGAGGTCTAGTGGGTATTACATTAAAAATGAGGTCTTTGATGAGAGAGAAGGAGAGGGAGGGAAAGAGAGAGAGGAGAGAGAGAGAGAGCTGCTGTCCGAACACGAGAGGTGTTGAGATTCGGCGGCTTCTATGATAAACTTAACGAGGAACCTCATGCTTGTCCTCCAGCTTTTCCGCCAATCGGTCAACCAGAGACTGAAACAGTCATCACCAAAAGCACAGGGTGCGTACCATTTTTAGCTTAGAAACGCGTTGAAGGCCCCCTGCGCCTTCCCAATCAAGGCTCCATCGCTGTGATGGCAAGAGAGTTGGGTTGCGCATTCAGGGATGATGGCCCATGGACGTAAAACTTCTTGGAATCTGATAAATCCTAGAAAACATTTCATACCCAAACCTCCATAAACACAATAATCAGGTGAATTCCTTCCCTGCATCTCGTATTTCTGATTTAGGCCTTGGAATAGTTCAGGATTTGTCTAATTCTCTATGAAAAATTGCGGTGAAGAAATTCATTTCCCTCTATTTTGGGCCGCTCAGCAGTCACTTTTGCAACTGCCCTTCAAGGTTTTTTCATTACCTGGTAATCAGATTCCGCCGACATTGTTGCACTATCCAGTAGTTCATGCTCCCATTCCTCATTCCGGAGCTCTTTTACAATTTATTTATGTAAGAGTAAATTTGAGAGGAAGATCATCTATCTTTATGACAAATCCAAACCATTTATCTGCGTTCATAAATGGAAAATTGAAAATCGAAAATTGAAAATTGAGGATATCCCGTGAAGAAAAGGCTTCAATGGATAGTATTAGATTCATAATCAAAGATGAACCATAATATTCTTCTTGGTATCTGCTAACAATGACTCTAACTTAGGGTGCATCATATCCCACCATTTTAAGTACTTTTTCCTCTGGACTCCTCCTGTCACCATTCATCCGAGTGCATAAACTCGGCCTATTACTTTCTGGATTTCACTTGAACATGTTGTCAGTTTTATGTCTCCGGGGGCAGACATTGCCTGTTTTCAAACCCAGCATCCCTTCATTTGATGCCCACGAATTGAAAACCAATAGAGCTGAAACTTCTTTCACTAGAATCTGTAGCAGTTTTGTAACTTGCAAGAGAGATATTTGTTTTGGGAAAAATGTATGCACCGGAAAATTAAAAGGGTTGTTCCTGTTCTATCCCAACAATGTTAAATACAAGATTGATCTGGATCTTCTGAACTAAAACCCAGAGCTTTGGCAGAAGCCAATGGGAGGTCACTGCTCATGCAGTCAATGTGTGTTTGCCACTGAGACATTTCTTGGGCTAGCTTGTGGGAGGTAGATTTCTCTACATAGACTCCTGATGAAGTTTTGCAGAGTGATATCGTTTGTACACATGTTTTGCAATTATAAGGTTATCAGATTTATCCCTGATATACTGAATCTATATATATATATATATATATATATATAAACATCAAAAACAGATTTTTTGCTTATGCTCCTGCCCTGATTGAATCTTTTGCTAATGCTCCTGCAAGTTATTCGACAAAAGGGTTCTCCATAAGTTTCAGCTCAAAATATTTCCACACCAGCCTTTTACTGCGAGATTAGAGCACTTAAAATCATTTATAATTATAGAACTCTCATAAGAACACACCCCTCCATCATTGCATGATTTTTAAAATAAAATATAAGAGTTTTCCAGTTATACTTCCTAAAATAACTGACCACGGAAACAGGCATTTACACAGAATATTCCAGATCAAATCTATTGGAAGGTATGTTTATAAAATTTTAGCATTGGCTGTGAGACCCCTGCTCTGAGCATAGAGATCTTCATAGGGATGTAAGGAAGCAAAAAAAATTGGAAATAAAAAAATGAACTAAAGACCTTTTTGCACAGGATTATTATTTCTATACATCATCATCGGGCCATTAGCAACCAAAAAAACGAACAAAAGGGGGTAGGGAAAATCCTTTGTCTTGGTGCTTGACTGAGAGAATGATGTCATCACTCTTCGTCCTTAGACTTCCTGTAGGTTTCTTCGATCTTTTTGGCCTTGAAGAGCCATGTATCAGCAAGTTGCTTTATCTTGGGCATATCATAGTTCTGATCAATATAAATGCCACAACTCATACCTAGTAAGAAAAAAAAACTACCTCTGAACAACCCCATATTTCTCTGCAGTGACAAGAGAATATAATGAAATTAGTAGTTGGTTTCAGGCCAATTGGCTGTTCAAGGATAACACGAGACGACTCAAAACGTACGGAAACATCGGTTATTCTGGACAGCTCGAATAAAAGGAGGTAAGAGATGATTAATGCCCTAATTTTTACTAATTGGGAATGGTTTTCAGTGTGGGTGTTCCGTTTGGGAGGCCTTATTTATATTCGTCGAAATTCCTGCATAATCACCACAGTATCAGCATGCATTCAAAGGCGAGGACTCGATCGAGAGGGCAACGGAGCATTAATATCGATATAACAAAGAAGCATCAAATTATTCATCACGATATAACCATATAGGCCACGAGTCTCACCTCGTCGAACGGGCCGACGAACGGAGCGATGCTACAGCACGGACGATAGGGAAAATCTAGGAGAGTGGACGAAGGGGGATGATTCACCGCCCTCGGAATATATGAAGGTCGGGGAGGTTGCCCATTGCCCAAGCAGGTCGGAACAGACCAGCGAATCGGCTAAACCCTCGCCTTCTTCCACTCCAAGGAAGAAGGAATAAATTTTAACAGAAAAGTTCATATACATCCCTGTTAAAACATTGAATTTCACTTAAGAACTTAAATATTTATATATGTACCCTACCTTACCCATATGTACCCTACTCATTGCTCTCTCTAGCAATGTTCCATCGCCACTTTCACAGCAGAAACTATTGGATTCATGTACAAATAAATCTATTCAATGAAATTATTTATTACAGCGATATTTGGATTTTCAAGAATCTCTCTCTCTCCTTTTCACTTTGGCCTTTGGGAGCCAAACAGCTGCCCAAATCGTGTTTTAGTCTCTCCATTAATATCAATTATATAATTCTGATCTTAGTTATAGTTTAAGTTAGGTTTATGGCTAATGTAGCTTGTAAATGACTGAACTAGCCCCTATCCTCTAGACTCGCTTGTGAAGGTTATATTCACAACCCTATAGCCCTCACCTTACTTGATAGCCTCCTACCCTCCATCACAAAGCTGACTCTCGAAATCCAAGTGTCCATCTCTCCTCTTTCCATCAGAAGCCTCCTCCCATTCCGATCCAACTCGACGACCTCATCTTTCTTTGTTTGTCTCTTTTTGTCATCTAAATTCTCTCTCTCTCTCTCTCTCTCTCTCTCTCTCTCTCTCTTAGTCCAACTGTGTATTGGTCTCTTAACGCTATACAAGGTGTGAATCATTTTAAAGAACTCAGTGGTCCACATTCGACATTCGTGGGGAATTAATAGTCCAAATTTTCATGACACAAAAAATGACAAAATTGTACGTTTGATGGGCGGATACGGTTTGGGCCAGGTCCCTAAAAGGTTACATTTTATAAGATTTATTACCAACAATGGCATGTTCAGAGCGTGTGAATCACTTTTTTGCTTATAGCACTTTCACTGTGTGCAGGCGCACCAAGTCGAGCTTAAGATCAACTTGAAATACTCAAATAAAGTCCAGGCTCAATCTAGACAGGTTCGTCTCGCTTGTGGATGTGTCTTATGTGTGTGTGCGCGCGCGCGCGCGCGCGCGCGCGTGTGTGTGTGTGTGTGTGTGTGTGTGTGTGTGTGTGTGTGTGTGTGTGTGTGTGTGTGTGTGAGAGAGAGAGAGAGAGAGAGAGAGAGAGAGAGAAGATAAGAAAGGTAATAATCTCGTGAATAATTGTGACGCCTATGGAAAAAAATGACTAATAATATTCGATCAAGAGCTTATCGATGCCTTAAAACTTGGTTCGGATGAAGGTTGAGGCGGGCAAACATTTGTTCAGTCGGCATGATTGTGAAACCCACGGCCAATACGATTGGATAAGAGCTATCTAGGCTGTAAGCTCACCTACCCCATGAACACCCGTAACTCTCACACGGATGCAAGCGGGTACAGCTTTATTTTGGAAACATAACACGTGTGCCGATCTCACTCAATTTATATCTATAGCTACGATCTTCAATCAGGGTTTTATAACCAATGTAATTAGTTTGGGACCCATCACATTTTATTTTATTTTCTAGCCAAATTTAGAACCCAACCCATCTTCCTTGACAACTCATCTCCTCTCACTCCCTCTCACTCCCTCGCACCCATGTGCATGGCTCTCGTGATGTATCTAGGCCCTTGCTGTCGGGCCCAGAGGTCATTTAGAGGGCTTCGCTCTGGGACCGGGTCAAGTCCGGGCCTTATATGGAGATGACCGGGCTCAGAGAATCGTTGACCTTTCTGAATCGTTGACACCCAAGGAATAGTGCTCGAGCATTGATTAGAACGGACTCTATAACGGAGACAAACATGAGCCTCTTGCTTGTGCCTCGGCGCCTCCTGGATTCATAATATTTATGAAGCCTGCTGAAGAACACCATGACCTTTCCTTTCACTTGATCGGACGAAGGACCGATGCTAACCTAGAAGGCATAGTGAGGTCCACGTAGGGCAGCTTCCCTTCTGGGGTCGACAGCCGCTGCAGGAGAGCCGCTTCATGAACACCGCCTAGGAGAAGTTTGAGCCCATCTGGCCTCTCGGACCAGAGGCACAAGCTAGGCCGAGATGGACGAGCTCGTAGGGATTTGACAGCTTGAAGGACATTGAATTCACAAACTCGGACAGTCAGAAGAGATAAATGGAAGAAATAGTAAATAATCTCATCTTGGTTCGTCTAATAAATGAGTACTTGACAACTCATGGGAGCATTCACTTGCGTTTTTCTACCATTTCATTTGGCCGTCAGGATGCCCTCAAACCCTTCTCTCTCTCTCTCTCTCTCTCCCCGTATCTCTTATAAACTTATCGTACTAAAGAACCAACGTTAATGCCTGTTTATCCTCGGGGGAGATGCGGGGATCTGGCCTTTGGGCGGGCCAGATCCACGCTTCTTACAGTTAGACCTGAAGGATTGCATCTCCTTTTCATTGTCAGCTGGCCACGTCGTGTTCGTCCTCGTCGCAACTTGTATTTCTCACAACTCTCTCTCTCTAGGTAGGTACATACGGAGGGTCGTCCCCGAGCCCGTTTCGCGGAGGCTCTTCTCCGGGCTCATGTCTTGTCAAGAGCAGGAGTCCGGGCCGTTGAGGCCGACTATAGGCGATCCCTCTACCAGACACTGTAAGTGAGTAAGAGAGAGAGAGAGGCGAGACGATGCCGAAGGACTGCACCGGCATCAAATCCCAAGAGCATGTCATGTCGAAAATCTTAGTTTTCATGCCAGTTTCTCCTGCGTGAACCAAGAAATATACGCATGCACGCAGATATCGACGTCATATCGGTGGGGATCTGTAGAATAACCAGGTGGGCGGGGGGAAGCGCTAGTCTTTGTGTCTGATTGACAGGACCAGAACCAATAAAAGCTGATTCTACAAGTCTCTTGCGCAAGCGCTGATGCTGGCCGTCCCCTCTGACAGCCCTTATAGAAACTAGAGAGGCTGCGGCAGAAAACGGTGGAAAATGGAAGCATCGATGCACAGAGGAAATAGCGTACCGCCGGTCGAGATCCCAGCTCCGAAAATGAGGAGGAGAACAGTTATACAGACGCGAGCGTTCGTCATATTGGAACGAGCCGTCTCTAGAAATGATCTAGGAGACAATACTAGTCGACGGATGGGTTCTATCGGAGAACCCTAGGTCACTGCCGTCTTCCAACTCTCAATCTCCTCCGGACGTCTCCACTCCCATTAACTCCCAAGCAGTCATCCCATTCCCACGCTTCCCTTCCGGCCACATCTTAATTTCGCCTGCGATCAGCGGATACGACAGAGTTTCTGCGATCCTAATCAGATAGTAGCATCGTGTAGGTGTTTTCTTAGGGATTATCGACGTAAGATAGACCTCCGTAGAGATAGATTCGAGACAGTGCAACTCCCCCCCCCTTCTCTCTCTCTCTCTCTCTCGCTCTATACATAGATATCTTCTCTATCTACAGCTTCGTCTAAGCACTAAGATGGTTCCTAGATCATAGGATGCCGAACTTTCAGATTACGGAAGCTTCACGCATCCGAGGACGGAAGCTTTCAAGGGGTGATCGCGTAGATTTTTCTATGAACGATGAGTATCTGATCACAGATACTCAGCGGACAGTTAGAGTGGCCGCCGTGAAAACCCAACGACCAGATTTGTCAATATCATCGGATGTTTTATCCGTTACAACTTGTTGCTGTCGGAAAACACCACAAAATACAAAACGAAGGAGCAGAAGACAGAAAGATTTATGAATGGAAGTGATTGAAGAAGGTCCGAAAGACGAGGCTTTCGAAAACAAGGGTGAAGAAACAGTACAGCTAGATTAGATGGATGCAAGAGACACAAGAAGGCCCTTTTATCTTGTCAGCACTGCTACACAATACACGGGGAAATAAGATGGGAAATCTAAAGCCCCTTCGAGAACACAGTTGACGAGAACTTAAGATACAGACAGAAAGATGAGAGAAAGAGAGAGAGAGAGTAAGAGTGACATGCATCTTGCAGGAGCATGAACTTGCCGCAAGCTAGTTAGTAGAAGTGGAGCAGGAAGACGATTTGGAGGTGCTACACTCTTCTTTGAGGCCGGTACTTTGGGTGGGGAAGAGCTCCAGGGTCTTGAGAGGCCTGCAGCAGGGGGGAACAGCCGAACTCGCTTCCGTCACCATCATCCACTCGTAGCCATAGCTCGCAGAACATCCTGCCGAGGGCCTCTCGGTGCCATCGTCCCTTCCGCATGTCTCCAGCTTGCCAACAAGATTCATTACTTCTGGTGCATCCTGATAACATCCCTGCAAACCAGACGAAAGAACTCTCGAGTGAATTACATCTCTAATCAAGAAGCATATTTCGTGAACGACGATCATCATATACCATTGTTTGACAAATAACTATGCTCCAAATTTTACAGATTCAGACGTTAGGATAGGTCAGGTTAGAAGCATTAGAAACTGTTCGTGGAAACCTGTCTATGGAGCTGAGTAGAAGAGCTTAAAACCACAGTCACCGTTTGCAGAAATGAAGTAAGACGTATCCTTGCATGTAAACTACAACCCGACTCAACACCCCCCCCTCCCCTCGCGAGAGTGAGAGAGAGTACGTTAGAGGGCGATAGAGAGAGAGTCTGAGTGAGTGAGTGAGTAAGAGAGACAGAGAGAAAGAAAGGCCACCTGTTGGAGGAACTGAGGGGTGATCTGGTGGGGAATCTGATGCTGCTGCAGTGGCGAGCGAAATGTCTCCATCTGGTGGAGCTGCGGGGCTTGCTGGTTCATCATCTGATGCTGTTGCAGCATCTGCTGGTGTCTGCTGAGCCTCCTTCGGAGCTTCTGTCTGTCCCTCGCCTTGTGGTTCTGGAACCAATAGAAGACATTCTTTCCCTCTATTTTCCCATAGTAGGAAAGATGAGCCGTTATCTGCTGTATCTGAGCGGCGTTGGGAGTCCTCACTCCACTCCTATACATCTCCTCCAGTATCATGAGCTGCTCAGGCGTTGGGCACCATCTCGTTGAAGGTACCTGAGGCATTCTGTTATCGGACCTTGGTAGCTGCAGCAAGCGTGTTTAGAGAGAGAAAACGCGTGGGAGATAGGAGACAAAAGAAAGGGAGAAAGGCGATGGAGAGACAAAAAGGATGTGGGAAGGAGGGGGCGACGGGTGGAGTTTTAAAAGTCGGGAGGAATGGGGAAAGAAAGAGTTTGGTTCTGTCATCCTGTTGTTGTTCTGTGAAGGCCATTCAATGTTGGTTTCAATGTTTGGCCTTTTCCTCCTGCTTTTCTCCTTTTGTATACGAGCTCAGACGGACCGCGAGCGAGCGAGCGAGAGAGAGAGAGAGAGAGACTTGGTAGTCTGTTCGTCCCTGTGCTGTTGCGGGTGTCATTGATGAGTCGGAATGACACGCAGCTGGCTACACGCCTTTCTGTCTACCATTTTCCGTTGCAGTAAAGTGAATTATTAGAGGATGATGGCGCATATGATTCATAGCGATGCCCACCCCATTCCTCTGCGATCCCCCTCCCTCTCCCAGGAGCTGGCCTCTTGGGCGTGTACAATTTCATACATCTCCTTCACGAAGACCTTGTGCCTCCATCTAGGTCGAACCAATAACATACCGTGGTTCAACCTTAGTGATATAAATCATACGATAGTCAGTTAACCCATGATAGATAACCACGGACTATTCTTTTCCTCGCGGGTCGTAGCAATCTGATCTGCCTGTGGTCCTAGTGAGGCCGTAGCTCCCCCCCTTTGACTGGCCTACGAGAGACATGTTCTCAAATGGGCTCATAAACACGCCTGTGCGGCGTAATTCTGAGACCTTCTGCACCATACATGAAGTCCCCCTCCCCCCATTGGTTGATCGGGTGGGTACGAAAGCAATTGGATCAGTCGGGTCTCGGGCATCTCTAGTCGCTGTCACCGACGGTGCAACTGATCAGATGGAGGCGGTGGAGGTTCTTCTCTCATCGGAGAAATAACATTCTGCTACTGCATTATGTCGACCCATCCATCCACTGTGAGGGCTTTCCCTCCCCCTCTTCTTCATTCAACGTGGAATTGAAACGCCAACTACTTGGTTCTGGACCTCCATATTCCTTCTGAATTGGAGCATAAATGCGACAGCCCCCCAGGCATAACAGTCAGCCGCAGCAATCCTCGCCTCCCCCGCAGAGGCTCCTGCTCTTAGCCTTTGAGCGCGTACAGTGAACAATTTCTCCCCCCTTCCTTCTCCTCGCTTCCTTCTGAACGCCGTGCTAGTACAGAACATGACCTCAGGCCTCTGCAGCCTCCCGACGATGGGACTAATGAGGGCTTTAGAGCAGCGACGGGGCTCTCTGCGGGTAAAGCGGGTCCTCACCAGTCACACCGCCCACCTTGTTGCATGGGTCTATCAGCGAGCTACGATGAACTTCATGTCTAGGCTTAGGGCGACCGGAGGACGCAAACACCTCTTTATTGGTCCTAGGTTTTGAGATTTCTAACCGAGGCTAGCATGCACGTACGGCTTTGTACTCATTTCATGTTTCAGAATAATATTATTTGATCTTCGGCGTTCAAGCTCTTTCATTTAAATTTGAAACTACTCACCTCTCCGACCGCCTTAAAATATGTAAGTGCATTTCAATCAATATTAGATAAATATACGTACGCCGGGACAGGCGATTAGGGCGTCTAACGATCGTTCCGTCTGTCTGAAATCTTTCCGTGGTACTGCTTTGGGTCTTGTTCCCAAAACGGCGGTGCCATTGTTCAGTCTGTCTAGAAATTGGAATTTGCGTGCCCTGGCTCGTTTCCCAACGGATTCCTTGAACCCCCCATCCCGCGGTCGGCCAAGATCATCGAGGAAACGTCCAAAGAACAAATCTTTCAACGAGAGACCTTTGGAGCGTGAGAAGGAGAGCAGCTGGAGGCAGAACCAGTCAGGAGAGATTAATCATTTTAGCTGACTTCATTGTTTTGTCGGAATCCGGAGATTAGCCACCTGCGCGGGAATAAAGTCGCACGAGAGAGAGTCAGAGGTAGAGATAAAGTAGCTAGAGAGAGAGAGAGAGAGACAGAGAGACAGAGTGAAAGAGAGCAATATAGGTAGAGAGATAGGGGAAGGGATAGGGACAGGGATAGGGATAGAGGTAGAAGGATGAAGGGAGGCACAGAGAGAGTGATAGAGAGAGAAGCATATCCTCGGGCTGAAACCCGACTCCCATGGGCTTCTTTCTTTCAGGAGAAATGTCTCCAACGTTAGCGGGTGGTCTCAGGCTAACCGATGTAGTACGCTGGCTCATAGATTAAGATACTTTGTCTAAAAATGCTGTCCGAAAGTGGGTTGTCAAACTCAATGAACAGTAGATGCGCGGTCAGAAATCTTCAGTGATCCAAGCCAAGTCCGAGTTACAGTCTCCGTAACTTTGACCCTTTTGGAACACGATGGACCCCTTTCCATGCTCACCGACCTTCCCCCATTTGACATACCGGAATGCACCAAGCAAGCTCAGTACCTGCGCGGCAGATGGCCCGACTTCGCAGGTGTGAAAGCACCCGCGCTTTGGTTTTCCGCATCAGTCCCAGTGGACGTCGACTTAACTTGGTGGCGCTCCCGTCATTAGTCGGCGCCTTCGCCAAACGCATGCGAGTTCAGAGGCAGCAATAAAGAGACGAGTTTAAATACGCCCGACTGTATCTGTTCCTCGGGGCGTAATAGCCCTTGATTGAATTTACGAAGGTAGTAAAGAGGCGCCGACATTTAATTGTATTAATGTTATCTTTATCTTCGACGTTCTAAGAATATCTAGGCATATCAGCGGCCCATAAATGTCGTCGATCATTATTCCGTCGTTATCACACATTGGTTCCAGTTTAGTAGGGACTGACAGTGACGACGTCACGGAGACTTACTGCGCTCGATGATTGATCATGTTCAGTTATTATATCGTTGGGAAATATAGAAGCTTGCGTTAATTTGGAAACCTGCGTCGATCTCTCTCAATTGAATTCCATCGTAAGCAAACTAAAGAAAGGGCAACATTCTTATAGAGGCGATCATCTCTCTCTCTCTCTCATTCAAGGCTAGGTGTATGCTGGGCCTTGAATCTCCTAGTTTGACCGGGAGGGTCGGAATTGGTCAGCTGACACTCGGGATTCGTTCTAATATTGGCATTTTTTATTGCGGGTGAAGTGATCGGCATCTAAGTCGTTTGCAGTGAAATCCCTGCAGATGATGCGGGTGGCGTAGCATCCCACGCGGGTGGCTCTGCATGGCTAGCACATCCAAAGTCGCTGTTTTCAGAAGGACGCGGTACTGTTGATAATCCTCGTGAAAGCACCCTGCGCGACGCCCCATCGATGCCCAACGCGCGCTCCTGCGTAGCCCTCAAAGCTAGAGACGGACAAGAGTGAAGCATTGACTCGTAGGCCCTTCTCGTTATTAGATACTCTCTCTCTCTCTCTCTCTCTGCATCTGCTCTTGTTGACGCCATCCGGCAAATCCCCCTCGTTCATCTCTTTAGATGACTGGATCATGAAGCGTCCACCAGATGGGTCCCTGTGCAGTCAGCAGCTCAGATATGCACAGAGAGAGAGACTTCTGAATCCCCTACTGTGTGCCATCAGAGTAGAGAGAGAGAGAGAGAGAGAGAGAGAGAGAGAGAGAGGGACAGTACGGAAGAATCGGGTTGATGTGACATGTCCCTCATCATCTCTTAAATCATACCCATTCCCTCACACGCCATCCTTCCCCGTCCGCCCCGGCCCGGCCCCCTTCGTCTTTACCAATAACATTCCAAGCTGCTATCTCTGCAATCTCCTTCAAACGGCCCCGAGAGAGAAACTGAGAAGCCGAAGAGCCCCCCCCCCACCCACCCACCCACCCTTAAACAGCCGCAGCAGTTACTTCTTCACCAACGAAGACACAGAGAGAAGAGAGGAGAGAGCCGGCCACGGGAAACCCCCTGCCCGCTCGATCCCCGAGAGTCCAGAAAGATCTCCCTCTACAGACAGAATCTACCAACGGTAGCCTCTCCGGGACCAAATCAGCCCCCCCCTCCCCTCTCCTCCTTCCCATCTTGCGTACGCCCACTTCCTTCATTGACAGCTCCTCAATAAATGGCCTCTTAACTTCGTATTATTTTTTTATTGTGCCTACAGTTACGCAGTTGAGGAGAGTTAATTCTACTTTGCGTGGGATATGTGGTAACTTCCCCCAGCTTGATGAGCTGAGCAGCCCCACCCTACCTCTTTCCTTTCCCCTTTTTCTCTCTTTCATCCCACGGACACCACATGAACAGTCCCCCGTCCCGTCTCTCGCCGTCGCCGGCTTTGACCCCCCTTCAAGAAGGCTCCCCTGCGGCTGCCTAGGGGACACCTCGGTCGTCACGGCCGCGTCTGCATAGTCGAGCTCGCTCTAACATAACTGTTGCACCCCCCCTCTCTCTCTCTCTCTCTATCATTCTCTCTCTTCCGATAACGAAAGTGTTGCAACCCCCCTACTCTCTATCTCTCTCCCCCTTGCCCGGCGTGCAGGATAGTCAGTTTTTCCGGCGTCTGAAGGACCTTCCCATGGGAGCGCGGGCAGTGGCGAAATATGGTCCGTAACTAGCATTCTCGATGTCTTCTCCAACAATGGGCCTGATCTTCTTAGTGGGCTATCGCGTTTCCTTTTGATGGGCTAGTAAGCTTGTCCTTGATCCAATCCCATACCCAATAAATACTTCTCGGCCCAGTCCACCGCTAAAGGGTACCCAATTATGGAAAAAGGACGAGAGGATTAGGAGTCTGCAATCGAAACTTGAAAACGGTATGAGTTTTCTTAACATCAAAATAATTTTTATATAATTAAAATAAGCATGATTATTTTCACCCATTAGTATATGAATAATTTCTGTATAAATTTAATTATTTTATTTTTAGTCTTTTTATTCAATATCACATCACTAAGGTTTCTTCTTATCATTAATTAATTAATTTATATATTAAAATAAACCAATTATTCACATATTCTAATGTGAATAATATTTTACGATATTTTATTAATTTATTATCTTTGGCCTTATTATTTAACAACATATCACTCATTCACGCGATATCAATAATTGGTTGATAAATGTCAACTCTCAATCAGGTTGTACACATTAGTCAATACACACTAATAGCTGTAAAATGACGGCCTTAATATTACTAAATCTAAAAATAAAAATAAACGGCTGCATTCTATAATTGGGTTTTTTCTCTTGTAGCAAAATAAAATAACGAGTCCTTTACTGCATTTTTTAATAAAATCCCCACATATTCTTCCATTTATTTACGTTACAGCACAAAAGTCAACCCTATTAGTCCTCCCGCGTCATCAATCTCCTCACAAAGTCTAATCACTCGTGCTTGCACATAAGTAATTTGGGATGGCAATAGATTTTAAGTTGACTTTTGAAATTTGTTAGTCCTTCCAGTTAGTTTTGCCTCATTTACAGTCGGTGAAATAAAAGTCAAGTCTTTAGAAGTCCTCTGTACCACTAGCCTTCAATACTTGCAGAGATTGGACCAGAATCTCTGGCAGGTTGCAGCTGGATCTTCCAGAAGAAAGCAGGCTGAGAGGCGGCTGGCGTTCGTACCACGGAGTCTGAAACAAAACAAGGGCCACTGACTCCTTGGCGGAGAAGAAGCCCAAGCCCCCGCAGCGGCCATTCACCGTCTTCATGGGCCCTCTTCAACCCGCCGTCGAGGACGGCGTCCCAGTCCATCGTCGATTCTCCTCTTCTCTCGAGTTCGACGCCATTCTTCCCCACTGCAGACGCCAGTCTCTCTGTCTCTCTCTCCTACCCTCTGTTTTTATTTCTTTCTTCCACCTCCCCCACTATCCGTGTCACTCTACCTTCTTCCTCTTCATCCTCCTCTTTGTCCTCCGGCTCCGGGCCTTTATGTCTCCGACGTTCCGTCCACCAGATCCGATGGGCCAGGGCGGCCCACGTCATCGTCGTCTTCCTCGCCCCGACGTCGCTGCCATTCATTGGTAGCCTCTCGCCCTCCCCTCCTCCCCGACCTAGGGTTTCGAAGGTTCCCACGTCTCGTTTGGCCGCGGGATCCGTCTTTTCTGGGTGATCCCGTTGGGTAGGTCGATGGTTCTGGCATCCAGTGGTTCACGGTCGCGCAAGGTTCTTCCCCTTTCCCGTTCTCTTGTCCACCCTTCCTGTGCAATTTATCGCTATATGCTCTCGAATTGTTTTTTCTCGTCCGAGAGCAGTGGTTTACCTGCCGTGTTCTGTACTCATCACTTTCTTTTCTGCTTTCATACCCCAGGTGTCGATGACCTCCCTGTTCGGAGAGTTCTTGACGACGTCACTTGGTTTCTGATCTCGCATTCATGGCAATTGCACATAATATCCACAGGGCATCGGGATTAGACAGCGAAATCACACCCAGGGGGAGAGATGGCGTTTGCAGTGACGATGTTATCGATGAATTCCAGGCTCACAGCCTCGAGTCTCAAGGTACAGACATATCCGAAGTGGACTCCGGGATGGGATCGGATGACTACGATCTGTTGGAGCTGGGTGAGGCTAGCTCTGATTATTGCCGGGTAGGCAGCCAGTGTTGCCTCATCCCGTTTGAATTGTATGATCTCCCGGACTTGAGCTCTATACTGTCCGTGGAAACATGGAACGACTGCCTCACTGAAGAAGAGCGCTTCGCCCTTACTGAATACCTCCCTGACATGGAACAGGAGATGTTTTCTCTGACAATTCGGGAGCTGCTCTCTGGTGGCAACTTCCACTTCGGTCGTCCGCTTCATGGCCTATTTGAGAAGTTGAAGGGTGGGCTCTGTGAACCCAAGGTTGATCTCTACTGCCGTTGTATGAATTTTTTACAGATGCGCAAACATTATCATCATCTCCACGAGTACCAGAAGTGTATGGTCGATAGTCTTGTTTGTATGAGGAATGCTTGGGAGAATTATTCAGGTTATGGTGTAGAGGAGAGGCTTAGACACTTGAACATGCTGAAAAGTCAAAGGGCTTTGGGTTATACTAAGAATAAAAGACCCAAGGTGGGTCAATGGGATATAAATCCCATGAAACCTTCCCTTGGCATGCAGTCGTCTACAGCGTTTGTAGCCTCAGAGCAGATAAGAAAGGGGGAAAGTTATCCAAGAGGAATCTTAAAGGTTTCTCATATGAATGCTTCTTCAAGGAGGGAGTTCACTGGACCACCGAGCAGGTTTTTTTCGTTAAGTCAGGAGCTGGAGCCGGATTGCAGGCCGTTACCTTCCCCATTGCCTCATCCCAGTCAGGATCCAGTGACAGGGTTTGAATTGAAGTCTACTGGAACTAGTAGAAGCCTGAAAAGAGATGCCGATGTTGGTGTGGAATGTGGAATGGCCATTCAACCGGGGAGGAGGGTTGCCATTAGTAGATTGAAGAAACGCAGTATGAAGGTAGAGCACTTGAAAAGGAATGTTCAACATGCCATTGCTGAGGAGGACCGAGAAGGAAATTCCTATGATCAGTGTTCTCTTGATCCCCCGATGAAGGATATGCATGCCGAGTGGAATGGCCTATTGATGCTGGAAGGGGGCCAAATAGACTGTCAAGGTGGAAGGAAACCTCGTAAAAACCGAGTCCAAGATGGAGGAGTTGGTATGAATGCTGTCTGGACAATTGGAACCAAGAAACGGAAGGCTGGGCAAGGTCAGAAAATTATGGCCGGGCCCAGTCCTGCACCGAATTATGGTCTTTATTCTCAATCTGGTCACAATGTCGGGAGAAAATTATTGAAATTGAGAGGAAAACAATCTGAAAATGGAGCGCATGAATGCATCAGAGGTAGTGGAGTACCTGCGCAGAATGAAGAAACGGAGTCAGACTCATCAGAGAAGGGTGAGAGAGATAATATTTCCTTGAACAAGCTTAAACATCTAGGTCATGCTAATGGGATGGTCGAGAAAAATAACAAAAAAATTCAAAAGGGCTATGACCAGCATCTTGATCAAGAAAATTCGCCAGGTACACCTTCCTTTCAGTCAAAGGGAAAAAAAATTAGGTCTAGGGGAACAAAGTTGAAGGGGAATACTTCCAAGAGCTTCTCTACTTCCACCAAATTACCAGGTAGTCAGAAATCTAACTATAAATGGACAAAGAAGGGAAAAATTCATGACGGTCATAGGGATGACTTGCCGCTTCCAGTATCTAAGGTGAAGCCTGCAAAACAAAAAAATAAAGCTTTGGCTGATCCAGTTGACAAATTGCCCCGCGAAGATTATCTGCAGGACTATGCAGGTGGTATGCTGGATGCGGAGAAAGATAGAGCAGAGAACACAGATAGAGCAGAGAACAAAGATCAAGTGACTGAAGTTGTTGGATCTGAGTTCTACCAGCATGCAAAGCGGAACACGGTAATTATGGGCTGTGATTCTGTTAAAAAGGGACTGAAAGGAAAGAAGGCTGCTAAGCATACCGATGTTCTTGAGGACTGTGATTATACACAATCTCGTACAAAGAGGAAGATCAGGCATCCCAATGTGACAAGGAAGGCAAACAAAGAGGTGTCTCAGTCCGGTTCTTTATCATCAGTCACTCCTGATCCGAACATGTGGGAAAGAGAGTCAACAGATGTTGAGGCAGAACTATCGGCCACCCCTACAGCGCACACTGGCCTTTCGTTCTCTATTACTCACCTTCTTTCATCAATACGAAAATCCATGATTACTTTTAATTCAGAGGAGGCCACTCATATTGTCAATGGAGCTAAGAACAATGATGAAAAACATGGGCCTGCAGTGGCAGACAGTGGAGCCCGTGCTTTCCATTCTTTTGACTACTTGGAGGGATGCTCTTCGGATGGCCGAAACAAATTGTCCTCTCTTACTGTTCGAGAGATTGTCAACTATGTTAGAGCAAACCCGGGTGATCCCTGCATTCTCGAGATGCAAGAACCTCTGGAGGATCTTGTCAGAGGTGTCCTAAAAATTCTTGCTTCCAAAACAGCACCTTTGGGAGCAAAAGGGTGGGAAGCACTCGTGGTTTATGAAAAGTCTACTAAAAGCTGGTCTTGGATTGGCTCCAATTTCGTCTTGCGCATTGATCTGGGTGCAGCTGAAGAGGAAACTTCTTCTGAGGCCTGGGGAATCCCTCAAAAGACGCTAGTGAAGTTAGTTGATGCATTTGCTAATTGGCTGAAAAGTAAACAGGAGGTTCTTAAGAAAATTGCAAATCTTCCACCACCACCAATTATGATGCTGCCCTACTTGGATGAGAAGGAAAGGTTCAGGGACCTAAGAGCTCAGAAGAGTCTGGTTACCATCAACCCAAGCTCTGATGAAGTGCGGGCATTTTTTCAAGCAGAGGAAATTTTGAGATACTCGATTCCAGACAAGGCATTTTCATACACTGCAATTGATGGCCGAAAATCCATCGTTGCTCCCCTTCGAAGGGGCAGTGGGAAGCCAATATCCAAAGCTCGAGGCCATTTTATGCTTAAGCCTGATCGCCCACCACATATTACCGTCTTATGCCTGGTTAGAGATGCTGCTGCCAGGTTGCCTGGAAGCATCGGCACCAGATTAGATATCTGTACCTTGATAAGGGACTCACAGTATCTTGTGGAACATGTTTCTGATGCACAAGTCAACTCTGTTGTCAGCGGAGCTCTTGATCGGTTGCATTATGAACAGGATCCTTGTGTTCAGTTTGATGGAGACAGAAAATTATGGGTCTATTTGCACGGGGATAGAGAAGAGGAAGACTTTGAGGATTTGGGTACCTCATCAATGAAGAAAGCTAAATGGACTAGAAAAGATAGTAGAGAGCATGCTGGAACGAGAATGACAACTGATGGAAGTTTCTCTGACATTGGTGATTTAGATGCAGTTGACTCTTGATCAGAATATGACTTTAAATATGATCCTAATGTTGACCCATCACCTACCCATATTAGAGACAAATCAGTACTTATCCATGAGGATTTTGCAACCCTGGAGAATGTTGAACCACTAATTGGTTCATCAGGGTAAGTTGTGGGTGAAAATAAGACATTCTGAAGAAAATGAGGACCTTGGCGATGGAGCATTCACCAAAGAACGATTCTTTACAAGCTTTAATTTGACGAACAAGTGAGCTGGTACACTGAACCGGATTTGCTGTGCGACCATTCTCTAGAAAGCTATCACATATCTCTGTTAGAGGTTATTTTTGTTTGTTAATTAGTGTATATTAAAGTCCATGTCATGGTTGTGAATATTGCAGGTGATTGTCAGGACATCGTATATACTTCTGTGATAATGTGGACTGAATTGATGATAGATTGCCTGGTAGAAGATTTAAACCAGAATCTAGGTTAGAGTGATAATCACAGATATTGTAAGGAACGTCTTAGTGAAACTGTTGATCGGGTCTTTTTGTTTCAGTATCTTTTTTGTTGGGCTGTCGAGCATCCACCATCACCTCACGTTATCAGTCCTGGGAAAGTTCTTTCAGCTAGTCCGTCATTAAGTCTGATCTGCTCGATTGTTCTACCCTAAATCCTGAACCCGTGTTAATCTTAGCTGGTACCAGTTTGAGTCTCTGAGGGGAAACTCAATCGTCTTGGAAACATGGCACGCACACAGAGGGAGAAACCCTAAATTACAGTGGAAAGAGATCCATAGAATGCTTAGGAAAGGCAGCACCCATGGCTCTGTGGGCGCAGCCGCGGAGGAGAACACAAAGAGGGCATCACACGCCATCATCTCACCCAGTCAGTTCTCGCCGCAGACTGGCTGGCTGTCAGCGGGCAGTCTCAGCCCAACTGAGAAACTTGCAACAAATGGATAGACATTCGCTCACAAACCCCTAGAAGCATGCAGATATCTGTACACACGCCAAGCACCAAACCCTAATTGAGGGCGGTGAGAGGAAGCCTGGAGTCTCTCATGGCCGCCTGTCCTTGGCTGTTGTCGTATACACCGGGCCCGAGATGTTTCACATCTCCATTGGCCAGCCTAACGGCAGACTTTCCTTCCCAGAACTCTCTCAACAGTTCCTCAAATGGCAGAGTCCTCAGTTCTTCGATTGATGCCACGCTCGGCGGCGTTATGTCCCGCCTCCTTGGAGTGGCACACGACGGTTCATCAACCTTGGCACAGAGGACGAGCAGATGAATGAGGAGGACCGCCACCGTAGAGCAAAAAGCTCAGTAGGGTTTGTGTTTCGCGAGGGATTACCGCATACTCTTCTTCGAGGCATTTGCCGGCCTCTGCTGTGATTTCCATCACCCTGTGACGATGCCCGCTTCTCAGTTCTCTGAGTTCATTGCGACAGGGATCGATCAGATTGCTGAGGTTCCCCCATGCATCATGATCCAGCTTGAGGTTGCCTGCAGATGGGAGCTTATCATGAGCGAGGACCGATCCACAGCCCAAGGTTTTCACTTTATTTTAGGGTAAACTCGATGGAAGGTGTCTATCTTACTGTCTATGGAGGAGAGGAGATCCTTGGAGCCGGCATCGGCATCCTCGATCGCAGATGAGGCGGAGGAGGAGAGTCTCGCTCGAAGCTGATGGTTGACTTCCAATCCCTTCCTGCATGGTATATAAAAACGGAAGACACATTAAGAAATATCTAGGGTTTATATGACTAAAGGCAACCCAAGAGATTGTACCTGACGATGGAGTCTACCGACTCTGCAATTCCCTTGCCAAGGCTGAGAGTTGAGTCCTGGGCATTTCTCCATTGCTCTGAGCCCATTACTGCTCTTGTCATACTGCGGGTCTCACATGGGATAATAACAGAATTAATGTGCAGCTTCAGATTATGCTAAGACTGGATAATAACAGACAAGTGAAAAAAATCGGTCAAATTTCCTGTTTATTTACCAGACTTTGAGGCCCTCCTCTAAGCTGGACTTTTCACGGTCAACTGAAGCAGTGTCCTCGTGGTAATTTTTTTCGGTTTCTTCCACGTAGTCGCCCCATTGCCCCTTAACACGGGAGGTGAAATCACGAGCAATTGCCATCTCTTCCTGTAGTTTACTGCTTCTGCCGACAGCACTCTCCCGGAGGCTGTCAACAGCTGTTTGCACCTAAAGATGGCAAAGAAGAGTCATAATTTCTGAAAGGGCGAAATGTAAATGACTCATGTGTATGCATGTTGCACAATCTGCACAGTTCAATATGTTTTACCCATAGTTTATTTTCTGAATGGAAAAAAAAAAATCACGAAATATTGGGCGCAGATGAACTAGAAGCCCGTGGAAGTTGGGCACTTGACAAAACATCAGACGACAGAAATGAAGAAATGAGCAAAGTCGAACTAATTGACCATACTTGGCCGTAGAAAAACATGAGAATGATCAGAGTATTAGTTCACAGGATGAGTGCATTGGTTTGAAAAAAAAACAGATGAAACCATCATTTTAATAACCTATTAAACGGATCTGTAGAGTTTTACTGCACACGCATTTCGTATCAGAACACAAAATCACCATTCTAAAAAAGCACTGTTTTATTTTTTGCGCAGTAGTAGATCTCAGAAATGGATGGGGACGAGGAAAGGGCAGAGATGAGGAACCTGACAACAACGGAGAAGCCACTTCATATATTTCTCAGAAGGGAGTTGCAATCAGAAACATATAGTGGGCCAAAACGTTCATGTAAATGGAAGATATTCCAGACAATATTTACCAGTTTTTTCTTTCTGGCACTTGAGCTTGCTAGCATATCTGCCATTTTTTCAATCAGTTGTTTTTCCTCATTAGCAGCACATTCCTGCACACACAAACTGTTCAAGAGAGAGGAAATATATCATATAAAACAGTGGAGTTTAGATTTTTAAAAGAGATACCTCAAACTTCCTTTCAAGTTCTGACAGTTTTTGATCCTGAGAGGCTTGGGTCTCTTCCATAATTTTAATCAAAATTGATGCATGGACATCCAATGATTGGAAGAAATCTGTGGTGATGTTCGAAATTGATCGTGTGCTGTCCAGAGTCCTGAGATAACCCTGTAATTCACGCCACGGAAACAAGCACTTAGTTATACAGGCAAAGGGAAGCTAGTTTGCGAGCAAGATTAGAATCATGAACTAAAACTATTGTCCCACCGCATGAAGCTGCAGTGCGAATGCAGAGAGCTTGTCCTCCTGACTGTGAAGGCCAATTTGAAGCTCATTAAGCAACTGGTCTGCCTCCAAAGCAATCCTTTTGAACCACTGCAGAACAGCAAAGAGTCACAAATACAAAACTAACACGAAGAGGTATCTAATATATTTTCTGAATACACTTACATCCTCAAGGGCAGAAAAGTGACCAGATACATGCGAATTAACTTCAGCAAAAGTTTCTTCGGAGTTCCCATCCAGTTCATCGACTAAATCACCTAGTAAGCTGATCCCAGAGCCATACATGGCTCTTAGCCTCCCTACACGTCCTCGAACTTCTTCAGCAGCCTATAGTAGATGGCAGCAAAAGTCTAAATAAATGCAAGCTTGTTCATTTTCCAAAGATATGTGCAACAAGATACCTCAGCTTTCGAGGAAAGAAAGGACAGCATATCTTCCTCCATTTCTCTCAGCTGGCTCTCCTGCTGCGTTGCTGAAGCTGAAACCGTCTTATGCAAGGACTCCAACTGCTGATTTAACTGAGACTGGAAGTTCTGAACAAGGGTCTTATTTCCCTCCTCTATCTTATCTTTGCGTTCTGCAGACAGACAGTCATCAGGGATCATAGACAAATACACGTATAATCTGCAATAAGTCAACAGAAAGGGAACCCACCAATCTTAGCGAACAAACCAGATACATCTGATGCTGCACTGTCTAGATCTGATCTTAGCTCAAAGGCACAGTCGAGAAGCGCTTTTTCTGGAGGTGGATAAAAAAAGATCATATCAGGGGCTCAGTGGACAACCACATTCATGGTTGACTTCGTTCACTTTCTAATTTCAGATGAATGAACATAAATGCTTTCCATTGAAGTGGAGAATACATAAAAAATTGAAAAGTATAAAAATTAGCAAGCCACATTGAGAGTTCAGTTTGGTCCAAAATATTGAAGCTTAGCTGGGTTTGAAACTAAAATATATATGCGTTTTGCAGAGGAAGAATGACAAAGAGGGGGCAGGGACGGAGGAAAGGTCATAGAGAAATACACGAAAAAGATAAGATTAAAGACTCTGAGTATCAAGGGGCATGGAAGGTTATGTTGGGCCATCCTCTTGAATTGGTTTCAGCAATTTGCAAAGGATTCAATTGGGAGTTGGTCACATGGTTAATTCTTTCCCTCAGCTAGGTGATGTCCATTATCGTGGAAAATTTCCATCTGACTGGGGCCACTCAAAATCGGAGAAGCCACCGTGGATATAATCTAAATTGAAGTCAGGTGATCTATTCTTTCATGAAAATAACTCATGTAAACCTCTAGCTATATCGAAACTGGTTGCTACGCCAGAGAAAATATTGTCAATTAGCTTTGTCCAAAAATGAATATGATGCCAAATACTGACCTGATCTGAGGAGATTGGACACCAAATGTTCTTTTTCTTTAATTGTGAGATTTGCTTGCCTATATTTGTCCTCAAGGTCAAGTAAAGCGTGCTCTGTACCTTCAAGTTTTTTCTGCAATGAATAACCGGACAATAAGGTATTTCATACAATTCACATTATTGAGGATTATACTGGTTCTCAACAAAAAGCAACACTTACCTGGGTCTTTTCGAGCTTATTGCTTAGTTCCGAAGTCAACAGCTGTTGAGCATTATAAAGCTCTTGAAGCCCGATTAATTGCTGTTCGAAGCATACATCATAACGAAACATATTCATTGACTGAATCTGTAAGCAAAAATTTCGAAGCCCAACGCATACCTTATCTTTTGAATCCAAGTCAAGTTCCAAAAGCTCAATCCTCTCTGTCATAGCCTGAAGAAATAAATAATACAGAAAAAAGTACCCAGTTATCTCTTTTTCTGTTACTCTGCAAAGTGCTCTGTTTCACAGCCCATCAATGAAAAAAAAGCACACAAAACTAATGTCCAGTTGCTTGAACAGATAAAAAAGAGATAAAACAGTGATGTTTGTTCATCAAACTAAGATTGAAAATGCATCCACAATTAAGCAACCTTTTTTTCAGCTTCTTCTTGTAGGAACCGATCCCTGGGTATATAGATACCGTTCTTCTCTCTAGCAGCATATACTTCTGATCAAAGGAAAAAAAAATATTTAGCATACAAATGCCTAAATAAAAAAAAGCATAACAGGGAGCCATATTTATGAAATAAGTGCGGTAGCCTCACAACTGTGATAGACTCTTTACAGCATTTCCAAGAAATATAGTAAACAATTCAAATAATTATTTCAGTTACTTGCTTCATACCAATGATCAACACGCAAAACTAAAAAATATTGCGTAAAATATACTACAAAGACAACTCTATGACATGACAGAAGAAAAATTTAAAATTCATGATGCAATTCCTGATTCAGAATGTTTTGACATCAAGGCGAGAAAAATGAATGGAAGATGACAGCTTCGAACTTTCTTCAGTATCCTTTTTCTATTATTTTTTGGTAGAGAAATGACCTTGTTTGAGACGGTCAATCTCGGAACAGAGATCTTTAATCATTGCTGATTTCAGCATCTTCTGATTAACCTGAAAATATAGAAAGTAATATTCAGTAGTATCTGTGGTATGTAATGATAGTTTATTCGCACACACAATAATTAAATAGATCAACTCTTGGACAAATAAAAACAAATACTAACCTCGGGCTTGTTCTTGATATTTTTCGCCCGGTGTGCATAATCCAGAGTGCTTAAAGTCTCTTCCAAACAGTGGATAGAAGGTGAAACAGTGGCAATTATACATGTCTTTGTCTTCCCTCCCAATGAATCCCTCAATAATCTGGTCAGTTTACTATCCCTGCGACAACAAGCTAACATGTAAGTTCTTGTAGAAACAAAATATGTAACTTTAACAGAAAAAGAAAACCAGTGGTCAAAGTGAACTGTCAAGAACCTGTAGGGAACGTGACCAGAGTGCTCAACAAGTGCATTAATGACACGTCCGAGTGTAAGCAAGCTTTTATTGATCTCTCCAGCTTCCCGTGCTCTGCCCTGCAATAATAACTGTCAGTCTCCTCCCTAAAACTGCTATCATTCCGGTCAGCATTTTCCATCAAATTGTTTCGACATATGTATCCTTGGCCATAACATAGACTGATATGCTGATATACATAATTTTATTTTGATCTTGTTCTTTAGCATCGCACAATGAGAATTAATACATGAGTGACCACAAGTAAAAACTCAGACATGGATAAACCATAAACATGTTCTGTATCATTTTATGTAATGCACCATGGATAAACCATAAAAATACCTCTCTAGCTCCTGAGCGTGAAATATTCTCGGAACCAGCAAGATCAACAAGATTAAGCTTTCCACATTTGATCATCTCTTCTCCTTCGTGAGTATATTCCTTGATGTGAATTGTAATAGAAAAAATGGAATGTGATCGACTGCTCTGTTTATTAAGCAAAGTCTCAGCGGTACGTCTTTTGGACGACCCTTTATCCAATATTTTGTATATCTCATTAGCTGAGGAGACAATCTCTTCTTCCAGACCCCTCACAAAAACACCTCCCTTTCCGTCCTCCATGAGAGCTATTGGTTTCTTTGTCTTATCATCCGTGAACTTTGCTTCATCTGGTGCCAAAAGATCTGTTATTTCCTCATTGTAGAGCTCTAGAAATGTGACCTTCATGCTGTACTCAGCATTTTGAGCCTCAAGTATGTCAAAAATTTGCCGGACAGCTCTTGGAATTACACCAGCATCATTTGGGAACTCTCCATTCTACAGAAATACCAAAAAGTGCTACAATAAGTTGCAGAAACAGAAATTTTAAAAATACGTAGTACAAGGAATGAAGAGAGCAAAATACTTTTGCTTTTCTTCCTCCTCCTTCCATTGTGTAGGTTTTGCCGGTGCCTGTCTGTCCATAGGCAAAAATGGTGCAGTTATAGCCCTCAAGTACCTCGTTCACGATTGGAGAAATAGCTAAATTAAACAAATCCTTCTGCTGAGAACTTGGCCCGAACACCTGCAAGGATCCAAGGATTTTTCACACCAACAGGGCTTAGATATCCTCAAGATGATATGAAAGAAACGGCATGTACTAAGAGGAGAGAAATTCAGACCCTGTCAAAGTTAAATGTTCTGTCTATAATTTTATTAGCAATGCTCTGAACAGCAGAAACTTCTCTCCTGTGCTCATTGCAAGAAATGACAACTGGAGTGTTCAACCTCGCTTCATCCTCGCTCAAAGGTCTGGAATAGTTGAGAATATACAGAAAATACAAAAAAATAAACTGATACATAAGTAAATTATGTTAACGTATTGGAAATTGCCTGTGTCTTTGGAAACTCACCTGCATCGGAGGATGACCTGAACATTGACCCCCTTATCTTTATCATGCCTATTACTAGAGAGCCCATTTCCGTCGTTAGACCGGGGGTCTCTGCTAGATTTGTCACTAGACCTCGGTGTCTGTGAGGGAGAGACTGAAACCAGATTCCCTTTCCTCTGTGCACTATCCATTTCAAAGGGACTCGAGTGAAGCACGCAAAGAGGCCTAGTTTTCTGCGATTCCAAGATTCAAGCACTTGAACTCTGAGCATAAGGAAAAGTAATTGTTACAGAAACACATTAACCAATCATTTTAATCAAGATACGGAGTGAAATGCAAGCGAAATGACGAGATTCAAGCAAACAATGCAAACGGATATGCTCGAAATAAGAGAAATGAATATTAATACCAGGTAAATCCCCGAAATTCTTGGTTTCCGAGAGACGTTCGTACCAGGATCCAACGAGTGGAGGCTTATGGACGTGACATTTCACGAAAGCGTGATCGTAAAGTTTCGGCAATAGACCAAATCTGGTCGAAAATTCGAAGACAAGGTCACGCGAAGCAAGATGCGCCGTGGCTTTCGTCGTGCCGAATGAAAAAAAAGCGATTGAATATCTAACAAAGAAAATGCGTGATAAGTAATCAAACCCGAAGCCTCACATCAAAATCGTCGAAAAAAAAGCCAAACAATGATGGAACAAGAAATGCAAACAATTAAGGAGGACGTCAAGTATTCCAGAGGAGCAGAGAAACGACAATGGGAGACCGAGTGATGCACGGCGCTTACGGGGGATCCAAACGCCCGGCAGTGGGAGACGAGCCAATGCAGGAACGATCTAGATGTTTTGAGACCCGCCGGCAACGTCTACTTCCTCCCTACTCTCCTGACATTCCAGGATTAATCGCATAGAATAATGCCAAAAATAATGTGGGAGCGAGCGGGCTAGCCAGAGGGGAAGAAAGGAAGGAGCTGAAGAGTGAGCAGCGCCTGCAGCAGGACGACGATGAAGAGGCGTACGAAAAGTGGGGGTGAGGTGGGGGGAGTTGGGACTGTTACTGGAAAGAAATTAAATAATATATTTTATTAGCGCTGCCGTTAGGATGAAGTCTGAACCTTTTTAATTTCCTTCTTTCTAAAAATAAAACGTCGTGACGGCGTCAGCCTACCGTTCGTGACCCCCAAGCGTAGACGGACGTTTCCGTTTCAAAAGGCCATGAAAAACGGCTCCCCATCTCCCTCATTCTCAACAGTAGGGCTTCTTCATAGTATACGATACCTTGAAAAATAAATAATTGTATTTTTAACCTCTCTCTCTCTTTTGCGTACGAGGTAGAGAATTCATTATCAAAATGTCAGCAATAACGGACCATTTTTCTCCGTTAAGACTGACAGAGCACGTGAGGATGAAGGAAAAGTAAACGAGGCCTTCGGACTTGGCTGCACGTGACTCTCCGCTACCACCTTCCTTTTGCTTTCCTCGCCGCTCTCTTCCCTCTCTCCTCGACCACCGCCGCCGCTTCCACACGCCCAACGTCGACGCCGTCCCACCCTCCGATGGAGATCGCACGGCCAGCAGCTGCCCGTCCGCCGTCGCGCCTCACTTTTCTCAACCGTCACGCTTCCCCCCCGCCGCCGCCCGCCGGGTCGCCACCTCTGCCAAAGGCGGCGCCACCTCTCCGACTCCGTTCAACCTCCAGCTGGCCCGAGCACGTGGCCGCTCTCCAAAGATGCGGCGGTGAGTCACGGACGATACAGGAGTGGCGTGCATGGTAAATTTCGCTCCCATGTTGACCGAGATGCTGGTGGCCGTCCAGCTGCCGGGCCAGCTGAATTTACCGGCGACTGTGGGTCCAGAAGAGAATCACGTCAGAGGGCCCGTGGCCCGGGGACCATCGAGCTGGACCAGCTGGGAACTCTGGTCCGGCGCTCCACGTGGACCATTAAAGCTCACTACGGCGTAATATTTACCATGCAAGCTAGGCTAATTAGCGGTTTTCCTTGGTATTGATCTTGCCTTATTTAAGGGGGCATTGAATCGTTGCCATCTACTGAGATAAATCATTGGTGCGAAAGGCTGGCCTGGCAGTCAAAGTGTGATGAACTCCCTTGGGGCTGGGCTAGGCTGGATGTCGCTGTCTGAAGAGACGTGCCTTGGGATTGCGGCTGGCGGCACGTTCAGCTCAGGCCTAATGGGCCGGCGTCGTGACCCCAACGGGTCCATTATAAATGGCCCGTGGCGGAAACTGTCGGAAGAGTTGCTGAGGTGGTCGTGGGCCTGAACGCACCACTTCCGACAAAACCCCTCTAGGTGAGGCCGCCGTCATCTCAAAGGGAATCTTTCTCTCTCTCGGTCTCATCCGAAATCTCATTGGGTAGCAAAAAGTAAACGGTCAGAAACCGACAAGAGCAACCAGAAATGATGCAATTGTTTTCAACGTCAAATGCATTTAATTATGATTTTTAGGAGATTCTGTCGTCATTTTCTACCACATAATTCCAAATATAATATCCGAAATTTCACCGGCAATTGTATGACCATGATTTATTGAAAATAAAAACAACGTCCTTTCAGCCCGGGGGAACGAGTTGTGGTACCAGATACCGCCACGTTGACTGCCACGTAAGACGATAGTAGATATTCCTCCTAAGGGTACGTACGCAAATATGTCGAATAGCAGGGTGGTTCTGAGTCGAATCTGGATCGACGTACATAAATAATGAGGTAACTCAGTCGACTTCGGGACGAGACTGACGTGGACGAAAGTGAGGGAGGGGCGGAATCGGGTCCTCCGACCCGTTGCTCTTCGGGTCGCAATCGGGCGTTCCGCCGATTCCTCGCGCTGTCCGTTTGAGGTCCCCGTGATCTCGGTCCCCTTCTTCCGTTCAACCTCCGCAGAAAATTCCAGGCTAAGACGTCGTAATCTTATCTGAAACGAGGGTTGGAAGGGAAATTCCGGCGGGAAGGAGGAGGAGGCGGCCTTATCGTCGGCGTTGGAGTCACTCACTGTGCAGCAGCTGCAGCGTCAGCACGTGGGGCAAGGCGGCATGCGGAGGAGGAGAGGAGGTCTTCACTCAGAAGCAGGACACTGCGAGTCTGCGGCAGAGTTGCGGATGGGCGAGAACCCCAGGCTTTTGGAGGATCCTTCCTTTTCTGCTCTGTTGCTTCCATCGTCTTCCTAGGTCTGACATTTTCGCAGTACAAATTCTCGCGGGAGGCGGAGAGTTTTGATCGGTCCGCTTTCTCCGAGTATCATCACTCGCGGCGGAGTCTGCGGAGTGGATAGAAGAACAGGAGTCCATCGCCGTCGAAGGTACCGTTTCCCACAGAAAAATTGTCTGGCTAGATATTTTGATCTCTCGAGTTCGTGTTTATATCGATGGGAATGGCTCCCGCTGTTTTCCCCCGATGATTCGCGGTGATCGCGCCGTATTCTCCCGCTGGCCGATTGTTGTCGTTTTGGGGCGTTCTTTCTCCTCCGGAACCTTGGCTCTGCACGCGATGGAACTAGGTTTTTCTCCTTGGACTTCATCTCTCATCCCCCGTAGGGCTCTCAGATTGGCCACGGCAGTGGTATCCGCACATCTACTTCGAAAAATCCTTCGCTTCTCTTCTCGGAACAAGCCGGCCGTTCTCGAGCCGTTCCTTTTCTTCCTCCACGAACATCGAAAATTCCTGCGATCTCCTCCGACACGAAATCCTGAACTCCCATCATCAAGCATCCTCCGCCTGCTCCAGTCTGCGCAGGCAGGCCTACCGTCACGTCGCTCTCCGAGCAAGCGAAGAGACCAGCCGGTGGGGTGGGGGGCATTTCGGTCTCTCCCACACACCCCCTCGACGATAACAGAGGGAGCATTAAAGCAGGGGCACATGTGCTGAGATTTATTGGTTAAGTGACGAGAATGACCCCATCCGTATATGTAATACACGAAGTCCTGTAAATGCACTCTGGTTTCTTCTTGCTGTCCAGATCTTGGGATTATCCAAGAGATTGCATGAGGAATAGTTTATTCACGGACTTTCTGCTCCGGGTTTCTTTCCAACCAGTTTCCTTTTCGGGCAGCACCCAAAGTTCGTTCTTTCCCACGAACAAAGATGGCCACTGTGCTCGCGATTGCCGAAATAATTGCATGGATCGAACTGTACTGTGTGACTGACGTCGCCGATTGTTGTCGCCGTCGATGGCAGTGAAATCGAGGATCGCCGCTCAGAGGAGGGTATGGAGGACCGTCCGAAGAGACTCATACCCAGCCTCCCGCGCGACGCACGGGGTTCTCTGGAGATCTTCAACCCTTCCGGGCTCTCCTCCACCGCGCCTCAGCAGGCCCCCACGTTCATATCGCCGTACACCGGCTGGTACCCCAAGCAGGAGCCACTCGATGTCCCTGAGCGGCCCCCGTCGGAGGACTCCGTCCTGCCATGGATGGCCATCTCCGAGGAGCCACCTATCAAGGCCACCATCTCCCTCTCCAAAGGGATTGGTGACGCGGCTGCCTCTGCTCCCATCTCCTCCGCGTCCGCCGGCGGCGGAGGGGACGTCTCTGCTGCGGCCCAGCGCGCCGCTGAGTGGGGGCTAGTGCTGAAGACGGACGAGGAGACCGGGAAGCCACAGGGCGTAGCGGCTCGCAGGTCCGATGACGACAAAGGCAAGGGAGGACAGAGGATCTCCGGGGCCTCTTACAGGAGCTCGGAAGACTCTGCTTCTGGTGTCGGAAAGGAAATGGGGGGTATCCCCAGGATTTCCGAGGATCTTCGAGACGCACTTTCCGCCTTCCAGCAGACTTTCGTGGTCTCAGACGCCACCAAGCCGGACTGGCCGATCATGTACGCTAGCGCCGGCTTCTACAAGATGACGGGCTACCTGGCCAAGGAGGTCATCGGCAGGAACAGGTACGTCCATTCCATCCTGGTACCCTTACGAGATAGTTCATGTCTTTGCCCCGATTCTGAGCCATGTAGTCAGCAGCATAATTCAGAATTCTATAGAACGTGCCGAGTAATAGCATCTCGTTCAGTTGTTCATCCAGAGGGATTATCTGAACCACTGGATCGAACACGTCGTTGACCCTCTGGAGACGCGAACTGGATTACTCCGGTCACTAATCTCGACTGCTTTACTAATATCTTGACATCCGTCTGTTCTTCTCCATATAACTCGCTGGGCTTTAAATGATTTAATGGGCAGCCGATTCCTTCAAGGATCTGGAACTGATCCACAAGAAATAGCAAAGATAAGGGAAGCACTTGCGGCGGGAACGAGTTATTGTGGTCGTCTGCTGAATTACAAGAAAGACGGGACACCATTTTGGAACCTCCTAACGCTTGCACCCATCAAGGATGAGTCGGGGAAGGTCCTCAAGTACATCGGGTAAATAGTTCAAAAGTTCACTTGCAGAATCTCTCGTTGATTTAATTCCTGACTTGTGACTGACATCTATCACCCTATGTAATATGGGGTTGCACCGGTAATTCGATGTTGCATGGCTGGTTTCCATTGTTGGGTTGTAGACCATGGTCATGGATTTCTGTAGAAATGTACGACTTTGCTGCTTGTCTTGACTTTCTGTTTTCCCGTAATACTTTGTAGAATGCAGGTAGAAGTTAGCAAGCATACTGAAGGGGCCAAGGATACAATGCTTCGTCCTAATGGTCTACCCGAGTCCTTAATTCGTTATGACGGTAAGCTGCAGCTTCTGCGTTCTCTCTTTCGTTACCAGATAGACGAATGATTACACCTTGATGATGACCATTTGGGCTCTACACTCATTTCCCTTGCATAAGGGGTTGTTTGTCAGTCAAAAATTTATTCGATAACTATTGTTTTTCTGAAAAATCTTCGGCTTCTATTCTTTTCTTTCCAGCTAGGCAGATGGATAGAGCTTCTAGTTCGGTCTCCGAGCTGGTGATGGCTGTTAAACAGCCACATAGACTATCAGAATCGGCAAAGCGTCCATTTAAGAGGAGTTCTGATGGTACAAGGGAGCTGCTGGGAGTTGAGGCCCTTAGAGGAAGAAAGTCGGAAAATGTTGCTTCGCCTAGGCGCAGTTCGTTTGATGCAACGAGGAGTTCAATGGGGAAGATTAGTGAGCTTCCAGAACGGGAAAACAAAGTGAAAAAATTTAGTCTACGTGCTTTCAAGAGGTACATTACTTATTCACATTTGTATCACATGGTTCCGGTAGAATTTATTCATTTTAACTTCATGAAGTTCTGATTCTCATCCTTAGTCATATTTTAATAATTTCTGCTATTTTTTTTCCTTCTCATCATGTACTCTCTCTCTCTCTCTCTCTCTCTCTCTCTCGCTAATGGTAAACATTTGTCAAACCTCGGAAGTGGAGCAGTCATGGACTCCGGGAAGGTTGAGGGGAGACTCGACTTATTCATTTGTCTATTCTTTATTTTTAAATAGGATGATGCATATTTTACGATGCCAATCTCCCATCCTGGATTTTGTTGAGGGTCACATTACCAGAATACAAATTTGATTTTGGATCTATTACAAGTGATAATTCTATTGTTGCTATTTATCATATTCTATATATTTGGCTAGGATAGTGAGTTATTGTTTAGCATTCTAATTCTCCATTTGCCTCTAAAATTATTGATTTCGAGTCTTTGTAAACGCCAATATTGTTATGATTCTTGATTTTGCTTCAAAGATGTCGTGCACTTTTTTAACATGGTTGTTGTGATTAGTCTTTTGGGATTTGGCCGTTCAAATAATCAGAATCAACATTTGGATGTTACCATGGAGGAAGTCCCCTTCGCTGAGGGTGAGGATGAACGGCCTGAGAGTTTCGGTGGCGAAGAAAGGAAGAAAGAAATGAGAAAAGGCATCGATCTTGCCACAACTCTTGAACGCATTGAGAAGAATTTTGTTATTACAGACCCGAGATTACCTGATAATCCAATTGTAAGATATATTTCTCTCTCTTCCTAGACCAACATAATTCTTTCTCCTCCTTTTTTCTCCGCTTTAACCTGAGGTTGATCATAGATACTTAACGTTGTTTATTAGTTTGTACAAAACAGTCATTAAACTTTTCTTCTTCAGATTTTTGCGTCAGACAGCTTCCTAGAGTTGACTGAGTATTCACGAGAAGAGATATTGGGGAGAAACTGCAGGTACATAACATTGCTATCCTTTTGTCTCCAAAAAGTGGAATTTAACTTTTTTTGCGTCCTCTCTGATGAGTTCATACCATCTTTTTATTTTTTTGTTACTTTTGTGGTAATTAGGATTTACTCTAGACCGTTTCAAAAACGTTATATACCATGTCAATTTTAAATACAAAATGGATAATCTTTCAGATGTTGCACTTTCCCCGAATTTCACTTCTCCTATTATATTTTACAGGTTTCTTCAGGGTCCAGAAACAGATCGAGCGACTGTGAGGAAGATCAGAGAAGCCATTGATACTCAAACAGATGTCACAGTCCAACTGATAAACTACACGAAAAGTGGTATGGTACTTTTACGTTGTCTAGATATTGATATCTAAAATTGTAGGTCTTGTACTCATATGAGTCCCTGTTTTTTTTTTTACTCAATTGCATTCGAAAAAAGGCCTTCCCCTTCCTAGATTTATCCAGACAAACATTGTTCATACTAGTTTTATGATCCGAAGTCCTTAACGGTAATTATTGTTAGGTTAGTTACACATACCTTGGAAGAAATTAAAACACGTGATTTAAATTTTTTGGTTGATGGCCTATTAATTATGATTTGGAGTACTCAGTTCTCTCACAAATATCAGAGAAATTGATTCTCCTCCTTGGTTGTATGTGTTCCCTTTCTAATCCATGCAGAATATCCTAAATGGATCGACTTTCGAATGTTGTAAGAGTTCAAAATTGGTTTGGAAATATTATAACTTCTAGTTAAAATATATGAACCTAATTCGCTATTGAATAATTAATTTTATAACTAATTCTGTGAAATTTCTGTTTGTTTATATCTTTTGAGCATAAGATCTTCCTGTCATTGGCTGATATTAAATTTAATATTTGTATATAATTTAAAGGAAATTATTGTCAATGAAATGGTGTGAAGATTTTATAAATGGTCTCCAACTCCAAATCATTTTTCTCTTTCTCTTTACGTTGGAACATTAATACGAAGTAAGTGCTGTTTAGTAAAGTGGGTTCCTACACAATGAAACAGGAAAAAAATTCTGGAACCTTTTTCATCTGCAGCCCATGCGTGATCAGAAGGTATTGTGACTTTAAACATATTTCCAACTCCTTGTTCCTAGAATGCTCATCTCATTTCTTCTAAATTCGATTTCTTTTACGTATACAATACCTGTCAACAGGGTGAAGTGCAGTACTTTATTGGCGTTCAGCTGGACGGAAGTGAACATGTTGAGCCACAGTATAACTGTATTCCAGACGATACTGCAAAAGAGAGCGAAAAAGTGGTAACGCTTTGTATCTCGATTATCTTGCCATTGTCTATTCTAATTTACTGTGGATCTCGTTGTCCGAAGTAAAACTCCATATGGTAGTTTCCAGTTACATATTTGGCACGCTGAATTTTTCTTGTTTATTTGATTTTCGAATATAACTGTTGATTACAACTTTTAGTAGTAAAAATAAAATCCTCCTTTGTATCTTTTCATTGATTATTTCTAAAGTGACGCAACTTATTGGTTATTAAGGATCAGCATTCCCTTCCAGGGCAAGGGACTTCTAAATTTTTCGTAGCTATTAGAACACAGACCTTAGCAGATGCGTGATTGAGGAGTTTCCATTGATTTAACTAATAAAGTCACTTCAGGTGAAAGAAACAGCTGAAAATGTGGATGAAGCGGTCAGGGAACTTCCAGATGCTAATTTGGTAATTTTGTTGTGGACCACTCCCTCTTTGCTTTGTCAAAAACACAGCCGAAATGATTTTGAATCTTTATTTCTATTGTGCAGAAACCAGAAGATTTATGGGCCGACCATTCAAAGATTGTCCTTCCCAAGCCTCATAGAAGGGATAATTCATCATGGAGAGCAATCCAAAAGGTATGCAGCTGTTAATATGCTCTGTGGCTTTAAACGAATTCCTTCACAACGAACACCTGTCTGAGTTTCGAGATCACATCATCAAATATTTTAGTCATCCATCAATCATGCTGTAGGTAACCTTAATTTAAAGGTATAGAGTGTAATAGAAGCATTAACCTATATATGAAATTAAGAGAAGATAACAAATGCAGCGAGAACTTGTAAGAAAAAAAAAACTACTGCGAAAACTTGGATGAAAAATATTGATTTTTTTGCTTGAGTTTTCCAGATCGTAATTTCAATTCTTTTATGTAGAAAATATTATCGTTAGATCTTGATCTTTAAGAGAGTCATCTGCAATCAGGCGAAATACTATCGAACTAGCGATTCTTCTATTAGGATGACATTGGAACTGTAAAGTCAAAGTGGGGAAAAAAAACTTCTGTTTTACGTGCATGAGGTATCATTCTGGCATACGTGGCAGGGATCTACTGAGAGAATTTGGTCTTCAATATCCTTTCCCAATATGTGATATTCTTGACGGACGTGGAAGCTTCTTCTGGCAATCGTTATTATCTTTTAGTTCAATCGTATTTTTATTTGATCTCCTGAAATCTTTATTTTTTTTACTATTTGTACACATGCTCTGATTTCGTACCTTTAATTTGGAATATTAAGGTTAGCATGTAGGTTCTAATACAAAGATGCCTTTCAGGTCCTACAGAAAGGCGAGCAGATATCTATAAATCATTTTAGGCCAGTTAAGCCCTTGGGGTCTGGTGACACTGGCAGGTATTGTTTTGGAAATGGTCATTGTTCCTGTTATTTTTATTGTGATGCTGAGAATTTCCTGTATAAGATACACCTTTTGTTTCCCTTTTCGACAATTTCTGCTTTTCTCCCCCATGAAAAGTAACGAGCATTTTGAGAACAGATATCGGAAACTATTTCCCCTTCCCCTGTGATGTTATGCAATAATCATTTATTCCAAACTCTTACTATGAGGCACAATTCGTGTATTCTGAATTATTGGGCTTTGTATGACAGTGTCCATTTGGTAGAATTGGTGGGAACGGGAGAATATTTTGCGATGAAAGCTATGGACAAAAGCATCATTTTTAATCGCAACAAGGTACCGAGCATAATTTTTTTTAGTTGATTTGAAATGAGATGGACTGATATTTTTAGAGTCTACTGTTCTTCGTATTTCACTATATTTTCCGACCTTACTATATCTGGGTGTGTTGAAATATGGCTAAATTTAGTACTATAGTTTTAACCTAACTTATGACATTTAGTTTCGTTATAGTACATCCATTTTATTGGTTTTAATAACTTAAAGGTTTACGCAAATATGTGCAATATATTAGTTTGGGTACTCAAGAAATAATTAAACAAGATATTTATCGATGTTTGGACATCAAAGAAAACATTCGAACTCATAGGATTTACGTTTTTCATTATTTTTCTGTTTTTTTCCCGCTGAGAATTTCTTATGTTTTATTGTCGCGAATCTCTCTCTGCTTTTCTATATAGTGATACTTTTCTTCAGAGGTTTTCTATATAAAGAGGCTGTGCTGTTCCACCAGTTGTTCATAGTGTTAGTTATATATATTTACAGACGCATATTTTTCAATTCTTTGTTTTAGGTTCACAGGGCACGCGCTGAAAGAGAAATTCTTGACATGCTGGATCATCCCTTTCTTCCTACATTATATGCCTCTTTTCAGGTACGTCAGTCCATGGTTTATTTCCGTTAGAATGTTTGAAAGGTCTAAGGAGATAAAAGATTCTGATAAATTTACACAGAATATTCCAGCTCAATGTGCATGTAAGTTTTTAATTTAAATCATTTAACCATCATATAGAATTATTCTGTTGCTCCCTATCAAAATAACTATGTCAAAAAAAACGTATATTATACCTGGTTAATATTATACCCAGCTATGATTTTTATTCTTTTTTTGTGATTCGAAAGCTTCATTGGTGTTCCAAATTCAAGCATTTGAGTTTCAGTTAGCTCGTGAAGTGAATACCATGTCAACATTTGTTACTTGTTTCTTCCTTGTATATTCATCCCTTGGAGATTTCGATTCCTGCACTCACTTTTGTATCTCTTAACATACCTGAGTTCATTAAACTTATAATGTCTTTTTCTAGACAAAGACACATATATGTCTGATAACTGATTACTGTCCTGGTGGAGAGCTCTTCATCCTTCTAGAGAGGCAGCCTCTGAAGGTTCTCAGAGAAGATGCTGTAAGGTAAAGATGCTTTTATTTGTAATTCCAATATCACATCAAAGTTCATGTTACATTTGAAATTTTGCGCAAAATATGAGTTTGAAATCTCATTGCACTAGTTTTCATATGGTTCCAGTTTACATCCACGTTTGACCTTTGTGGCGTCAAAATTACAATAGCGAAATCTATGATTTACCTATCTTAGAAGTCTAATCCTTTGGGGATCTTTATTTTCATTAAGCAGTATAATATTCATAAAACACTTTTCTAATATCTTTTGATCACTAAAGTAAGTTTACTTGAAAGGAATTTGGTAGATTTCTCATTTTATCAAAGGTTGACTCACATCAAATCAAAAATTTAATTTTTGTACAACAAATCTTGAGATAAGGGTTTTGTACACAGTTTTGACCCTCTGAGAACGTAACTCTGGATTCTCCTTGTCCATCACTAAGTAAAAATTTGTCTAAACATGTTATATATTGGAAACATGAATTTCCGTCTTATGATTTTATTTAGCTTCAGTAAGAATAATAACACGTCAAAATGTAGAGCCACAGTTAGTTATCTATCCAGCATCACCCCGCATTTAATTGTTACTTTTGTGACAAAAATTCATATAGTCAAAAATTGTCATGACTATTGTCAAGTGAAGGAATATTAGGGATTTTTTTCATCATTTCGGTATTTTTTGGTAATTTCCATTTTCTATGAGGATCAAGGAACTGATTACTGTGTCCACAGTATACTTCAACATTTCTATGGTCTTTCCCTTTGGATTTCTGCTACGTGAGACTACACTGAGAAATGTATGAAAATAGTTTTGTACCGAATTCGATAATTTTATTTTTTTTGGGTAAATGTTACTGCGAGAAGTTTGATTGATGTTCATTTAAAGAGGCTTTGGTGCTAATCATTGTTATTACAGATTCTATGCTGCGGAAGTTGTTGTTACGCTAGAGTACCTTCACTGTCAAGGTTGGGAACTCCTTCATAGTCTTAGTATGTTAACTTTTCTTAAATATAACTAACGTTTGCCACTCGGCATAATAAAATATTTGCTTCCATGTGGAAAGTACATCAGATAGTAATTCAGAATCTAGCACAATCTGGCTTAGCTTGATAGAGGAGGTGGAAAAAACATGATCAGGTCTAATAGTTCTTACATAAACATTACCACCCAGTTGTGAGGAATCGTATTACAACGCACTGTAGGTATAACCTTGGATTTCAAAACTTGGGCTGCTAATAGTAAGATGAAACTCTAAATCATGAAGTACACGAAAAAGGCGAAATTTAAATATATATCTTTTTATCATATCAGAAAATCGAGGCTCGAGATTCTGCCTTTCTTTTGGAGGAAAAAATTGGTGAATGAAAACTTGTACTCTCCTGCATATATATTCCGGCACACCTTAAAACTAACAATTACCTGCATCTAATATTTTTGTGTGATTATAACCTTTTGTATGCACGCGAATGACATGATAAAAAAGTAATAAATATTTTGATAAATATAAGAGGGAAAGTAACTCAACATATTTTAATGTAGGGGTTTGTAGACTCGTCTGACTTATCATTTACATCAGGATGCGGGTCCAACCATCTTGGTATCTTAACTTCAGGAGAGATTATGATGTAAGACCTTTGAGACTTTGAGAGGGTAGGAACCTCAAAAAATGGTTACATATTTAGAATTATGTGCTGAAAGTACACACTAGGTTATTCTATTATTATGGTTAGTGACTCAATTGTCATCTTTTCTGAAACTCTAATGAACAGACGACATATTTTGTGAATTCTTAATGGGATAAATATACCATGGCATATTCTTGTCTCTCTGTAATGTACAACGAGGATAAAAAATGTGCTACCTTTTTTACATTACCATCATAATATTCCACATTCGTGTGCATTCTTCAAAAAAAATCCTCTTAATGGAATCCATTGATATCCATGGTGCAATGGAAAATGATATACATTCAAACTTGGTACTTTTTTTTATGCAGCCATGTTTCTAAGTCATGTTATTGTGATGATTCTCCAGGTATCATTTATAGAGATCTGAAACCAGAAAATATCTTGATCCAAAGCGACGGGCATATATCCCTCACAGATTTTGATCTGTCATGCTTGACATCCTGCAAACCGGAGGTAATTTAATTCAAAAGAAAATTTACTGTACCTTTGTTTCTTGTTTAGATATCTAGTTTTTAAAATAACAGTTGAAATTTTTGGTGCTAATCATAATGGATCAGTTATTCCATTAAACGATGAAGACTTCATTGATACAATGTACTACTAACACCTGATCTTGACCGAAATTTTTAGTGCATTTCTCATGCAAGTGCCATATTTTATAAATTAACATTTCGCTTCCTATGCAGCTTCTAATCCCAAATATTCCGGACAAGACGAAGCAGAAGAAAAGGAAATATATCCCACCAATATTTATAGCTGAGCCAATGCGGGCATCAAATTCTTTTGTCGGAACTGAAGAGTATATTGCACCCGTACGTTTTTCTCTTGGATCTGAGGCTGAGCTTTTTCGTTTTGATTTATGACCATTCTTTGCCATTTATTTGCACCAAGGTGATATATGGAGTTTTAAAAAATAGTACATTTGAGAAATAACAGCCTCAAAGAGTTGAAACGTGCTCCGGTTTGCCTTTTTTTATATAGTTGATTGAAGTTGTACTAAAGGAGAGTGACTAGATAAAAGTGTCGTATTCGAAGGACCATGCAAACCACTTTCAATGAAGAAGAAAACTAAAAGTATTAGTAACAACACGAAAGTGAAGTTGGGAATCTTGTTTATAATACTTGGTTACTTCATTCTTTAATTGAACTACAACATCTCATTGTTGTGCGAATGACAATTTAAGTCATCCTGTAAATTCGATTTAGGATAATATGCCTACACACTACCTATTTTTCTTGTTAATTTTAGTGACTCCGCATTAATGCTTCGTAGAAGTTAGCTATTCAACGGCTGGGCAATCATGTGCAGGAAATCATCACTGGATCAGGCCACACGAGTGCAGTTGATTGGTGGGCACTTGGTAAGTATCCATTTACTTTCACTGATGAATTTTTTAGCACTACCAATGTCATCATCCTCTACAGAGAATAAACTATTTAGCAATTCATTTCTAGAACCCGTTTTCACAAGTTTGAAACCCGGAGTGTGGAAAAGTTACACCTAACCGTAGCATTTGATTAAACAGTGATCGTCATCAAATTGCCTAAATTGTAACTATGCCTTCCTTACTATTTCGTTGTTTCGAGTCCGCACTAGAGCAAATGGAAAGATGAAAGACGCATTTTACCGTGAGGGAATGATCTGAGGGTTGATTTCTGTAATCGATGTTCCCATCCATGGGGAGAGCTAAGCTATTATGGGACCTGACTTGCTTTATCGTTGACTGTGGTTTTTACTATGACTCAACTCGATGCACAATGATCAAAGGTTCCACCACCTTCAGTGCTTATTTTTTTATTTTTGCAAGTTTTATGTGGCGATTCTTTCCTTTTAAGGCTAGATGTTTGCGGGTAAAGTGTTATGTTCGAGTCCTGATATTCGATTCTTTTGGGGAATCGGGAGCAAACTAAAATCTACCTAGCGTTCAGTAAAAGGTAAAAATAAAAAAACTGTTGACAAGCTCTGTGAATGAAGTATCATTGGATCATGTCCAGCTTAAAGGCCAAGATATTTGAATATGTGTTGAATTATAGATTTATATGCCTGTGTAGCCAATTAGTCTACAACTTTATTTGCCATAGTCTATGGACTAGATTCTTACAAAGGGCATTATGTGCATGAGTCATTATATCAAGGGATTTCCCCAATTAGCAGCCTTCTTGTATTATCTTGTTCTTTAAATTCTTAGCAACTGCTAGTATTTCTGAGGAAGTGCTATTAATAAAAATATTGCAATGTCAGGAATTCTTATTTATGAGATGCTCTACGGATTCACACCATTTAGAGGGAAAACAAGACAAAAGACATTCGCCAATATTCTTCACAGAGATCTCAAATTCCCTGCCAGCACCTCGGTGAGTTCTTGATCAATCATGCACAGAGAGTGGCTGCATTTTCCGTGAAATTCTCTCATTTGGTTACTCAAAAAACACACCACTCCTAAGATGAAAGGCAAGATGCAATCTAATGGAAACAATGACATTTCCGAGGGAGACACCGAGAGTTGAAGCTTTTAGAGACCGGGAGTATCAACTTAAACATATCTCACTCTCACGCATTGCTGTACAACGGAAAATCATCCCACGGATTAACTAGCCTGCACTATGAACCTGCCGATATATTGGGATCTTTCCATCGGAGATCATGAGTATTCATCACATATATTCACAAGCCAGCGTTTGCGTGATTCCAAGTAAAGGTGGCGAGTCAAAATTAGGATGTTAATCCAGCGTATTCATGTGCATCGAACAATCGTGCATTCTAAGTTTCTCAATCATCCCAGGCTATTAATCGTGCATTCTGTCTTCACAGGTGAGCATCTTTGCCAGACAGTTTATGAATCAGCTTCTGCACAGGGATCCAGCAAATCGGCTAGGTTCACATGAAGGAGCCAATGACATCAAGCAGCACCCGTTCTTCCATGGAGTCCATTGGGCTCTCATTCGATCCACGGTGAGATCATTGATCATCAGCTATAAATTGGACGGGTCTTGCTGATTCTACATGTTACCCCCTAAAACCGTGCGTTGACTTTATGTGCTGCCCATCCAGAGACCACCTCAGCTCGATGTGCCTCCGTTTGGGATGCCCGAAGCTGAGGAGTACAAACTGGCAGACCCTAAACTTGCTGATGTCGAGGTAGACGTCTTCTAGAGGAGTTCTGTCATAAACTGAAGACATGATCTAAGCTCTTGGAAGAAGGATTGATGGCCATCAAGCTCCAGTGATCGTAAACGTGGAGTCGGAGGATCATGCGGACAACTGAAGCCCATCAAGCAGTGGTGTGAGAGAAGATGCAGAAAGCTGCTCATCTTGCTCGGTTATTCTCCATGTAAATTGTAGCTTCTGCTAGATTTCCTGTAAAGAACTTTGTGTGGTTCAGTCTTAACATGGGTGTTCATAATTGTTTCTCCCTGAACATGCGCGCCCGCCCATTTGAGCAGCAGCCCGGGAAGCTAACATGAACTTCATCTGCCCGTGCAGCAGCTTTAGCACACTCGGAGGTTGACCTTTGGATGCCCGTACTAACTACAGGTGGGATCGGCCCCTATGTCAAAGGCTGGAAAGGAAACTTCAACGAGCAGATGCGTCTAGATTCTTGCTGCAAGTGGTGTTTATTTTCAAGCAGGACAACACTGTACAGCTCTGGAACAACAAAGGAGGAGGAGGAGGAGGGGGAGGAGGCACCTTCAGGTAGGGTACATGCAGAGGGCGACCTGAAGCTGGGAGTTGTCCTCTGCTCCGACGTACTGCCGGACAAAAGCTCGTCGCCACCAAATCTGGAAGGCCTTCTGGATGTCGGGGCAGTCGTCTCCTTTGTTGAGGAACCGATCGAACCAGTCGAGGAGGATGGCCTGCTGCTGCGGCATGGGCAAGGTGAGGATCGTCTGGCAGAGACCATCCTCCACGAGCTTCTTGTCGAAGGTCCGAGAGGCCCTCCTCATCCAGCCAAAGTCCTCGTACAGCGCCTCCAGCCATGTCCGCAGGAGGGAGGATTTCGCCTCCCTGGAGACCAGGATCTGCCCACGCCCCACCGCCACGCAGAGCTGCGCCGTCACCCTGCTGATCTCGAACCTGTACATGGAGGGGATCTTGGAGTGGAGCTTCGCCAGCTCCATCTGGTCCGCCCACAGCCACACGAACTCCTCCCCCACGTTCTTGCGGACGAGGAGGTCGACGATCCACAGCATGTTGTCCGCTTCCCGGGAGATCTCCGCCATTAGGGTTCCTCGATCCCGCCCCCCATCTTCGGCATCCGCGGCCTCAGAGAGGCACACCAGGAGGGAGTTGAGGCACTGATGGCAGAGCTGGTAGAAGGTCTCCTTGGAGACCTCAGCGGAACTGCGGCGATGGGGGTGGTGGTCGTCTTCCTGGAGCAGACCTGATATCAGGTTCTTCATCTCCCGCCTCGCCTTGTCGTCCTTGGCTTGCAGGACCCCACTCAGGAGCCGCAGGAAGACCCCCTCGGATCGACTGGGAACCCCCGGATCTACAGAAACCCTAACCAGAACCTCAGAAGCCGGCTGGGGAAGACGAAGCTGGCGGAGAGCCGCCACAACCTTCTCCTCCTCGTCCTCCGTCCAGGGCGCCGATTCCAGGTGCTCTAGGCAGGCCGCCACCCCCGCGTCGAAGAGTATCGCCGCCGACACCTGCAGGAAGAAGCTCAGACCCATGAATATATAGGCTTCTTTTTTCTTTACTCTGCTTCTCTCTCTTTCTCTTCTTACCTTGAGGAGGGCGAGGACCTTGGAGATTGTTTCGCCGGCCAGCTTCTGGCGGGGCTGGTGGCAGTACATGAGCGCCACCGCCTCGACGTAGACCACGGCGTCGTCGCAGTCGCAGATCTCCACGGCGTGCGCCGCTCCGGCGGGGGCGCCGGCCAACTTCTCCGCGAAGAAGCGGCTGTGGGCTGCGAGCACGCTCCGGTGGACGGTCAAGGAGACGCGGAAGCCGTCGCCGGAGCTGACGGTCAGCTCCACGTCGCCGGCGCCGCCGTCGGGGTACTTCCCGCCGGCGAGGATGGCGGCGACCCTCGCCTGCAGCCGGGTCCTCTTCTGGCTGCCGGAGGGGGCCGGAAGGGCCCTGATCGCCGGAGTTTGCTGGTGCCGGTAGCGCTCCTCCTCGGCGATCATATCGAAGAGGGTGGTGGTGGTGGTGGTGGTCGTCGTCGTCGTCGTTGTCGTCGGTGGCGGCAGCGGCGGCGGGGGAGAAGAAGAAGAAAAAGAGTGGCTCGCGGGGGGCGGCGGAGAGGCCGCCGGCGAGATCCTAGCTGGAGACATCGGCGAGGACAGGAAGCCCTGCCGTATCATGGTGGAGACATCGCCGCTCTTCAGGATGTGGTCTGCGGCCGCCGCAGCCGCCGCCGCAGCCGCGGCCATCCTTCGTTGAGAAGTAGCCGCAGCTACCAGAGGACGCAGCAAGATCCCACCTTTGAGCTCGTTCAGCGGCGCCACCACGACCCTGCCGTCGCGCTCCAGTATGCTTGCTGGTTGGATGCCCAGACCGGGCCGATCACATCGTCGGATAGGGAAAATGAAGGGGCTTTCAGTAGTTCCCTGTTCATGGGGTCCACTGTCTTCCCCTAAGGCAGCTTTCGTCTGGAGCAATAACCAAAGAGACGGGCAGATCCATCCACCCCACGGACCCGCCCCATGCAGGGAGAAAGTTACCTCGGGGGGTAAAAAAAAAAGAGTTCTTTTTTGCCACCCTCACAATGATTGACTTCTTGGAAGGAAACGCGATTTGATCCTTGGTGGGGGGAGGGGGGGACGGGGGGGCAGAAAGTTTTCCGGAAATCGAGCATCCAATCGGAGGAAGAAACTCACACCCGGGCACGTGCCGCCGCTGCCGCGCAGCCGTGGGCTGCCGCAGCTCGGCAGACGCACCCTCTGGAGCAGCGCATACGGCGCCAGCGGGCTCGCTCGTCACGGGCGTGGGGCACGGGCCGCCGCCGCCTCCTATTAACTAGGGAGTACGGGGCAGGGCAGCTATGATTTCCGATGGTGAGAAGAAAAGGAGACGGGCATTTTTTTTTCCCCTTTTCACAAACTAATGAGAAACAAGGCGGATCGAGTTACATTACACGGTGGCGAGGAGGCCGAATCAATGGTGCCATGCCGTTGACCCCGTGCCTGTTCTTGGATCTTGAGGTCAATCAGATTTCTTAGTAACGCTCAGTAATATTCCGGACCCGATGGTCGCGGCGACAAGACCCAGAGAAACCTCCGTCGCTATGTGATAACCTGGAGAGATCGACATAATTCTTTAACACCGAGAAGCGAGCATTCATCGTCTGGTTCAAGAAACCATGGCATCGAACGCACAGAAGGCGAGGAAAAAAGACTGAGAAGCTCACCGAAGAAGTCGAAGATCATCTTAGACCCGATGAAACCCAGAACCAGTCCGATGGCGGGCTGAAAAAATGAGAGGCAAGTGAATTACTCCAGAATCTATGATGAAATAGTACAAATACGACTATATTAAGAAAGCTTTGCTAAAAATGACCAGGTTTCCGGCCAAGAGAAAAGGGAAAACGCCCCTCTTGTTGTGCTTCTCAAAACTGTGTGTCTATTCCAATAATGGGTAGAAAAGGGAAACGGGTAAAGACACCTGCCCAAGGGGAAACCCATCGTTGACTTTTCTGTTCATTTTCTAATCATAGGTGAGTCAGTTCTGGTGCACTATGCATCCAAGAGCCCGCGAGGAGAATTACAGTTCAACATCGTCAATAAGGTAAGACATAGCTTTGGAGATATCTGACCGTGAGTGAAGAAGTGTGAATAAGTTGGACTTTGTTTGGGCTTGCGCGTTTGTAGAAATAACTCATTTTTTAGAAAAATAATACAGACTCAAGCGATTCTATAAGTATTATATCAGGGATATATTCGAGTAGATCCACACAAATCAGATGCTAAAAGAAGTATATCATGTGTGATCAATGAGGCAGAGTATTAACCTGTTTTCCCAAAGTGGGCGTTAGTAAGACATTCTTTTTTTTTTTTTTTCAGAAAATAGTAAAGGATAATGCACATCACAACTCAAATAAAAAAAACTAAAGAAAACTATTAAGCATGCAAATATGGGGGAAAAAAGCATTTAAAAAAATATTTTCACCTGCAAATATTCTAGGTCGCCCACACTTTCTGAGATAAGAACATATAATGATCTTAGACCTACAACACCATTCAGGAAACGGCATGTCAGTTAACCATCTAATCCTAGATGGAATATGCTTATACATAAATATGCATGCTTCTGCTCGGGAATATTTTTATAACAGGCAAAGTTATAAAAATATTGCCTGGTATAAACAGTCAGATTGCAATTTTCCAATTCCAAAGACTGAAAACTTCTAGATTCTGATAACGCTAAAGATAGAGTTGGTGATAAAAGATACAGTCACGATGGATAAAGAATACCCTAAATAATGCAAAAACTTCCAAATATGGGATATTGGAATGAGGGGAGAAACGTCATATTGAGAAGAGCTGAAAAACTGTCTAAGGAGTTGTGGAGTATCCAAGCTTCAACTGAATAGCGTTGAGATATGCAACAGAAAATAACTCAAAAAAATATAACAATTCACCTCTATGCTAAACAACATATGACTAAGAAAACCTAAACACACAATGATAGCCTGAAACTGCTTATGGATAGCTTCTAACTGCTTCTCCCAAAACCTCAGTACAACAGGTGGAAAAGAAGCACATATTTATAATTATCTACTTTACAATAACGTAATCATTGATCAAAATTGGTCATCACTCAACAGAATGTCAACTCAGTATAATTGATAGGCACCGGAGAGAGTAAAGGGAAGAATCACTGAAAATATTTTGAAGATACGTTAAACAACATAGCAAAACTTTATGAAGAAATTCAACGAGGAGGCAGTCCTTATTTCACAGTAAGTGAATGGAGACTTCATAAAACATTACCTAAGATGGCAAACATGTTTGAAGAGAACACTATGAAAGGATCCCTTGTAACGCCAAAAACAGCAGGTATTGAATCAATCTAAAAGAGAAAATGAAAACCATTGTGAGATCAACAGATTTCGACAATCAAAATGATATGACAAGGAAGTAGAGGACCTACTGCAAATGCAATGTCACTGAGTTCGATGACTGCCAATGTGAGCAGTAAAGGTGTCGCCTGACAAAACGATTTCAATAGTGATTTAAAACCACGTAACACCCTGTACTTCGTTCAACATTTTTAATCGCACAAGCATGTTACAGTATACTTTTAATAGAAGAAAGTATAAACCAGATAATGTACGGACTCACTTTCTGTACGCCATCCTGGATTGTTATGAACCGATCACTATCATAATAAGCTGCAACAACAGGAGAAATATTATATTCAATGCTGTACATTTATTTAATATGATCATACGAGACAAAGTTGCATGTAGGGCAGTTGGATCAGACTAATATAAAAAATAAACCCATCATTAAAATATATATTAGCTACACCACCAATCATTTGCGAGAGAGATTTCAATCAACATAGGCTCATTTGTATATGACACAAGAAACATATGCCATGATATACACAGACCCGCAACAGTATGACACTAAAGGATCGGTCCTTGCTTCTTGTTCATGAGTCAAAATAGATAGTAAGAAATCATGTAGCTAAACTTTGGTCAAATAGCAAGTGTACCCACTGCGCTATAAACAAAATTCCGAACTATTCACCAAAATAGTGGGATAAAGTGCGTGTATACTCACATGTGATAGGGATGAACTTCTGGCATGTCTTCACTATAAAGTTATTGGACAAGTCGGTTTCCTCTTCCTGAACAGCGAACAGCTGCAGCATGAAGTTTAACACGTTCAAACAGATATGGTACCATAGTACTTGTTTAAATATGTAAGGCGCCATTAAGTACGGGTATCTGTGATAGATGTCAATTATGGAACCATAGTACTAATCAATTTTTAGAAGTCACATGCCAATTTATAACATCGTCAGCGCTCTAAGGCTGAGTACTCTTATAAAAACATGTACAACCGTATCACATGGACCATGTCGAATGTTAAATCCACCAGAAAAAACTTAGAACAAGAATGATACCCTGTTTGCTAGAGCTTGCGTCTAAGGCTATATATTGTCTCTTTCTGTTACCTTATAAGTTTAAAAGCAAATTCATGTCTCGTCAATAGAGTGACAATATATTGGATACTAAATCTCCTGGGGATTACAAATACACGGATAACAAAGAGATACCTCTGCAGCCTATTTTGATAGTTTACAAAGAAGTCAGAAAACTAGAATGGGAGTCACACTGACCCCAGATTGGACAACTAAAAGTCATTATATCAGTGACAATTTGCAGGTTTTAAAAAATGGCTTCTTCTGTGAAATAGAGTACCTCAACTTCGCAACATAAGTAGCACCGTGGAAGGATTCTCCCTTTTTAGTCGTATCCAATGAAGCATGTTTTGTTTTTATGATAATGAAGCCGTCACACAATTCAAAAGGAAGTCCAAATAAACCAAGGTGTGCCCAGATTCGTATATACTCTTTGGAAATTGGCTCTCTAGATATCATTTATAAGCTTAAGTACGGGAACTGGGAGAAAATAAATGATCTGGTTAGGCCAGAGTATGAGAAACTTTTATTATACAATGGATTTTGAGATGATCATTACGGTTAGAACTGGAGCTTTGTCTGACTGAATGAGAAATGTTCAGGCATTCTAGAAAAAGTATCACAGGTTGATCTCGTATAAAAAAAAAACTAATTCCTTATTTGCGTGATTTCGAAATAAAATGGAGCAACCAAAATCAGAGGAAAGATAAAATTGCTTTTAACTTCGGATTTAATGACATTAAAGTAGATGTGTCAAATCAATGTCCCATTGGTCAAGCAGAAACCGACTAAGGTCGTTCAGAGATGTCACCTTATATGCTGAATAAATAAGAATTGCAGCCAGCAGCAAGTTAACTGCCTCAAAACTCTGAAAAGAAAAAAAGTTAATGATCAAACGCACGACAACATAAAATAAAATAGATTAGGACAGGAAATATGAAGAATCAAGCCTCAATCTAGACAAAAATAGAAACCTGAAGGGTTGCAGCTCCAAGCAGGATCATTATTGCACGAAAGACAACAGCTCCAGCAATTCCATATGAAAGCACGCGACTCTTGATCCAAGAAACATCATTAGAAAGATGTAAAGCGAAAGTAGACGAATGTCTAAGTAAAGATGAATCACCTGATATGGAAGTGGCACTTTGAAGTATTTGAAAATCAAGACAAAGACAAAGAGATTGTCAACAGACAAACTTTTTTCTAGTATGTACCTGAAAACATACAAAAAAACAGAAAAATGAGAGAAATTCAATGTTCTTCCTTCAGATTACAGCATTAAGACAATTGCATGTTTCAAGAACAAGTAGAGTTGTATTTTAAGGTTGCTTTGGTTCTGTGTACCCGGCAAAAAACTCTGAAGCCTTTTCTGCCCCATCTCTTACACCCAAACCAACACCAAAAACAACAGCAGCTAAAATCTGTAAAAGGAGAAGGAGAAGCTCAAAATAGCTACGAGAAAAACTAGTTATAATAGGGACATGTCGAGAAATCAGGACTCACCCAGAAAACAACAAGTCTTACAAGAGATCCTTTATCATGCTCAACCCCCTCCGTCAATGAACTTGAATAGCTAACAGATGGGGGACCAAAGGATGCCTCGCTTTTACTTCCACCCTCACCAGGTATGTCCTGTTCTTCTGCAGATCAATTTCACCATATTTTTTTTTCAAACAAAGTATCATTTGAACAACTTTTTGTAGATTAACCGTCACCAGTTGGCTAGAACAGTGTGGGTCTTGCATCAGTACATACGGAAAATTCATTACAACCAGCCCTTCGGATAGATGGTGGAAGAAATACGCCATCAAAATACAAAACAGTGTTCAGATGAATGAATATTGGCTGTAACATAATGAAGCTTTGCATAGGTTCTCAATAAGTCCTTGCGTACAGTATACAGTTTTTTGGACAGTCAGAGGTAATCGGGCCTCTAAAAGACATGAAAAAAAGTTCACATTAAAAAAACTTCTCAAAGCGCACGTGTCAAGCATCCAATCAGACTGGATGAAAAATAAATGCAGGTGAAGAAATTAAATCAACGTGTTTTGCACACTGTCATGCCTACCGATTATGCAACTCAGACCCTTATCACCTCGACTGTTTATAGAAGTTTCTGATATCTACCGGGTTACTTCTGTGTCCGTGGTAGGTTCTTTCTAAATAGCAGGTTACATACATTACAAGTAGCACAATCTAGATGAAAATGCACTGAAGATAGAGGGGTGGGTATATAGACATAGTGTGGTAACGCCAACCGTTTGCTAGGAAGCATACTTTTACTTCCCACCAAAATTGAATCAAATCAAGGACTATTAGAATATGTCACAGAAAATTTCATAAAGGTAACATGAAAATAAAGACTAGTCATTATCTTCTTTTCTAATGGTTTTTAATTTTTCTTTTCAATAGTTTTCATCAGGGTGAAATCATATTTTCAAGAAGTCAAGCTCATGGTGTCAGGAGCTGAGATTATCAAAAGCGAATTTTTTATTCATAAGCTCCTAATACGTCCAGATATCCCGGGATAAGAACAGGTGTGTTTTAGGTTGTGCACGAGCTTTTTGAATGCCAAATTTGTTTCAGAGCTCAGTAGTGAATGCAATGGTGTCATTATGCTATAATTTTCTTTTACTCCCGCTAATAGTTATGAATTTTCGTTTCCGACTCCCTTGAATTGCGATTACAGTTTCGTTTATCCTCTTCGAATTTGCGTTACTCTCTCCCTTTTTTCCAGTCAAAAATTCTTTGATTCAATTTATGAGCATAGAATAATACACTCGTTTGCGGTCGTTGTTTGGAACATTAGCGAAGATTAAAATCCAAGTTGTCAAGGTTGCAAACTTTCTTTCTGTAAAGACAGGAGGGAATGAAATCGCTGGATTCCAAATGGGCATAGGAATTTTAGTCTCGGAAAGAGGAAGATCATTCAAATTTAAGACGCGATTAAAGTTGTGACGGCATAAAATTTATGTAAAGATATCATCCTTCGTCAGAAAGATATAAGTGTACCACATGATCAAACAGCATTGAAGATTCATCGTAACATACCGGGGAGGGAACTGGCCACCAAGAGAAAGCTCAAGGTAAGTAGACAACAGCTAGAACATATCCAAGCAGGAGAATAAATACCACAAGCAAGAAGAGTTTCGACCTTCCGTCAGGACGTCCGGCAGATTGGTCCGAGGGGAGCAGCGAACCCCAGACCAGCGCAGTCGGCGACCACTCAAAACTGTAAAACACAAGGCACATATCGAAATTGAGCAAGTGATGAACTATTGAAGCCAAACATCAGACAAAGGAAAGCAATGACCATATACGACAGCAGCAAGAAGGAATTGTTGCGTACGGGCGTGGGAGATGGAAGCGACTTGTGTGCGAATTTGCAGGAGAACCAGCTCCTGGGAGCGGCCGAGGCGCCGAGCTCCCAATCGCCGCGAGAACTTCAGCGGGACTCCCCCGCCATGGTGCTGTTGATGGACGAGTGCAGACGCCCACCCCATCGCACAGGGCGAAGCTGAACGAGAGAAAGAGAGAGAAAGAGAGAGAAAGAGAGAGAGGGGAAGGGAATCTTCCAATCACTCCCCGGGTGGAGTTACCTCCATATCCTCCGTTTCTCAGGTCCGGATTTTATCTCCAGAATTTTCCACAGTTCGCTACTCAGGAGATCACTAGTCCGCGGGTCAAGTACCGCTTTGTCCCTTCCGGTCCGGCCCGCACGTATGGCGGGGGCTCTTTGGAACGCATTGGGGAAACCCATGGATGCTGATAATCTTCAAACCTGGACCGCACGTGTGCCTGATGGGCTCTCTCGTTCCAGCCACACCTTAGTTGGGCCGGGTCTCACACGTCAGATTTGTGGCCCATATAAAATGGAAGATATTTTCTATACCGATAAATTTTATTTTTTTACGATAAGGCTATTGAAAAAATAGCCAACTCGGAGAGAAAGATCTGCAATTAAAATATAATAGAGGGGTATTTTTTTTATCGCTCTGTGAAATTAAAATGGTCATCGGAAGCGGATCTTTGTTATTTACGTTTATGCCCTCCCAGAGGTGTTCTTAAGAACGCGAGGCTACGGAGTAGAGAGAGAAAGAGAGGAGTAACCATTGGCGCTGGTCATGGAGGTGAAGAGGCAGAAGGAGGTCGACCCCAAGAAGCGGCTTCTTCGCAGGGAAACCCTAGAGACAGCAACCCACGAGGAGAAATCCTCTGCTCCAGTCGGGCTCTCGCAGACGCCGGCGCTTGTCGGCTCTGCCCCCCGAGAGTCTGCTCCCGAAGACGAAGAGGAAGGTGCCATTGGGGAGGAAGGCGAGGAGATAGCAATCGAAGAGAAGCTGGGGAAAATGCAGAGCGCGGAGGCCGCCCCGGTGCTATCTCCCACAGCAGCCGCTGCAGCAAAGGCAGCGGCGGCTGGGCTTGTCACTGATCTCCAGAAGAAGTTGCTTCGAGCGGAGCGATTTGGGATGCCGGTGCAACTATCTGAAGAGGAGAAGCGGAGCTCCAGAGCGGAAAGGTTAGTACTAGCAGCAGAGAAGTAGGGTTTCTTTTAGATCTCTTATCTCCCGTCTCTCTCATCCTGGACTGTGTGTTCTAGGGTTTTGTTTGGGGTTTTTCTTCACCCAAAGAATCGGTGGGTGTATTTTCCTACCAGAGACTGTGGTCCCTCAGGAAAGCCGTGTGCCGGAAGCTATGATATTTTCTGCGAAAAATGCGCGAGGCAGAGGGAATTCTGTTCAGAGATTACAAAGGTCGTTTGCCCCCATTGGTGTTGAAAATTTGAATCGGATATTGAGGCCTTCAAACTTTTTGTTTAGTCTACGTTCTCGTAGGCAATTATTGAAATCGATAGTTTTGGAAGGATTTATCACGTAGTAAACCCAGTGACAACCATATGGTCAACGGCGACGGAACCTTTTTGGGAAAAACCTTTAATCGATTGTGTCCAGAGAACATGACAGATCCTACCGTAAGCCAGTTCTATCAATCAACCGGTGTAAGCTTATTCAAAGGAGACGTCGAGGTCTTTTAAAGAAATTTTCCTTGAGCACCCATGAGGCCATAATTTTTGCATTACACGCTGACCCATATTCATCCAGGCCCAAGTGCATCATCGCTATGGTGCCTTGGCCAATGCTTACGCATTGTCCCCCAGAGCTGGTAGGGAAGCTGGGATTAAGTTTTTGAGAAGATGAAAATGTTGACTGAACAAGGAGAAGGTTGAGTAGGTAAGGGGTTGGAATGGGGGGGGGAGAGAGAGAGAGTGGAGATATCACTCAATTTTTTTAGCAGCAGTGAAGGGGAGACATTTATCAAATGCATCTACTAACAGAAAAGTAGGGACTGAGGATGAGAATGAGTGTGACAGAGTAAGGGCTCAATCTGGCGACTCTATCCTGAATCACTCGGTACTGTTCAGAGTTGGAGATCCCTGATGTGGTTAGAATCTATGCAAGTGACGGCGATAATGTTGATGAGAATGATAGTCAACGATGAAAAAGATGGGAGGGCAAAGTATAAAATGATGCGACCTATCAGAGTGTCATCATACAATTCCCAAAAGTAGATGAGAGATAATACATTGAAAATCCAAATAAGCATGCCGTAGATTGCCCTCTATGTTCCTACTACTAAAGAAAACTACCTGTACAACTTCCATAGCGACTTAGGCATGTGGCCGGAGTTAATAGAGATGGTTGACATGATTTTGTAAAATTCAGCCCATAAACAGGATCTATAAACGGTAAAGAACAATATGTCTCAAGGGATGATGTAGAGTCAGCATACGTGGGGGATGAGGCTGACTTTTGGTGGAGTTGTGCAGCTCATGTACTCGAGTTATTGATGTCTGCCTTCTTTGAAGACTGACTGCTTTTAGTTACATTTCGTCATTTATCGAAGTGGCATCATCTGCCCGATTTCGAATAGCTGTCACACTTGAGTAATAGCTTTCCTTGCGAATGGAATCTTCAATATCTGACAGCATATTCACGTGAGGATGACTCACGTAATGATGCAGCATTTCATTTGGGGATAGGTCAGATATGGTTGAAGTGGTCAACACTTGAAGAGTAGTGACACATCCAGAGGTTAGAGAGAGAGGATGTAAATCCCAGCTGGAAGTTAGCCACGTAGGTATTGACTATTGCGCTGTCACTCCCCTAAGCCTATCTTCGTATTTCTTGTTTTGTGATTTTTTTTAATGAATTATATTTAAAATAATCAGTTCAGGTACCTTTTACTAAGATCAAGCGCCCATTGGCAGGGTCGTGAGGCTATTTGATGATTTTTTTAGTCGTAACAACAGAAAGTGTAGCCCCAGATTGTGCAGTTGATTTTTCTATTCCATTAGGGCCCATTCTATCACCGAGAATGTCCAGTGACTGATCATTAGGCTGCTGTATAATGAATGATGGTTGATTAAGTGAAAGGGTGCCCCATCAGCGTGCTTTAAAGCTGCCCAGATCACTTATGTGCTTTGGACGACCAATTTTTAGCTTAAAAAGGTTCTTTGCTTGATCAGAGCCGTGCCCCGAATGCTGCGTATGGTAATGTTCTGCAGTGGAAATCTCAAATGGAACCCATCAAATGAAGTCTCAAATGAGATATTTAAATCCGTCATGGTAGTGTGATTATGTTATTATATTAGTGAAGAATATTCAGAAAAGCTTTGATGATATATGGATAAAACATCAGTCTTTTTGGGAGTCACAAAGTCAAAGTTATGTGGAATGCTGTTTTTACATGAGTGGAGTGAAGGTTGCTGCCTCAAGGGTATTTTTTGCCATGTTCTGTATCCAAGGTTCGGTAAATGTATTAATCATAAACTGTCAACGATGCATGCCCCAATGAGCAAGTTTCAATTTCAAGACAGTTATTTCCTGTTCTTTTTTTTCTCATTTTTTATCTGCGTATGCATAAGTTTGACACTAATTTGAGGCCCATGAAATCGTCAGATTTTAAGAATGGCTGAGATGCTGAGCGGAATAACTGTAGCTCAACGGATTTTTGGGATAAAAATGGGGGAAAATTTTCACCGATTTATAAACTGCCAATTCTAATTGAAGTTCTGGTCTTCTAAACAACTTGAGTTCTGAATGTAAAATGGGAAGCAATAACACATTTATGTGTGTAGGCTGACTCTTCTGTGGTTGATTTTAAAAAGGAATGTTACAGCAATAAGTTCACCTCCTCTAAACCTTCTTACGAGTCTCACATATCATCAGGGCTGGCACATTGAAATACATTGGTAGAAAAGTGGCTGATTACTCTTGAGGACGGCATTCATTAACAATGCTATAATGAATAAAGTTAATGAAGGCGGATTAATCTAGTTGTTAGTGCTGTCTAATTCGCCTGCCTTTATTTCCTTAAATTGGATGGCACATGCATTGCCCTTGTAGATCACAGCGTGTTGATTTTGTGCAAATATCAAATCCATCGCGTCACTGAAAAAGACAAGAAAGGTCCACTCAAAAACTGGAATTAAACCAGCTAACCTTGACGTTGGTATGAGGCAAGCTAGTCGTCGAAATCTGGTTTCATCAAAGATGGATTTCTTGATCAAATATCCTTGTAGGTCTTAATTGGATGATTTTACCTCGACTAAGTCAAACATCTTAGTTTTTATTTACTGTGTAATTGGTGTTATCTTCTTAGGGTTACGTTTTTTGCAAACATTCTTCCATAAGTAGAATAGGGTTAGGAAGTTACAACGTTATATCCGGAGAAATACTTTCATGTGCAAATTAATGCAAATATTCTTCCATAGCTAGATATATGAAAACATAAAAGGGTTATTAGGTACCGTTTTTTGGGCAGAATCGAACACAGCTGAGGATGCGTCTAGGATGGACATCCTATTTGTGTCCATATGCTTATAATGCGTGCCATTACTGACGTGTATGTATTGAGAATCCGCATATGAGTAAACTGGTGGTTGGGGATTTAATTTTGTGCCATCATGTAAGGATTTGGGTTTCCCATGTTCTGCGGCAGATCTCAATGTGCTAATTGTTCCTGCCTGAGGAACCCAAAATTCTAATTATATGCAACATGATTTCCATTTCGCGTGATGAGTCTTCCTCTGTCTGTTGACTTCGCCCTACTTAGTAATATATATGCATCATTAATCATGTTTTGGCATGTGCGGGGAATCTAGTGAGACCCTCTTCCCTAGCAGATGGTCCAAGAAATTACTCTCCTGGTCAATGATCGCTGTTGTCAAGTTTTAATATGCTTTCTGATGAATAAAATAACCTATGATGATTGGCTTTTCTCAGATTTTAGTGTTTTATATGATTTAACCATTAATCTCGATTGTTTACATTAAGGGGAGGAGATCTTTCTAGAGCTCATCAAATTTTTTCATGACTAAATGGAAGAAAAATATCAAGGAACACAAATGGTTGAAAAATGGGATTTTTTTTTTTGAGATCTACGTGGTATCTAACATTCTTTTGTTTTAAGCAATAACCCTATAGGATCCAAACGATTTAGTTTCCGCATCTTGGAATAGAGAGAGACTATGGTGCTTTTTGTTTGTGGATTACTTGCATATGTACAGTACCTTATTTGTATGAAATATTTATGTCAGTGCGGTCTTTGACAGAAGTTCCTCTTCTAAAATCCAAGATTAGTCTTCTTTTTTTTTCAAATTTGATTATTCTTCTGTTTGCGTTCTGCCAAATCAAGGTTTCATTTCATGGGCAGGTTTGGGATGGGGTCTACCATACATGGAAAATCGGAGGAACTGAAGAGGAAGGCTAGAGCAGAGAGGTTTCCTTCTCAATCCACTCAGCCTTCAATTCACTTGCTCAACGAAATAAAAAATTAAGCTTATCCTGGATTTTTTTGACAGTCATCCTTTGATGCGATAATGTTGATAATTGCCCATTGTGCTTGGTCAACAATAAATGAATAAAAACCAAGCATATGCTTGATGAGGAAAACAGAATCATTATGTCACTTCTCTATCATTTTTCACCCATTGAACTACCATATATCATCACAGGTTTGGGGTAGCAGCGCAACCCTCAGGTGATGAAGAAGAAAAGAAGAAGGCTCGGTTAGCAAGGTTTGGACAGGCTCCCGCTTCAGACACCTTGGAAGAGGAAAAACGGAAGGCGAGGGCAGCCAGGTGGGCACCCATTCTCAATCTTTTCATTATTTTTCGTCTCTTGATCCCTGTAATATACTGATGTCTAATGCCTTTCACCTAGGTTCTCGCAAACCGCTCCCCCTGCTCCATCCGAATCAAATGGGAAGGTCCATTCAGTACTCCTTTTTACTACATCCTTTAGTTTATTCAAAATAAGAGAGAGAGAGAGAGAGAGAGAGAGAGAGAGAGAGAGAGAGAGAGAGAGAGAGAGAGAGAGAGTTTTCAGTGAATTAACATCGATATTATTTTCCATGTGATAAACCAGAAGGACACGGCCACTTTGGAGACGAAATGAGATGATTCAGCCCTGGCGACAGACGGATGCTCTCTGCCTGACTCGGTAGGGCACTCGTTGCCCTCCTTCCACCGCCCTGCACAATCTACTTTTATCTTTGCTGTACTGCTTTTCTTGGCCTAAACTATAGTTTTCCCATTCGCCAGGCATCCTTTGGTTTCAATTGAGAGGGTGTGTTTTGACTGACGACAATGAGGACGACTTCACAGCACATAGGAGTCGATACAACAGCAATGCAGAGCGTGGGGGCAAGGTTTTGTGGGGATCAAAGAAAAGCGGGCGTTCCCAAATGCCCTTCCTGATGTACTATCATGTTGGAATGTGAAGAGCGAAGCCTAGAACTTTATCATTGACATAGCTGCAAGATTATTCATTGGGCCAGATTTAGGGTATATGATTCTGCCAACACCCATTATCCCCCCTTCCATCTATTATTCGCACTCCCAAGGTTTTGGGTACTCCGATCTCATGAAATTTATCATTGACGAAGCTGCAAGATTATTCATTGGGCCAGATTTAGGATATATGATTCTGCCAACACCCATTAGCCCCCCCTCCATCTGTTGTGCGCCCTCCCAAGGTTATGGGTACTCATATCTCATTAAATTAATAGGTGGGCAGCAACGATTTGATCTCATTAAAGCAGGTAACTCATGGAATCCAGCCAGTGTCACGTAGTAGATGGGAGCATCTTCAGAGTTCTTTCTCACAATCCCGGCCTTATACGGGCAGTGTGGATGCATAAAAAATTAATCTGAATGAATATTGTCTGTGCAAAATCTCAGCCAGCAGCCGCCAGTTTCACTGATGGCTGCCTGAAGAAAGGGGGGGGGGGGATCATCAGAGTTGGATGACAATGAAGAAGGGGAAATGATCTGCCGGTGCGGATGATATCTTCTAGGGGCGAGTGGGGTCAACTGGAATAGAGATCCCACCTCTAATGGAGACCGAGGGGCTGCGGGAAGGGCTCTTACTCAATGAATTGGTGTCTAGGAATAGAACGACGACCGTGATGTCATCGTGGAAATGTCTTCGGATTCCGCGGTCAATCTTCTTCAGGTCGGAGTACCTCATTTCCCTCTTTTTTGCGGCTTCTTGAAGGGCGGCCTTCACCAGTCTCCTTGCTATACCCTATAAAAATGCTTGAGTGTTAATAATAGAAATATTTTATTTGAAGAATGGACCGTATATTCTTCCTCTTTGGGTAAACTTACGTTTCTTGGGCTGTTGTGAACGATCTCGACAGCCTCCTGGTTGGTCAGCTGCTCCCATAAGCCATCAGATGCCAGTATAAGAAATTGATCTTGGGGAGAGAGTTGATGTGTTACTATGGACGGCTCTGCGCTCAGAATTGGCTTATTGAAGGTCTTGGGCAGCCTGAATTTTGGAAGAAGAGGCTCTCGATTGAACTCTGCCTTCTTAAGATAAGCATCACCTATGGACCTGGAAACCTGCAAGAATGGTGGAACTAGGTTAAGAAAAAAAAAGAAGAGGGTTCAATATAATGCTGCAGACTTTAACTTTAAGACATATTAGGCCATGATCCGTCCAAAAATTTGGTGACATGTAGATTAGCAGGCTCAACACAAGGAATCCATCCGGGTCAACCTCCAAACAAGGAGACTTTGTCAGAATTAGAGGATATGATATGAAGCATGCGATACCTAAGGACCAATTTGTCAGAATTAGAGGCAACTTTCTTCAGGATCTCTGTCCATTTCTAGACTCACTAGAGATATATAAAGAGTTCAGGATCGCAGCCTTCACAGGTGCAGCGGAGACCAGTTGCTGGGTCCTCAGTTGCATAAAAGATAGGATATGAAATAAAGCATGTGATACCCTCGGAGTAATTCGTCAATGTTAGATGCAATTTTCTTCAGGATCTGTTCATCTTCTGACGCATTTTAGATGTAGAAAGAGTTCAGGAACACAGTCTAGACAGGAGCACCCGCCATACGCTGAAATTGGGTACAACATGTTCTACATAAGATGGGAGCAAAAGAGGAAAAACCTGGGAAAAGGCAATATTAGAAGGCATCCGACTCCCGAGCAAATGGAATGTTGGGCACAGTCTTTGAATACTTTATGGGCATGCCGAATTATTCTAGAATCATCATCGCAAGAGATAAGATTTCAACGCTTCACAAGATAAAGGAGAAATTCCTGGGCTAGGAGATGAATGAGAACCAAGCAACATCAGTTACCTGTATGAGACCCTTCACGCGCCAGACATTATGCTTCAAAAGCACAATTTGGGGGTCCTCAGGATGCAACAGATGAAGCTCCTCTCTCACTGAATTAACTGCGGCATTATGTTCTGTAGACATTTGAACGGCAGTGATATCTTTGAAAGTTTTGTTATATACACCAAGGACTGCACGGGAATCTCCAGCATTGGCAATGTAAAGAAGCCCACCACAGATGATGCTAACCAAACAACAAGAACCAACTGCAGCAATCTGTGGTTTCGTGAGCCACTGGTTTTGAACATGTGATAGGAAGTCTTCTTCAGTGGCCAAAAATGCCTTGCGGATGATGTCTGCCGACATGCCCTTTTGTTCAGATAAAAACTCTGCAAAAAAAAAAAAGAATATTACAAGGGGAAAAGTCCACACGATAGAACTCCATAAAAATGACTGAAGAAAATTAGTCCAAAATGAGGTGAGAATGCGATAGAGATCATGTAATCACTAATTTGACGAAAATTGAGCCCCTGAGCCGCAGGGAACCTGTATATGTCAATCGTCAGGCTGTATTTCTTTCATTGCACTATCTAGCCCTTGCTATGCTAACAATTTCTTCACAAGAACAAGTGCGGAACTGAGAGAATGCTGTACCCGACAATTAATTTTAAAGGAAAGATGATACCATTCGATCTAATTATTATCATGGCTACAAGACTTTTTAGGATGAAGCAATTTTACCTAACACTGAAATTGGATGGTGCCAAAATCCAGGGTTGGTGATTTTTTTTAGGAAAGTAAGATTGAAAATTTGAAATGCACTAGATTGTTTCTTAAAAGCATACTTCGCATTCCAATCTCTAAGCATGTCAACTAGCAGTTTAATGGTTTTCGGGACAAGAATTGAGACGTTCAGGGCACCATAGTAAAGGGCAGGTTTGCGGTGGGGTAACGAGACTCTTTCAATCATCCAGCACAGCAAGCATAGGTCGTTAGTAGATGTAAACACAGAAAAAATCCAGTTTACAAAGTTGCAGCCCCTTCAAAGTCGAACCCAGTTCGCCAAAGTCAGCTGGTTTTGATTGGATAATTGATGTTCTTGGTCCTGACCGGTTTTGATTTGGTGGATGATGGTAACAAATGAATGGAATTATCAGAGAAATAGCCAAATAATGATGGAAATCAGCGCCAGATTTATCCAAGGAACCAAGAGGAAATTATGGAAGGCAAAGGGGCCGTACTCCGCAGGTAGTTGAACAGATGTTCGTTGACAAACCGCGCCGCCTCTGGCCCGCCGTGCCCATCATAAACTCCGACGAAGGTACCGTGCGGGGCCTGCAACCCCAAGCCCAGCGCCCCCGACTCGATCTGGCACTGGTCCTCCAGCAGGTTGTTGGCCTGCATCACGGCCATGGAGAATTCTCCCCCAACGTGGCGGCCCAGGTCCTTGTACCAGAGCAACCCGTCCACCCGCCCACTCCTGCGGGAAGAGGCGTCCTCCATTCCGCCGGCGGAGGAGGGCCGGAAACAGGGCTTCACCATCTTCATCAGCCCACCCGAGAAAGACATGATTCCTCCTGCATCCCCAGCTCTCATCCGATCCCAAACCAACCGGAGGCGACGGAATGCCTGCTCTGAGAACTTGGGAGAACGAACGGAAATCACTCCAATTTCCTTCGAATCGGTTCCAGCTTCCCCTCCTCTTCACCCACCTTCCCCTTTGACGGCCTGCTGCCAGACAACCCTGTCGCCGTTCGGAGCAAGCACCTTGCGGAAAGACCCAGAAACCATATGCTCCCCAGGGGATCCCGAGGAAATTACACGTTTCCTCTTGTTCCCACGCGTTTTTATTCCCCCCCACCCGGCAGACTCTTCAGGTGGAGATCTTACGGAAGCTTCCTCTCCGACGCGCTCCTGACTGGACCACCGCCGCCCATTGGTTTTCTTCTTTTTCTCCGTCTCCCAAGCAATGGTGCGTATCTCTTCGAGAAGACCGCGTCGGCGCCCAGTGATTTCTTCCGTGGGGACTAAATGCAAGGACTGGCGGCGGAGGGCCCGGGGGGGCGGTCGTCTCTCCCTCCTCTGCGCGGCCGGCAGGTAAGAGTCTCAATACGGGGGCGCGTCGCGTCCGTTGAAACTCACCTGTCGTCTCCGGCGGAGCAAACAGCCGCACCTGAAAATAGTAAAATAATAAAATTCCCTCCACTCCCCCACCCCAACCCCCCAAGGCTCCGAACTTTTCCCCCATTGTCCCTCCTCCAGTCCACATTCGTGAGCTCGACCCCTCTCTCTCTCTCTCTAGGTCACGTATTCCATCAGGAAACACGCTTACTCGAGAGGGGACTATTTTAAGAGAGAGAGACACGTGGGGTCAACAAAGTTGACTTGACGCCACTTGCGGCCCTCGTGATGAACCGGTCGGCTGACTTCGTGAAGGTGATGGCCGGATAAATGCTGGTATTAGATGATGGTTTCAGTAAAAAATACTCAGAACTTTGTTGGGGTCAGCTGAGCGGGAGGACCAGACTAACCGCCGCCAAAGCTTCAAGACTCATCTCCGCCTGTTCAAGACCCAGAATCTCAGCTACTTGTGAAGAGAAAATCGGGTCAGGGTCGTACTTCAGCTCCGGGAGACGGTCAACTCTGTTATGAGAGGAGAAGGTCAAGCTTTTCTTCTTAAAATAATGGTCATGTGGTCAAAAACCATATAAGATCAGCGACCAAAGTTAGTCACACATCAAATCAGGATGGAAGAGTTATTACCTTTGTCTGACTTTGAGGATTCCAATGCCTAGTGGCATCGGTATGTCCATGATGATGTTGCATTCGCTGACCCCTTCTATCTAGTCCTCCCTCCCGTTGACCGAGGCATTGAACAGGTGATCCGGGGTCTTCTCAAAGGAGGCCAGCATGAGGACGCTGTCCTTCATTTTCGTGATCCCAAACCCGGTGATTCCGAGGATCTCCCCCTGAGAAGGGAGTTAAAGCACACACCAACGTCGTATCCACTTATGTAAGCATCATAATTAGCATTTATGTAACCACTTATTTGATTAAGTAACTCACCTTGAAAGTCATCACATCAACCCAGAGCAACATGTGGCGGATGTCGATCTTCATCGAGTGGCTCTTCATGGTGTAATTAATCTCATCAATGGTGCACTTCCTCGCGGCATCGATTCCGAGAGTGTGGAAGACTTCGATCACACGATTGCTCGTCGTTTTACCCCCATCCACACGGGGGGTCCCCATGACGGCCAGGAGATTAGTACTGTGAAAGTCGAAAGAGAGAGAAAATCAGTCCAAGAACATGCTTGACTTCCATCCGCCAAGAGTAGAGAAAACTGACCCCTCCACGAGCAGCTTATATCTATCAATTCTGTTCTCTTTGTTGATGATCGCGCGCTGAACAGTGGGGATCCCCTGAATTTCCGCGCACTAAAATCAGTGAGCGACCGAAAAAATTCATGAAATCGCCCAAAATGGCAACTCCTGGAGGTTCCCATCTCCTACCTTCACGATGACATTAGGGAGAGCAGCTCTCACAGAGTGTAACTCAAACTGGACGTTATTTCTATCGGTAAGAGGAGGATATATTCTCAGTTTGTCCGCGGCCGGAGTCTTGACGTTCTGAAGGATGAGAATCACCAACTGTGAATCAAATGGGATCGAAACGAGAGCAGAAGCAAAGGCGATGCTCACCTCATGTTTTAGCTTCAGCTTCGGATGATCCACGATGGACTGCTGCACAGAGTAGGAGGAAATCCTCATGTGCAGCGCCTCTATCCGCTCCATGTCGAGAACTACGACGATATATGGTTGACTAGATTTCAATACAATCTTTACGGCCTTGGCAACCTGCATGGAGGAGGGAAAGTCAGCGGGCTAAAGTGGGTCTATTCCAACATGAAACGAGCGGCAAACCTCCATTCATACCTCATTGAGGAGAATTTGAAGAGCACGACAGCAATGTATGTAATAGAACAGAAAATGAGACTATTAGTCAATGCAGGCTTAAACTGGCCTTTGAACAAGACAATCATTAAGGATATGCAAAAGTACAACTAAATAGAGGAAATAATCAAAGAGACCACTATAAAATGATCCAATGTTCAACCACTGAGAAATCGATATCTGGAGGTCTCTAACTTCACTAACTAGTGCAGAGTATTAGACAAATCATGAAGACAGAAAATGAGACAAGAAAAATAGAGCAACTCTAGGAGCCCAGCCCCTTCTCTTCCTTGTGCTTCTTGGGATAAATCTCACTTTCCTGGGTCACTTATTGTCAAGGTGTCACCCCTCCTACTCTATATTTCTCCTCTGCTCATCTTGGCTTCATCTAGAAAGATCTTTCGCAGCTCCTACTGCAACCTGGAGCAAAAGCCACCACCTAATCCTGAGGGAAGAATGCCCTAAAAGGCATTCCCGCATGAGACATGGGCCTTAAAGAGAAGGCTCTTTTCTTCTTCCCTCTTGGGCTCCATAAGAGGGCTCATGTGCCATATTAAGGGGTCACATGCCCAACAACCTCCCCCTTCATCCCAAGGAGGGAGAGTCTCATGCTCTTTGAGGTGTAGCCTTGCCAACCATCTGTTGGCAAGCCTCTTGCTTCTCCTTCAACAAAGTCTTCATCATCATGTCTACCACATTGTCGTCTATGTGAATCTTCTGAACCTAAGATTGCTTCCCTTCCATCACACTTCTGATCTAGTGGTGACAAACATCTATGTGCTTCAACTTTAAATGAAATGTTAGATGTTCTCAATTGAGGGTCTATAAGAGGTTGCTCCTCCACACCTCCTTAGTCAGTAGGTAAGTTGATGTCAACTTGTGTTCCCCATTGTGCATTTGAGATAAAACAAGGCCACAAGCTGTCAAATCTTCTACTAGGGCTTCTCCATGTGTCTCTTTCTTCATATTTTTAATATTTTGATATTCAAAAAAGATCACATCCTTACTTTGGAATACCTTTTACTGTACTAGATCCCAAAGCCTATGACCAAAGTCATCATGTGAATGGCTGAGAAAAATACATTCTTATCTTACCATCCAGCTTGAACCCTTCAACATCTAGAACATGTGCAAATATGGAACACCCAAATACCTTTAGATGCTTTTAGAAAACATTCTTTTATGATCACACATGCTTTGCAATATCTCCATCTAGAGGTACACATGGGAAAATATTAATCACGTTAGCTACTCTCATTAATGCCTCATCCCCAAATCTCTTGGCTAATTTCGTATGAGACAACATACTTTTGATCTTCTGCATAATGGTGTAATTCATCATCTCTGCCACTATATTGTGCTGAGGAGTGTTTGGGACTGTCATCTCATGACGAATACCCTACAACCTTTAGTAATCATCAAATAATCTCATATACTCACCACCATTATCAGATTTGACACATCAACTTTTGGCATGTTTCTCTTTCTACCTTAACATTAAATTCCTTGAAGATATTAACAACTTGATCATTTGTCTTCAATGAATAATCAAAACTTTTCTAGAATAATCATTGACAAAATTTGACAAAGTAGAGGGCACCACTAATGACATAGATATCAATGGATTCATGTAGGGTCTTTGTCCTCAAGGGATCACAAACATTGGAATAAATGCGATATACTAAATTTAATTTTCTTGACATCAGAGGACTATCAAAGGAAACTCTATGCTATCTATCTATAAGGCAATCAACATAAAGGTTCAGATATATACATTTGAAGTCCGGCCAAACATCTCTTTTCAAAAGAGCTTACAACCCTTTTTTCACTCATGTGTCCCAATCTTTTATGTCACAACTCTGAGTTAGAGTCTTTTTATGCAGCATTGAGTTGACCACCACAGCCTTGACCAAGTAACTTGTACAAGGTGTTGGACTTCTTTCTAAAAGCAACAATAAGCAAACCCTTAGCTTCTAGTGTCTTTTGCCAAACTTGTTCTCAAAGCCTTCATCATCCAACCTCCCAACTGACATCAAATTTAGTCTTAATTCAGCTGTGTCACACGTTTTTTAGCATCATCTCATAGCCAAGGTTGGTCTTTATATTGATATCATTGATACCAATAATTTTAGTAGTGTCTTAGTTGCACAAGAAAATATGTCATCAATAGTGGATATAATCAAATAGTCACTACCTTATGTCTTAACAACTATGTTATCTTTTGATTCATTATTCTCTACTTCTTAACTCTTCTTCTTGTTCTTCTTAAGTTGCTTACACTGATTCTTCAAATGTCCTTTCTCAATGCAATTATAATAAATAATAGATTTTCTTCATCTTGACTTACTTCTTCTTTTGCTTGTGTTACTCCTATCTCTTGATTTTGATTATCCTTTATTTTTTGAGACAAGTGCTTAAGACTTCCCACTAAAGCTTTCAGAGTTCTTTCTCCTCATCTCCTCATTTAGTAAGTTTCCTGTCACTTGCTCCACCTTGACAACTCTATTTAGTGTAGAATTGTTAAGAGAGACCACAATGCCTCCCAACTTTCTGACAATAAGTTAAGCAACAAAAAGGCATGCAATTCATCATCAAGGCATATCTTCATAGAAGACAATTAGTAATAATATTTTAAATATCATTCAAGTGATTAGTGATAAGAGTCCCATCAATATATTTCAAATTTACAATTTTATTGATTAGGAAGGCTTTAGTGTTTGCATTTTTGATCTCATAAAGCTTCTCCAATCTCTTCCAAAAAGAGTGTGAAGACATCTCCTAAGACACATTGTGAGACACATTATCACTAATCCATTACATGATATAGCCAACTGCTTTCTGGTCTAACCTCTTCCACTCTTCATCTGGCATCATTTTTGATTTTACACTATCTCCATGCAAAGGCCCATCCAAGTCCTTACACCACAAGAGATTCTCCATTTTTGGTTTTCAAATTGTCAAGTTATTGCCATTTAAGTTAACCATGTGAGAAGACTTCTCAACCTCTATGTTCATATATATATGCAATCAATAATAAAGCTAACCTTACTCTGATCCCAATCTAAGAGCATGGAAGCGATGTAGATATATGAACAAATAAGGAGACTATAAGTCAGTGTAGGCTTAAGTCAGCCTTTTAATAAAATCATCACCAAGAATATGCAAAATTCCTTCAATTGAATAACTGAAATAATCAAAGACCAATATGAAATGATACAAACATAATTGTGCGTATTTGCTTAATTGGTTGATGACAAATAACAATTGAGTTGAATCCGTCAGACTTGGGAACTCCCTTGATGAAGTCCATCTTGATTTTTTGACTTCTCTTTGGCCCAAGCGCGGCGGCGTCCGGGTGATCAGGACCCGACCGACTATAGCTGGATTCACCCGGAAACTAGTTCTTTTTTTCTTTGCCAGGGTTATCATAAGAAGCTGTCTGCTGCCGCAAGTCGATGAGAGCGCCCACGATGTATTCCAGCTGTTGCTGAACTCCCCCGGTTTCATCGTGAAGCACATTGACCTCTAAATGCAATGTTACCGTGCTCTACTGAAGATTGGCTTCTCGCACATCTTCTAATTCCTTCTCGAAGCCCTTTGGGTCACTATTTCTGGGCAGCATGGTTCTAGTGGCTCTAATACCACTTTGATGGAGGGCCCGGTAAAAGAGGATGAGAACGCTTGCGCGAGAGCGGGAGAGAGGAATGAAGACTCCTTTCTTAGTTGTTCTCCCCTGAGGGCGGCCGGGAAGAATACAAAACGCCCAGGGTAGACCTGAGTATTGAGGAAGAAGGGAGGAACACAGACTGAAGGAAGATCAGTCGAAGGCCGATGAAAGCTGAAAATCAACACAAAAGGACCCAATTCTGAGATGGTCAATCTCCTGTCCTTCTGACTTCTCTCTTGCCCCTTTCTCCTGCTGAGGCTTACTATTTGTAGCCGTCGTGCGGCCGACTTGACCCATGCCTTTCGGTGGTTAACGGTGTCCCGTCTCCTCCCGTTATCGGTCGCGCTGAGCCTGCGACGTTTAGCGGTGGTCTAAGGTTAGGACCTTCGTCGGCGGGGATGTCCTTTGTTCGCCAGCGTCCCATCAGAATCTCGACCAGTTTAGAAAGCCTCCTTCACCACCTCGTCAAGAAGCACAGGGCCCTCATGTACCTCAAGCTCGGCCGCGTGCTCGCCCTCATCGTCTACGCAGGCATGACTCACATCTGGAAGAGCGCTAATGAAGTCTTCTGTACGCTTGCCATCGTCATTCGCTTCTGCTTCGGGAGTCATGGCGTATCCCTCGCAGCTAACGGCGAGGCTCGGTGCCACGTACACAGGATGAGCACTGTCGACATCTCCAATGCCAATCTGATCCAGAAATTCAGTCCCATCGCAGAGGAGGCACGCGTACTCATCAAGACCATCCCCAAACCGACGCTATAGACGAGTCGGTAAATGCCAGCCTCCCTTCTCACCCTGCAGAAAGTGTGGAGGGACTGAAGGAGAGAGCACGATCGGGAATGAGCAGCCCAGTCTTCCCCTTCTCTCCAGCATCGAAGATAGATACCCTCACACCGAAATTTTATTTTCTCCGTTTCTTTCCTCCGAGCTTTGCAAACTCTATCTTGACGGAGAAGGGGGATGAGCGTGTGACATCGTGCTAGAGAAGGGATCTAGGAATCTAAGAGTCGATGCTCTGTATTACAGAGACGAAAAGAATCCGAGGACTATATTTAGTCGACGTACTCCGACCACAGGCTTACCGTTTCTAAACTTACAGAGCGTGTGAAATAGTCTACGAAGGTCTGTAGCTTCAACATTCTTCCCTAGACGGCACTGTTCACTAGTGTGGGGGGTATATTACAAGGGGCAGGACTTCTACTCTGTACCCTTTCCGTCCGACATAAAAATACGCATGAGGATCAACTTGGCGCTTCTTTCCATTGCGCTTGTTCTTCCCAAAGCTCGGGCGTCTGAAAGTTTCTAACGTAGCCTTTTTCTGTTTTTTTCATAGAATGACACACGTAATTCTTCAAGAGCAAGACCCTCTTTTAGCGACTGATGAGGTGAGCAGGCTTCCTAATTTGACTCCACGTTGCGAAACAACTCACATTCATCTTGGGTTTTCGTGCAATTCCTTTTAAGGCTGGTATTTCAAAAAATATCATCAGTAAGAAATTACGAGAATAATGGCTTGAGGATGTCAAATGACAGTTGCACACTTGAAATGTGTTCAGTCAATACGGTAACCTCTTATGTAAACTATCCCTATTGTTTTGACAATAGAATATGCATGTAAGTAATTATTTAATTTTTATGTGAAATTATTTCATTAAAAACATCAAATGAATTTAAAGAAGTTAAATATGGCGCAAGTCAGATGGGTCAAGGTTTCAATAATATCTGTCCAATATTATTTGGTTTTAGTGTCCATAATATCTGATCTTGAGAAAAATAACTTATATGCTTGTTAGCTTAAAAACCAGCCTCCAAAAACTTTTAATCCCTAGATTTTCCAGGAACCCCATTTTCCGCGTGCCTTAAAACGGCCAGCTGGAATCCCAACTCAGATGAGGCATCCTCGCCCGAATCCAGATTTATTCTATGGCCCCGATTTCTCCATGTGCCTTAAAATGGCTATCTCGAATCCCTCCCAGAAAAGGCATCCTCGCCCGTATCCAGATTTGTTCCATTTGTCCCCGCTTTCCACGTGCCTCAAACATTCTGTTCTTATTCTCTCCGTTGAGAGGATCAATAGCAGCAGCGTAAGATGGTCTCTTTCTTCTTCTCGTTCTCGTTCTTCTTTCCCTTCCTTCTTGTACTCTTATTCTTTCCTCGATATCAAAGGTGAGTGGCATGGATGATCTCTTTTTTACTGTATGTGTATTTTATATACATACTAGTTCTGGCCATATCGCACTGAATGGCTTGCTCGAATCCCACAGCATATAAGATATCGAGAATCATCTGAAGCGCGACAACAGAGACTTCATGAGCGTCCTCCTTCCCCTCCAGAAAGATACCTCTCTCTGGTTTAGCCTAACCCGAGAACAAATCAAGATCGTCGTGCTGGTATGCTAGTGTTTTTAATTAAAGAGTCCAAATCTTGTATAGATATATTCGATCCGTCGATTACGCTCACTGATTCTTTGTCTCGTTTTGTAGGAGATCTTGTCGGCCGCAACAGACACTTCGGCTTCGGCCGTTGAATTCGGGATGCTGGAGCTGGCTCTGAACCCGCGGGTAATGAAGAAAGCGCAGGAGGAGGTACGAAGAATTGTGGGAGGGAAGCCCATGGTGGAGGAGAGCGACCTTCCAAATCTCGTCTACCTCAAAATCGTGGTGAAGGAGACTCTCCGCCGCCACCCTCCCGGCCCGCTGTCGTTACCCCATGAGAGCATGAAAGACGTAAAAAGTGTGCGGCTACGATATCCCCGCCAAGACCACGGTGATCACCAATATATGGGCTATTATGAGGGACCCCACGTTCTGGAAGGACCCCGAGGTGTTCTGGCCGGAGCGCTTTGAGGAGAGCGATCTCCAGTACAAGGGGCAGGACTTCCAGTACATACCTTTCTCGTCCGGGCGGAGAGGCTGCCCTGGAATGAACTTGGCGGTGACCGGCGTGGAACTTGCCCTCGCCAACCTTCTGCACTGCTTCGACTGGGAGCTGCCCGGCAGGATGGAGCCCGCGGACGTCGACATGAGCGAGGCAGGGAGGTTCATTTTACAGTTGAAAACACCTCTCCAGATGAAGGCGACGCCTGTTTCCTAACACGTTGGTCTTCTTAGCATCCTTAGATGCTGGTCTTCCACGCTGGTATGTAGTCTCTCTTGCGAGATCGACAATGAATCAAATAATATAATTAGCAACATCAAAATATCCATCCCATGTATCAATCGTCCAGAAGAAAAAAAGTATTAGCTTCATGATAGAAGTGTCATTAGGAAAACGAAACTAGACGCAATTGTCATACTTGCTTCTCATGTAACGCATTATATTATGACATGATACCTCTGATCTATAGACTACATAAAAAGATTTGTCGAGATTGCACGTCCCGACCGACACCGAGGGGAGAGAGACATGAGGGATGATGGGAAGTGGGCCATTTTGGACCCCATTTTAGGGTTCAGTCCAGCGCAGCCAGGCCAGGATTCAAAGAAAAACCCTAGGAAGTAATGGAAGTGTCATGACTACGATTTGGGATCTTCTTTTCTTCATCTGTGTAGATGAACCGAAAAGGGAAGACTACAAGAGGGGTAGAAGACGAAAAAAGAGTGCCTAGTGGCTTTCGAACGGGAAGAAGGGGGAGAAAGACAAGAGGTGTCCTGGCGAAGGGAAGGCAATATGATGATTCTGCCGGGTATCTTCGTGGTGTTCTATTACGTAATGATATTCCTCGCGACATCCCTTCCTCGCCGCGCGCTACCATCGTCCCCGCAAACCCCTTCCCTTCTAGATTCCTCCACCTGCAACACCTCTTCTCTTCTACGGCCGCCTCTCCTGCGGGCGATCACCCTTGTCAATAAACGACTCACCCACTACACTTAGCTTTAGTAACCATCCCCCTTCACACGTGAACCCTTCATCCAGTTCTTTGATAAACCCTGGCTTCGTCCTGCCGAGGGTTTTACGTGGTGTGTTCATAAATGTCGCGTCACGAGGAGAAACTACGATTCACGTAAGGAACCCTTCATAGAAGATGTTGGGCCTTGGAAGATGTAAGAATCTCACCGTCTCAAGTTAAAAGTGCATCTGCCTCACGTTCTCTTTAGCTAGTTGGAGTGAATCGTATCGTAGGCTTGTTTCTTATTTCTGCAAATGTTAAATTATTGTCATGGACTGAGTTGCTCCTCTGGACAAGCAGAAGAAGTATCCGGTTCAGTAAATTTTCTGGGGACGAAATACGGAACTCAGCTGAAGTGCAGGTTTGGAACAGTAGATTCTATGATGCCAATGTGAAGTCAGTTGAACATGGATTGCTTTATCTACGCATCATACACACGCTACTTTCTTATTTCATCAATCAGATGTGAGTTATATTGACGTGGAATGTGTTTAACGAAAAATTCTATGTTGGTCTCTTTCCATCTGTGTTCTGAAATCAGTTTTTTTTCTGTGTTGTGAAAGAAATATGGCGAAAATTAACGTAACAGTGAACACATAAAAAAGAGAGAAGTCTAAAGAAATCGGCAAGGATCACGGCGAATTGACTGGTAGTCGTTTTGAAATAACAGTTATCGTATAGTGAAGTGAGATCTTGTAATAAGGTCAGTGAGCATGGGCTTGTTTCTTATTTCCGCAAGCCCACAATACGATTCACTGCAACTAGCTAAACCTATGCATTTTTAACTTGACACGGTGAGATTCTTACATCTTCCGAGGTCCGACATCCTCTATGAAGGGTTCCTTCGTGAATCGTAGTTTCTCCTCGTGACGCCACATTTTATGAACACACCACGTAAAACCCTCGGCAGGACGAAGCCAGGGTTTATCAAAGTGCCGGATGAAGGGTTCACGTGTGAAGTGGGATGGCTACTAAAGCTAAGTGTAGACGGTGACGCGTTTATTGCCTACGGTGATCGCCTGCAGGAGAGGCGGCCGTAGAAGGAACGTGCACAAGCGGCTTACAGGCAAAACCGACGGCGTCCGAAACGCCTTGGTGGACCTCATCCCAATATGACGGGCCCAGGTTCCGATCACGCCCACCCCCCCCCATCCCAATTGCAACATTTATGGGTCCGGTTCACTGTCACTAACTGGGCCCATCTCAACTTAATCACGCTCCATAATCAAATAAATTTACCTAACATTCAGGCTCAAAAAATAAAAATATATATGTTTATTTTTAATTGAAAAGTAATCAAGACAAAAAGTCTACAATATTATTCATTGGAAGATACTCAAATATAGGTGCCCAAATTATTGTAATATTCTAAACTTAATTATAAATATTTAACATCTTCATTTTAATAAATTATTCAAATCAACACTCAGACAAAGGACTCAAATACCCGCATATGTGGTGCTTATCTTTAGTATACTGATGATAGCTACCCATTAGTAACTTTGTCCATGTATCATCTTAGAGTGTAACAATCATCAACTTCCAAGTATATTTTTTATTCATTTATTCAAATATTTTTAAAAATAATGTCTTTAGATTTTTAGTATCTAAACATCCACATATAACTTTGCTTTCACATCTATAGACTAATTACTATATGTTGTAATTAATCTACCAACTAAGCTTGTCCAATGCATGAATAAAACAACAAATGTTAAGCATGGTCATTTTAATTTTTTATAATAGTATATTTGTCTTCATTCTTAAGACATTACACCCATTTTTATCCATGACAACTTCAAACATTGCACCCAGCACTTGAGATATGATTTGGATGACTAACTTAAGTGATAGATGCCCATTTGAAGAAATAAGTGAGAAGGGTAAGTGAAATATGGAGAAAAGATGATTTTATGAACAAGGTGAAGTGAGAACAAGCATGATTATGGAACATGGAAGTCTAAATTCATTTCAACCCTTGAGTTATACCATTTTGACATATTTGATGACCTTTTCTAGTATAAGTTGTCCTTTTTCATGGTAGAATAGGATGGAGTCCTTGAGATGAAATGATTTTGGTATCTTAGACTTGTCTTTCGGTGGAAAGTTAATAGGCCTTATGATTGTGATCAGTATTTAGATATGTAATCTTTTAACATAATTAGAATATCTGATTTCAAGGGAGAATGCAAAGTCTAAGACTATCAATGACTTAGGTTGTGATAAATATCCATTTTTAGAACAGAATTATCATTTTATTTCATTTTATCCATGTTAAATTGAAATATTTTGTTTTGAATTGAATGTTATGCTTTTTTGGTTTAAAATGAGATTTAAAATACATTTTATTAATAAGTTTTTATTTTCTACCATTTAAAGATATTATATATATATTAAATAATAGCTCAATCTGCGCCAAAAAGCACAGGCGACGTGTATAGAGGGACTTACAACCGTCGTGATGAACCGGTTGGCTGACTTCGTGAAGGTGATGTAGGACAAAGCACATCGAAATCAAACATCATTTCATTACAGTTCATATTCAAAAAACAATATTAAACTACAATTCATTGAGACGTGAAAATAGTTGGCAGATATATTCACAAAACTGGAATGGAAGGCAAAGATTTAGGACAAGTGAAGCATCTCCCGTTATTGAGTTTTTATTCCGAACAAGAAAGACGACGACAAAGGGAGCCGACTCCGCTCTTATTAGCACAGCCAAGTCTTCCGTGGCCCTTTCAAGCAGCGGCGACTCGACCACCTTGCGCCCGGGGACGGAAGACGAGGAACTCCTCGCCCCTCCCGTGCTTCACCCGCCTCGCCTCCTCGTCCGTTATCCGGTAGGAGTTGGCGATGACCCCCTCCGGCAGGCCGCGGAAGACGGACGCCTTCCCCGCCAGCGGGCTGACCAGGGGGAAGTCCTCAGTCTTGAAAGACACCCACTCGAACCCCTCGCTCCCGGCCTGCGCCGCCACCACGAAGTTCTGCGGGATGACGACGATCTGGCCCCGCCGCACCTCGCGGTCGAAGCTGGCCTCCCGGCCTTGGTTGCCGGAGATCTGGAGGCGGGCGCGGCCCCTGGTGACGTAGAGGATGCTGTGGGCGTTGATGTTCCAGTGGGGCGCGTAGTGGGCGTTCTGCCTGAGGAATCCCCCCTCCACGCTCAGCCTAAGGAACCGGAGGATTGGGAGCTTCTGGCTGTTGAGGCTGGTGACGCTTCCGGCCTCCCGACTGTACACGTCGGCGCGGTCCGGGTTGCGGATGTTCTCTCTGTTCCCGAGGTTGCAGAGGACCTCCTCTAGACCGTTCGTCCCCCTCGTCCTCCTCCGGCGCCCCTCTTCTTCTTCTTCTTCCTCTTCCTGCTGTTCTTGGCGTCTCTCCGGCCTCACGAACTGGAGCCCCCTCTCGACCCGGACGATATTGCCCCTCCGTTCGTCGTGTCCTTGTAGCTTCCTTACGGTCTCACGGCTGACGCCGAATGCCTCGGCAAGTACGTCAACGTTGAGTCCACGGAAGACGTTGCCGGAGAAGCCCTCCTCTCCCTCGGTCGATTCTCGGCGTTGGGCGCTGCCGGCCAGCTCAAACCTCTGCAGAACGATCCCGGAGAAAAACGAAACAGCAGACGATACTCTCGTAAGCACACGTTCTCCAACTGGAGTAGACGAGGATCCGAACGGGTGAATAGCTTACTCGCAGTCTCTGATCGAGCTGGTTGGCGTTGTTGCCTGTGTCGGCGACGGTAATGGCGACAACGGGCGTCTCACCGTCGTTGTAGAACCAGGTGGCCACGCCGGCCGGCAGAGCGATGACGTCTCCCTCCCGGAACCGGTGAATCTTCTGGTGCTGATCACGAAGGCTCTCTCCCCGTCGTTCCTCCTCCCGTGGCTCCGACTGTTGGAAGGACTGGAACGTCTCCGGGCATCCCGGGAACACGGAGCTACTAACACCGTTCCCTATGAGAACAAGATGGCGTGCCCATTTTTTAGAGAGAGATAGAGAGAAAGCAGCCTCTTAGAGAACTGTGGCGTTAATCTGAGAGATATCCCGGTCTGTCTCACGGCACTGACCTTGGATGATGTAGACGAGGCGAGGGGCGTTGGAGTAGTAGGGCAGAAGAAGCCCCCTGGGCTCGATGGTCGTCCGGTAGGCAGCGACGCCAGCGAGCTGGAACTGCTCCTGGTTCTGGTCCCAGTACTCGATCACCCCCGCCTCGGCCTGGATCCTCCTTGACGGCTCCACTGCCTCCAGCCTCTCAAGCCGCCATTCCCTCCTCTCCGTCTGCCGGCGGGGCTGCCTCCCCTCTCCAGAGGGCAGCTGGCCGAGACAACCCTGGGAGAGGAGGAGCACGCAAACGGCGGAGAGCAGGGACAACCCGCTGCTAGTCGGCATGTTCAGCAAGCCGTCTGAGAAGCGAATGCAGCTCGGTTTGGGATGAGGAAGGAAAGGCCCCGGTATTTATAGGGTCGGAGAAGGCGGTTGCGGGGTTTTTGTTACCTTCCAAGATCGTCCCTTTCTCGTGACCACCTCACGTCTTGCCGGCGTCGCGTAGAATCTTCGACCCTACGGGCCCTGGAGGAGGTGGTGGTGGGCCGTGACGCGTCCCCGCCGCGGCGGAGGTCACACTGCGTCTATGTTCACTGTATCTGGCTCACCCCAGCTGTGAAACCTTCCCATGCAATGCAACGGGTGGCAGCAACCCTCCTCGGGGGAGAAGGGCTTTATGTTCTGCAATGTCTCAGCCATCATGTTGTACATGAGATGAGATCAGCCGGATTGATTCATGTGACATGTGACATACGACAATAGTGAATAAGCTTGGGACTTTCCTCTAAAATGGGCCTGCCCATCAAGGGTTGTGCAGAACTTACGGGTTCTGTCAGGGGACTAGTTTTGACTATTTCTATGATAGACAGCAGCAGTTTTTAACCTTCAATAACAAAGACATAACCGTACCATGAGAGCTTCCTCAACAGTCGTATATGATGCTACCCAGAATACAGAAGATTAAGAGAAGGCTCCTTGTAATTGAAGGCTCAGTCAGTTGTGTTGTAAAAAGAATAATGTTAAAAGATAATTCATTTTTTTATTTTGTCTCACTAAAGTGCGAGAAGACTAATTCAACCCAAGTTGGTCGACCAGAAATTATTTTTTATTTTTTGCCATGTAAGAAGTTTTCATTCTTCCTCAGAGTCTTCTTACTTATAATGATTTCTCACCTCCTTTTTAACCTAAATAAAAAACCTCATTTCAATCCCACAAGAGCTATTGAAGTACTATAAGTTTCCTTCTCTTTTTAGAACTATCCTTCTCTGCTTGTAAATTAAAGTACGCTCTTGTGGGTTCAAGAGTTCCTTTTGACCTTTCGATTTGTGGTCAACATATTGATTCAAGTACTGAAATTTTTAATTACGTTGTTTTAGAACTTGGTTTCTTTATCCAGGTTGATGCTTTGTGGATTCAAGGTTAGATATTACTATTGTTCATATGAATGTTTTCAAGTGGTATCATAGCAAGAAAATAATGTAAATCAATGAGGATGATGCTCCAAAGATATATCCCTTGTCACAAATAAATTTTATTGTTTTTCAAAAACACTTTCATAAAAGATTTAAAGAGGTAACTCATATATTGAAATAACTATTTTCGTGAAATAAATAAATAACAATTAAAAGATTATTTAAGGCATACACAAAAGGATGTATCCAATAAAATAGATAAATGCTGGTATTAAATGGTCAGAACTTATCGGCTAAATCAATTATAATATATTATTATAATTAATGGGAGTAAAAATAAAGTGGGGCGGATTTTTACATAATGGACTAGATAATGAAATTTACAAATAAAGAAAATAACGAGGAAGACCCATTAAAGATCAGCTGAGCGGGAATGACCGAGGATTGATCGCAGCCAAAGCTTCAAATCTCATCTCCGCTGGTTCAAGACTCAGGATCTCAACTACTTGTATGAAGAGAAAATCGGGTCAGGCTCGTACTTCAGCTCCGGGAGATGGTCAACTCTGTTATGAGAGGAGAAGGTCAAGTTCTTTTCTTCTTAAAATAATGATCACGTAGTCAAACCATATAAGATCAGCGACCAAAGTTAGTCACACATTAAATCAGATATGGTTTTATGAGGATGGAGGAGTTATTACCTTTGTCTGACTTTGAGGATTCCAGTGCCCAGAGGCATCGGTATGCCCATGATGATGCACTCGCTGACCCCTTCTATCTGGTCCTCCCTCCCGTTGACCGAGGCATTGAACAGGTGATCCGCGGTCTTCTCAAAGGAGGCCAGCATGAGGACGCTGTCCTTCATTTTCGTGATGCCAAACCTGGTGATTCCGAGGATCTCCCCCTGAGGAGGGAATTAAAACACAGATCACGGTCGTATCCACTTATCTAAGCATCATAAATAGCATTTATGTGAGCAGTTATTTTTATCAAGTAGCTCACCTTGAAAGTCATCACATCAGCCAAGAGCATCATGTGGCGGATGTCGATCTTCATCGAGTGACTCTTCATGGTGTAATTAATCTCATCAATGATGCACTTCCTCGCGGCTTCGATTCCGAGAGTGTGGAAGACTTCGATCACATGATTGCTCGTCGTTTTACCCCCATCCACACCGGGGGTCCCCATGACGGCCAGGAGATTAGTACTGTGAAAGTCGAAAGAGAGAGAAAAACAGTCTTTAAGTATGATCGTGATCCCAAGAACATGCTTGACTTCCATCCGCCAAGAGTAGAGAAAACTGACCCCTCCACGAGCAGCTTATATCTATCAATTCTGTTCTCTTTGTTGATGATCGCGCGCTGAACAGTGGGGATCCCCTGAATTTCCGCGCACTAAAATCAGTGAGCGACCGAAAAAATTCATGAAAATCGCCCAAAATGGCAACTCCTGGAGGTTCCCATCTCCTACCTTCACGATGACATTAGGGAGAGCAGCTCTCACAGAGTGTAACTCAAACTGGACGTTATTTCTATCGGTAAGAGGAGGATATATTCTCAGTTTGTGCGCGGCCGGAGTCTTGATGTTCTGCAGGATGAGAATCACCAACTGTGAATCAAATGGGATCGAAACGAGAGCAGAAGCCAAGGCGATGCTCACCTCATGTTTTAGCTTCAGCTTCGGATGATCCACGATGGACTGCTGCACAGAGTAGGAGGAAATCCTCATGTGCAGCGCCTCTATCCGCTCCATGTCGAGAACTACGACGATGTATGGTTGACTAGATTTCAATACAATCTTTACGGCCTTGGCAACCTGCATGGAGGAGGGAAAGTCAGCGGGCTAAAGTGGGTCTATTCCAACATGAAACGAGCGGCAAACCTCCATTCATACCTCACCGAGGAGAGTCTTCTCGATACGGCCTTTGACTATCTGCGCAGACTTTTCGTCGTCATCGCATACAAGTGCAGCGGTAATAATCGGCGTCTTGATGTTCTTCGCTGCATTTATTATCTCCTTGATCCGAGGAACGCCAAGTGTTACGTCTGTAACAGAGTCAAGGGATCTCTTTGTGGGGAACAACCATGCATGCATACATGAGCTCCAAACTTAGATGCACGACTAAAGTGGAGAAACAGAGCATGTCAAAAGTGGTGAGAACACAAAATGAGGATACTCATGCTGGCTACTCCAGCAAAGTGGAAAGTTTTCAAGGTCATCTGTGTCCCTGGTTCTCCAATACTTTGGGCTCCAATGGCACCAACAGCTGCTCCAGGTTCGACCTTCTTTAAATGGTAACGAGATATGCAAGTTTCCAAGAAAACCTAAAATAGAGAGGACGCTTTAGAGCATTGGCAGGAGATAGAACCTCAAGAATGACAGCAGAATGGGTTCGAACAAGAAAGCAAGAAGAGTTACCTTCAACTGTCTGCGAGAAATTCCAGATATTTTTGCAGCAACACTTTCCAGAGCGTCAGAATCTCCATCTCCGACAAGATCCTCATCTAGTTGAAGGGCTCTCCTTGTTCTCTTTAAGGCAGAGACAGCCTTGTCAACGAAATCCTTCAATGATTTTTTAAAGGCGTCGGAAGAAGCGCCCTCAACGCACATATCAGGATGTGAGAGCCTCTCATCAACAATCTGACCTATCTCTGATGGAGATAGAGTTGTATGAGAACCAGAAGGACAGGTAGCCTATCAGATAAGATTTTGACTAATTAGTCGCTGAAGAAGAACATAACGAGATTTAACAGAAATTCCTATAGAAAGTAGCAAGGAAGCAAGCAAACCATTATTTTACTGAATAACTGATGTAGATTTAATGGTTTTCCATCCTCTCCTTCCATTCTTGCGGGATCCATGGCATCATCTCCGTAAATGAACTGCACAATCCCACCACTAGCATTGCGAACTGTCTGGTCATAGTGACTTGATAGATCTTCCAATGCTTTCATCAATCTGCGAGACATATATCCAGTTTCGGCAGTTTTCACCTGAATCAAATCAGGGCCATCTGAAAATCAGCATCAAGGTATAATAATATACCAATAATAGTCGCACAAATTTTGCAACTGTAAATTCACAGAATGTGTATGCATCTCGGCGTTTCCTAAACGAATAAATGATGATAGCAAGCACGTACAGTTTGGAGACAAATATATAATTTGACCAAATATTATTTAGAAAAAAAAATTATATAAACATATTATCCCACAACATGTCAGGAAGGGACTCTCCGAATGCTGAGCCAAATAGAAAATCTAATTGACTACCAATATGTACAAGCATGACTCAATACTTCAGAAAGTGAGATCAGCCGAAATTCCCAATCAACGCAACACTGAGAGGGAAGGAACAAGTAAAACATTTCCCACTGATGCAACCCCGAAGTCAATAACTAGAAAAATTAGAATATGATCAAACGCCACATCATCCATGTTCAAATGGCATGATGGTCTAAATCAGGCTCAACCGCAGAGTCATAATTGTGGTGGTGGTCTTGTTGACACTTCGGATTTTCTCAAAATGCCGATGGAACAGTCGCATCATTTCTCGAAGCTGCTGCCAACCAGGCACCCCAACACTGCTATCCTCTATCTTTTATAAGGGTCTTCTGCCTTTTTCTCCAGAGGTGAAAAGTAAGAGAAAAGTCAAGAATTGAGGGTAACCCTAACTACGTTTCTATCAACAAAATAGCCAATGGAGAAAAGAAAATGAAGTGAAGAAACCCATCCGACTCATATTTCCCAATCTTGACCGAGTTTAATGCTTATGAAAGCCAACTCTAAATATAATGAGTAATGGGTTTAATCCAAAAGCGTAAGCATGACATCAAAAGTTTAATCACTGTTCCTGCATAATCAAACGTTCCGATCCAATCAAACGAATTTCAGCCGAAGAACATGTTGCACATACCGCAGTGTCGACAAGACCTTCACGGCCACCCATTGTGTGGAAGAAGAACTCCGTTGCCGTCAAACCAGTGTAAAAGGAATTAGCAACAAAGCCTTTAGCCTACAGTAACGTTTAGATAATATCATCAACTTTTAGTTGAACCCCAACGGTACAGAAAATCTAAACAAGCATAATATCAGATTAGGTTATATATTTCACTAAAATACTAAGACACCAAGTTAAAGACAAGCATGAAGCTGCATAATAAACTTGGTATAAGCGAGCGTTGAGAACGAAACCATGCCTATATAGACCAAAACTATAAAGTTGGACCCAGGGAGGAATAGATTATGTCACTACCATCACAATTCACATTGTTATTGTCATCAAATTGAGAACGCACCATTGGATAGGAATGTACCGATGTGTAGAAAGATTTGAGCAGCTTTGATGCCAGCCTCATTGTTCACAGGGACAACGGTATGATCCACATGTTACTGGTTTCTCTCCTGTCTGTTATGCTTTTAAGAAATTTTACTTTGAACAGACTCAGTCCGGAGGCATTAACATTTTTGCTTCCTCGACTGACAGGAACCTATTTCCAATCTTCGTTTCCAACAATCTTCCAGAAACTAGCTAGAAATGAAGTCCTCTTTGTTCACATTACATCAAGTTGCACAATCATCTAATCCAACAAGTCGCAAAACTCCTCTGGCCACTACCATCCTTAAATCCCTGACGACATTTTTAAGTGTTCAAATGGTGCCCCAGCATACAAGGTCAGCCACTGTGACTGAGTCTGCACGCCAGAGTTCCACTGGCATGCAATCCCATTGCACTCGTGGATTGAAAAAGTAGGGCAAGCTATATTCAATGATGACCCCAGTTATATCAACTAAATCGGCTTTTTTGCCTACACGTTCATTCTGCACTTTATATGTTGACTAATGTTGGAGTAGGCGCTAGATAGAAAGCAGACGAGGAACAGCAAAAACGTGGTGGAAAACATCAGCGCAACTTGCAGAGGATCAGCCAATAGGTTCAACTAATCAAAGTGGCTCATAAAAAATACTACGTAATCGCTTGGTCAGTTATTTCTATTCAATTTCACATAACTGAAAGTGAGATCAACCCAGCGTGATCTGATTTCCCCATTACTGACACAGAAACACGGATCCTGCACACAAGCAGCCAGATAACATGTAGATTAACTAAATCTGGATCATTTATCAAAACTATCTTTTTCCATGGCCAACTATTTTACTTAAATTTTGAGATTAATTTTTAGCGTTTTTCGTGGTTTTTTAAGATCCCAGGTCTAATAAATATATGCATGTCAAAATCAAAGAAAAAATACCCTGTCCTTAACAGGAACTTGCTTTGTAACGAAAAAGAACTAAAACAAGAAACTACAATTTTAAACCAATCAGAGGCATAAATCACAAATAAGAATATATTCAAACTCATCTGGATTGACTTCTCTTTCTGACACTTGAACTTTACTAGTTCCGTTGTATTCAATGTTCACTAGTTCTTAACGTAATTAGTAGCACACACCACATCAAAGTCACTAATTCTTTAACAAAACAGGATACACAAAACGGGAAAGACAGATTAATCCCCATCATCTCCTCTAGTTAACCTTAACTTTATCAAAAAAAAATCCCTACTCCGTATGCAATTGGTCCACAGGACCTGAACCATTAACAAGGAACGCCCCTTAAAAAAAGACAAGCAGAAGCCAAAAAAATGGTGCAGCACAGTGTAAGACTATAAGAATTTATAAAATATTAAGCAGCATAAGACGGAATTTAGACAGACATTGAAAATGAGAGCCGTACTGTAACATCATTTTTTCTCTTTTTCTATAAAAGGTGGTGGAGAGTGAGGATATAAATCTTACAGAAGGTGTTTTTGAATTTCTATGGAAATGTGGAAGACTTCGATCTATAAAACCATTAGGAGCACGTCGACCACCAACTGACTGCTGACCCACACATGCAATCATCTGGCTAATATTAATCGAAGAACCTTTTGATCCACATTGTGACATAATCAGGGGACTGTTTCTCCAATGCAGCTCTTCCATGCAGACCTATGACATTAAACATAATGCAGAAGAGTTACGAAGTGATGAACATTGTTAAGGAAAATGACAATGTCGTGATGCAGTTAATAAGAAACCCAAATAAATTATGGTGACTTATGCCACTGCTATACTAAAACAGCAACTAGAACGAATAACGCACTGAACACATCACGGCAAATACTTGCTTCTTAATTTGCAGTTCAATATTAGAATGAAACACTATGGATTTAAAAAATGTACCAGAGATATCGTGTTAACTTACTTTCCCAGTTGCTTCTCGAATATCATTCAGCTCTTTACTTATCTCAGCCTCCAAAGTTTCTGCTGCATTACAACCAGACTGCAAAGGGAGCTTGCCTTTGTTGTATAAGCAAATAAATTCATCACATAATTCATATCCCTTGTCAATTGTCTTTTTTTTCTTTTGAATAAGGCTTTCACCAGGTTGAACATCATCAATTCCGATTGAGAATCCATGGTTTCCAATCCAGCGGGCACTACAAAAGGCCCAACACAAAAAGTACTGTCAATTGACTTGACGAAGTATTCTATTCTACATTCACTTCATAAACAGAACAGGGAGAAAATCTACCCAGTTTAGCATTTTTGAGACTTCTGAAAGAAGAAGTGGTATATTCAAACTTCAGTTGTTTCAGTCGTATTACAATTTATCACTATTATGAATTTAGATATCTGTATCATCAGACGAAAAAAACTTCTAACCAGAACCACTAATTTGTGAGACTTTTTAATCTTTTTCTAACCTTAATATTTGTATTTTTTTAGCAACCGTTGCCATTGTCCTAGTTCTTTTAAATAAGAGAGGAAATCCTCATGAGTACTCCAATTTAAGCCGTCTTGCTATCATTAGACCAGAATGTTGAAATAGTAATGCCAAACAATGGGCATAAAAATAAATGGCTAGCTGATGATAAAATTCGAGTACAATGGTCAAGACAAGCTCTATGTGCAGTGGATAAATGATTCATTCCACAGCCATCTAGATAATCAACTATTACCAATGGCACTAACAAGTGAGCCCCCCTATCAGGAAATTAAGCTAATGTGCATTCAATGGTAAAATAATGAACTAATTGCATTATCTATTTTTTATTCATTATGTATTACGAAATAAGGGTCTCATTCAGCTGCAATATATGCAATCTAACAATGGACATCAAACATGAGACATTTTCAGCGATCTAATCTCTTCGCTGAACCAGTCTCTCCATCAACATTATGTTGTCATACAACAATTATCCATAACATCTAGTTTAGATCTGAAAACAATACCTCAATTTAGCAAGACGATTCATACAAGCTGCAGCTGCATGTGAATTATAGTCTCGAATGAGCACCGAAAAAAGTCCATCTTTGTTGCCATTACCTGACATTTAGTTTACATTACAATCTATCCGATGGCACAAAATATAAGAAAGCTAACAGAAAGATAATCTTCCAACTCAAGGAAATAAGCGGGAAAAATATAATGAATATCTGTTTCCGCTGCAAGGCTTCACAAATGTGATGAGACATAGATCAACAAAATAGTACTTGCACCAAAAGCAAAATTTTAGCGAAATGATCACAGTCAAAACAGTAAATGAACATAAAGGCTATGCGCACACTTGAATGATCTATACCGTTAATAAAAAACAATGAATGCGTGCATATAAAGCATCTTACTTATCATATTATTCTTCAGGCTATGCCGCATAAACCATGACCCTCAGCTCCCCACGAAAGATATACACGAGATACAAAACAGAAAGAAAGAAAACGGATCGAGGCACTGCGATGCACAAACTATATTACCCGAAAATTACTTCAAGGTTACCAAAACGAAAATAGCCTTTCCACCAACACTCCAGAAGACACTTCCCAACTCTTTGATAGCGACAACTCAAATCCAGTCTGTGATACATCCTAATCAATAGATGCAGTGAATCGCTACAGTCCATTCTGAGTAGATTCCCGTAAAGTAAATCCATCCACTGACAATTACATTATGTGCCTCCCCATGAGCATCTACTAATAGAGACATAAAGGCATCACAATCAAATCTTAACACAAACTCCTAGGAACACAATCGTTTGAAAACGCAGGGCATACGAGAGAGAGAGAGAGAGAATTTTCTCCTCTAAAGGAGGGAGATTATGATGCCATGCTAAGTCAAACCCATGAGCCAATGGGGCAACTTTCAAGGATAAGTACTGTTGAGTGCAAATAGAAATTTAGTCTGTTCTCAGCAAAGATTAAGGAATCAATTCAGCTGCCAAGATCATCGAAACGCAGTCCCACTTTCGATGGTCGGATTATATTCTGGTCAAGGGTATTAAAAATCTTAAAATTACAGCTTTTGAGGTGATAATTTTAATAGAAATAATTAAACAAAGATGTATTTGCATGACTCCTGCGTTCCCTACTTACACCCCGAGCTAATCCCCTAGCGGTTAGTGGCTTTAATGCGCCTCCTCAACGTGACTCATATTCTTTTCACTGTCAGCACGGCAAATTTATGGACAAAATCTTTGACCGACATGGATCATACTCCTTAACCATGAATAGTAGCCAAAGATTTGACTTAACAATCAAATAAGTAAAAACGACCACATTAAATCAGACGTTCAGTCAAGCTATTACAGAAACACTAGTTCAGAATAACAAGAATTGGTAATTTGACAAATGGCACTAAAGAAAGAAAACAAGCAAGGAAGACCAAAAACCAAAGATTATGGCACACAACTCACAGAGGAACTACGTGCTTACCTAAAGTAACCTTGCCTAGTTGCCCAGATATAAGCTCACTGTTCCGAAAGCAGACAAAGCCGTCATTAGGACACATCGTTTCCCCAGATTTGCTATAGATTCTTTCCCTGAGAGTGAGGTTTAGGAAGACCCTTGTCTTTGCATTGGGGCGTACAAGCACACTGAACAATTGTTTCCCCGTCCAGAGCTCGATTGGCTAAAAAGAAATATATTTGCATAAGAAACAAAGTTGCATATATTACATAAGTGCATAAGTTAATAACACTACAAATTAAGTCAATCCGACTGCAGATACTACAGAATTATGATTCAGATTACCAAGATAACAGCATACATCACTTAACCATTCTAGTTCCAACAGAAGGCAATAAAACTATCAAAATATACGCTTAGACAATTCATGAAGAATAAGAAATAGAACAAAGTCGTTCATAATTGATAAGAATAATATCCTCAAAGTAAACATTTGATCACAAGAGGCATAGATTTAGATACTTCCCTAGGATTCCAACATTAGTTCTCCATGAACCATTTCCACGTTTCTATTTACGAATAAATAATTTCAACATTCCTGCCCTTTCGTTACCAAAGTGTGCAATTAAAGACTTCACTTCTTTTAAAATGTAGAACTGTAAGAAGTTGATTTTATACATGTCTTTCATGCAGTCCATTAAGTGCAGTTAGCAAAGTAATGAATAAACCACCTAGAACCAGACATGAGACTACACAGTAAATTCCTCCACATAAAGTGAAAAAACACACCACTGTACACAGTATCTTTAGGTTGATTAAAGATCCAACAAAATCTGAAGAAGACATGAAAGGTATTACTGACAGATATGCTTAGGGTCAAGCGGAGAAAGAACCAAGAGAAGCTTCCACAGCAATGATCACACCTCCGGCATGTTTTACAAATATTCTATTTGAGTAAACATAGGGAATGGACATAATAACTTAAATGAAGGAATAGATCAACCAACTGCTTTATCCGAAGTCTTTATAATTTGTGACTTCTGAGCAGACCATCTTTAGGATCAGATACAGGGATCCACGCAAAGGGTGATTTCAACAATCTGGCCAGCTGTGCATAATGTCCCTTTATCAACAGAAAATTTCTTTCCCTGCCTTTCCAGGAGAAAAACCCTTGAAATTTAATTGCAAGTCCATCCACTGTGCAGGAATTTATAAAATCTCAGGTGTACCAATAAAATTTCAGAACAACTGGCACCAGAAATAAGTACACAAACGGTTTCTTGTGTAGCCACCAAGCATAAATATGACTTTTTATCAAAGAAACAACCAGACAACATTATTCCAAGCAGTGGAATGGAAACTGTGTCAAGAGATATGATTTACCTTCAGTAAGGCTGGTGTCGGCAAATCAATGGAATCCATCCCATCACTCATGTAAGAACACATTAGAGAGAATGAAGCCCTGTCGTAAAATGTGTCCTTTCTAGTAATCAGAAATGAAGATGTCAGAAAATCCTGGGTTGACGCAACCAAGATTTCCCCGTTCTTTGGTGTGCACAAGTTATTTTGCACCTATGAAAAATCAGTAGTATCAATAAAGAAAATTCTTAGAAAAAAAACATTTCAAACAATATGCTTATATAGAAAGAACAATGTGACAGCGTACTCTTCTTCTGGAAATGACTAGATAGTCATCCTTTCAATCCAAAAAGGTAGCCAGACTAAGTCATAAGACAAAGAAATAAAAAAGAAGAGATCATACAAATTGTGGCCACAAAAACGTTTAGAGCATTGCTTGAGAGCACATACTGGGAAATCACTCATTGAAAGATCAAACATGCATGAAAAAAGAATCACGGCTAAATTTACATAGGTCAACCCAGGAATTCCACCAAAAAGAGAATAAAATGTAGGTTCCACTTTCAAGAACACTTTTAAGCTCAGGACGTGTATCTGCTTGTTTAATGTATACCAGTATTAATAAAAAGCATTTCCTGTTAAATAGAATGATGTCTTTCGCCTTTTCCCTTTCTATGAACACAGAACAGAAATGCAATGGCAACTCCTCAAAAGAAGAATGCTACAAGTAATTACCCCAGTTATATGTAACCTGACTTAAAAGGCTCTCCTTTAGCCTCTACAATTGGTCCGCAACAAAATCGATAGAACTTGCAATTTGATGGTACGTTGTAGCTCCTTTTTATTGTTTATTCCTATATTCAAAAATATTATCCTTTCGATTTCTCCCATTATCTTGTAACACCTGTCCCTCAGGCATGATAACCTTCAATTGACCAGTTTCCTAGGTATACCCTTTGAAGTGTTACTGAAGCTGTAAAACTGTACATTCACTCTTTCACAAGTAGATACCAGTTCTACCGACCACCAAAAAGTTCACGGTCTAAATAACAAAAATCTAACGCCTATCTTTCTCCAGGAAAGACCGTAGTACGAACACTTTGACGCGAAACTTCCATCGGAACACATCACCTTTCTTGTAGCCATCTATTGAAAAAAATTTTGCCAAAACATCATTTTAAGAAAACATCGGGCAGGATCTTACCCCCATAAGCGTAAGGGCTTCAGTACGAGCTTCCTCCGTTTGGGGAACGTGCAGATTCATTTCGTCCCCATCAAAATCAGCATTATATGGATTGCAAACTGACTCGTTGAACCTGAGTGTTCTCCAGGGCATTATCTTCGCCTAGAAAGATCTCATCACAGCACAATATGTTAGCAAAGTCAAGAGAGATGAAAAATTGTAAATTTAAACATAAACAGGTAGAAATTACCCTATGAGACATGATTGACATTCGATGCAAACTTGGTTGCCTGTTAAAAAGGACAACATCCCCATCTTCTAAGTGCCGCTCCACAACATAACCATACTTCAGTTCGTTCGCAACATTCTTTTTTTCAACATACTTCAGATGCCTGAAAAGCAGTCTCAACAGAATTCGTATTATAAGACAAAAGCATTTCCATCAAGCACAAAGAGGATTCGCATAACAGCACTTACAGCCGTGTACCATCAGGATGTGTAACAAAATTCGCTCCTGGATATTTGGTGGGTCCATTCCGGACGCATTGTCGCAGCTTCTCTATGTTATGCTGAGAAACTCGTTCCGGATAAGTCAGAACACGTGCCATCAAGATAGGAATTGCTACCTTAAAAATAATGAAATTAGTCACATGTTAGAATCTTCCTCAAAAAGGGAAAATAATAGGCCGTTGTTATGAGCACATTCCTCTGAATGGCTAACCTCTGTGATTTTCAAATTAGGATCAGGGGAAATGACCGTCCTCCCAGTAAATTCAACACGCTTTCCAGATAGGTTTCCACGGAACCGTCCCTGCTTTCCTTTCAGACGCTGAACAAAACCGCGGTTCTTTGAATCAGTAACACCGGGAGCTTCACTGTTTATGTACTCCGCAACCTGCGCTTGCAGAACTGCCCAACAATCCTGGAAAAAATATTCGACATTAGAAAAAAGGTGACCTAAATTTATTGACTTCAAGTTAAGAGTTGAATCTTCCCAAGGTTTTATCCAATCAGGTAATTTGCTATCAGTTTCCAAGTACCGAAGTTGCCTACGGACAATAAATTTATTTTCCCAATTAAAGAAACAAATGCTCAATATTTGAGTATTTCCAAGGAAAAATATAACATAAAATCTCAACCTTACATCAAGATTATTGGCAGAGCCTATAGATGTATCAGCCTTTGCAAAACGGGTGGAATAAAGCATTAACAGAAATGGTCATCAAATTAGCTCCAATTACAAATAATAACAGATATATAGAAAGTTAAATACAAAGAATAAAAGAAAATTGGCAAGCGAAGATCCTACCAAACACTTGAAAGCAGGTGCTGACCCTTCCAAATCCTCTCGAAGAATAGAATTTGTGTTAATTATGTTCCTTAGCATATTTGTGATACTATCCTCATTGCTGCAAGAAGACAAAAGGCAGTTACCAATTCAACAGTTCTTCATGCCCCATTACTACAATAACTACAAGCATAATACATAATCATCTTAAATCCACTACTTCACCTTGACTTTAAATCCATAAATACAGAGGGGCGAACAGCCACAGGTGGTACTGCAATGTCAGTGACAATCAGTTTCTCAGGCCTATCTTTAAGGTAAAGCACTTCACAGTCCTGTAACGTAAAAGGAAAAAGTATTGAAAATAGTTAAATATACTAGCCATTCCCCAGGTCATTGAAATTTAAAAGCACGTACCTCATCAACCATTTTTTTGAAAAGAGCAAGGGCTTTGTCAGGGCTAAGCACATGAGTCTTGCGGAACCGCTCCTTGTCTTTTATATGAGACAATGCCGAATGGAATTCTTGTAGAGTCTCATCATGAACTTTTGTGAAATCCTGTACAATACCTAATGAGGATTGCCCCTTCTTCACAACACCTGCATTTAACAGTGGTCATTTGCACAGATTCACACGTCCACCAGTTATGTACAATAGCAGGACCATAAACATATTCTATCATACAACATGACAAAGTTGTAATCCCAGCAAATATCTAAAATAATTAATAGCCAAATTCCCAACTGAACTTTTATAAAACCTTCGATTTTAGACATTAAGAGTCAACAAAATCACATGTAAACACCAAGTTGCCATAGACAGCAGTACTGTGAGCAAATAGTCAAATTATTATCATACAAGCTTCACAGTCATTATGTGACATATCACCAGGACAGATGGATAAACAGCAAGAATAAGCATGACAGCATTAAACAAAAGTTGACATATACTCTATGACACTAGGATCACAAGTTATTTCAGTCTATCCAGATTATAACTGAGTTTTGAAGCTAAATAAAGCCATCTATAATCCAGAAGAACGATAAACGATAAAATGTCTCTGCTCCCATTGATATCACTTTCTCAGAAAGCAAATGAGACCACACTTCCACGTCACTATCATAGCAAGACTTTTGAAGAGACTCTTCCATGGCATCATCTGCAGCCACACAATCTTCTTCAACAATCCTGATGCAGAAACAGACCCTCACACTTTCTTAATGCACATTTTATCTGCCTTGATATAAAAAAATAATGGTCACCCAACACCCTTCGATTGCCAACTAACGTTTAGAGCTAATCTGGTGATTCTGGAACTTCCTCAAAATTGAAGCCTCGTATCTCAGCAGAACGTGAAGGACCACCATAATGTCTAATGAAAGCCACCAACTTAGAAAGCCAATTATCTGGCAATAATAGTATCACAAAAAAATTCAAATCCTTTCTAGTTCAAACTGATAAACATATTTTTATTTATAGAAAGTTGATTCCCTGTCTTTTGGGGGATATTTCTTAGATAAACTTTTACTTAGTGATAGTTTCGATGAAAGAAATAAAATTCTTGCACTGGCTATTCTTTTATGCGAAGTTTCTTTAATCGTTTGGTGAAAGATCATGGCTACATTGACCTTGAATGGTTGATGGAAGTTCCACCAGATAAAGAAAACTAAGTACATTGACCTTTTATGAATGAGGACTGATAATGCATTTATACCTTTTTTATTTAAAATCAACAGTTCTTAAGTACATGCAGGTGTGGGCAAAAGGTATAATGCACATAACATGTGGTTTTTGGAAAAATAAATGCGTGGTGATTTCAGGGCCTTCCTGCTGAGTACCAAAGGATTAGGATTCAAAAGTGCACAAAAAGAAACCCAGATTTCAATGAATGTCCAATGAGAGACAAGTGGAAACATTTTTCTGGTGCATTTTCTAGGTACGATAAATTCATAATATTTTAATACTTTTACATGCAAGTCATCCGTAAATATTAGAATGCTTGCTGCCCACATGCTTCTATATTCCATTAGGTAAAACTTTGTTCCTTGTTACAGCCCTCTACTACTGTCAGCAACTTGTACATGCTCTTTGTGGCAGACTTCATTTCAGTAAATCAGGAGAAATCATACATCAAGTTTAAAAAATTGTGGTGCTCCAGAAGTTGCGATTTATTTTTCAAACAAATTTTATGGTTCTTCAAGTAGATGCCTCACCAACAAGACTAAAAGGTTCTCTAACCTCTTGAGATTTTAGGTTAAACCGCTATCTGGCTGGTATGACAGTTCTATGACTTTTGACCCGAATGCAGCAGTTAATCTTCAGTCAAATCCTAGACCATTTAAATATCTACACGTCTGTCCTGTGACATTTCTCATCAACTTCCTATGAAAAAATTCCTTACTGAGACCAAGCAATGGACCACTAATTGCAGTTTCAATAATTTCATATTATTCTTTCCCACAGGAAGCTTGGGAATAATGTCAATGCCCTTCAATTCGACAACTCTGCATCAGCAGCTCTCCCCGAATCATAAAGAAAGTCCATTTCAGAAAAAAAATAAAATTATGCAGTCAATGGCGTACTGCAGTACTTAATATCGTCAAAATCTGCATCGTCAAACTGGACATCAGATACATTAAGAACTACACAAATTTGAATCCCCTCTCTGTCAATTGTTGCATTCTTCAAATTGACGACAAGGGAATAAACCAAGAAAAAATACATGAAGAGTGTAAGACGAAAAAAGTAAGCAAAGAGATCAATAGTACATTTTTTTTTGTTAGTCCAATAGCATCTTTTAAGTACTGTTCTTGCAAGGAGAGGACAACAAATTATAAAAGAAGAGACCATTAGTAGATTTTTTTTCTTCTAATCCAGCAGTCACTAAGGTATCGGTCTTTCGTCAGTTCCATAGATTTGTTTGGTCCAAGGTAATAAATTACCAAAAATTACCTTCTCCCAATCAAGCTATCTATAGCAGAATGCAAAATATCCCATTCTCATCAAAGCCTAATCCATTTTCTGATCGTGCTTCATCCTCCCTACAGTCATTAACAAGTGCTTCCCTGAGCTGTCAGAAGCTGAAAAATCACCATGGTGGTCATTCCAGTTTGCTAACCACAACCTCAGCTCATAAAGTTGTCCAATGGGGACCCTATTGTATGTGACAATATTACAGTTCTCCATATGGTATGTCTTCCATCTCAGTTCTCTTGTTGTCTCACGTTTTGGACACTACTGCATGATCATGACTGCCCACGTCTACAATAAAAATTACCGTCTTTTTTTCTTATGGTGGAAGCAAGGCCCAACTATCACAAAAACATAAGTTCAATTTTATCATTAATCAAAAATAATATTCTACATTTATCTTCCTTCATATGTAAACGTTAGAATGAAACAAAACCAACCAAAGGAAAGGCAGGTACATAAAAGAAAATCAAACAACATCTGCTAATACTAGCTTCGAAAATCATTCAAATTATGTCATGTCGCAAGAGGAGACACGTTCCAAAGATCTGACCTCATTGTTTTTTAGAACAGACAAAACAGACCTAGAAATAATAAGCTGATGATGAAGTTGAGCATTCAAACCGTTTATATATCCACATCGAACACATCTGGAAGCTTTACACTTGTCTCTAATTGCCTTCACATATGCATTCTTTTGTGTGACATCTGCTCTAGGGTTTCTCATCTTCTTCAAAAACTCTTTGCGCTCCTTTTCTGGAAGAAGTATCCTAGCACAAGACTAATAAGACATCTTAAACAATGAGCAACAACAGTCTACAGGGATAGTGTGATAGACACTTTCCGTTGCTACCACAAAGAAGTCTCTTAGTTTTTTGTACACGTGTGCTCAACCAAAACTCTTTGGTACAGATAATTCAACAAGAAGCGGATCTCGTGAAAATTAGGTCGTTAATTAGTCAAATACCTTGCAGATACACTTCAAGATATTTAAGATAGAACTGAAATAGCCAATGTTGAAAACAGGAAGTGTGAGCTTTAAGAAACCAAAGTGCCCCGGACAATCAGAAAAACTCCCATGGCAAGTAGCACAAAACCCCATCTTGCTCCCAGGTCCCTGAAAAAAAAGAAACAACAAGGCAAGTCATGGAGAAATTGCCTAGCAGGAAGTGAGAAACATAGAAATTGAAAATATAGCACCAAAGAGAGGTGGCAAAAGCCATTCTTTTATGAATATAAGTTTCAGAGTCGTGATAGAAGGCAGGAACATTTTACAACACACTATAAAACGAACAGTGACAACTTTGCAAAAAAAAGAAACATAAAGAAAAGTATTAGAAAGAACTATGGACGACAATGATAACCACAACTTTGTTTACAAATACTTAATAATCACCGTCTCTTTTAATCCCAAGATCGGCAAAAAGATTAACATAAATACGAGAGAGATTGAGTATGGCCTGTGACGTGTAACAGTACACCTTATAGGGATCAGAAGGAACTCTAAGACATCAACAAATTCCAATATAAGTTCGCTAGTACAAGTCTGCAGCAATCAATCCCCCTTTTTTAGAAAATAATTTTTTTTAAGATAAAATTTTCTTTCCTTATGAGAAAGATGCTTTCTCATACCCACTTACGAGGGAATTTGTGATAATTTTCTTAATGTACGACCCATGCAATACTCGAGCATGTTCCCTAACAAATTTGACAATGAGATCAGTGAGTGAGTAGCAAAACAGAGCTGAGGAGGAGACTCCAGACCCATCAAGTCCAATGAGACTACTTATTGCCTGCAATGTCACCTGATGTCCAACAAAAACTGAGATTGTTTCCTGCACATCCTCCGACCATTTTTTAAGGTCAGGTGGAATCATACTGACTCCAAGTCACGTGGGCAATGGCACGAGACTAGTCAATTCCAAATGTAAATCCTTTTAGCTTACCAATAAAAAATCAACTAAATATTAGGAACATACACACGATGAAGGCATAATATTCCTGGTGGAAACATTTTATGTGGCTACTGGAGCATTTTTTAAAATATTATATTCGATTATAAAATAAATTTGAGAGACAACCAGCCTGAACAAATAGCACCTAGCTAAGTGCTCTCTTCCCCTCAGGATGCTGTCACCTCGAGAATACACAACATAACCACATTTCAACCAATTCTCATGTCTTATTATGAGACTGTAAGTTTGGCTCCTACCTCTCTCACAATCCTCAGTGACAACCAGGGAATAAACACTGACCATTCATTCACACAGGAGACCTTTCTAACAACTATCTCTATCATGAGAAACTAACAGCACTCCATGATTCAATATTTTAATATAAATGTTGAATTCTAACCCGCAACCTCTATCCCAAAACCAATTCCCATCACAAGAAAACCTCCTTCCCCAACCCCCTAATTTACTCTCTAACACCCTTGGGGTAACAAGAAGACCCTCTAAGCACAGTCACTGTCAAACACCCACCAGGAATCCATGACGACCATCCATACAGGGGTAAACATACCACACACTTCCATTGGTACAATACAAGTGTTTCATCAGACGTAAATATTTCATCATCCAATCAACACCAGTAAGACAACTCTAAATCTTAGAACAAAATCAATGATGGACGCCTGGCCTCAGGAGACTTGTGTGATCGCTTGAAAGATTTCAGACTGCTACTAATATTCTTCAATGACGAAACCCAACCCCATTGAAATTACATGGATTTTGTTAAAGTCTATCTATATAGAATAACAAATTAGCCTTTTCAAGTGTATCTCCAATTTATGGAGGTTTATCATGGCCCCTGAATATTAAAAAGATATCTCGTTTAATTAAAAGACAAGGAAGGAAGAATGATCAAATTTGAGATTAAAAATGAGAAAAAAAATAGAAACAGGAGAAATGTTAAAAGATGTATAATACCAAATTGGCCACTTTCTGACTGACTGCTTTTGTTGTATGGAAAGTTCAAAGCTCTATCTCAATCCGCCATTATCCATCCATATTAGAGAAAATCAACCAGAAGTGATCAGTTGACTGAATAAGGCATAGAGATGAATCATCAACAATCAAGATGTAGCATTTCTTAGTTTATTGTTCTCTAAGAGGCATCCTAGAAAAAATTACTATGAAGAGTTTGGAATACATAGTTTCGGGAAATTTACATTTTCCACCACAACAGCATTCTCCTTCATTTCACGTAGCAGCTTTCATACTACACGAAATTTTCCTTGAGAATGGCTTATCTGCGAATTAAGTCCTGTGTGCTCCTTAGATTTAGTTGGGGGTCCTTTCAGTGGAAAGGATCATAGCCTACGCCCACTGACCTTATTACAAGATCTCACTTCATTATACAGTAACTGTTATTCCAAAACCACTACCAGTCAATTCACCGTGATCCTTACCGATGTAGACTTTTCTCTTTTCTAATGTGTTCACAGTTACGTAATTTTCACCATAGTTCTTTGACAACACAGAAAAAAACTGATTTCAGAATACAGACGGAAGGAGATCAACAAAGATTTTTTCGTAAAACACATTCCACGTCAACAAGCTCGCATCTGATCGATGAAATAAGAAAGTAGCGTGTGTACCATGCGTAGATCAAGCAATCCATGTTCAACTGGCTTGACATTGGCATCATAGAATCTATTGTTCCAAACCTGCACTTCAGCTGAGTTCCGTATTTCGTCCCCAGAAAATGTACTGAACCGGATACTTCTTCTGCTTGTCCAGAGAGGAACAACTCAGAGCATGACAATAAATTTAACATTCGCAGAAATAAGAAACAAGCCCACCATACGATTCACTCCAACGTGAGATAGATGCACTTTTAACTTGAGACGGTGAGATTCTTACATTTTCCGAGGCCCAACATCTTCTATAAAGGGTTCCTTCGTGAATCGTAGCTTCTCCTCGTGACGCGACATTTTATGAAAACACCACGTAAAACCCTCGGCAGGACGAAGCCAGGGTTTATCAAAGAGTTGGGTGAAGTTGATTAGGAGCAAAGAAGACGGAACCTACGACCACATCAATAGCGCACCAGCCAAGCCCATTAACGCGCATTCCTTCTTGAGAGGTTATAAATAACCTCGTGTAGCCCTAAGAACAATTAGCGAAGAAAATGAAGTTTTGAGGTTTACCTCGTTTCGCTCCGCAAGGAGAGGCCGTGAGGGTCACTTATCCATCGCCACCGCCGCCATGCATCACCATCCCCGCCCGCTGCCACCTTTGTCCGTCCACCAGCCGTCCACCACCTTCATCCTCCGTTGTTGCCGCCAGTATCCGCCATTCGCCCGGCGCCCATTATCGCCGTAGCCGCCACCGTAAGCTGCCAACTTACGCCCCTTCGCTTTCGCCGCCGTCCGCCATCACCATCCGCCGCCGCTGCTGCCACCTTCCCTTCCTTCGCCTCCGCCGTCGGCTGCCACCTTCCGCCTGTTCCGTCGCCGTCTGCGCCTGCCTTTCCTCGGCCCGCACTACCTGTTCGTGTTTTTCCCCTTTTCTCCCACCGGTTAGGGCTTAAACCCCGGTTCGCGGTATCACGAACCGCTTGACTGAACCGGCGAGGTTCAATCTGAACCGACCGCCTCACTTTCGGCCCGGTCCAAGCCGGCTCTACCACTTGGCCCGAGCCAATCCTCCCCACGAGTTTGAACCATTCGGACTGATTGGTCCGCACCGGCCGTTTCATTTTGTTCGAGTCACAGTCCGCCCAATCAACCAGCCAAGCTGATCAACGGTCAACAACCGGTCAACTTTCACAAGTTGGTTTCATCTTCAACTTGTACTTTACCACGCCATCTTTTCCCTTCTAACGTCAAATGATTAGGGTGCTCCACAAATAATAAGTCGATAAGAAGCAAATTAAGTGAATTATCACTCTTCATTGACCACCAACGATGAAAATAAGTGAAACTATCACTCTTAATCCTTAGAACTTTACGAGAGTCAATCTAAATTATTTATCTTGGGTAGTTTAGTCATTTTCATCATCTTGTCCCACTTCAAAACGGTTACATGCGAAATAGGATGATTATTAAAGCTAAGTAGAAGGTGAGACATTTATTGCCTAGGGTAATTTTTACTAAGGTACTTCTATAGGAATCACCTTGAGCATCAATACTGCGGCATGCTCAGCAAGAGTGCATAGTGCTCATGGTGGAGCAAAAAATGCAACACTGACATGTGCTGACACCTAGACCCGCATGCAATGGCACAACAGTAGCATGCGTGGGCACAGCACCTGTGCATGTTAGTGCTGCACCCATGTGCGTTGGCACAGCACCTACACATGGCAGCACAACATGTGCATGTGTTGGTGTGGTGCTTGCACCTAGTGACACAGAACACGCATGCCAATGCGACAATGGCGCACATTGGCACACTGTGTACACAAGAAGTCACGGCGACATTGCGTACGATTATGATGTGGCAACCTAAAGCCACAAGAGCAAATGATGATGTCATGATCATGACATCATTCAAAGGAAAAACATAGGACATCACTATCCCAATGTTAGTTAGAGTAGGAACTCTTAGTCCCATACTAGAAATGCAAGGAATGATGTTTGAGGACTCATTTATTAAGGACTCTTGGCCTCATGTATGATTGACTTTTGGTTATCAAGAATATTCATATTGGTCATATGTGGATGTGTTGGGGATCCAATCACCCAATGTCTAACAAGAATTTATTATATAATGAATGATTTCCTTGTCAACGTAGTATTAGAGCCAAGTTGTGAAAAAGGTTAAACATTCTTATCTCTTCTCTTTCTTTAATATTTGATGTAGGGTCATAGAGGTAGAGGGTAGAGTAGGTACGAGTGGTACTTAAACGCATATAATTGTCCAACTTGTAGAACAGCAAGAAATCATGATTAGAGCTATTGAGGCCTTTATAAACCAGTTGTAAGTTGAGTCTAGTAGCTTGTGAGAATAGATGGTGGGTCAAATGGCCCAAATAGAAGAACATGTCCGTGAGGTCATTAATGTGTTGGCAAGTGATAATATGATATTTGTGTTAATTATTCCTTATACTTCATGTGATTTTTGTTCATTTAAATCTTAAAAATATCATTTATTAATATAATTATTTAAATATTCCTAGTAATTTCACTATTTGCACAATACACATGAATTTTGCACAATTTTGACTAACCCTGTTGGCTTCTATGAAGTCAAGTAGTTTTAACTAATAAATATTTTCAAGTTTTCATGTGTGCAGAATTTAACAGAAATCAACAATAAATTAGGAACACTTTAGTGGATGAAAGTTAGCTTAATGGGCTAGGAGTACTTTGGAGGAATTTCCGTTCTAGAACTTAAAAGAGAAATTAGAGAAGGTTTTGGGGCCATGTCCAGGCCCATTTAGACCTTCCTAAATCCATTCTTGAGGAAAAGATTTCGAAATTCATAGAGAGAGATTAGGGAATTATGAAGGAGAATTTTAGTCATGCTTGCCCATGTATAAAAATTCTTCTCCTCTCTCTCTTTCGGGTCATTTTAGACGTGTTCTAGCAAGAGGCTGGCCAACAAGACAAGGCTCTCCAAGGTCCAAGGATTCTCCTGTTGAGGGCAATAAGGTCCAAGGACAAACCTAGTGGACAAGGCGCCCTAATAAGTTTCTTGAAGTATTCATTCAATCTTCTCTCTTATTTGATTCAGAAGAAAACGATCGATCTTGGCAGAATATAAGGATCTGAACTTGAGAGGACGCATTGAGGGCTCAAGAAATGAGCACTAGGTTTTTTTAGGAACTTAGGTTTGCATCAAATCATCATTTCTCCTCATCTCCATCGCTTCCCACCATTTCTCCTCTATTTTCCTTCGTTTTCTCCCTCTACCCCACCATTTTGACCAGTTGTTCTCTTTAGGATTTGTGTTTTTCTCTCGAGGTCATCCTTTCTCTCTCTAGTTAGTCCTTCTAAAAAAGTCACAAAAAAAGAGGTCATCCATTTCCTCGTCCATCACCGTTGTGATCCGCCACTCCGCCGCTCCTCCTCTCTCTTGTCCGCTGACCACCGCCGCGTGCCCATCGCCACCCGCCGCCGCCTATCGCCAGCCGCCGAGCGCTTGCTGCTGGTCGTTGCATGCCTGTTGCCCTCTCTCTCTCTACCCCTTGCGAAGAATGTTTTTTTGTCCCTTTCGTCCAGTGGTTAGGACATCGTCTTTCCGGACGTAACCGAAAGTCCTAACTTTCGGTTAAGTCTGGAAACGGTCACGGGAGATCTGCGACCCGCGCAGCCTCTCCCCCTGACCCGACCATCAACCACGAAGGTAAGTTATTTTATTATTATTTATTGTTGTTCTTTTGCATTTAAAAAATAAAAATAAAATTAAAATTAGAAATAAATACTACAAAATAAAATTCTAATCGTTAGCTCTATTTTCTGCACATATAAATTCTAGAAAAAAATATTAAGCTCTATAAAAATCCATAAAAATAAAATTTTAACTCCCAAACCCATTTCTACCATTTCTAGGCCTCAAACAATTTTGAAATTGAATTTCTACCTCCTTGTGGATCGACCACTTGTCCTGATATAGAGTAACTAAGTGGAAAATTTCCTTAATTATTATTAGTTTAGTCTGAATTAAAATAACGATGCAATATCATTAAAATTTGGACCTATCAATAGAGAGATTCAATAAATAAATCTAAATGATCTACAACTAGACAAGAGAAATTGCTACATCATATGAAGCCCTGAAAGAAGATATTTCAATACTACACGAAAAAATTACTTAGCAGATGTCTAGCTGTGACAACAAATTGAGGAGGTCATCATTAACCTCCAAATTATAATCAATAATCTCCATATACCTCTGGATCAAGGTTAGGACTTGGACCGATTTGGGTCAAGTCCCCCAAACCTAAGTCATATTTAGGGAAGCATGATGCAATGTTGATTGATAACTTTTTGTCGGACTTATAGAGGTACATCAATGCTAGTACCTTTTCGGAGGAAGAAAAAGTTTTTCTTAGCAACTTATATCCTACAAGACATGTCAAGACCTGGTGGAGACAATTGAAGCACACTAGAGTCATTCGAGAATATGTGAAAAAAAAATTAATGCTCATATTGGAGGTACCCAAGATGGGGTGAAGAGGATAAGCTTCACTACTTTATGGAGGGACTACAAACATGGGCCCAAAACGAGATCCGGATATAAGGTGTCCAAGATATCTAGGGCGCCATGACCATGATGAATGATGAGCTAGTTGACAACCAGCGCCAATAACAAGACAACAATGATGAGGTCCCTCAAGAAAATAGGGGTTGTAACAATCATAGATGGGGAAGACCCAACCACAACAAGGGGAAATCAAAGACAAGCCAACAAAGGTCAGAATTAAAACACTTTGCAGATCAAGGGCCTAAAGTGGACTGGATGTCACGTTTGTGGGGGCCTTCACTGCAGTGCTAATTGTTCGAATTGGACAAATTGTTGCATGACTAGGACCCAACTCAGCCTAGTCATGGCACATGGGCAGCCACCACTAGTGATTAAAGAGTTACCAAATTTAAACACAAATCAATTTCTAAATGCAACGTAGGCTAAGGCCATTCAAGCAACTCATAGGAGACTTCTATTTGTAGAGGCAGCAGCAATCAACACCATCACAACCAGGGTGTTGGTGGACTCAAAGGCCACTCACAACTTTCTATCTAAAAGAGAAGTTAGTTGCCTCAGACTAAGATTGGTTCAAATCAACAATAGGATCAAGGTTGTCAACTCAAAACCCCAAGCATCCGTTGGGTTAGCCCCACAAGTGAGAACTTAGATGGGCATATGAGAAGACAAGTTAGATTTTTTAGTCCTATGGATGGACAACTTTGATGTCATGTTAGGCACAGACTTTGTGGTCAAGGCGAATGTAATGATCTTTCTTCACTACAATTGACTAATTATCTGTGAAGGGGACCAATCTTATTTTGTGCAAGGATCTTGACGAGAGGTGGAAAAACCTCAATTGATCTTGGCTATGTAGTTGAAGTCCAATCTTTGACGAGATATTGACACATTCCTCGTCACCCTACGAGAAGTAGAGGAAGAAGAAAAGTTAGTGGGACATCTTAAGATATTACTCTTACTTAAAAAAAATTATGATATCATGCTTGAAAAATTACATGTTAGATTACTACCTAGGCAAGATATAGAACATGTTATTGAACTATTACCAAGAGAATGCCCTCCGGCCAAGGGCACATATAAGATGCTTGTGACACACTTAGAAGAATTGAGGAAGCAATTGAAAGAAATGTTGAAGGCAGGACACATCCGTCATTCACATACATCATTTGATGCATCGGTTCTCTTTCATCTACCTTGTCATGGTTGGTAAAAACTCTTCTTTCTTGATTTTTAAAATGAACAATATTTGAGAATCTGATTTATATATTTCAATGTTCGTGAGAGAAGATGTCTTAAAATTTTATCAGATGTGTCATGAAAAATAGATTTTTCAAAAGATTATAGATGAGTATTAGCAACAACCACCGTATGTATATTTCTAAGTAGAATGGAGGGATCAAAAATCAGTACTTTTTGTAATTAATTCATTGATAGCAAATGAAATAATAGGTAATGGAGATTGATGTAATAAGGATTCGTGGACATTTTCAAAATCAACTTGAAAGGTCATTAAAAGTTGTACCTTTTTTTTTCTTACAATAGTTTATAAAATATTGATCACTTTGGATAGATTGTTGTTCCATGAGGGCAAGCTAATCTTATAATACACTAAGATGAGAATAAAAGTCATGAACATAGTAGGTGCTTTGACGACTAGGCCTAACTTTAACATCAAGTTGATATTCTTATGCAAAAATAGATTTATGTATAAAAACAAGTTAAGTAATCCCACACAGATTTTGTAGTAGAAATATTTTCTAGTTGTAGACAAATAGATTGCTCCACATGGTTATTAATTATAAGTAGTTTTTAATTGTTTACATGACACTCTTCCCATTTGACAATCATATTTACTCAATATATTTGAAGTAGATTTATATTCAATTTGATGTTTAATAGGCACAAGTGTTGTCCAATCTATGTGTTTTCACATCTTCTTTTCATATAAAAAGTGAGTCATCACAAAAGTCCAATAAAGATAATTGTTGTCATCAATTGAGTTTATTTATATCAAACAAGGAAAATAATAAAATATGTGCACAATATAACTACTGATACAAGAATGGTTGTAATAGTATAAAAGAATTTACTATAAGTATGTAGGTCTCGAAATTAATCTTGCTAGGGTAAGATAGATAGACCATCCAATTTCAATGATGTAGCTGATCATTTAGAATGTGAAGCATATTCTGATATTGCTTAGAACCAATGTGGATGAGAAGATAGAAGCTAAGATATAATGGCTAAAAGAAGATCAAATCAGAGGGTACGTGATGGCTAATGTAGGCCTCAATCTTCTTCTAGAGAAGCTTGTCAAAGAAGTGCAAGGACTTCTCAAGGTGAGAAGACAAATCTGGTGGGCACATTGATAGAGTAGTAGAAGTCACCAAGGAGATCAATAGATTGCATGAGCTAGTCATTGAACACACTCTTTCGACACTTGTCATCTTTTATCAGTGATACCTTTGTTTAGTACATAGACTAGAACTTAACTACTGGAGTTCAAATTGGTTAGTTTATTGTGCATGCCAAACTAGTTGGACTCTTTGTTTTGAGTTATACATCAATTTTATGCATGTTTTTTTACCACTGATTCCATGTTTTAATTACTTCATGATTTGTCGCATTTGATTAGGTGTAATTGCCAAACATTAGAATGTTTAACTCAATATGCACACTAATTCAACTAATCCGTAAGTACACATCATTCCAACAAGTCGACTATAAGCTAAGTATTAAAATGATTAACTAATTAATCTGATGTTTTCATGAATAACCTAATCATTATAGTCATGGTATATTAAGGTTTTAGTGAAGAATTCTAAAATGGTATATTGCTTCAAAGAGTAAGTGAAAATCTAAGACTTGATTATTCAAATGAGTTTTAAACCTAAATTTATATCATAGATATGGGGATAATTGTTATAAAGCACTTTGAAATGGGAGGATAATACAACCAACAACACTGAAAAATTAAAAGAATTATATTTGATATAATTTAATATTATTAATGACTTTCTTTCTTAAGCAATTTGATTTCTAGTCATTATTGTGATTGTAAACAACCATTGGACTCCCCAAAGTTCACTATAAAAATAGGTTACACACCCCACACTTAACCTAGTACATGGGACACTATGATGCTCAATTCACACTAATATACATTAATATATGCCAACAAGCTTGTTGAGAATATCTTAGTTACTGCTCAACGCATTCAAAAAAGAAGGTTCACACAAGAGTCATAGTTGCCCAAGCATTTTCCCAAGCTTTCACCTCTTAGCGCCAATTAGTAGTATCAAAGGCCAAAGTTCTTAAAGTATATTTACACTCAATTTGATAATCCCTTAAGCAATTTGATAAGCACCATGATAAGTCTTTATTATCATGAGTTAATAATTAATAATTAATATAATTTTAATATTAATTTATGATAAATAGACTTATATTTGTGTTAAATTGTGAAAAGTAATTTTCAGTTGATTAATGTAAATTTTTGACTAATTATGTGATTTTATGTAAATTAATTAATTTTTATAATCTTATTTTTGAGATAAATAAAGAAAAAAAAGAAAAAAAAGGGGGGACCTACCATTCAATTAGGCCCACAAGTGGGTCAGAAGTGTAGTCAGGGAAGAGCCGTGAGTGAGGGCTTGAGTGGCTATAGACCAATGGGGACACATGTGCGTCACTCCCCTTCTATGTCACAATAAAGAACTCATTATTTGAAAATGTGATATTACTATATATTCACTCAAAATTTCGACATACAACTGATGTAGGACTGAACCTGCGTCACACCTTTCCCGAAAAAGCTTCAAAGATTTTAATACCTACACTAGCTCTTATTTATTACAAAGATATATTATGATGATGTCACTTTATAAGGACATTAGAGTACTTATTCTAATCTCTCTCATGCAGGTGGGCGACCGACGCAGGTTCGAATCTTCCTAGAACTAAAATTTTTATTTTTATTTGATTAAATCATGACTTTTCTATAGATCATCGGTGAAAGATTAAGTCGTCAGAATTGTTGAATCAACGACAAAAATCTCGTCAACACAATTCATAGAGCATTGTTACTAAAATTACTGAATGATTCACGATAAAATGATCGTGAATCTATCAAGTAAATTATCTTTGATTGATTGACGAACAAACCGTCGTCGAGAAGAGGACGATCTACTAGGAGATGAGTCACCACCTCCTAAGAGTATACTAGATGTGATGAAGAGTCCCCTTTTGTTACGTAGACCTGAAGATGAAGTTTCCTGACATGTACCATACTTCTATTCAATTGTTCTTCGTTGAGTGACAGTCGTTAGAGAATTGCAAAATAGTCATTTTTCTACTCCACTAGGTGACAACTGCCAAAGATGATTCAACGACTTATTTCATTGTTTTTTAGATTTCGCAAGAAGATTTAGAGATTGTCCACGTCGTCTTTGTCTAAAGAGAGCCTTCGAGGCTGTAGACACTACACAACAATCTTCTTAAACATTCAAAATTTCAGTACATCATTAACACATCACTATCGCAATGTCAGAACTATGCTTTACTACTTCTAATTTAATTTTTATTTCATTTAGTGATAATTTGTGTGATTTAAATTTGCCAAACTATTTTTATTTCATTACGATCTTTCTAGCTTTTATAGATCTTAATTTGATCACACCGGGTCTAGTTAATGCTAAGCGGATATGAAGGCACAATATATCTAGTACATGTGGGGTTGGATGGGGACCAACTTTGAAGGAAAAATAGATAAATTATATTTTTTGAATTAAGTATCATTTTTAATCTCTTTCGAGCCAAATATTTAGCTTTTTATTATCATTCAAAACTCTCCAAAACTACTATAGTTGACTTTCATCATATACCCCTTGAATTACCCACAATTCCTCTCTTTTCTCGTTGCAATTTCGTCCTTTAAAATATATAGATATAAATATATATATAGTACCCAAGACAGCTGTTATTTTTCGGAAATAACCAAATCGGCAACGGTCAACCCTGATCTCTCTGTGTTACACGCACACACACGCACTCTCTCTCTCTCTCTCTCCATCTATCCATCTAATCTAATAGAGCAACAATGACGTAATTATAATGTTAAAAAAATTGGATCCTCAAAGATAATATATCCCACGTGGAGGGGTTTGATAGACCATGGGGATCGTCGTAGGTGAGGACAGTGGTCGTTCTTCCCCTCGAGAACGCCGCCACCTACCTCGCACAGGCGGCGGTCGGCTCGGAGCTCGCCGCCGACGCGGCGGTAATTCTCGCCGGAGATAACGCAACTCGGCGATCCTCGTCGTTGACTTGGGGAGCAGCGAGATTGCCCGCCGCCGGCGGTTCTTCCCTGATTGTGGATACAGGAGATGACTAAGATCATGACGAGGATCTGGAAGAAGATCTTGTAGATAGATGCAGAGGAATATTTCGGTGGAGAAGCTTACGCACCGGCCGGATTCGTCGGCGGCTTCGCCGTCGAAGGTGGTGGTGGACTTCGGACAGGCTTCGAGCTCCGTGTTCTCTTCGCCGCTAGAACGGGAAGTTCCGGGAGAAGATGACCTCTCCTCTGGGTAATTCGACTGGCAGGTCGAACAAGGGGACGTCGCGTCTGAGGATCCATCGAGAAGGTCCTCCCATAGCGACAGATCCGGCGGCCCCTCCGCCTTCTTCTTCTCTGCGTCGAGTGGTGGGAACGACACAATTGGAGAGATTCTCCGAGAGCAGGTCGGGGACGAAGAGCCGGAAGAGGCCCCCGATGACGGCACAGATTGGCCGGAAAGGTAAAAGACCTTCGACGGATCCAGCTTTTCCAGGATGCATTTCAGCAACTTCTCGGCTCTATCCCTGGCTCTGATCTCCATTGCCAGCATTCGTTCCAGCTCGCTCAGCTGCGCACCATTAAGATGCAGGAGAAGAGAATTGGGGGAAAAGAAATCAGCAGCATCAGCTTCAATCTGCAGGCCATCGAGGAAGAAGAAGGGAAGGAAGATCTCCGAGAAAACGATGGGAAAAGGTACCCTTCTGGTCATGAGATCTGCCTCTTCCTTGGCTGCCCTGGAAGCCGCTCTCTCCGCGAGCAGCCTTCCCCTTAGGCCCTCCACCGTCTTCCTCCCGTCGACCTCCCCTCCGCCGGCCATTCCTCTAAGATCACACACACAAGGAAGAATGCTCCATCAGTGGAAGCAGAAGGAAGACCAGAAAAAAGGAATCACCAGCGGCGGGGGAGAAGAACAGCCACCTCCATGGGTCTCGGCCCTCGCCCTGCGCAGTATACATTTGGGGATGGGCAGCAGAAACTTCGGTTCCGAGTGAACCACAAAATCACAGGGAAAGAAAATCACAGGAGACCCCCCGACCCCGCGGAGCTTCTCTGCTCAGGTTGCCACAAATCCACCCGCAATCCCAGGAGCGCCATGAACGACGTAGAATGTCTGTAGAGAGAGAGAGAGAGAGAGAGAGAGAGAGCGGTGGTGAGGTAATGAAAGGTTGCAGGTGCCGGCAGGTGGGCGGTGGAGATGCCGGCGGTGGGGGGGAGGTGTCGTATTTCAAAATCAAAGACGGGTTTTTTGTTTCCTGTACGTGAAGTGGTAATTTATAGACGCCACCAAGACAGATCTGGCCTCCAACACCGCTTGTTCTCATTCCGGCGAACCCAGAAGCAGACCCAGGTGGCCGAGCGCCGCTCCGCCGCCGCCGCCGCCGGCGATGGTCCCAGCGGCGCAGAAGATGAATGACAGTAGATCAGTCAGGAGGGGTCTTGTACAGCGGCGAGCAGGGTCACGGATCGGGGAGAGTGGGCCGAGGGTGGCACGTGATCCGCCATGTCGTTTTGAAGTCCTCGGGAGGCGGGATCCGACGGGGCACTGTCGGATTTTTTGGCCAGGTGGGGAATGATGGGCCTGGAAGGGCTTTCTGGGCCTGTAGAGGAACTTCAACTGACCGACCAGTATAATGTCCGCTGGACAGCCCAGTAAAGAACCATATACATTTCAAAAAAATGTACTAATAAAGCTCACTCCGAAAAAAATCCTCATGTCCACGAGAAGAAAATTTTAACCCTTGGGGAGAGTTGAGTGCAGAAAAAGAGAGAGAGAGAGGGAGAGAGGGAGGGAGTTGGGTGCAGAAAACGAGAGAGAGAGAGGGAGAGAGGGAGGGAGTTGGGTGCAGAAAACGAGAGAGAGAGAGAGAGAGAGAGAGAGAGAGAGAGAGAGAGGGAGTGAGTTGGCAGGGTGGGTTTCTGGGTTTACCCGGAGCATGTAATCCCGAGTGTATGTAATGTGATAGAGAGAGGATATAAGGATTTTTGTTCTAAAAAAAGAAACATCGCAGAGAAAAAATCTTAATAAATATGGAAAAAAACAAAGGAAATAAATATGCACAGTTCATGAACAAAAGTACTCTCACCCAGGTTATACTGACAAGATGAAATGCAGTCAAAGCTAAGGGGAATTATCTAAATAGCTATGAATAAAATTAACTTTAGGGTTCCACCCTCCCCTCTTCCGAGCTGTCACCTCTGCAAGAAATGAGAGGAATGATGATGTTCATCAGCCAGATAATCATCAAGCCCCTCATGGATTCCAGTCGGCTTCTTGATCACCTATCTGCCCTATATAAATCAGCAGACATCAACAAAACAAGACCTATGCTTCTGTTACTAATATCTCTTTCATCTCAATTGAGACCTAACGAAAAAAATTCTAGGAATCACTGAAGCAGCTGAGAACACTGAGAACTACTGTTTATGATGAAAATTAGGCAGAGGCAGTGAGATGCTAAATACGAACTAGCATAGTTTTTTAAGAGGAATTAGTGCTAAAAGATCGAAGCTGGAGCTTCACAACTTGGCATGTTATATGACAAACTTTCAGATTCAATTGGTATTTATGCAATCTCGTTCCAAGGATATCTATAAAAAAAATAAAAGAGATAATTTATGGGGAAAAATGATCTTAAACTATGTGCTTATATAGTCCCAACAGGAATTATCCCAAAAAATGAACTATATGAAGGTTAATCATATAGGGTTTAGGAGAAATAGTCATCCAACAGGAAATCAAGGGCATTAATCAGCAGGCAACATCTGAATAAACCTGTTTCTCATACCATGGATTTGTTTACTTATTAACAAAACTACTCAGGATGATAGATTTTCTATTCATTTTTTTGAGGAGCAGATCACAAAGGTCAAGTGGTTGGGGCATCATCACTGCCAAAACAAGGAATTATCAGATACAATGCAGCAATTCTAGGATCACAGAAAAAGCAATTGGGAGGGTGAAGCATTTCGAGACTGGAACAATTACTCCCCAGATACTTTGGACCCATAATTTTCTTTCTGTAAATGGACGCATCTGATTAAAGTTATGGTATCCGCTGTCACATAATCAGCCATGAAGCCATTGGGCCCTTTAAGCTTCAGAAGACCAAAATGTGTCACAAGAATCAGCCCTTACATAGGAAAAGGCGTATTAAAGCAAGAAGAAACGCAAGATCCAGTCGGTCAATTCCGTTCAAATTATGACATGACATGGATCGAATAGATATCACAAGACTTTTCGACCCAACACAGTGGAGCCCAATCATAAGAAAACAATGAGAAAAATGGGGAAGGCGAGGGCGACCAGAGGATCAATAGTGATGATTCTCCTCTGGCTTTTCTCTTTTTCGAACGGAGGTGTTTCACTTGGTCTTCAACCCCGTCTGCAGTCAGCTATTTCGCGTCTTCTTCCTTCTTCCTCTTCTTCTTTTGCCTACGCTCGCTGCTGCTCACACCATTATCTTCCCCCACAACCCCTTCCGTCGCATCTGTAATCTTCTTCTTCTTCCTCTTTTTCTCACTGGCATAGCTCTCGTGTCCTAACGTCTCAACCACATTTTCTCCTGCGCCTTCTATTCCCTTGCCAGGCCTGCTTTTCTTTTTTCTACTCGTCTCGTCTACCTTTGAATCAATAACATCCACATATCCCTGGTTTTCATACACTTCACACGGTCGAGCGCTGCCCTCAATCTCCCCATGGTCCTGATCCCGAACTGCTTCTACAGCCACCTCCTCTTTCTTCTCCTTCTTCTCCTTCTTCTCCTTCTTCTCCTTCTCCTTCTTCTCCTTCTCCTTCTTCTCCTTCTCCTTCTTCTCCTTCTTCTCCTTCTTCTCCTTCTTCTTCTTCTTCTCCTTCTTCTCCTTCTTCGTCTCCTCTTCCTCCTCCGCCTTCTTCCCTACCTCCTCCAAAAGCCCGATGCCGGAATCCTCATGCCCGGCCAAGAGAGAACTGTGGAACTCCACGAGCTCGTCGGAGGCCTCCGACGTGCGCCTGAGGAACCCCGCGACGTCCTGGTGAGCTTCCGTCGCCGACGCCACGAAACGGGACATGATAGACGCAGCTTTCTTCACCGAGACCACCTTCGAGGAAAGCACCGTCCCAGTGATCGGCTTCATGGTGATCCCCCCTCCTCCTCTCCCCCTATCCCTCCCCCCACCTCCCCCGCAGGTTTTCGGTGGGGTTTCTTCGCGCCGGCTGACGGTGGAAGAGAAAGAAAGGGTTTTATTCCCTAATAGGGCACCAAATCGAAAGAGAAGCCACGATCCGGAAAACGGGCCGGCCTAAACGCAAAGCGGGGCCCAGGTCTTGTTGAGCGTGGGTTAGTGGGCCGCGATACTCCCGAAGCTCAAGGCCCCATTTGGGCTGGCCGATCCGAACGAACCCGGCCGGGTGGCGCCGGATCAGCCGATCCCGCTCTGGATGGACCCTTCACCGGGTGGTCTATCCGCGGCAAATTAATAAATTAATAAATAATTCAAGCAGGAAAAAAAGGATTAATTGCAGCAAGGTCTGATTAAATGGCAGGTAAATACAAGGAACCCAACTCGGATTTACAGCGGAGGAGAAGAAAACGAATAATCTTTGGACATTTGCTGGTAAAAGGGGGGAAAAAATGCCGGGCTGCACCTGTTATCTGAAAACGGGGGCAAAATCTGATAACCAGGAGCAGACACAGGGGCCGAGACATCCATCTGGCACAGAGGATCGTCCCTCCTTGACCAGAGAGTAAGTGGCACGGAGGTCGCCATGGCCGCCGCATCCATTCCTCTTTCTCCTTCAGTCCTTCCATGGCCGAGGGGGAGTTCCCCCCGCCATGGCCGGGTGAGAAGTCTGGGGCGGATGGGCCTCGGAGTCGTACTTCTGCGAAGCGAGGTAGCTGAGGGCGGTGACCACGTCGGCGATGAGCGGCCGCATGGTGGGATCCTCCTGCACGCACATGGCGGCGACAGCAAGCGCCTGGTAGAGGCATCTCACGGGGTATTGGCCCCGGAGCGACGGGTCGGCCATCTGGGAAAATTTCCTCCTGTCCTTGAACAACGGTCGGGCCTGCGACCAAGAAGGCAAGATTTGACAGGGGGGGTCTCCATCAGACCAAAGTTCAGAAATAAAGAGAACCCAGTGGAATCCATAAGAGGATGAAACCTACACGATGGAGATGGAGATGGAGATGGAGATGAAGATGGGGAGGGTAGGGGGGGCCTACCCAAGCAACCAGGTTGTGCTCTCCGGCAGCTCTCGAGTTGTCGATGGCTTTTCTTCCGGTGATAATCTCCAGAAGAACCACTCCAAAGCTGTAGACATCCGATTTCAGCGTCAGCTGCCCCGTCATGGCATATTCAGGGGCACAGTAGCCGTATGTGCCCATGACCCTCGTGGAAACATGGGTCTTATCTCCAACCGGGCCAAGTTTTGCCAGCCCAAAGTCCGATAACTTGGGGAAATGCCCTTCCCCGAGTAAGATGTTCGAGCATTTCAGATCACGGTATATGACCGGGGGGTTGGCCTTATCGTGCAAGTACTCCAAACCCTTAGCAGCGCCAGCAGCAATCTTCATCCGGGTGTTCCAGTCTAGCCTTTTCTTCTCGGATGGCAAATCTGTTTGATGCACCACATTTCAGGGAGTAATTCTTCACCATGGTTATTCTAGACCTTCGATAAGAAAAGCCAAGTCAAATAACCAGTGATGAGGCGTGGGTTGTATACCATGAAGATGATCTTCCAGAGATCCGAGGGGCATGAACTCGTAGACCAGAAGCCTCTGATCTCCATCGGCACAGTAGCCAATCAGATTGACGAGATTAGGATGGTGAAGTAGACTCAACATCAACACTTCCACAAGGAATTCCCTGTTCCCTTGCAAGCCATTCCGATCAAGCTGCTTTATAGCCACAATCTATGACAAAGACAACGCAGTTTCATATATTATTTTCTTGTTAAAGATCATTAATTTTTTTGTTCACTAAATTGTGAGAAATATAAATAAAATTTGCAATGGAAAGCAAGATGAAATCACCGTCACAAATCATCGGCACAAAGTATATATAACCATGAATCAGCTTTGTCTGAATCAGCCCGTCCATGGAAATTCCCAAGACGTTATACCTGTACCCAGTGTGCCTGTATTCGCATATCTTTTTTCCCCCTTGGAAAGGTTTATGTTCATGTGGGTTGCATTAACATGCAGGGTAATATGAACAGGCATTGATATTCAAGGGAATATGGGACGCAGTATCGATGTGCATTAAAGAAGACATCATCATCATCATCATCAGCTAACCTGACTGGTGCTCTCCAATCTGCCCTTGTAAACTCTACCAAATCCTCCTTCGCCCAGGAGACAATCAGCTCTGAAGTTCTTCGTAGCAGCTGCTAGCTCACGGAATGTAAACGTCTGAGCAGCAATATGTTCAGATTCACCGCTCCTCGGAGCCTCCTTCCTATCTGACCTGTTCAATGGGCCATCTCTCTTCAACCCTACTGCTGCAGCTGATCCCAGTTTCTCTGTCCACAGTGAGACGGTGGGTGAGAAACACAGACGAGATATAACTAGGGTTGATGGGAACTGAAGAAGAGGCAGAGGGCATAATAAATGCAGAAAGAAATTGTTGAGTGGGTTAGAGTAATCGAGACTGAGAAGAAAAGCTTACCCTTCAGAGAGTTGGATTGAATGTTCTCATTCTGTGGATAAGAATACATAATGGGATAAGTTGACCGACTTGACGCAAGGAAAACTCAAGTGTGGCACCCAAAAATTCATGAAAAAGAATTTAACTCCACACCGGAAATCCAGTCAAATTACAGCCCAGTAGATTCTTTAGCATCTTCATTGATAGAAATACATTGGCTCACACGCATATAAATATCTATCTACTCTGTCTCTTCGCCACTTTTGGTGATTAGAAAGAGTAAGCCATCGTTGACCAATAAAATAATCCTACGCTATCTAATCCAGCAGCCAATTAGGGTAATCGGATTAGAACAAGCAGAAATTGGGGACTTGGTCTACACCGGGTTTCTTACAGATCCCCACAAGATTGAGAATCGACGTAGGCTACCAAAATAGTATGATTTGTTGAGAGTGAGAGAGAGAGAGAGAGAGAGAGAGAGAGAGAGAGAGAGAAGCCATCGTGAAGCAACCCGTTTCTAAAAGAACTTTTCCAGGCTTCGACAATAGATTTTTCGACAGAACTTCTGAACATTAGGAGCTAGAGTTCCAGCAGGAGCTTGTCATTTCATTCGAAACAAAGTACATCCAGATGCAACCTTACCAAAAAAACGCTTGATGAGGAGAGGCAATTAAAATGACAAACGGGGTTCCATGTTTTCACCTCGACGATAATAGGCTTCCCAAAGAAGTCCCATCGCAGACGACGGGAAGAGTCGAAAAACAAGCATAACCCTAATTGTCACCTCAAATCCACGATGATCGGACCAGAGAATGGGAACAGAAGGTTAGAAATCTACTATATACTGGCAAGATCCGAGGAGCGGCGACCGAAGCGAATGTAATGAAAACTGATGGATGCAAATTAAACCACAACAAAATAGATAGGTAATGACTCAATACCTTGCGCCGCTTTGGCCTGATCGCCCCTTTTCTTTTCCTGCTTTTCACTGGATTTCCCGGAGCAGGGGAAGCAACCCATATCACCCCTTCCCCGAGTTCCCACGGATTATTCCACTGCTGAGGAGATAGGTTTGAGACGAGGGAGGAGGAGGAAGGGTTGCGGCGACGAGAACTGTTTAACGGACGGAGAAAGCTTGTGAGAAGGAAATAAAGAAAAACGAAGGGAATAGTTTCCTTTTCTGTACGTCTTATCAGACGCAAACTCCCTCCATCTCCCTCTCTCTCTCTTCCTCTCGCTCGCTCTCTCTCTCTCACACACACACTCTCGGCGTCTCTCTGTCTCTCTCTGTCTATTAGGTTCTGTCGAAATTCTTTGATCGTTCTCTGTATTATCAGAGAAACCACTATTTTGACCCCCTCTTTTTTGCCGTGCACCCGGTCACCTTAAACCCCTCCAGGACTCTCTCACAAGGCCTTTTACATCGAGAAGAAGCCGTGGAGGAGAGAAGTGTGTCCAAGGGGTGAAAATAGCAGTACCCCCCCCCCTCCCCATCCCGATCCAACGGAGGAGATTCGACGCGTACTTGATCGGCCATTCTCCGCAGCCCTCCGATTGCTGGGCCTCTTTGTCCGAGTCCACCACCTGCTCTACCCCACCAAACCCGCCCAATCAGGAGGATTGCTTGAATCGGCCGTTACCCTTTCGCGTACCCGCGGGGCGGGGCCCTCACAGGAAAAAATTGCCCTTTTACTCCCTTTTTTAAAATCGATATAATTCATTTGAAATGGGACCGGACCGGACCGGACTCGACCGGCGGCGCCGATCAAGCCGGGGCGGCGCAAAGAAAACGGAAACCGTTAAACCGTAACTCTTTGGCCATGTGCCGCGTTAACACGTGTCAGAATCAGGTGCCTTATTTCTTGAACGTGATCGAATATGGTCAGAATGAAGATTCCCTCTGCTCCCTCGACACCGAAGCCACCTGCTCTCGCTTCCACGTAGCCGCCGGCGTCGCCCTAGCCGCAACCCGAGGCGGCGCACTTGTTGTCCCGAGGCACCGCCCCTCCCACCCCCCCACCAATAAGTGACGTCATCTCCCACAAAGACGGCGCTGCAACGTAAATAAGAAGATAAAGATGCTAGTTTTTGAGTCTGGTGATGGATGGGAAACCCCGTTTTTACTGCCTGGGCTTCTTCGTGGCAGCGAGGGGCTCCTGCTCGGGGCCATCGGGATTAGGGTTTGTAGCCGGAATCTCGTGGTTGTGCTTCCCCTCGTAGGTGGTGATGACGGAGTTGGGGTCGTCCCACGCCCTCTCGACGTGCTTCCGGACGTTGCACTTGGGAGCGGAGCACTTGTAGTAGCTCCTGCAGCATCGAACCGTTCCGCAGATTCATATAAGATCGAGCTTCCTCTAGGTCAAACCTTAGAGAGAGAGAGAGAGAGAGAGAGAGAGAGAGAGAGAGAGAGAGAGAGAGGAGGAATGGTTGACCTTGGATATGGGTTTCCCTTGACGACCTTCTGGCCGTACTTTCTCCACTGGTAGCCGTCCCCCGTGGCGCTGGACTCGGGGCTGGTCTGCACCACAGTGTGAGATTCGGGGAGAGCTTTCGTAGTTCCTCTGCGACGGGGAGTTCCAAGGTTGAGGACGAAGCTAGAAGTGATGATACTCGAGGGGGAGGAGAGTGAGATTCCAGAAGAGTACCTTCCCTTCGAACTGCGTTCATCAGGCCCTTCCTCTTCACAGACTGCTCGCCCAAATCCACAAGATTCGGAAGTTCCGATCTGGGTATTGTACGCTTGTTCGGTGGTGAGTTCAACATTAGTCAACGCTTTCCCACTGTATGAATCAGTTATCGAGCAACCCACTTCACTGGCGCTTTCCACTCTGCCCTCGGATTCGTCGTTGGTCAACGGCTGCGCACCGTCGTCTCTCCCGTACCCATCGGAGGCCGATCTCCCTTGTGAAGTTGACTGGAAGCGTTTGGAAGTTTGGGGCTTGGGGTGGTTGTGCTCACCTCTGTAGATGATCCCTTCTATCTGCCCATTAAGCGATCTCTCGATCTTCTTCTTCACCGGGCAGCTTGGATGAGTACATTTGTAGTAGCTCCGAGGGTACTCGCTTCCTTTCACCTGTTTCTGCCCGTATTTTCTCCAGTTGTATCCGTCATGGGAGATCTGATCCCCGCTGTTCATCGAGAGCTGGGGCTTCAAATCTTCCTCCAGGGTTCTCCCAAAATCCTTTGGAGGTTCCATTGATTGCCGTATCGCGTTGAACTTGGGTTCCTGATATTGATCAGCGATGGAGGTTTGTGGGTACTGGAGCTGACGCCTCCTTTTCTCCGGATGATGAATCTGGGATTGAAGCTGTTCTGAAATCGTCTGACAGATGTTTGTATCCCCCTTTACAAGAAAAAAGAAAGAAAGAAAAGATTTAACTTGGTTCTCTAATGTTTCCAAGAAATTAGTAGAACTATCGCACAGACCATTTTCTCCAAGAAAACGGTGCTCCTTGAGACGAGCTTTGCTGTTGGCTTGTGTATGATGCTGAGATTTCCATCTGATCTCGAGGGTCTGACAGAGTAATCGCAGGAATCAGGCATCGTTGAAGCAGAATCTCCGTCCTGAGACATATTTTCCCACTCAGATCATTAAACCCAGGAAGCTCATGGCCTTTTGGATGGGAAAACACAGGTCAGGGTCTGCAGCTCACCATGGATAGGAAATCTTCAACTGATGAACATGTTGCTGAAGTCGTCAATCTCGTGATCTTGGGCTTAATCGGAACAGGCATCTCCGGATCCAAAGCTGATGGAGAGGCATGGATGGCGTCGGTGAGGAATTCGGTGAAGGATCTGAACTTTTTGAAAGGCCTGGAAGCCACGGGTCTCGCTATGACAGGCCTCTCCTCATCCTTGGCTTCCATCTCACCGAAGGGGTCGTCAGTAGCTGCTGCCTCCTGCCTCAAAACCTGGCATTGGCGTTCAGCTGACGGCACCCGAGTGGATGAATACTGCTAACTTTCTGCTTATTTTCGATGGGATTTAACCCGTCACTCTGAATTCAAACTTCATTCTTCTGGATGCAGAGTTACCAACTGAAAATGTTTCAGGAACAAAAATGGACAGCAAAAAACAAATTGGGTGATCCTTGTAATTGATAGCAAGAACGTCCAAATAATAGTTAATAAATCAGTCTATTGCGGTCACTAATCCGCCGCACGATTCCGTCACACACCTCGTGTTTTGAACAATTTCTTCAGCCGAAAAGGGTTAATCATTGGAATAAATTTAGGGCAGACGACGAAATAGATCAGAGCAGCGCATATAAGGACTTTGTGATCTCAACGGGAGGAAAGCCCCTATGGCGAAACAGAGTTCTTGGTTCGTACGGCAAGGGACTTGCTCTCCGCTCCCGGTTCCGCTCCGTGGACGATAACAGAGCTCAGAAAGCATGGTGATGAACAATTCATGGTAGTGGATCCTTTTGCCTCGGATCAAAACACATCGAAGGCTCTGATCGGGGGAGAAAACGGAAGAGTGATCGAATAGTCACTCTAGCGCTAGCAGAAACACAAGAACGGAAGGAAGAAGACCGAGGCAAGTCGTCTACGAAGCTACGAACGCGATGAACGACCTTAGACCAGAAGTATGAAATAAATGCACAGAAGAAGATCAAATGGTCCATCGAACGAACCAGGGGGGACGGAGTCAGTTACTTCGACAACACCGCATTCCTCTCACAAAGCTGTCGAGGAAAAAGTCGCCGGAGTGGGGGAGGGTTGGAGAGTCTCATTGGACGCTTTGCCTCAGTCGGCCGCCACCCACGCCAAATCGATCTATCCAGTAGGAATCACAGTTCCGCGATGTACCAGCGTTCCGGAAGCAATCAACGAAGAATGCGCGAAAAAATTGGAGAGATCCAGAGATGAAAACTGGAAGGGAATGGAGAAGCTACAGTACCTCTCGGTGGTGAGCTCTCCCTTCTTCTCTTCGACTCTCCCTCCGACTGTGGCAGGGAACAGAGCTCCGTCGGATATGGACGTAGGGGGGAACCCGATCGGCAGAAGACTGTTCAGAGTTCGTACACGTATACGCAGGTTCCCTGCAGTTCTCCTGTGAGTGTGGATAGCGACGAAAATCTTCCGCCGCCGCCGCTCATCCGACGCTGTCGCGGGCTGCTGCTGCGGCGGGCATCTCTGAGACTTGTTTGGTGAGACGGAGGTTGAAAGTTCGGTGTGGAAGGGGATCGACACGTGCGGAGGGACTCACGCCCCACCCGACATTCAAAGGGGAGACTGGTAGATGGATTTGAATCTGTAGTGGTGGGCTCCACCGAAGTCAGCTCACGTGCGTGCAACGGAATCCCAGAAGAAGACAAAATAAAAAAAAAAATCCCCGATTGTCAATGTACCCTAGAAGTATGGAAACTCTCCCAAATAAACAGCGTGATGAGAATATGCCTGATGTCGGACTTGGGTAAGTTAGTAGAGAAAGTACCAAAATAAATGGGTTTTTTTATAAAAATAGTGAAATAAAAAATGCATTTTTTGAAATGTGGGTTCAAACCAACTGATCAAAATTTGCCCCGGCTATAACGGATTACCAGAAGAAGAAATAATTATTTTTCCCCGATTTTCAGTGCCCCGAAAAATAGTAGAATTGTGGAAACTCTAACAAATTGCTTGATGGTATTTACCTAATTTAGGGCTGATGTGGTTTGGTGAGAAACTATCAAAATAAATGTTTTTTTACATAAATGGATTATTTAGGGAGAAAAAAATACTTTTTTCCCCGAATTTCAGTCCCACAGAAAAACTGTAAAATTATGGAAACCCCCTCCCCCCCAAATAGCCTTACACGTGTACTTAATTTAGGACACATGTCGGTTGGCGCAGAAACCATAAAAAACACGTTTTTTTAAAATATAATTGGCCCAGACCGTCATATGGAGAACCGGAATGGGGGGGGGGGGGGGGTTTCGATTTAGGGTATTAGCCAGATTATGATTTAATTTGGGCCGGCTGAAATGGATGCAGTTTTTGGGCTGCATTCTGCTGAAGCTCTATTTTGGGCCTAAATTGAGAATACATGGTGGGCCCATCTGGGATTTATGGGCTGGGCCGAAGGAAAGGACCCAATAATTGGATCCTCCTCGCTCTTAAATTCAATCGACTCCCGGCGGCGCCGCCGGCGAAGGAGAGAGATGCGCCGCCGGACGGACGGCGATCAGGGAAACATGAGCGCCGCCTACCCCAGCAACCTTCTCGACGATGCCCTGGGAACGGCTGGTGCAGCTGATAGTGCTGCAGCTTCTTGCCCTCGGCGGCGGTTCGTCCTCGTCGAGGACTGCGTCGAGACGAGCGGGGCTTTCGTCCTCCACCACTTTGTGAAGCGCGCCTTGCCGAGCTCCGAGACGAGGGAGGCCGTGATCTTCCTCGCCCTCGCACAGAACTTCTCACATTACGACCGCGTCCTGAGGAAACTCGTAAGCGTTCTTCCATCTCCCTCGTCATTTCGCCGAGCAACTAGAGCTCGTCTCTCATCTGAAGGCTAGACCTAGAGAAAAGGCCGGATACTGAACCATATATACACGCGTGTGTGTGTGTGTGTGTGCTCCGGAGGAGGGGGGAGGAGAGTCTCCTCCTAGATCATCCCGCGCCAGTTATATGCGAATCTTTAGTAACAGAATACCATCTCTGGAATTACATGATAGGAATTTTCTCTTTCACTGGTTCTTTGGCCATTCATATGTAGTTGAGGACGTTGTGAATTTATTGACGAAGAGATGATGCAATACTACCTGCTTAGAAACTTATTAAAGAGAATAATGTCCGCGTTTGCAATGCAATTACATCATCTCTACCGAGGTAAACAAGGAATATGTCTCGAGGAAAAATCATTTTCAATTTTGGAAAATAACGAGATTATTTTGATTAAATATGTTAGAGGCATCTAAGGAGTTCATGATTCTGCGGGGTGAAATCAATTTCACTATCTAAGGCGAAGAGAACTCACCTCAAATGTACTTGAGACCTAAGAACAAGTATCATTTTGACTTCTCTCTCAATCTCTGCATCTGATCAAGTGGTATGACATTTTCTCTCGATTGCGGAGAGGCATTTAGAACATGAAGATTACAGTGCCAGGGTTTGAAAAGTAGGATTTATATTGAACTCGTACCAGGTGCTTGTAGAGGTGGTAAGTTAAGTTCATAAAAATTCCACTTCAAATATTTTGTTGATTGCCCTTTGCATGTCGTTCTTCAGATTTGTCTTTTACACTCGTTGAGTGATCATTGGCCTCAAGAACCAGCAGTGAGACTGATCTAGGTAATAAAACCCATGCAAACCTTCTTGTCATTGTAAAAGAAAATAGAGAAATAATATGAAGTATGGATTTATGTTAAGATAATCTCTTACAGTGTGCCTTCTTTAAAAAATTGCGTTTGGGTGTTACAAATATCAAATATCCGTAGAACCTTCATCAGTCAAATGGTTTTTGCTCCCATCTATCCTTTCCATTGCAGTGCACTTACTTCCTGTTCATTTATGGTAACATGGAACATTTGAAACTAGGGCTGCAACCTTTCCATCCATAGGGACAAGAAGAAGCTGTTTTTCTTGGAGTTGCTTAAGCTCCAGTTCCCAGGTGAGTGAGTGACGAAGCTATGGGTTGGACCTTGATTTAATCCTCAAGCAGTGATTTCCTGCTACATCATGTGATATAAAGCTACATGCTGTTCGACAGATGGTGTGGGATGGAATGACAACGAGGCGGGTTTCATTGATTTATACGGTGGGATACAGAGAACAGTGGAAAGCTGTCGATCTCCTGAACGCCGCGTGGCCACCGTCACAATTCTTATAGATGACATCTCTCTTCTGGAGATAGCTGCAGGAGGTTCTGCAGACCATGTTCTTGATTTTCTTCACTATTGCGTCACCCTCACTTCTGAAATGGTAAGAAGGCTTCCAGATTTTGCTTAACTCACAGGTGGATCGATACTCCGGTTATTACCCATTCTGGTGGTCTTCGTTCTCAGGATTGCTCGCTGATTGTGTTGACCCATGAAGATGTATACTCCCATACGGAAGGCCCTACCCTTCTTTCTCATCTGGAGTACCTTGCAGATACCATAATTAGGGCAGAACCTTTGCGCACTGGTCTGTCCGCTGATGTGCATGGGCAGGTATTTGCTTTCTATCTCTTCAACATGTTCTTCTCGAGGATTCAAGCTGGTTGGCTATTGGCAGAGGGCTCCTTGATTCCACTTATTGATCACCATTCTATCTCTATATTTCGTCCGACCAGTAGGGTTTCAGACATTGATTCCATGCGGATGTTGGGTATCAATCGAAGGATAGATTTAGATGTAGAGAGAGAATCTTCCATATTTCCTTCACCAAGTTCAACGTACTCTTTGCTTTTATGTGATCTTCCTCGGTTTCATGCCTCTCTTTCAGTTGACTATTGTGAACAAAACGTTGACGACCCGTGACCACGGTGGTTCCCAGGGCAAGGCACAGAACTTCCACTTCAGAGTGAAGGAGAACAGCGTGGATTATTTCTATCCAGGGACACTGGCTTGAGACGGCGCACTCAAAAATCAATCTCACACGGTGGGTGACCGAGTCAGCGTGATTATTTCTGCCGTTCCGCACTGCTCGGCTGACCGGTCCCTTGTGTGCATGTTTTGAGAGAGAGAGAGAGAGAGAGAGAGAGAGAGAGAGAGGGAGTCTGTGTGTACTACATTGACCTAGAAAGTAGATCTTACAAAGATTTCTAATGTGCTTTTATAAGTGGCAGATGTGCTCTCAAACTGACCAAGTGCATAGATGGAGAGAGAGAGAGAGAGTCTGTGTGTACACCAAGAAAGTAGATCTTACAAAGATTTCTAGTGTGTTTTTATAAGTGGTAGATGAGCTCTTAATTGGGGGGAACCCGAAGATGGCCAAGATGAGAGAGAACCTCTGGGGGGAAGCGGTGTCGACCTTGATATATGGCTTGCGGATGCTTAAAACGCACGTGGAAACTGCGTCCCCCTCTAAATACCATCGAACAGGCCCTACATAATTGGTCTCTCTCTCTGTCTCATCCCCAACTCCCCTCGGCATCTGTTCACGGAGGAAAGCTTCGACCTTTTCACCCTCGGCAGCAGGCGAGGAGCTTCGCGAGCGATCAAAACCCTAAACGGAGAGGGGAGATGGCTCCGGTGGATCCACACTCATTCGCTGACTCCGAGCAGCCCTTCGCCACCCACATTTCCCTCTCCCTGTATCTGGACTTCTCCCAGTCCACCATCCACGGCACAGCTCTCTTTACCCTCCCCAGAGCCCACGCCGGCGCCATCACCCTCGACACCCGCTCCCTCCACATCTCCGCCGTCCTCCACCCTGAAACCCTCGCCCCTCTTCCCCACCACCTCTCCTTCCCGCCGGACCCCATCAAGGGCCAGGCTCTCACCGCCACACTCCCCTCCCTCTCCTCCTTCCTCGTCGCCTTCTATACCTCCCCTTCTTCCTCCGCCCTCCAATGGCTCTCCCCCCCGCAGACCTCCGGCAAGGTTTCCCCCTTCGTCTACACCCAGTGCCAGTCCATCCACGCCCGCTCCATCTTCCCCTGCCAGGACACCCCCGCCGCGCGCATTCGCTACTCCGCCCGCCTGAACATCCCCGCCGGCCTCTGCGCCGTAATGGCCGCCGCGCGGGGCCGGCGCCGCGAGCCCCACGCTGGCGAGGCGGCGCCGGCGTGCCCCGACGGCACCTGGTGCGCGGAGGACAGGATGGTGGAGGAGTTCCAGATGGAGCAGCCGATCCCGCCATACCTGTTCGCCTTCGCCGCCGGCGAGATCAGGAGCAGGGAGGTGGGGCCGAGGACCTGCGTGTACGCCGAGGGCGGGGTGGAGGTGGTGGAGTCGGCGGCGAGGGAGTTCGCCGGCGCGGAGGAGATGATCCGGGTGGGGGAAGGCCTCTTCGGGCCTTACGAGTGGGAGAGGTTCGACTTACTGGTGCTGCCGCCGAGCTTTCCCTACGGGGGCATGGAGAATCCGAGGATGGTGTTCTTGACCCCGACGGTGATCAAGGGCGACGCCAGCGGCGCGCAGGTGGTGGCGCACGAGCTCGCCCACAGCTGGACGGGGAATCTCATCACCAACAAGACCAACGAGGACTTCTGGCTCAACGAGGTTCCTCCACCTCCGCTGCTCCGTTCCCATCCATCCCTGAAGTAACGTCATCATCATCATCCTCTTTGCGGTTTCTAGGGTTTCACGACGTACGCAGAGAGGAGAATAGTGGAGGCGGTGCAGGGGGAGGATCGGGCGGCACTGAACATCGGAATCGGATGGAGGGGCCTGAACAACGAGATGGAGAGGTTCAAGAACAACATGGAATTCACGAAGCTGAAGACTAACCAGGAGGGCGTCGATCCGGACGAGGTCTACTCCGAGGTCCCCTACGAGAAGGGCTTCCACTTCCTTTGGCGCATCGAACGGCAGGTACCGACGGATCTCCCAACCCAAAATCCATAGCTAGTTAGATCCCTGCAACAGCAAAAAAAAAAAAACACGCCGTCAGAATCCTCCTGCAATCCTCATCAGATCGGACGGGACGAGTTCGATCGGTTCCTGAAGAAGTACATCGAGAATTTCAAGTTCCAGTCGGTGGACACGGAGACCTTCGTGGATTTCCTGAAAGAGAACGTACCAGGGATAGATCAGGAGATCGACCTCGAGGTGTGGATCTACGGCACCGGCATCCCCCCGGACGCCGCCGAGCCCGTCTCCGCCATATACTCCAAGATCCTCTCCCTCTCGGAGAAGATCAAGCTCGGGGAGATGCCGGCGGAGGAGGAGGTGGCGGAGTGGTGCGGCCAGGAATGGGAGCTCTACCTCGAGAACCTCCCCAAGCCTCTGGAACCTTCTCTGGTGACGGAACGCCCCTCTTCTCCATGATTATGAACTCCCGCCCGCCTCCTGGGAGAGATTTGAAAGGGATCTCCCGCCATTTTTGTTCTCCCTGCGCATTTGCAGGTGGCGGCGCTTGACGCGAGGTTCGGCCTGACGGAGAGCGGGGACTGGGAGGTGAAGGTGGCCTTCCTCCAACTGGCCATCGCCTCCGGCTGCAAGGAGTACATGGCGGTGGTGGAGAAGGCTCTGAAGGCGGTGGGGAGGATGAAGTATCTCCGCCCCCTCTACACCGCCCTGCTTCAATGCCCCGAGAAGGAGGAAGGGAAGATACTCGCCCACCGGCTCTTCGCAGAGGCCCGTGAGTCCTATCACCCCATCGCGCAAGGCGTGGTGGAGAGCATCCTCTCCAGGCACCAGTAGACCGGGCGGTGCCGCCGCCTCCTCATCTTCTTCTTCCTCCTCCTCACCCATCCTTGACCCCCATGCCCACATGAATGAATGCTACACTTATCAGAGAGCTTCTCCATGGAAGATGACATATGAGTTGGTTGCCTTATTTAGCAAGAGGTGCAGTTCTGAGTGTTCGAGGGTCTGCAACATTAAACAGTACTGGTTGAGGTGAAATCTATGACCTGCTTAGGGTGGCTGCCCAGCTTGCCGAGGGCCCTGTCCAGTGCCGCACTGAAATCGTGGAAGGGAACCAGATCCGTCCTGCAAAGGTTTTCTCTCTGTATGAGTTTTGGTGGCATCAGAAGGAAGAAAACATCGCCCAAGCAGGTGGGGTGGGAGGGTGATTACTCGTATTGGAGCTGCCCGTCGCGCACCAGGCGGAGGAGGTGGTCCAGCATCGCCCTGAAGTCTTCGGCCTTCTCGGGGGCCATCCACTTCTGTAGCCAGAAGCCTCGGAGGGAGAGATCCTGAGCAAGAATGCATCCACCAGTTTTCTTGAGAAAAAAGAGCAGGGAGGAGACGAGAGGGAAGGGCTGTTCCCTCTTTGGAAAAATTAAGAAGAAATAAAAGGCATATACTAGAAATTTTGATGGCACTTAATATCCGACCTTGACTGAGATTACCAAAAATCATAACTTTTAGTGAAACATAAACTACCCATTAAAAAGGCTATTTTTGGGTAATTCCTTCCACATGATTATCCTAGCCCGGGAGAACACAAAGGAGATACCACCTCAGATTTTCTTCTGTGAGAGTCACTCGACATGACAAGGTATAATCAGCAGCGACATTTTCAGACCCATTGGAGAGGAAAGTTACCAAGTACGGCACAATTTTTTGGAAGAAAATAGCTACTGATCGTCAAGAAAAATCTGTAGATTAGGCCATGGATACCTTGAATATAAGTTGTGAAGTGGAGACGGTGACTGGTTTCTTCGCCATGCCACCGTAAGTTACCATGGTTCCTGCCTGCCTGCAGTGGGGAAATAAAACTCGATTAGGTTGCTAGACGTGTTTGAACTGAAGACGATTTTTTATACCTTCAGATTTTAAGAATGCAGTAAAAACCTGAGAAGCTTGAGAACCAGCAATGAGGAAGTGCCCCCAACGCAGTTTAATCCCAGTACGGGTTCAGGTAGATCACCCTAAGAATGTTTAAGCAATCATCATAAGAAAATATTTATTGACTTATTCCAAGTAAATAATCACACACCAATCCATTGACTTATTCCATAAGTCAATCAAGATACGATGTAATGGGAACGCACAATAATGAGAGAGAGAGAGATAAATATAACAAGAGTAACTGATTATTTCATAATAAAAATCACTCAATACCAGAAGGCCCTTGACATTCTTTACGTCTAATTGGCTCTCGGTGAACACCTCATCAGCCCCAAGTCTCCTGAGTTTTTCTTTGACTTCTTCCGATCCAGTTCTATATATGACAAAAAAAAAAAGAAAAAAAAAGAAAGAGGGAATGAAACTCCAAGAAGATTACTAAGAAAGATGTAATGATAATACACTAGTGCAATTAGGGTTTCAGAGAAATGGTTCCAGGTTCATGAGATAAAACGGAAGTAAAAATCGTAGGAACAGTATTTATACCTATCTCTGATGATGTTTATGCTGTGTATTTTGTTGAGATGTGCAAGTTGGATAATGCATTGCCCCACCATACTCGTAGCGCCATTTTGCACAATAGCATCGCCTAATTGTCCAAACAAAAATAATTTTAGTACTAACAGGTTGCTCCCCATAGAACTGAAGGAGATAAAACACTGTCAAATATGCAAACTACAATGTACCAGGATTAAGTTGAACAAAGTCCTCCAGCAATCGCAAAGCTGTCACAGGATTTATGGCGATTGTAGCCGCATACTCAATAGGCACATCTTTAATAACCCTGTGCCAAGCATTTTCCTCTTTGACAACATATGTCTGCCATGTTCCTGAGAACCACATCTCTTACCCGTTTCATTGCGCGATAAAACAAACAGATCCAATGGGCAGCAACGACTCATTGCAAAAAAAATAATATGATATCAAAAAAAAAAAGTCTTTAAATACCGATATAAGGTGGTGCTGGAATGACCCAGTCACCCACAGAAAGATTCCCCACGGAAGGCCCCAAAGCTTGGACTTGTCCAACACCCTCAGAACCTCCAACTGCAGGTAATGGAGGCCTCACCGGGTAAACACCTGAAGAGCATTGAAGCTACGAGCCGTTAAGAGGAATCGAGGACCCAAAACTTAAATATCCTGATTTCTACAACTAACATCGGAAATTGGTTCCAGGGGCTGGTTCAGAACCAACCCCTGATGAATAAAACAAGGTTCTTATCCAAAAACGAGCACAAAGATGGAGGAAATCGATCAGGAGTTGGTTCCAGATATCAAGCAGCTAGGAAAATATATATAAAAAAGAAGTCTTGACAACTAGAAGATGCTGACATAAAGCAAAAGAGGCCAATGTTTAACACGTTTCATAACTTCATGCACAGAAAGAGAAACAGCACTTAATTTCTCAAAGCATCATGGAAAATCATGCTCATATTTCTGCGGCGTCCACAATAGCCACGAAGCACGGACTGCGACAGAATATGATGACTTCAGACATTTCCTCCTTCAACACAGATTTGGCTAACAAATGAAAGTTTGATTTCGTGACTCCATTCTAGAGATGATTTAGGGAACGGAATGAACAATGCAAGCTTAGGAAGACATCCAGGATGGGTAATACAAATGATATCCGATACTAAGAACAGTCCGGGAGCAATAATGCGTATATTTCCTCTTATTGTGGCTAATAAGAAACAAGGATAACAAATAAGATCGAAGAATTGCCTTCATTAAACAAAATAAATCGGTAGGAGGCGTGCCTTCTATCCGATTTATGTCAGAAGGGTTGATCGGGGCGGCAAGCATTTTGACGCAAACGTCATTTCCTTTAAGTTCAACGGGAGGGAGATCAATCATCCTGCAGAAAAATCAGATATCAGCGCAAGCTCCAGGCCAAAGAACTCTACAAGTTAGCCTTCCGTCCTTGGGGGTTTGAACAGGGAGCAACTCTCTACGCGAGAAAAAATAACCACAAACGATCTCGTTTGAAAATAGACATCGAGAGGGAGCAGAACTCATTATCTGATGTAAGGGAGTTCCGGGGGTAGTACCTGGTGACTTGGTCCGGTGGGCCATGATGCTCGTAGACGACGGCCTTGGAAGGCGGAGAAAGAACTGCCGAGAAGGACCGGGCGGCAAGGGCCCGATTACCCCGACGCGAAAACGCTCCCGGTCTCGCCACAGCGCAGAGGCTTCTCAGAACCACACCAAAAGACCCCATCGTCCACCTCCTGCAACCTCCACCCCGTCGAAGAAGCCCCCTTCCACAGCGCCCTCCCCCACTACCTCCATCACAGCAGGCGACGTTTTTAGCTCCCACTCGCTTACCGGATCGACAGTGAGTAACCCAATTTCGGCCCATTATTGTAGCCCAAAGAGTAAAATAAAAGTCCGGGCATGTTGACGACTTCGTTGACCCGACCCACAAGCCCGAAAAGTACTTTCATCCGCGGGCCGGGCCTTTAAGGCCCAAAACAGGGCTTCAATAAATAAATTACATTCTCTATTTTACCCCTGACTCACACGTGGCAAGAAACTACGCGCCCTCCCTCCTCAAGATATAATCGATCGCCTCCTCCACAGTGTCGACCACCTGCAAACAAAGCGGAAGAAGTATCATTAATGGCGATATATTTTCCGAATATAGAAGCTGTTCCGGAGGGAGATCACGCCAAGTAACGCGTACCAAATCCGCGGGGAACTGTGAATGGTTTCCCTCTCCCCTAAATAGCCCTGTTCTTGTCAAGATGGAAAACCATGGCCGGCCGGCCTGGAAGAAATAAACGGAAGCTTTAGAACACTATGATACCAGGGAACATTGTGCCAAAGGGAACGAAGAACCTTCTCTGTTCCAATGATGTCGACCGAGGGGTTGTCGCCGATCATGTAGAGGGTAGTAAATGCATTCTCGTTCTGGAAATTGCTGCAGATTCTTGACCTCAGCTGCTTTAGAATGGCCTCTGCGTTCTTGAAGACGAAAGGGTTCGGCTTCCCAAAAGATGTGTATTGCAGAGGATTACGACTAATTCTGCATGGGAATAGGCATTAAGTGAATGGGCATTAAACAGGCAGGACCCATTTGGGGAAGATCTGGTTTACCTGTTGAAAATGCATTCTAATGCGAGCCTGAAGGCGCCCATTCCTAGACGTTCCCGACAGAAAGCGGCCTGAGATGCATCTTATTTTTTGGTGACATATAGAAAGTGCCTGCGAAGAACTCATGTTGCACAAATAGCTAATTTTGAGAAATCTCAAGCTCACATACGGGGTATTCTAGATCATCTGCGGCAAAAAATAAAGAGGGTTGCGCTCCGTTTTCTTCTCCGGGGAGACCACCAGATCCCAGGATATCACAAAGGACCTACATACACGATTAATACTTGAGATTATGGCGCAATGTGGGACAATGTTAATATGAAAAACTATAGACATAAGAATGTTGTTTCATTAATTAGGGAGAGAGTTGCCGTTGTTAAGCCAGATAAGCCAAGTTCATATTTGCTGCCTTTGTTCATCTCAGTAGAGTGCATATAAGGAGTCAACTTCACCCTTCCTTAGTGGACTTTTGTAAATCTTGAAGATAATATAGAGAGATAAACAATAGGGGAGAGAGAAAGAGAGGAACCTGAATATCTCTACCCCAGTCAACGGGGTCGCTGACAATGAATGCGGCTTGAACTCTACTTCTGTGGGCATTATATCGAGGGACTGAATCAGGGGGTTTGGAGTTGGTGATGCTCTTAGAAATCTGCTTGACCTCCCAAGTCTTGTACTGAGAAAGGGGATCAATGTCCCCAAAGTAAGACACATATTCATCCATGGAAAGGACCTTCCTGCAAAGAAAAACATTATGCTACACAAAAGGCATATGATTAATTTTATTAGCAATACTAATCATTCATAAAGTGATGGTTCTACCACAGGAGATACAGCTTCCATTTATGTTCGATTATCTTCTAAAAACAGAAATGCTCAAATGGATCCATATGCAGTTAAATATATAGCTTCACTCTTACTTGAATCCATACTCAGACATGACTTCTGCTGGTTCTCCTTTTCCGATGGCAACGATGAGATCATTTTCAAATCTGCGAGATAGGGATATGGCATTAGAAAAACTAGGAGGAGACGAGAAAAATAAAAGGATACCAATCCCTCAAAAAATAACTGCCTAAAGTTAGCATAAACTCAGTAGACAATTTTGGAACGACGATGAACAGTGGCACTTCGCCAGGTGAACCTGAAGAACTACCCTATTAAACACATATAATTTTCCGAATCTGGCATGGTACCTCCAGTTTTGGTAATCTAATGTTTAAAAGGTTTGAGGGAAGTTCAGTAGATAAATTGAAGATATCCACCTGCTCACTAGTCCTTTGAAAGGTGAATGACCTTGCACGACCTGTTCAGGAAAAAAAATGAAATGTTTTCACATTTTTCTAGCAAGAGGAGCACAGTATAAAACAAGGTAAAATTTGTATGATAAAGCCGAGGGTATTCATATCAAATACTCAGCAGTTTTCCACAGGAGGAATGAAAAGAACCAAAGACAAATGTAGTCCAAATTCTACCAGAAAATAATACTAAAGGAAGATCCATACATCAAGGAATAAAGCTCATCCAGGAGACAGTCAGAAAGATGAGGGAGAAGTTGCCCCATGAAATTCAGGAGCAAGAATCAGGCTGTTACCTCGAAGGTTACTGACATCATTAAGGGATAGGTGAAGTTTTTTTGTCAGTCAGACGCTCGAAGTGCAGGATGCATATGAAGAGTGATCCTTTTTACTTTCATGGGTTGTAAACTGGGTAAACATCAACAAATTTTATGTCTCATGGATTGGTTGACACCTACAAACAAGTTTCCCTTTATAATAATGTAAGAAGAAAGGAAAAGTATCACCTTTGCCCAACACCCATTCCGACATATCAAAGAACCTACCATCCGAGTAGGAGTATAGCACCTGCTCAAGGGAACTACCCATGAACATATGGAAGCAATCGCAAAGACATGAAAAGAAAAACACTAGGTATATGCAAGCACAAACAAATGATCTTGAATCGAATAATAACCATGGGCATAAGTACAAGGTCGTCAGACGATTTCCAAAACGCAAAGGCCAATGATGAGCACCTGGAGAGGTGAGATATCAACTTCTAAAAGTCTACTCAATTCAGAAGCTCTTTTTGATTCTGGAGTACCGCCCCCTGCTCAAAATGAAAATGGTGCTCAGACTATTTTCGACTACAGACTGTGGACAAACAGTTTCCAACAAAATCAATTCACAGAAGCAATAAGTTAGTAAAAATTAGCACAGCAAATCTTACTCCAGCAGCTAGAATATATGGCATTTCAAGCGTGAGGATTGATATTTGTTTCGCACTTTCTCTCAGTTTGTTACACCAAACTCAGCCATAAAGACAAGTGTGGATACGAGTATTGGAAAAGGTAAAAGAGTTAGAGACGAAATAAGATGAAAGAAACAAAAAATGACCTTGCATATTTTCACATCAGATTGAGGAGAATCCACACAAGCATAGACTACCATGATGTACTTAAAACTATTAAAAAAATTCAGAAACCTGGCACGAGTTTAATCATGTACAACTGAAGATATAGATTATTATTTTCCTGAAGAAAGATTAAAAAAATATTAACAGAAAATGACAGCATAAAGTAGATGAAAAGGCAAAACCGATAACACAACATAATATGTTACAAGCTAACAGATAATAACATAATACAGAAATAAGGTTACATAATGCCGTGTTAGAAGGGACAAAGCCCTTTTCCTAATATTAGGCACAAAGTGAGATACTCATAGAAAAATACGGATTATTTAAGGATAATCAGGATTTTCAGTCTATTTGCAAGGTATTGCTCTCATATTATTTTAGATGATCATGTCACATAGAGACCAGTATACATTTGCAAAAAGGAAGGATAGAGTCAAGTTTTTTTTTTTTTGCTTTAGGATACGGAAATGCGACTCTTGCAAGGATACTTGGGCCATAGTTGACAGGGTGGGTATGCTTTTCCTCATCATCTTCCAAATCTGGCCAATTACTCTTAAAAATGAAATAGGCATCTGTATATTGCTGAACATAGGAATGGCCTATGCCAAGGTGAAGAAGATCTTAGATGAGACAAAATAACTGAATTCTGAGTCATTGGCAAAACAACACGAAATCCCGAAAGATCAGTTAGAAAAAAAATACTGAAGATTGCAGTCAATTTTTTTAAATATAAAATAGTAGAAATCATTGAATCTCTAAAGTCATCGAAAATGGAATAAATTACTCATCTAGAATCATCTAAATTAAAATTTCATAGGATATTACCGATGTGGAACTCACCATTGGTTAAGAACAAAAAAGGAAATCTCAAAGTGCCTGCAAGAGAAGGAAATGGTCGCCCTAATCAGTGATCAATAGTCATCTTTCTTTGGAGTTCTCAAAGTGTATTGGGAAATAGACGATAATGAAACGAGACTAATATAATTCTGAGTTTGACAGTTATAAAGATTAAAATTATAGTGCTTATCGGTAAGGCTTGAAATCCAAAAAATGCAGAATAAATGAACCGTCATTCTACTTCATCCATCTTTAACCGGCTTTGTCGCATTCGTAAAATACGAAATGCAAAGAGATGAACGATCTTTTCAGTTTTGAACCTCTGATAAGGCATTTGAGCATACCTTCTAAGGCTAAAAAAAAACTCGGTCACGAAAGCTCGCGCTGAAAGTGTTGAAGCATATATGCCTTACGGACGAAAAAACCCAAAACTGGAACCGGGCTAGTCAATCCCAACCAGAACTCAACGGGAAGTTTGGAAAAGCAGTCCGAAGGCAGAAAACCATACTACTCACAGCGAGGTGGTTCATGCCACAATCATAGTTATTGCTATTATTGACCCGAAAACAGGTCTCTAAGGCCCACCCTTACCAAGGGCTTCTGGCACACCGCTCGGGCAGATTCAAAAAATTCTAAATGGTAGCCTACGTTGTACCGTCGCTTGCGTAAAGCCTTCTCAGCGCCTGGCTAGAACCGTCAATTGGCGTGGAACCTCTGAGAACAACCCCATCGATGTCCAAGGCGATGCCAAAAGAAGAACTGAAAGAGGAAGCGATGCCAGTGCAGATATAACAACAGAAACACACAGCAGAGAGAATCAAAACCCTGGAGACGGAAGCTCCATAGATGAGAAATGCCGTGAAGAACCTGTCGGCTGCTTGGTGTGTCTCCTGTGGATGTACTGAGTAAGGACGGCGGAGACCCTGTGCCCGCCGGATCTCAGACCAGACTGATCCCCTGAGCACGCGGAGGAACGTCATCTTCTTCTCCCAATCGAGCGAGAGAACCCTCCCAGATCCCGTCGTCGCCGCCGACCTGTCGAAGCGATCGCCGTAACCCGCTTCTCAGTCGTAAGCTTAGCTGACGTGAGATGCCACGTGGACAGTGGGTCCCACAATTGACCGAAGGCACAACATGGAACGTTGAAAGTAGATTAGATGAGTCAGCAGAAAAATTGAAAGAAAACGTGTGTCTCATATATCTCTGGTCAAGACACGACTCGGGAAAAATTGAAGATTTCGAGAAGGACGATGCGCGTGCGAGGCGATATGCACTTCTCACTGTGAAGAGCGCCTCCGTGGGAAGGCCCAATTATGATACTCTTCCTCTAGAACACTGAGTCCAAGCTGCCCTCCAAATGATGCGTTGACTTTCTCGCATAAGACAATCCCTACAGATTCTGTTGGTTTGGAGTGGATCCCTATCAAAGACCAGCCGGGGGAGTAAAAAGCTTAAGACCGAAGGAACCCGTCGGATCACCATAAATACAGGCCAATGCGTGGCCTGATAGCAGCACGCTTCTCCCATCCGCTCTCGAGTCATCCGCTCTCGAGTTAGCTCCCGAGAGATGGCCTACGGAGCTGCGGCGGACGGCGGGCGGCGGAAGTCAACGAGCAGCCGCCGGCCGAGGAGAGGGCAAGTTAAGGTGAAGATCCTGGGGATGCTCTTCAAATCTGTCGTCGCGGTGGCGTCAGTCCACGCGAGGAGGGGTGGAGCGAAGTTTTCAGGTCTTCTCCGCCCTCAGAAGATGAAGAACCCCGCCTGAGCATGTTTTCACCGGTGCGATGATCTCGTCGACTAAGTCGCCGGCGGTGATGGGCCGGGTGCTCTCCCTTCCCCCTCGTTTTCATGATCTACAGACTATGTCCATCCTCATGTAATGGGGGTTTGTCAATCTTTCCCCCCCTGTAATGGTAGTTTGCAAGGACCCCTGATGGCCCGTGGTCGATCCCTTTCCGGTCATGTTCATCTCGCGCCGCAGAACATTTGTACTTTCAGATGCTGTTCTCTCGCCTCTTCTACTCCACGGATTTGTTCATCTACTGCGAAGGATCGTCTCTGCGTGTTCAGCAGAAGTGCGGAGGGTGATCGGAGACCGGCGAGGTGGATGACGATCGATCGGTGACGGCTCCTGCCTGAAGAATCTGAGGAAGACGAACCTGAAGAAACACTACTGCAGAGCGATTCCGCTGAACAAATTATTGGACTCCGCAGTTTTGATGTTCTGTCCAAGTCGTGTTTATGTCAGCTAGGTAGCGTCAGCCGATGACGTCACTATGAGGTCTGGCGACGGCATGACACGTGGAGAGAGACGTGCGGTGGCCACGTCAGGGCTGCCCGCCCTCATCTACTCCGAAGTCGTCACTGCCAGCTGCCATTGTAGGTGGAAGAAGTACAGGGGAGAATCCTATGAAGTCAACGCAACCACCCTGTGCCCACGAAGGTAGTAGAGTTGACCAAGTTGACATTACACATTCGAAGGCATGGCACGTGATCTGAATACTCAACGCGTGACCTTGGTTTCACTAAAATGTCATTATAAGAAGAAAAAAGTAAAGATAAATTCAAGATGACTCGTAAACCGTTTAACTCAGAATTCAACACCTCAAACTTCGCATGTAGTCATGAATATGCTAGCCAATGAAAAAGAGAGAGAATAGCCAACGAAATCATTGGCTAAACATGAGTAAATTGTAGGTACATGAGGAATGAGGGAGTGGAGAGAGAAGGGTTCCCATTGGCTAAACATGAGTGAGGGGGTTGACTGATCTTTAGTAATGCGGTGGAGGTAACTTATGACAATAGCCAACGAAATCATTGATATTTACCAACACCACATCAACCTTACAAGACATAAATCTCAATATTAATTTAATTATAAGGATAATTATAAAAAAATGCAAACACAAGATCATAATAATAATGAAAACTCAATTTCTAGATATCAATGAAAACAAATATTGAAAGAAAAATTACCAAACTATGAAAAATATTAATAAGAACAAGTCTTTCACCAAAACACTTCTAATTCATATCTCAATGCCTTTAAGATGACACACAATGTTAGAGAAGTAATAATTTTTAATATTCTTCTATAAGGGCTTCACATGTAATAGAAGAAAGAAGATAAGTTAAAAAGGGGAGTAGATTTGATGAAGAGACAAGAAAACTAAGTAAGACGAGAGATCTCAAGAAGAAGAAAAAGTTTTTAGTTTATACTATCAACAAAAAATAAATAAATGTCATATTTATATAAGAAAAAGGAAAATGATAACTAACTCTTTTAAAAAAAGAGTCATTCACAATTTATGTTAGCACACTTACTGATGAACTTGAATTAGAGGTTAAATACATCATCATGATGCAACCAAGTTCATGCAAATAATATTTATAAAATATCACTCTTCTATTTAAGATAAGTAAGAGTCGATTCTCAAGGAACGTGGGTAATGAGAGTATGAATTCTACTTATTTTATTTCTTATATATATATATATATATATATAAAGATATATATATATAACGTGAGATTGTAAAGGGTGAAATTAAATATAAAAGAGTGAAGACAAGAGTTATGAAAAGTATGATAAAAGGGAGAGAATAGATGTAACGTAATGGAATGATAGAATAAATGATAAACTTAGTTAGAATTAAAGTTAACCTATCCATGAAGCGGATTATAAGGATGCCTTAAATCTAGATCTCATACAAACCTCGTTGTGTGTTAGTCCTAGGCTGAGTAATACTCAATCCGTGACGATTTTGATGCACTCCAGATAATCTCTTCTCCACGATGATCTCCGACTAACTACTATTAGAGAAAGCCACAAAATGTCCTCCAAGAGGAGGGCGAGATGTCTTAATCCTCTCGAGAGTTAAGCCCCTCTAATAGATGGTTAAGATTAATAATCAACTCTCTTAGTGGATGACCTATATCATTTCATGAAGGCATTTTAATCCTTCTCTTAATCTCATCTTAAGGTGCCCTAAGATGGACGACTTAGATCTTATCTCTTGATAGTCTTTTTAAGTTTAAATAAGCTAGGCCAAAGTGACGCCCTCTCTTGGGCCTATAAACATATTAGGCTGGCCCTCTCCATAAGGCTTGGGCTTTTCATTGGGCTGAAGGTTTAGGCTTCTTCTATTACTTCCAACTTATAATAAGAGTTCACCTAAGTCTTTGCAATCAAATAATTACTAAGAAAATGTGAGAGAATCATCACTTGACTTCATAAAAGTCGTGGGGTTAGCCTCATAATATAAATAAAATAAGTATAATAATATGTATTAAGACAAATAATAAAATATTATGAACATCATAAATAGTTGTTAACACGTATAATTATATTATCTACTCATTAATTAGTATCTACATATAAGATATTAATACATAGATGCAACCATTAATTTATAACTATCATCCACATATTTAAGAGCTAGTGGTTTTAACCCCCTTTATTTCTCATACCCACTTTATACATGACCCTTAAATAGGTCAATGGGCATGGGCTGACACCATGAACCACTCCATGTGCCTTCTCCAATGTACTTACAATATGTATCAAATCTAAACAATATTTCAACTTCTCCATTGTTACAATCTTCGTCAACATATATGTGACATTTTTCTCCATATTAATTTTATCTAAAGAGAAATTTCTAAAATTCACCAACTCACTAATCTTATAATACTACACATCAATATATTTTACAAAACAATTGACACTCTAACTATTGCAATATAGATAAACTTTACTTTGTTGGATCTCATGTTCGCTCAATAATTCCTTCAACCACAAGACCTCATGTAATTATTATGTACTCCATCTTAGTCATAGATAATGCGGCAATAGACTAAAATGTAGACTTCAAACTCATAAGTCCATCAGCCACAATAAAAATATAACCTGTTGTAGATCTTTGATGATTTAAATCTTCAACAAAATCTACAACAATAAAAAAATAATTTTACTAATCAATATAGATTCTAAAATCTAACAAACTCTTTAGATATCAAAAAATCTACTTCATTGTGCTCTAATGCTTCATCTTTATATTACTTATCAATATACATACAATCCATAACATAAGAGAGTCAATTACATTAGTATAGAATTTTTTTTTCATGTCAATAATATCTTCCTTAGATGTCAGATATTGAATATTACATAACTTGAAATGACTGATATGAAGAGCGCCCACTACTTTAGTATTAACCATGCTAAATAGATCCACCAATTTTCACATATAATTTTTATAAGTCAACTATAGTCGACTTCTCATTTGGTCTCTATGAATCTCTGTACCAAGGATTTTCTTCACCACACTAAAATCTTTCATGTCAAATTTGCTACTCAATAATACTTTCAGCCTAATAATCTCATGTCAATTCTTTTTAGTAATGAACATATCATCAACATAGAACATCAAAATAATTCAAGAATCATCACAACTTATCTTCATATAAACATAATAATTAAAATCACACATCATGTAGTCAATTTATAATATATAAAAGTTAAACATCTTATATCACTACCTCAATGACTACTTTAATCTATAAAGAAAATTCCTCAATCTAGAGACAAAATATTTTAACCCCTACATAATAAAATTCTCTAACTACTATATGTAAATCATCTCCTCCAAATCTCTATGAAGAAACACCGTCTTCACATCTGCTAAAACTCCATATCTTAATGTGCAAAAAGATATGTGCTTTATAATAGGTAAATAAATATTTGTGTAATTAATTTCTTAGTTTTATGTGAAGTATTTTACAACAACTCTTATTTATATTGTGGTTGATCACCCTCAACCATCAATAACTTCTTCGTATACACTCATTTACACCTAATAACTCACTTCCTTGTAGTAAGATTCATTAACTTTTATGTATGATTCTTGTTCAATAATACTTGCTCCTCAAGTATCGCCTATAGCCACTTCTTCTTTTCAAGATAACTAATTGACTTTTGAAAAATTGATGACTCATAATCTTCTATAAATAAAGTAAAGACAATATAATCATCAAGATAAATAGAAGGCTTTAATTTATATTTCTCATGTCTAGTAGTAATACAATCAAGAACATCTTATTATTCTTCAACTTGATTTTCATGTCTAATAATGCACATTCTCCACCTTTAAACTTATTTTGTCCTCAATATAAGTATCATCAAGATTATTAAATCATGTATTATGTAAATATGAACTTTAACATATGATATTCATCAAAGACCACATCTATATTGAAAATAACTTTCTCTGCCTCCAAATTTCAAAGTCGATACCCCTTTATATTATTACTATAGTCAAAGAAAATGTATTTTCTCAACTTTAGATTCAACTTTGATCTCTCATTAACATAAGTAAGGACATAACTAGAGATTTAAATATATGTAAATTCGAATAATTGACATGATTTTCAATTTATACCTCATCGGCCACCTTCTTATGAACAGTAGTTTGACAATTTATTCACTAAATAAATCACCATACTCATAACTTCTGCATAAAATTCCTTAGACATGTTGAAATTCAGGTACAAACAACATGCTCTCTCAACAATCACAAAATTGATCTTCCTCCCTATTTAGTTCTCCACCTTCACACACTAAGTCTTGAATTTTGCAAACACTTATAATTAGTAATTCAAGAAGAATATCTAAACTTTTTTAGAAAAGTTATTAACAAAAGTTATAAAGTAATGAGCTTCACCCATCAACATCGCATCAATCAAATCACACATATTTGAATGAATATA